AACCCGACCGCATTCCGCACTCACATGCTCCTCAAACCAAAACTTTCTCTCACTAAAATTTCAGTTTTCATCAAAGCCCTAACCCAAAGTCATCACTTTCCCTGAAAAACAAAATTCCAAAAAATCCTATCGCAGAACCACTTACCCAATCCAAAATATGCAAAGTTCCCCAACTCTGCACCACTCATTTGCACTCCAAACCCGACCGCACTCCGCACTCACATTTTTGCGACTGACTGCTCCGCAAACCAAAACTTTGAAAATGATTTTGAATTATTACCATTTTCCCACGACCGCGACCGATTTTTTGCCTCGAATTTTTCAAAATGAGAATAGATTGGCTTCACGGACAAAAAAACAGACAGAATAATTCTTTTGCTTTAATAAAGGGGACCAGAAATTAGGGGGTCCCTTCGGGCCCCCCTATTTCTGGTACTTTTGCTTGTTCTTTTACTCTTGCTTTTTGAATTTTCTCAAAAGCCTTTGATTTTTTTGAAATTTTTCAAAGGCTCGGGGCCTGCGGCCCCTCGCACGCGGTGCCACGTCTCATACTGAATGCTGTGAAGACTTGACTGGAAGGCTCGGGGGGCCTGCGGCCCCCTCGCATGCGGAAAAGTTTCCAAACTCCTAACTTCGTGTCAAATCCTATCCCAAATCGACCACTTTCCCCAAAAAACAAAATTCCTAAAATTTCTATCACAGTACCATGTACTCAACCCAAAATATGCAAAAATACCCAACTCTGCACCACTCACTTGACTCCAAACCCGACCGCATTCCGCACTCACATTTTTGCGACTGACGGCTCCTCAAACCAAAACTTTCTCTCACTAAAATTTCCGAGTTTTCATCAAAACCCTAACCCAAATTCATCACTTTCCCTAAAAAACAAAATTCCAAAAATTCCTATCACAGTACCACTTACCCAATCCAAAATATACAAAGGTACCACACTCCGCACTACTCACCTGCACTCGTACCCGACCGCACCCCGCACTCACATTTTTGCGACTGACTGCTCCGCAAGTCAAAACTTTGAAAATGACTTTGAATTTTTTCAAAAATTCCCACTATCGAGACCGATTTTTTGCCTCGAATTTTTCAAAATGAGAATTGTTTGGCTTCGGAATGACAGACAGAAAAACGTTCTTTTGCATTCATAAAGGGGACCAGAAATTAGGGGGTCCCTTCGGGCCCCCCTAATTTCTGGAACTTTTACTTGTTCTTTTACTCTTGCTTTTGAATTTTCTCTAAAGATTATGATACTTTTTGAGATTTTTTGAAAAGGCTCGGGGCCTGCGGCCCCTCGCATGCGGTGCCATGTCTCATACTGAATGCTGTGAAGACTTTACTGGAAGGCTCGGGGGCCTGCGGCCCCCTCGCATGCGGAAAAGTTTAAAAACTCCTAACTTCGTGTCAAATCCTATCCCAAATCCATCACTTTCCCCAAAAAACAAAATTCCTAAAATTCCTATCACAGTACCATGAATTCAACCCAAAATATGCAAAAATTAAAGCACTCACTTGCACTCCAAACCCGACCGCATTCCGCACTCACATTTTTGCGACTGACTGCTCCTCAAACCAAACCTTTCTCTAACTAAAATTTCAGAGTTCTCATCAAAACCCTAACCCAAATCCTTCACTTTCCACAAAACACAAAATTCCAAAAAATCCTATCACAGTACCACTTACCCAATCCAAAATATGCAAAAGTACCCCACTCTGCACCACTCACCTGCACTCGAAACCGACCGCACCCCGCACTCACATTTTTGCGACTGACTGCTCCGCAAATCAAAACTTTGAAAATGATTTTGAATTATTCCCATTTTCCCACGATTGAGACCGATTTTTTGCTTCGAATTTTTCAAAATGAGAATTGTTTGGCTTCGGAATGACAGACAGACAGAAAGACAGACAGAAAAATGTTCTTTTGCATTCAGAAAGGGGACCAGAATGTCGGGGGTCCCTTCGGGCCCCCTCCATTCTGGCAGATTCAGCAAACCTTTATTCAGAACTTTTTTGAAATTTTAAAATATCTTGAGGGTCGGGCGCCTTCGGCACCCTCCCATGAGTAAAAACTGTCGCTGATTTTACATTGAGACGCTCGGGGGCCCTACGGACCCCCTCGCTTATGGTTTGCTTCCAGTTCGCACACTCAGAGACAGAATTCGCAGGGATTAAAAAAAATGCACACTGCACATGCAGAGAATTGCAATTTGAGGGTCGGGCGCCTTCGGCACCCTCCCATGAGTCGAAACTGTCGCTGATTTTACCTTGAGACGCTTGGTTGCCCTACGGACCCCCTCGCGTATGGTTTACCTCCATTTCGAACAGTCAGAGATAGAAATTGCAAAACTTTTGCATATTGCACACGCAGAGAACCGACCGCGCACCACACTCATTTTCTCATACACCGATTCCGAAATTGAGTGTGTGCCATTCTCCAGTTCGCATAGTCAGAGACATAATTCACAGAGATTAAAAAATTGCACACTGCACATGCAGAGAACTGCAATTTGAGTAAAAACTGTCGTTGGTCTTGCCCTGTGACGCTCCGGTATCCCGCGGACCACTCCGTTTATGGTTTGTCTTCAGTTCGCACAATCAGGGACAGATATTGCAAAAATTGTACATTGCACACGCAGCGAAAGAAGCCGACCGCACTCCACACTCACTTTTTCACAGACTGATTTTTGATTCCGAAATTGAGAAATGAATTTGAATTTTCCCACAAATTTCCGAAATTGACCGATTTTTGAGCTCGAATTTTTTCAAAATGAGAATCATTTGGCTTCGGACAGACAGATAATGACACATTCTTTTGCATTCAGAAGGGGAACCAGAAATTAGGGGGTCCCTTCGGGCCCCCCTATTTCTGGAACTTTTACTTATTCTTTTACTCTTGCTTTTTGAATTTTCTCTAAAGCTTTTGATTTGTTTGAATTTTTCCTATTTCTGGAACTTTTACTTGAACTTTAAGATGGTCAAAGTATTCTGCGTTTTACCAAGAAAATTGATAGTCTTCCAAATGTTCTGTGTAGCGTTAAGCCAGCGTTTGGTCCCGGCGCGAAAACAAACAAAATAAAGATACGGTAGCTTCTTTTTCGCGTATTTTTTCCAACGTTTTTTGTTTATAATCTACGTAAATTGGAGGGCTTCGTGGAAATTGGACAGAGTGAAATTCGACAGAAATAATTTGGACAGAGCGCGGAAATTCGACGGAGTGAAATTGGACAGACTGAAACTCGACAGATTTTTCGGAGGGAAATTGGACAGAAATAATTGCAAATTCGGTAAGTATTATGTTAATTTTTCGATATGTTTTTATGACAAAGGTAATATGGCAAGAATATTTTTATATTTTACTTCGTTAAAAATTATTTCACCCCAAAAAGGATCGTGAATTCGGCGAATATCTATAAGATAATGTAAATTGTGGTGGCGCACTGCAGGACGACCCAAGTCTTTCTCCTTGGGTCGTCAATTCGCTCTTTTATCAAACTTATTATTAATTTCTTTATGTTTCTTTTGAGCCCCGGTGCGAAAAAAACAAACAATACCTAAAAATGGGCAATTTGTCCGGACATTTTTGAGTGGGCAAGTTGCCCATATTTAGGTATTAGGTATCAATAGATACTTACTAACTTTCCGACCAACTTTTACATCAAATTTTACGTTTTTTTCTAGAAAGCCGTCATTGACCGTCGGATCACCGATTACATCAAAGACGACATTGAACGCATCACCGGCAAGATCGATGACATGCTTCAGGATCTCAGCGCCCTCTCTGTATATACTTGTGGTGAGTTTAAACATAATTTTTATATTAATTTACCAAAAATAAGGTCAGGATCTCAGCTGGCCAATATTGCCCGACAATATTGGGCAAATTGGCATAATATTATAATCTATAATATTAGGTATTAGTTTAAAATGTTTTCATAAATAAAATTAGATATAAGTTAAATTAGTTAAAAATTTTAAAAAATTCTTCAAAAATTTGTCATAATTACAAAAAATATTTATAAATTATTTAAATAATTTTAAAAAAATATTTTTTTTTAATTATAAAAGTTTTTTATGAATTAAATTGTACAAAAAGAACTTTATAATAAAACTTTAAAATATTTTTGTCATTAACTAAATATGGCTTCTTTGCAAAACTATCTAACTATGGGCAATTTGTCCGGACTTTTTTGAGTGGGCAAGTTGCCCATATTTAGGTATCAATTTTATAAATTAAATTATATCGAAAAAACTTTATAATAAAAGTTCAAAAAATTTTCTAAATATTTTATTCTTTAACTAATATGACTTCTTTTTAAAACTATCTAACAATGGGGAATTTGTCCGGACATTTTTGAGTGGGCAAGTTGCCCACATTTAGGAATTAGGTATCAATAGATACTTACTGAATCTGCCCGCGCTGACGGATTGGTTAGGTTGGGTCAGCATTACGTAGTAATAGATACCTTACTAAGTTTTCTGTTTTCAGCATCGGTCTACAGTTTGACTACAACAAAGAATATTCTCTCGTGGTTTATCGATTGTTTTCCTGCCTGCATTATTCCTGGATACGCCCATCCCGGTCACGACTCCTTCAAGTGCTATTCGATGGAACACAACTTGCATCAGAGGTAAGGTGCTTTGCTTTTTTTAAGTGAAAATTGCGTCGTTTTAAATGTTGATACCTGCAAATGGGCAACTTGCCCGGAAGTTTTAACCGGGTAAGTTGGCCATTTAGGCATATAAGGGTTAAATCCGACGGAAGGACATTCATTCAGCAAAGCTTCGGCTTTGGCATGCATATGCTAACAACCAATTATGGGCGGGAGCGTAAACATGTCTTTGTCGATGCTTGTTTGTGTCCCTTCCTCGCCTTAACCACTACCTAGTAATCCTTTTAAAAAAAACAACCAATTCATATAGTTTTATTCTACTTTACTTGTATAAATATCCTATTGTAATAAAAATAATGGCGCGTCTCCTTGTTTCTAACCGTGGGCATGCTTGCTGGGTGAGCGAGTGTTGAGAAGTCTTTTGTCATTTGGGTTGAGTCGTCCGGGAACTTCAGCGTAATCTGTGCAGTCAAAGGTGCCCCGAAAATAAGTACCGATCCATCTATAGCGGGAGTACTTGGTAATCGGAGTAGAGATGTTGGTTAGCTGGATCCTGATCTTATGTTCTCCGTCCACAACCGCCCCAATATAGAGGTTGTTCATCAAAATCGGGGGAAGGGCAACAAAGGCCTCAAACGCTATAAAAAATGATTGCATTGGATATATTGACTTACAGTAAGTTTGGCCAGAGTCGAGGTTCTCAATGGTAGCGGGGATAATGTCTGGCTGAATCTCCGGGATTTCATCGATCTTGCAGACGACAGAAGATGGGTAAACGTTAAATTCATATCCTTGCCTCAAATCACTGTAAACCCCGCAGGACTTCTTCTCCACAAAGTCGATCTGGTATATAAAACCGGCCTTGAATAGAGTCGGTGCGAGGTTGGCATGCTGGCGCCAACTCGCCAGCTAAAACAAACAAAATTTTTGTTATTATATACGACCGCTTGCTTACCTGATAAAAAGTTCCTTCCAGGGATTTGAATTTAGCACTTCCAACCTCGAACATGCCCTTCGAAGAGTTGATCCGTTTAACTCCCGTGACTGACACGATGGCGACGATGAGGCTGCAGGTTTTATCACCAAACTCAAGTGCGTTGAGATACTCGTCGGAGCTGATTTGATAGGACGGTGGATTGACTGGAACCACTGGCAAGGGCTCCGCAACGGGTGGCGGCAGAGGAATTTGGTCGAGCTCGTGGGTCGGGGAAGACATTCTCACATCAATGGTTTTTTTCGGAACTTTTCGTTTCTTTTATACAAATTTCCAAGACATTCTAATTTATTCAAATTCATAAAAATACACATAAAATAAAAAAAAATGAGCGGTGGGTCAATTAAAAAATAGTTACAGCTTCTTATGAAAATAATATTCCGTCTTCCAAGTTACAGAACGTTTTTATAAACAATATTTGTGACGCTATCCGATTTGTCATCTTCTATTTGGATCTTGATCGACTCCCAATTTTGCACTCTTGATATTGCGACATAGAGTTGTCCGTGTGAAAACACTTGCCGCTTGTTTAGTTTTAGACCTATTTTTTCGAAGGTTTGACCTTGTGACTTATTTATTGTCATCGCAAAGGCTAACCTTATTGGGAATTGGTTACGATAGAACGGGATTATCAGATTTTTCGAACTTTCCAGCGTTATTCTTGGTAGAAACATGATTTTGCCTTGTTTTTCTCCCATTAGACATTCACATTTAATCACATTCGGCTTCATTTCAAGTACGCGGAGCCTTGTACCGTTACATAGCCCCTCCTTTAAGTCCAAATTACGTAAGATCATTACAACTGCGTTCTTTTTAAGTTTTAATTCGGATTTGGGAAAATTTGCTTCTCCTAATGAATTCAGCACCTCTATCATATATCTGTATTTTTCGTTGCTCTCTTCTTTGATCTCATCACGACTGTAATACACGCATTCCTCTCCCCTGACAATACTTAAAGCCTGAGCGTTTAAGTCATCTACCTCAACATTTAACGGAGCCAGAATACTTCGGTTAGCAAGAATTTGTTTATTGGAATCATCTATTTTGTTACCAAAAACTTCGTTGATAAGGTCCAGTTTTGTTAAGGAGTCAATTGGTAGTTTAATCTGGTCTTTTTCATCGTTGAGTTTACCCTCCCCAATTTGCAGAATATGGTTCGCAAACTCCAAGTTTTTCTCTCCTGCTCGCATGTTTCTTGATAACTTGAATGTGTGAAAGTGACGCCATAAATGACTCCCTTTAATGGTTATCTGGACGGTTTGCTGTGGCGTCGCGTTTTCTTTAATGGGTAGAATTTGACGAAAATCACCACCAAGAAGCATAATTTTTCCACCGAAAGGGATTCTTTTCCCAGTTAGTTCTTGTAACGACCTATCAATTGCTTCTAACATGTGCTTACTTATCATGGAGGCTTCGTCAATGATGAATGCCGTCGTATTAACGATATCTGCTCCAGCTTTTGAGTCTTTTCTAATTCTGGATATTGTTTCATTATTGATTTCTAACCCGAATTTGAACGTTGTATGCACTGTACTACCTTCTGGAAGCAATGTTGCGGCTATTCCGGTAAACGCCATGCATACAACACCTTTACCCTGCCCTTTAATGATATTGTACACAGTTTTATACACAAAAGTTTTTCCTGTCCCACCGGGTCCATCGAGAAACACACATTTAGGGATGTCTTTTTCATCAATCACTAACTTTATTATGCTTTGGATTGCTGACTTTTGATCACAATTACACTGCTTTAACATTTCGTCCCCCCTTTCCTTAAATTCCGCGTTCTTATTGTCAAGTTCGACCTCGGATTCCAAACTCAAAATTTGTTCTTCAGTAATTTCGATGGCATTATTCATTTGGAAATTAGAAAAACTGCTTCCATTTCTGTTTAGAATTTTTTCAATGAGAGAATATGCGACTTCATAACCTTGGGATTCTCCGAATTTTCTTACGCAATCTTCCGACAACTCTTTTCTGAATTTCAAGTACAAATCGTTCGGCATTGCTGGAGCACAGTGCAAAAGTAGCATGGAAAACATGAATCGTAATTGCTTTGGCATCTTGAAAAATGAAGCTTCCGCCATTGCATTAATGTAATCCTCGTCATCCTTGATATACCCTCTAGCTAAACACGAACTCTTATATGTGGGGTGTACAACTCCATCGACTGTTCTCAAGTCTTCGAATGATTTTGGCCCTCTTATTCTAATCAAAAGCAATCTAAGATGGAATACTTCAGAGTTTTTTGGGCTAATGTTGTATATTCTTCCTACCGTTTTGAAATGAGATAGCCGTTTATTCCACTTCATAGTTTTGCGGTCCCAAGTGTAATGTTTGGACACTTCGGTGTATAGAAGATCGGTACTTTCGGTTTGATTTAGCTCGAAAAACGCCATCAGCTTTGACTTTTTATTTCGTTTCAGCATTTCAACGCGTTCTTTGCTGTCATTTTTTTTAAAAAAAACGAACTGTTTTCCTTCCTCGTGTATCTCAAGGCGTTCTACAGTATGACTTTTCACAATTATTTCATAGCCAAGTGTTCTCCAAGCCGCTTCTGGGGCGCTCAAATATCGGCATTCTACGTATTTTTCTATTTCATCGTAAATTAATTGATTATCTGAACCGTCTCGTGAGACTTTCTCAATCAGAGCTTGATCTACGCCCTTAAAAACGTATTTGTGTAGATACTTTACAACTTCGATATCAGCAACATGTTCCACATTAATATGGCAGTTGAATTTTAGCGAGAGCTGTGGTGTATAAGAAACAACATGTCTATTGTCTAGGATTTGTCCATCAGCCGTGGTGTGCGTTATATTATTGTTGCGTCTCCTGTAATTAGCATATCCGCCGGTTTTTACACGAGTTTCCTCCAGAAAAGGCTTTGGAAATTTTTTACTACAGTTGTCAGAATTTTCGATGCAAGGGAATTTCTTGGAAACCGCACCATTTTGATTCAACTTTTTGCATTGATGCATGTTGTTCTGGACTATAATGTTATATAACTGTGTTTCAGTGTCTTTGTCGGGTATTTCAGCTCGGATTACTTTATCAATGGTTTCTTTAGAGTCTAACTTCGTTCTTTTATCAAGTATTATCAGGAGATGTAAATGAGGTAAACCTCTTTTTTGAAATTCGATAGATCCGGTATACGCTTTAACTTTCCCATATATTTCGCTTTTTACTGTGTATTCTATCATTGATTTGTACTTAAGTCGAAAGACTCTTGCGACTAAATCTGGCCTGTCTGACGCTGTTTGACCTGTCTTAAGGTTTTCTTTGATTTCTCGCCAGTTTGGATTGCATGTCATAGTAATAAAGAGGTCGGGTTTTCCATAAGTTTTCGTGAGAGTCAGAGCGTCGTCGTACGCATTAGACATATATCGCGGAGATCCCATATAACTGGACGGAAGCACAAATTTTCTACCTATTTCGAGCCCGGTTTCGGCAGATTTTTGGTTTAAATATTCTTCAAGATAGTCGTAGTTTTCGGCAAGGTGTTCGCTGACGTTGTTCTTAATATAATCTAATCGGTCCCTGTCAATATTAATGTATTGTGTTACGATCCACTCCTGGAAGCTCTTCCCACCGTACAAAATAGGACAAAATGGCGAATCAGACTCGTCTCTGTCATATAACTTATATTTTACGTACTCTGCACATGTAATTTTCTGATTATTGCATTGATAATTAGGATGCCAGCCCAACTGTCCGGTAGGATAAAATAATGTAAAGAGTAAAGGTTCAGCACTTTGATGGGTTTGTTTTAGTGTAATTAATTTTTTACCGTATTCATTAACACAAACTTCGTATCTGGGGACTTCTCCGTCTACGCCCTGTTCGAAAAGAACGGCAACTTCGTTCACTCTTGGAGGATTAAATCGCCTTTTATCTAAATTATCTTTTAAACAAAATAGCAATTTGAACTCGGGCATAGGTACATTATTTTGTACTACTTGCAATCTGGCCTTTTCTTCCTCTTCTTTAAGCATCATATACGATTTGGCGAAAGGGTTTTTATCACGAATAATTTTGTCTAAGACAGCGATAAGAGATGCGTCTAAATGATCCATAATTTTAGTCCGAATGCCATTTGCTTTATCAGCCTCAATCATAAACAATTGGCCATAAGTCGCATTTTTATCTGGATCTGGATGAGCGGCTGCGTTAAATTTCTTCAAGAAATCGCCGTGTTGCCGATATGTGTAAGGCCCCCCGCCGTTAAATCGGATTTCTCTCGTTATTATGCTTCCAAAAGACATTGCTTTCATATAGCCTCTTATATTATTTTTGAAATCATTTGACCGAAGGTGTTCATTTTTAAACAACGATTTTAATTCGTCGGGAAATTGATATTGCGCTGGGATATCTACTTTTCCTTTCTCGCAACATGAGGTAAAAAAGAAATTTTTATCATGAGTCTCAACTTCAAAATGTTTTCCCTTACACTTATTACATTTTACATTTAAATTCCCTACGTAATGCGTCGAAATACTATCAAGATCCGTTGAATATTCTGGATTCTCAAGATTTTTTCTTTCTTTGCGAGCTTGAGTAGCGTTAAGGCGAGCTTGTCGTTGTTCAGAAGTTTCTAAGCGGCGATTTTCGCGTCTTTTTTCATTACGAATCAAAAGTCTTTCTTGCCTCTCAGGTTCTGTCAGGTTTGTGCTGGCTCTTTGGCGGGATACCCTAGCATTTTCAAGCCTATTTTGATAATCCTGAATGCTTTCATTTTCAAAAGTTTCTTGATGCCTATTGCGATCGTTCTCTAATCTTCGCTCGTACTCTTCAACCGTTTCGTTCTCCCTTTTAACAGATTTTAGTTCTTTTTCCCTTTGAAGCCTCAATGCCCTTTCACTCAACAGTTCGGATTGTCGTAGTTCGACGTGTAAAATCCTGTCATTTGTTTGCCGTTCTCTGCGTTCTTGAGATGTTTCTCTGACTCTACTCTCAGCATGCTCACGGCGGTCGTTTGCACGGCGTTCTGCAGCTTGAGATTCAGATTCTTGAGCTCTTTTTCTTGCTTTCCTTTCTCTGTCCTTTCGTAGGCGCTCTTCACGCTGTTCTACTGTCTCATTTTGTCTAATAAGTGATTTTCTTTCTTTATCTTTATTAGTTTTTTTATTTTCCGCTTGAGAATCTTGATGATTAGCCATCGATGAGGGCCCTGGTTCGCCAGTCTCTCTTAGTGACGCGCGTCTAATTCTCTGTAATTCGAGTTTGCGCTTCTTCCTTGCTTCTTGAATGAATTTCTCTTCGGATTCGCTTCTTCCAACTCGTTTACGAAGCATCGTGAATACAATGTACCATAAAAATCAAGAACGAAGAAAAAGTTTATGTATATCTGTGAGAAAAATTGTATCCTTTATATGTTTTCACCTTTGTCCTTTCCTTATTTGTCCTTATTTCCTTATCACCGTTTCCTTATCAACGTTTCCTTATATTCCTTGATGTTATCTTTTCGCCTTTATTCCTTTTTCCTTAATGCCTTTATTCCTGTTTCCGTAATGCCTTTATTCCTGTATGCCTTTATTCCTTTTCTCTCTTAATTCCTTTTACCTTTTTTCTTGAGGGTATTCGCTAGACAGGGGTGAGATTGTAAAGCCGAAATCGACCGGTCGCTGCTTCCGAATGTAGCCAAATTGATATTTCATACAATTTTCCAAAATCAACCGACGTTGAAATGATTTTGAATTTCCCAGAATTTTTCATTTTCTCACCAATTTTTCAAAATCGACCGACATTTTTTCTCAAATTTTTCAAAATGAATCTGATCGGCTTCATTTTGAGCGGACAGACAGACAGACGGACAGAAAATGCGACATTCTTCTGCATTTATCAGGGGGACCAGAATGTCGGGGGTCCCTTCGGGCCCCCTCCATTCTGGCAGATTCAGCAAACCTTTATTCAGATTTTTTTGAAAATTTTAGACGCAGTTTGAGGTTCGGGCGCCTTCGGCACCCTCCCATCAGTAAAAACTGCCGCTGATTTTACATTGAGACGCTCAACGAAAAGCAATGTCATAGTGTTAACTCCTTATTTACTAAGAAGGACTGCGATGTCATCAATCGTTGTGCCTATTTTGTGCTTATTTTGATTTATTTTCATAAATATTCCATGAAAATAATAGCCGAATAACGAATAGTTGGAATGTCTCCGTTTGTGCCTAGGTGTGTTTCATGCTTATTCCATGCACATTTCGGGCTGACCCAGCCAATTTATTCAGCATTTTTTTCATAACCCTATACTAATTTTTATCGCCGACGGCGGTGCGTATGGAAAACGACAAATTTGCTTATAAAAGAATTTGAAAGTGAAGTGGATAGCTAAAGTGGGCTTGAAATCATATTCACTGCTTGATCATGGGTTTATTCTACGATTGTTATCTCGTTTTGCTAAATGTTAGGCTTTTTTATCTACATGTATTCCATTGAATGCCTATAACTAAACAGTTTGTGAAGATGAAGAGACTATTATATTATCCTAAGTTGCATAAGTTTGATGTCGGGGAGAATACTTCAATCATTTCATAAAGTTTATGTTACAAAGTTTTATTTAGTTTAGTTACGGAAGTCTCCGCCGATAAAAGAATTTTTTTTTTTGGATTCTAAAAACTGTAAGGTTTAAACTAAACGGAGTATTTTTAGCAAAAGTTAAAAATATTACTATTTAATAGTACTATTTTAGATGTTGATGATAATACTTTGGCGATCTCATATTAATGAATTTACTATACTTGATATACAAATACAAAATTATCATCGTTTACATACAATAGATAGAACATATATTTCATATATATAAAAAGTAATATATTAAATTACTAAAAAACCTATTCTACCTAGATAAAAGAAAACTGGCAGTTATGCCGTGCGCCTTGGTGGTGGGCGCACTGACTCCAATTGGGGATCTCCATCAGCCAACGGTTCTTCTGCAAGTGGAGTGACTGTGTCCGCCATAAAGTTTCGTCCATTATATCGCCCTGATATCTCCACCATATCACCTCTTTCCAGTGGGGAGTCAAACTCGATCATAGGGCACTTGACTGGTACGCGATGCAGACCAAAGACTATGGAGAAGTTGAGCGTTCCTTTGAAATTGAACGGCAGGCTTTGGATGAATCCCCGGGTGACTGTAATAGGTCGTTGTTAATCGATAATATTTAAAATGCTTACCAACTTTGCCTTCGACTTGATAGCTTTCTGCTAACGGCACAAAAGTACCGGCTTCGTCATCAATCAAAGTCCCAAGGTCCTGGATTTGGGTGGCCTCGTGGACCGTTAACTCGAATCCCAGTGTTAGATCCCCATAGCGTTTGGAAGAAGATTTGGTCACTGGGCCGATCTAAATCATAAAAATTAAAAAAATGTACTTCCTCACCTTATAAAAATGATCTGGTTTGAACGTTCCCGCCACCGTTTCAGCCAAAGAGCGCCATCCGCATATCTGTAAGGATTTTCCGTCCCCAGTTTGGAATCGGCAGTTTGAGATGGGGATTCCATCCTTCACTCTTCTCACCCCGCCAACTTGAGTGCACAGCAATTTGACGGAACTGAAAAATGGTAGAATACAGTACACCACCTACTGTAAATTCTGATACAATTACAATTAACTTTCTATCCTAATCTAACTGCTACACGCGAATACAGAGTACAACTTCAACTTCGCTCTGGTATACTATCAGAAACTTACACAGTACAGTCATCATACTCATACTGTTCCAGATCCTGTGAAGACGTGCCGTCCAAGGAAACCATGCTCGGGATCAGATGCGCTCAAACGAAGGGAACCGAATGAGGATTTGTGGGGTTTTGGCAACTTTTATACCCCAGGTCTACGTGGAAAGAAGCAATTTATTCAAATTTATATTATGTTTAGTTTTTTATTGAAATTTTTTTTATGGATTTATTCAAATTATCCAAGTTTTCCGGTGATTTCTTTGTTTTTGCAATCCGACACGTCACTATGCTTTTCCATCGTATAAGATGTCAACTCTGATTTTGAAAATTTGAAGAAATGATTTCATTGTATTACCCCTACCATTTTAAGAATTTGCAGATTTTCCATCGCCTAAGATGTCACCTCTCATTTTGAAAATTCGAAGAAATGTATTCAGGTCGTTTATGCGTCTGGAAACTAAATTCGCAACATCCGGCTGACGAATCGTTAGAATTTCCTGTTGTAAGAAAGTTAGCTTACTTCCAATCGTCCCCGCAGAATCACCTATCAGCTCAAGAAAATTTCTATCGTATTAGATGTCAACTCTCACTTTGAAAATTTGAAGAAATCATACAATTGTATTAGTCATCTTTCAATAATTTGAAGAAATTTTTCATCGTATAAGATGTCAACTGTCATTTTTAAATTTCGAAGAATTCAAGCCGTCTATGCTCCTGGAAACTTAATTTGTAACATCTATCTGCCAAATCCATCGTTAGAATTTCCTGTTCTAAGGAAATGTTAGGTGATTTCCAATCGTACCCGTAGAATCCTCATGGCTCTTCTAGCTGCCCGCAAAGTTGTTGTCCCCAAGTCTACGCCCGCCATTTTTTCAGAGACTTCAGACAACTTCTGAAGGTCAGACAGTATTTAAGACATACTTTGGGGTCGTTTCGTCGTGTAAGATCACACCTCTCATTTTAAATATTGGAGGAAAATTTTCCATTGTATGAGATGTCACCTCTCATTTTCAGTCTACATCGAGCTTTTGAGTGTTTTACGGGATGTTATGCCGAGGTTAAATACAGGAAATTTATGTTTCGAGGACGATAAGTTCTGTGAGGACCCGAAATCTCAATAAATATTCTACAGCTGTGGACCTGACCCAGATGCAAAAAAACGTACCACTTTGCATCCACGAAGGAACCAAAATGCCGCAAAATACCTCCTTTCCTCAATTGTAAGAAAAAACACCGCTTTGAAAAGCAAATGAAAAACAGTCATTTCCTTCAAAAAGAGAGCAGCCGCAAAAATGCATCCCAAAAAATATTTGAATCAAAAGCGCGCCCACCCCTTTTGTGAGAGAATGGGCGCGCAGTTCAAAACGGAGTTTTTTATTTGGAGAGGGAGGCATTTTGCCACGCGTTTGATCGGAGCTTTTTTCACTTGGAGAGGGAGGTGTTTTGCTACATTTCTTGATACTTCCCAGATGCATAATGATACATTTTTTGCCACTGGTCAGGTCCCTTACTGTAGGTTGTCCCATAAATAATGTCCCTCTTCGAGAGGGGCAAAGTCAAAGGTCTATAAAAAAGATAAGCAACAACCAAATTTTGCAGTTTTAAACCAAATATCAACGCTATGTTCGGCCAGTGTGTTGTGAGTGTGATCACGGTGAAACGATGGTTCAAAAAAAAAATTCTACCTTTTAATTTATTTCACTAATCACTTATAAAAATCATGGGGTGAATCAGTATGGATTCTATTGTCCAGTCAATGCAACATCCTTCCATCGCTTGCTAATAGTTCTTTGATCCTTTTTATCATGGGGCGCCCGCACAGGTGTGTGTAGGAGGTGTCCATTCCAATAACATCCCTTCGTTTCGAATTGATCAACATTGAACTCGAAATCCAACACGATTGATGGCTCATTCCAACTTATTGCCCACCTAAAATACAAAAAAATTAGAACTACAAAAACGAATAATAATACCTTAGCATATCCGAAGTTGATATTGATGGCCTTAGCATATCCAATTCCATTGCGAACTGGAGGGAAGCGAGTATGACCTTTACCTTCAACTCTCCTCACATGCTCCTTCAGCAATCCCACCGTTTTTGGAGCTATAACACAACTATCAGTCTTGAAATTCTCTCCAACTTTGTAGAACAACGCCTTTTTCTTCAAGGGTTGTTCCATCACTTCAGCACCTCCATCCTCTTCCTTCTTAACGCCTGAAAGTAAAAATGTTTTATTTTTAAAGCCAAAGCAAAACATTAGGAAGCAACTCAATATCAAACAAATCAAAGAACTAAAAGGTTTTAAACTATTAAAACTTACTATGAATTGCAAGCCATTGGAATACGCGATGGCATCGCGTATTCCATTTTCGCTGACCGCAATGCTGACTTCTCAGACCTGAAGACGTCGCCGCCTTGCATGTAGGCAGACGGAGAAGAGATGGATACTCCCAACTTATTCCCCACCTAAAATACAAAAAAAAATAAGAGTGTAAAAACTTACTGATCGAAATAGAATCGAGACACACATTTCCATGTCATAATTAGAATTAAAGTTACTGAAAAAAAAACTCTCAAAATTTCCAATATTTTTGTGACACTTCGAAAATTCTACGAAATGACACGAAAATTAATTGTTTTGAAAAAATATTTCAAAAATATTATTATCGGTAAGATTTACTTTATAGCGTAACTATTTATTTAGTTTTAAATGTTCTTTTAACCCAGAATAACTCGAATATTTTTTACATTATGTTTTTGGCATATCCAAGTGAACAGATTAGGGAACAGTAGTAAATATGCCGTGATTTTTTGCATGCTGTTTGATAAGAATGTGTCACTGTTGACTTCCAAGTTTCGTGCGATTTTTAGTTATTATAAGTCGGTTAGACCACGGCAAAGATAGTAATTGTTGAATATTTAAGCTTTCTATATCTTTCAAACGGTAAAAACTGCAGAAATTATTTTAGGTGGTGCAGATAGAGTTCTATTCCGTCCTTCTTATTTACTGTTCATCCAATAACCTGATGTCCTCAAAACTGAGAGTAAGAGGCGATAATATTTGTTGGACCGTCTTTTTGTAACGAAGTGTTCATAAATTTCAATGAATAATGGTGACGGTTAGCTAAAAAAGTGGTTTTCAATTCGGATTAATTGTTGTGTTCTGGATGTCAAATTGAACTTTTTTGAAAACTTTTTGTTGATTTATGTGGAAAGAAATTTTTTTTAAGACTTTCTGTTAGATTCAACAGTAGCAGAAACCTTTCTTACTATGTATTGTCTTATATTACCTACAATACGTTTTTGTAGACAATGTTAATAACACTATCTTCTTTGTCCTCCTCGTTCTGAATTCTGATACTCTCCCAATTTTGAACCCGTGAAATAGCTACATAAAGCTGACCGTGGGTGAATACTTGTCTTTTATTCAATTTGAGTCCTATTTTTTCGAAGGTTTGGCCTTGCGACTTATTTATTGTCATTGCAAAGGCCAGTCTAATGGGGAACTGGTCCCGGTAGAATGGTATGATTAAATTTTTGGAACTCTCTAGTGTTATCCTGGGCAGAAACACAACTTTACCGGTTTTTTCTCCCATTAAACACTCACATTTTAATACGTTTGGCTTCATATCTAATACTCTAAGTCTTGTTCCGTTACATAGGCCTTCTTTTAAGTCAAGATTTCGAACAACCATCACAACAGCGTTCTTTTTTAATTTTAATTCAGCCTTTGGGAAATTAGCTTCTCCTAGTGAATTCAAAATCTCGGTCATATACCTGTATCTCTCGTTGTTTTCTTCTTTAATTTCGTCTCTGCTAAAATATACATGTTCATCACCGGAAACAATTTTTAATGCTTCGTCATTCAACTCATCCACTTCTACGTTTAAAGGCGCGAGTATGCTGCGATTAGTAAGAGTATGTTTATTTAGGTCGTCGATTGTATTTCCAAACACCTCGGTGATAAGGCTATGTTTTATTATGCACTTGACTGGCAACTTTATTTCATCTTTTTCGTTGTTAACTTTTCCTTCACCGATATCTAATATCTCTTTAGCAAACTGTAAATTTCCTTCTCCCGCACGCATGTTTTTTGATAATTTGAAGGTTTTGAATTCACTCCATAAACTGCTGCCTTTAATAGTCAACATAACTGTTTGTTGTGGAGTTGCGTTTTCTTTTATTGGTAAAATTTGCCGAAAATCACCGCCAAGAAGCATGAGCTTTCCGCCGAATGGAATTTTGTTTCCAGTGAGGTCTTGCAAGGATCTGTCGATCGCTTCTAACATGTGCTTACTAATCATTGAGGCCTCATCTATTATAAACGCTGAAGCATTTATGATGTCCGAGCCAGCTTTAGAATCTTTTCTGATTTTCGTTACGGTTTCATGGTTAATGTCTAGCCCGAATTTGAAAGTGGTGTGAACTGTATTCCCTTCTGGAAGTAATGTTGCCGCAATGCCAGTAAATGCCATACACAAAACCTGCTTACTCTGGCCTTTCATAATGTTGTAAATTGTTTTATAAACAAAGGTTTTCCCAGTCCCACCCGGTCCGTCAAGGAATATGCATTTTGAACCCTCTCTTTGGTCATCCACTAATTTCAAAATGCTTTGAATTGCGTTTTTTTGGTCGGTATTGCACAGTTTCAGCATGCTTTCACCCTGGGTTTTAAATTCCGAATTCTTGCTATCTAATTCAATTTCAAGCTCTAGAGTTGCCAACTGTTCGTCACTAATTTCGGCAGCATTTTCCATTTGAAAATTTATGAAGCTACTTCCGTTCCTTTTTAGAATTTTTTCAATCAGTTTGTAAGCGATTTCGTAGCCTTGAGGATCACCGAATTTTCTTAGGCAATCTTCAGACAGATCCTTTCTGAATTTCAGATACAACTCATTTGGCATGACTGGGGAACAGTGTATCAAGAGCATTGAGAACATGAATCTTAATTGTTTTGGCATTTTGAAGAATGAGGCTTCTGACATTGCATTGACATAGTCCTCATCGTCTTTAATGAACCCGCGGGCCAAGCATGCACCCTTATAAGTAGAATGTAAAACCCCGTTTACTGTTTTCAAATCCGCGAACGATTTTGGTCCTCTTATTCGGATCAAAAGGAGTCTAAGGTGAAATACTTCGGAATTTTTCGGATTGATATTATATATTCTGCCAACCGTTTTAAAATGTGATAGTCTTTTTTTCCATTTCATACCCTTCCGATCCCAAGTATAGTTCTTTGAAACTTCCGAATACAAAAGATTTGTGTTTTCTTGTTGGTTTAACTCAAAGAATGCCATCAATTTTGATTTTTTTTCTCTTTTTAACGACTCAATGCGTTCCTTAGTGTCAGTTTTTTTGAAAAATACAAATTGTTTTCCTTCATCATGTATTTCTAAGCGCTCTACAGTATGGCTTTTGACAATAATCTCATACCCCAATGTACGCCATACCGCTTCTGGCGCGCTTAAATACCTACACTCTACGTATCTCTGAATTTCATCATAGACTAATTGCTTGCCTGAACCATCTCGTGACACTTTCTCAACCAAGGCCTGATCTACCCCCTTAAAAACGTACTTATGCAAATACTTAACCACTTCAATATCAGCAACATGCTCTACATTTATATGGCAATTAAATTTCAGTGAGATTTGAGGTGTATATGACACTACGTGCCTGTTATCCAAGATTTGGCCGTCTGGAGAAGTGTATTTAACATTATTGTCACGTCTCCTGTAGTTTGCATAACCTCCAGTTTTTACCTGCGTCTCTTCAAGAAAAGCCTTAGGAAAATGTTTGCTGCATTTTTCAGAGTGTTCAATGCAAGGAAACTTTTTATAAACTGCACCATTTTGCTTCAGCTTCTTGCATTGATGCATGTTATTTTTAACAATAATGTTGTATAATTGGTGTTCAGACTCTTTATCGGGTATTTCCGCTCTGATAACTCTGTCAATGACCTCCTTAGTATCTAATTTGGTAGAGTTATCAAGTATTATTAAAAGATGTAAATGAGGTAAACCTCTTTTTTGAAACTCTATAGATCCGGTATACGCTTTTACTTTTCCATATATTTCGCTTTTCATTATGTACTCAATCATTGATTTATATTTTAGTCTAAAGACTCTAGCCACCAAGTCGGGTCTATCAGAAGCGACTTGACCTTCCTTGAGATTTTCACTAATTTCTTGCCAATTTGGATTACATGTCATGGTAATGAAAAGGTCGGGTTTTCCGTAAGTTTTCGTCAATGTTAATGCGTCATCGTAAGCATTTGACATGTAACGCGGAGATCCGATATAACTCGATGGAAGAACGAATTTTTTGCCTATATCCAACCCGGTCTCTGCTGATTTTTCATTTAAGTATTCCTCAAGGTAGTCATAATTTTCAGCAAGATGTTCGCTAACATTATTTTTGATATAGTCTAATCGATCTCTATCAATATTGATATACTGAGTCACAATCCACTCCTGGAAGCTCTTTCCGCCGTACAGAATGGGGCAGAATGGCGAGTCAGACTCATCTCTGTCATATAGCTTGTATTTTACGTACTCTGCGCAAGTTATTTTTTTATTGTCACATTTGTAATCGGGGTGCCATCCCAACTGACCGGTCGGATAGAAGAGTGTGAAAAGTAAAGGTTCTGCGCTTTGATGAGTTTGTTTTAGTGTAATTAATTTTTTTCCATGTTCGTTTACACAAATCTCGTATCTGGGCACTTCGCCGTCTACGCCTTGCTCGAAAAGAACCGCAACTTCATTAACTCTTGGTGGATTAAACCGTCTTTTATCCAAATGATCTTTCAAACAAAACAGCAATTTAAATTCCGGCAATGGCACATTATTTTGTATTAAATTTGCAGCGGCCTTTTCCTCCTCCTCTTTTAGCATTATGTACGATTTGGCGAACGGGTTATGTTCACGAATAATTTTGTCTAAATCCGTTAAAAGATCTATATTTAATTGGTCCATTATCTTAGTCCTAATGCCGTTTGCTTTATCAGCTTCGATCATAAACAATTGTCCATAGGTTGCCTTTTGTTCTGGATCTGGATGAGCTGAGGTGTTAAATTTTTTAAGAAAATCGCCATGTTGCCGATATGTATATGGGCCTCCGCCTTTAAACGTTATTTCAGTCGTTAATATGCTTCCAAAAGACAAAGCTCTCATGTAGCCCCTGATATTTTCTTTGAAATCTTTTGAAACCTTATCCCCATTTTTAAATAACTGTTTTAGATCCTCGGGAAAGTCATTCTGCGGTGGTATATTCACTTTGCCCTTTTCACAGCAAGAACTGAACTGAAATTCGTTATGCGTTTCGACCCCAAAATGTTTAGCATTACATTTTTTACATTTCACGTCTAAACTACCTATGTAATGAGCGGAAATACTGCCGAGGTCTGTTGAATATTCTGGATTATTCAGATTTCTTTCAACCTGGCGAGCTTGAGCGGCATTAAGGCGAGCTTGTCGTTGTTCTGAACTCTCTAAACCACGATTTTCGCGCATTTTTTTATTTCGAATTGTCATCCGTGCTAGTTTCTCTACCTCGGTGAGGTTGTCAGTTGCTCTACGGCGCGATGCTGCATTATTCAACAACCGATTACGATTACTCTCAGGAGTTTCCGCAGTAATTGCCTCCTCGTGTCGAATACGGTCATTTTCTAATCTGATTTCATACTCCTCAACTGATTCGTTTTCCCTTTTTTCAGCATGCGCGACACGGTCTTGTTCTCGACGTTCTTCTACTTGCGCTACACTTTCCAAAGCTCTCTTTCTTGCCTTTCTTTCCCTATCTTTTTTCAATCTTTCACTGCGTTGCTCATCCGTTTCATTTTGTCTAGCGCGCGCTTTTCGTTCTTTTTCTTGCTTAGACTTTTCGTTTTCTGCGATATTTTGCTCATGACTTTGGTTTGATGGTCCTGGTTCGTTAATTGTACGCTGATTTGCACGTCTGGATCGTTGCTGCTCAGTCTTTCTCTTCTTTCTAGCCTCAAGAGTTAAACGTTCCTCAGAATCACTTCTTTTAATCCTTTTACCGGCCATTTCGAAGATAACAAATCAAGAGAAAAATCGACAACACAGTTTATTAGCAGAAATCGAAATACAGAAAAAAGATACAGAAAGATACAGCAAGTTTCCTTAAAGCAAGTTTCCTTAAAGCAATTTTCCTTAAAGCAAAGTCCTTTTTTCAAAATCCTTATTTTCCTGTCCTTATTACTCTTTTCCTTTATGCCTTTCCTGTGCTCCTTTTCCTTGTCCTTTTCCTTTATCCTTTTCCTTTTCCTTTATCCTTGTCCTTTTCCTTTACTTTTATCCTTTTCCTTTATCCTTATGGCCTTAGCTACGAATACCCGCTGCCAAACTCAACTTTCGCTGGAATGACAGGGGTGGAACCGCGATCAAAGAATCACGGACTCGACCGTTCGCTTCAGTCGAATTTTGCCAAAGTGATTTTTTGTAATTGAAAATTAAATGTTGATTTTTTTCAATCAATTTGAATTTTCCCACGAATTTCCGAAATTGACCGATTTTTGAGCTCGAATTTTTTCAAAATGAGAATCATTTGGCTTCACTCCGACCGGACAGACAGACAGATAATGACACATTCTTCTGCATTCAGAAGGGGATTCTAGCTCGCGCTTTGCAGAAACAGCCGAGATTTTTAGACGGAAGGTGATATTAGAAAATTTTTGCCGAAGTTCGGCACGAAAAGTTTCATACCTATTACTTAGTCTATTCCCGACGTGTGTGCAAAATTTGAAGAAAATCTGTGCGTCGCACTTGGGGTACTTGCCTTGTAAGTTTAAGGCAAGTTTCATTAAAATCTGAGCGTCAAATCTGTGAATCCAAAAAATTTTTTTCAGCCACGAGCTCTTCGACTGACCCGGCGGACAAGGACGGCGACAAATGACCGAATTTTATTACTTTAATAAGTTTTATTCCTAAATTTCAGATCTAAACGTATCATGCTAACGTGCCAACAGTTAAGAGTGATTTATTAACATTTTATTGTCAGAAAAAAAGTATAAAAAAAATATAAGCCAATGAAGATTGAAAGTTTACGATCGTAAATAGTTTGCAGGCTCAGCCGGGATATTCAACAATCTTTGCAAACGAAAAACCATGGAGAATGAGGAGGGACGGTCGGAAAACCTTTTGGCAAGGGTATCTTTATGTAGAAATTGAAACTTTTTGGAAAACTTTAGTCATATATTAACCTACAGTGGAGGATCTGATCCGGAGTCAAAAAACCGACCATTTTGCATCCGAGAGGCATCAAAAACGCAGCAAAATACCTCCCTCTCCAAGAGAAAAAACTCCGATTTCAAAGGCACGCTCTTTTTGTGAGGGAAATGCTCTTCAAAACAGAGTATTTTTAGTTGGAGAGGGAGGCATTTTACCACATTTTTTGATGCTTCCCGGATGCAAAATGGTACGTTTTTTGCTTCTGGATCAGGTCCGCCGCTGTAACGGGCCTCGCCGGACCGAGCGGATTGCCCAACCGTCTGGAGAAAAATTTGAAACGGACCGGCCCAACCCGCGAGCCATGTCTGCTTTCTCCTCAATCTCTATGGTCTCTGGCCCTAAAAGACCGGTGAATACCCCGGCCCAAATTACAAAGCGCTGATTATGATGTAATATTTCAAAATTTGTTCAATGCGAATTCAAAATTCCTTTTGGTGCACCACTTTCTTCATTTCCGGCGATTCATGAGCGACATCTAAAGTTACGGGGACTCCTAGTCCTATGGAAAAAGCGGCCGCTTGGGGCGCTTTGTAGAAGAATTCCCAATCGAATTGAAGAATGTGAGCTGGGACCTCACCGGCCTTCACAATTTTCCCAATTATGGAACGAGATAAATTCGAGCCCCCAATGGACTTGGCCAAACCTTTTTTGTAGACCTCTTCCATGGCCTTCCAGGTGTGTTCGGGGCGAGCTCCGTAGGTTATCGGTTTCTGGAATCGGGAAGATAAACAATTTAGAAGGAAAATACAGTACACCACACGAGATATTCAACGATCCGGTGCACATAGAGTAACATCATCCACTTACAACTGCCTCTTTCGGCTGATGAGTCACATATAAGTCAACGTAGTCCGTTCGCAACGCCTTCAACTTCTCCAGTAACGTTTTCTCGACGTCTTCGGGTCGGACTTGTAAGAACCAAAACTAAAATATGGGAAATATACAGCTACCAAACGGCGAGGTTTCGAAAGTATTCGTCTGTCGGGGAAATAATGTGGATTCGCCTTTGAATTGCTCGACATCACTTTCTAGCCGCCGCTGTAAATTTGCGACGAGGCAGGCATTTTTTGCGACAAATCCACGTTATTTTTCCGACAAACCGATAATACAATTTTTTTGTCCAAACTTACTCTCGTGGTGATAAACACATCTTTCCGGCTCAACTTTCCAGTTTCAAAATACGCTTCCAAGGCTTTCCCGATATCTTCTTCATTTTTGGAAATGGACGCTGTATCAATTAGGGTGTAGCCGGCATCCAACGCAGCATGAATCGCGTTGAGGCATTCTTCGGGACTCGACTAAAAATGATGTATTGATAACAATTTTGTCTTTTTTCTCGGTGAACTTGATATTTTTTGGGATTTTGACCATCTTAATCAAGCATTGAGTACATTTCCGGGGGGTTTTTTGGGCAAAAACCTTGACCTAGGTCACAACCTAGGTCGCGAGCTAGAAAAGTTCCAAAAAAATGAACACGATTCCCGAAATCAGCACCCTCGAAAACCCATAAATCAAGTTTTTTCCGAAAAAAACAAAAAATTTTCACCACGGGGTCGCTTTGCCCCATTTTGGGCCGCAATCCATGGAATTCGTCGCCAAACGCACGGTGCACTTCCTCCCTTCGCACAGTGCAAACCTCAAAAAAAAACCCGTTTGCACTGTGCAAATTTTTGGCGCCGTCGCAGCGACACGGTTGCTTTTGTCGCAGCGATATTTCGATGCACAGTGCGAAAACAAAAAAAGAGAAGCGCACGGTGCAAAAAACAGGACGTCTGGGTGCACGGTGCGGACAGCGAGGAAATATAAGTCTGTCGGGAAAATAATGTGGATGCGCTTTCGAATCTGTCAAAAGGCCCGACAACCCAGTAACGAGACGAGACGCTCAAGAGTCAAGTGATTTATTCGGTGGAAAGGAGGCCCTTTTATAGGGAAACCCCATGTAGGAAAGTACAATCAAATTTGAATAAATGTAGATCGTTCCTCGTGGGGAAATCCTGGAAGCTCGGTCGTTCCGCCTCACAGAATCCACCCATCATCGCTTTGCGGCGACTATAGTTGGAGATTGGGCGCGCGACATGGCGAAAAATTTTGCCGCCACAAATCCACATTATTTTCCCGACAGACTGCGAAATGATCGCTTTTTGATATGGCTCATAAAAAATGTTGCGTAAGAGCGATTACCTGTAAGGCGCCAAGTCCAACCGTCGGCATTTCCACTCCATTATACAGTGTTATAGTCGTCATTGTCACTTCAAGGTGATGTCACTTTTAGACGACAGAGGAAATACTGAAATTACCCAAAATGCGACGCTCAGATTTTGATGAAACTTGGCACAAATTTAGAGCAAACTTTTCTGACAGGTATGCGAAATTTCTAGCCCGCGCTTTGCAGAAACAACCAAACCGCGAGCTAAAATTTTCAGGCATTGAGACATGGCCTTTGTTCAAAATGAGCGCAAAATTTAAATAAAATCTGAGTGTCGCACTTGGAATACGTCCCTTGAGAAAATCGCTGAAAATTATTGCACGAAAAACAAGGAAAATTGAAGGAAAACAACTTTGAAATACGTTTGGAAAAGAGTCCTTTACTTTTTATTTGCGTATTTTTCTGTTTTCTCGCACAACAACACAACAATAAATCCCAATTGAAAAGCACTTTTTTGATCGATATGTTTTCGATGGTGCTGATTGCGAAAATCGTATCCATGTTTTTCTGAACTTTACGACTTTAATGTTTGGTTTTAAAGACAAAAAAGCGTCAGAAGTTTTCTCACAAGACCATACAAGTTTGACCAAGTTTTCACCAATTAAAACATTTATTTTGAAGAATTGAAGATTAAGGCAAAAATTTAGAAAAAATGGATACGATTTTTGAAACCAGCGCCATCGAAAACCCCTAAATCCACCATTCAACAAAAAAAATTTTAAAAAATACTACTTAACACTACTGCTTCAGCAAAATTGTAAAATTTTAAAAAAATAAATACAATTTTCGAAATCAGCACCATCGAAAACCCCTAAATCCACTATTCTTGCAAAGCGCGAGTAAAAAGCGAGCTAAAACTTTCAGGAATTCATATTTATTTACAAGAGGGGTACTCCAAGTGTGATGAAACTTGGCACAAATTTAGAATAATTTGCTCTAAAATATATGCGAGAATCCTAGCTCGCGCTTTGCAGAAACAACCGAGATTTTTAGGTCAAAAGTCGGCGAAAGGTTGACACTTTTTGCCGAATTTCGGCACGAAAAGTTTCATGTTTATTTCTACCATAAAAGGTAATGTCTCCACAAAAAATCAATTTTTTCCGCACGAAACTAGCAAAGTTATGGCCAAAAAGTGCTTTCCTTTCTGACCGTTCTCCGCGATCAGCATGCTCTCTCGGCGGCAAAGATGGTACAGTACCTCGGCAAAAATCGTTCGATATCTCGGCGGCGCCTGCAAAGCGCGAGCTAAAACTTTCAGGAATCGATATTTAGTTCATGCCCGACGTGTGTGCAAAATTTGAAGAAAATCTGAGCGTCGCACTTGGAGTACTTCCCCTGTTAGTTGGTGCCCAACGTGTGTGCAGAATTTAAAGAAAAAAAAATTTGACCACACCATTGTCAAAAAGATGGGTATCAAGATAGGTCAAACCGGATATTCATATGCCAATGTTGTTTATAATCTTACCTCTTCTTCTTCAACTTTGCACTGTGCAGTTTCTTACTTTTTGCACAGTGCAAATGGCTTTCTGGGCTGTTGCTCGCTAATGTGGATTTGTCGTACTACTACGTCTATCATTGCGCCAAAATTTTTTTATTTCAAAAATTACACATATAAAAGTGCAAAAATTTTGACGGATTGATTTGTCTCCACTTTGATATTATTTATTTTATTATAGTGTAAACCACACAAGTGGTTTTTTCAAAAGAAAATAGAAAACTTGAATGTTCCCTTCAAAAAAAATGAAACTGTAACAAGCTGTGCGGAGGAGCAACGACTACAAATTGAGATAACAATTTCCAAAAAGGGATGAGCAATTGTTTTACAATAGATTAGCCGTTTTTTGCAACTTAACAATTTAATTTAGTAACGGCGTGTAACAAATTCGATGACTGAAGGAAGAAAAAGTAAACCTCCAGCTTTGTGTATATAGTGGTTGTATCATCTAAAGTGCTTCTTACTTCAAGATTCTAGAATATTATATGGCTGTGTGTCATCTCTGTGGCGTAGTGGCCAATTTGCCATAGGGTTGGTCGAACAAATTGGGCTCTCTGGCAAAAATTTAGATCTATCAGTCGGTCGGGAATGAGTTCAGTGTCGCTGCGCCAATCGCATTGCTGGAGTGAGAAGAAATTTGATTCTGCCGCGACACAATTCATTTTCTCGGCGACAATGCAATTTTCGATAATATTTTCCCGACAGAGTGGTACGATCGCAGTTATTAGAAGCACTGTGAAATAACGTCCTCTGACATCTACAGGGTGGTTCAGCTAAGTTCGCGGATGTAAAATGCTTATAACTTTTTATAAGATTGTTCAATTTCTATGAACAACAGCTCATTTTATTCCTTAGTAGTTGACAGTTTGTTTAAAAAAAGATCATTAAAAATGATCAATCCTACGTCGAGTTGTGACCCTTCAAAGTCAAACATGCTTTTTCACGCAAATTTTTCAAAAATTCTGTACGTGTGTGATCGGAGTGTACTAGTCGTTCCATAAAGTTTGTAGACTTTTTGTCACAAAGCTTTTTGCACTGTATAATTCAAAAGCCGTCGCAACGTAAGCTTGTTTATGCAAGCTTTCTAGCTTACAGGAGAACTTCTTCTTTTTGGATCGGTCGTTGCGCTATATACTGAGAAGCAATTTGGTTTTGCCGCGAAACAATTCATTTTCTCGGCGGTGATGCAGTTTTCGTTTCGATGCGACAGAGCGCTCATTATTTTTCCGACAGAGAGATATTTATACATCCTATCAAGCAGCCGATTCTAATAATATTTTTTTATTGGTTTTTTTCGCACGTTGCGGCTTTGCTACAAAAGGAATACGCACTTTTAAAAAACCGCAGTAATCCTACATGTTCTTTGTCCCATATCACTCTCTACGTGTCTTCTCCCCGATTCGCAATCAATCATATTTTGCAAACCGACCGCTTGGGTGGTCGTAAAAGTGCAAACATACAGTAGTTCATCGATAAAAAAATTTTAGTGTTCTTCCCAGCGAACGCTGATGATAAATCTGGAACAGAGGCGTGATCGCGCGACGTTATCCATCAATCAGTGGCTTGTTATAAATTCTGGGCAGACTTTTGGTAGTCGAAACTGGCCGCATCATTTAAAACTCGGAAAAATTTTAACACACGCGCCTGAAAAGTCGGGGATTTTATCGGTTGTGTTTTGCAGCCTTTTTTTGAAAATGCATGGACAGTTTGTCGCGGTGCACTGCGCAATTTTGCTTTTTTCCGCACAGTGCGGGCCTGTCGAATATTTTGCACTGTGCATTTAGCCCCTTCTCCCGCACGGTGCGAGCTTTTCGAACACGGTGCATTTTGCCTCTATTCGTAACCATTTATTTTAACGAATTGAGGAAAATAGGTAAAAATTCGGAAGAAATGGATACAATTTTCAAAATCTGCATCACCGAAAACCCCTAAATCCATTACTCAAACAAGTTTTTTTTTAAATTGCTACTTAACACTACTGCTTAAGCAAAATTGTAAAATTGAGAAAAAATAGATACGATATTCGAAATCAGCGCCATCGAAAACCTTCTCGCACAGTGCGGGCTTTTCGAGCATTCTGCACTGTGCATTTTCACCCATCGCAGACTAGCTTGCAGCGGTGTTGTTGTTTTGCAAAGAAAAAAAGCTTTGCAAAAAGACATAACCAGTAAAAATTTATTGACCGTTTTTTGCTCATTTTTTCTCACTTTTTGTTTTCTTTTTACAATGTGAACTTTAAAAAGCAGTGTTTTTTTCAAAAACCTTTTGTTTTTTAGACTGTCGCTGCAGTTTATTTAATCCATGTGCTAAATTCTTAGCCTAGAATATGTCAAAGTTCCGTAGCTCTCATTTGCCGGCCAGGAAAACGGCCGTGGCCGAGCCAAGTGAGCCCAAGAAGCATCCGGTTGATGTGGTCAAAGCAAAGTCCTACAAGCCCCCCGCAACCATCAAAACCGTCACTTTCAAAGATGTGATAACCTATGCCTTGGCTGGTGGGTTTTCAGAAAGATTTTTTAAGGGACTGGCATTTATCTATCCTGTAACAACCATTGTAAAATTACCGGTCGTTGTCAAATTAACACCTCGATTCACAGGGAGGGTATTCCAAGTGCGATGCTCAGATTTCGATGAAACTTGGCATATTTTTTTTTTACATATATCATCACATTTTTTCGACGATATATTCGACACTCATAACTCGCCTTTTGCAAAAATTAACGAGATTTTTAGATCGAAAGTTGGCAAAAATCTGACACTTTTTTGCGAATTTTATCATAAAAAGAATCACGCCCATTTCTACCGTAGAAAGTAATGTCTATTCCGCACGAAACTGGTAAAGCTATGGCCAGAAACTGTTTTTCTCTCGGATTGCTCTCCGCGTTTCGCGTACCATTAGACGACGAAAAGGTCACTCGTCATGGGAACCATTGTGGCGCCAATTTTGGCCAGACAGAGTATCTTTGCCGGGCAACGTGATCAGGCGAAATTACAGGGCAAACTGCCAATTTTGACCAGGCAACTTGACCAGGCATCTGGCTTCTCTTGGCAATTTTGTGATGATTTTAGCCAGTCAGACCACCAGTTTCGACCGGGCAGAATTTTTTCCTTTTTCGTCCTATCCGGCTAATTTTTCAGAACAGATTTACCATCAATTTCTACAAAACAAAAACGCTTTCCAAATATCAATATACCACTCTACTTTCAGTCGGAGCAACCCCCGAAAATGGACTGCAATACATTTTTGAGAAGGACCCAAATTTCCAAGTTTTGCCCACCTACATTGCCCGCCATGCCGCCGTCTTTTCGCTGGACAAGACGCCGGGCGTCGAATGGGACTTGTTCAAGATCTTGCATGCCGAACAGTACATCGAGGTGTTCAAACCGATCCCGGCAGAGTGTAGAATACGGACGGAATGGAAAGTGTCGGAGGTCATCGACAAAGTCAAGGCAGCGATTGTTGTTAGGGAAGGTAAAAATATATATATTTTGTAAAATTAATATGAGTCTGTCGGGAAAATAATGAGCACAATGTCGCTTCAAAAATCGCATCGTGTCGCGACAAAATCAAACTTCTTTTTTCAGCGACGCGATTGGCGCAACGCCATTGCGCTCATTATTTTCCCGACAGACTGAAAAAAAATCTCGTTTCCAGTGACAATGTATGACGCGGATACGAATGAAAAGTTGAGCCATGGAATCTACAATATTATCCATTTGGGTGCCGGTGGCTTCAATGGACAAAAGATTAGCGTTGTTGATGTCCCATGCATCGCAGTCCCAAAAGAGCAGCCGGACTTGGTGTTTGAAGAGAAAACGACCAATACCACTGTAGGTTTAGAGCAGTACATATACAGGGTGTTTCAAGAAATTTGGAACAAATGATTTGCTTATATCTTTGTTGTCTTTGCAGCTATCAACGAATTTCTTTTTGCTTCTAAAAATTGACAGCGTGCGTTTTTAGAATCTCAAAAAAAAATTTTTTTTCGTCGGCGGAGGGCCCATTTCTCGGCGGAGAAAATTAGGGCCTTTTTTAAAAATCACAGCGTATTACGTAGCGGAAACGCCGTTGCAACGGTTGAAATCAAGTTTACGTAATACCTCCATCGATTTTACGGTATGCATTTTTTTGTTTTCGATTTTACGCGCACCGCGGAGGTGCGGCGGAGACTTCAGATTTCGGCGGACGTTGTTTTGGGCCTTCGGCTGTTGCAATTCATGTTGGAAACGAGGTTGGGGTGATTTTTTGTTGTCATCCGATACACAGATGGCAAAAATTTCGAGCTTTTTTTCCCCGGCGGAGGATTCGGCGGAGGCTTTATCAAAGGGTCAAAGCAGTCTTACGAGTCCAGGAAAAATCTCAGCTACAAGAATCCATCAGAGCAGCATTGTCTTTCAAAGATTTTTGATTTTTTTGGTCCGGCGGACAAATCGGCGGAGCTTTGTTTTGACCGTTTGATAAAGTCTCCGCCGACTCCTCCGCCGGGGATAAAAAGCACGAAATTTTTGCCATCTGTTGCATCGGATGACAACAAAAAATCACCCCAACCTCTTTTCCAACATGAATTGCAACAGCCGAAGGCCCAAAACAACGTCCGCCGAAATCTGAAGTCTCCGCCGCACCTCCGCGGTGCGCGTAAAATCGAAAACAAAAAAATGCATACCGTAAAATCGATGGAGGTATTACGTAAACTTGATTTCAACCGTTGCAACGGCGTTTCCGCTACGTAATACGCTGTGATTTTTAAAAAAGGCCCTAATTTTCTCCGCCGAGAAATGGGCCCTCCGCCGACGAAAAAAAATTTTTTTTTGAGATTCTAAAAACGCACGCTGTCAATTTTTAGAAGCAAAAAGAAATTCGTTGATAGCTGCAAAGACAACAAAGATATAAGCAAATTATTTGTTCCAAATTTCTTGAAACACCCTGTAGATTCACAGACACCGATAACCGGGGGGAAAAAGACGGAAATAAAATCATCTTTTGCTTTTTTGGCTAGCCAAGACCATAATTTTTGTCGGCCCATTTTCACAAAAACTTCATTTGTCGTCCATCTGGACTTGACATGTCTTTGAAATTTCATAACACAAAATTTACCAGTCTGTCGGGAAAATAATGTGGATTTGTCGCAGCAAAATCTCGCGCCTCGTCCTTATCGCTGATCAAATCTTCAGCTGGCCGTTGCAAAGCAATAACGGGCAATTCCAAGGCGCGACAAATCCACATTATTTTCCCGACCGCCTGATACAGTGGCGGACCTAATCCAGAACATACCATTTTGCATCCGGGAAGCATCAAAAAATGTAGCAAAATACCTCCCTTCCCAAGTGAAAACTTGGATTTCAAAAGCGCGGCCTTCAAAACGGCAAAATATCTCCCTTGGAGAGGGAGGTATTTTGCCACATTTGTTGTTCCTTTCTGGAGCAAAATGGTACGTTTTTTGCCACTGGATCAGGGGCCAATGCGCTATCTGAAAGTTTGCTAAAAATCATAGGGCGCAGCTCGGAGAAATTGCACGGGCGCAGCTCGCGTCGTGGGCGTAGCTCGAAAACAAGCTGAAACTTAGCTCCGGCGAGCTGCCAAACTTTGTTTTCCGAGCTGCGCCCTACCATTTTCAGCTAACTTTCAGCAAACTTTCAGACAACGCATTGGCCCCAGGTCCACAACTATAGATGTCGTTTTATGAAATTTCAAGTTTGTTTCATTGTAAATACAAATGGTTTTGTCTAACCAAAAAAGCGAAAAAATCGTCTTCTCCGAAACCCCTCACTTTTCAGGCCGCGTTGTACCGAATTGCCTCCGATGACTTGAACTACGTGCACATTGAGCCGGGCTTCGGCAAGCCCATGGGCCTGGACCGCCCCATTCTTCATGGACTGTGCGTATTGGGGATGGTGAGTCGATTGGTTATCGACAACTTTGGAAAGAAAGATGTCCGAAGTTTCAAAGCGATCAAGGCCCGATTTACAGCGACCGCTTATGTTGGGGAGACTTTAGTCATCGAATTTTGGAAGCGAAAGGATCGAGTTCATTTTCAAGTCAGAGTAAGTGATTTTTTAGATTTTTGATCGGTCTCGGTCGAAAAAAAGCTCTCCAAATCAGCTTGTCGGGAAAATAATGTGGACTTGTTTGGTATCATCTTGTCGGGAAAATAATGTGGACTTGTTTGGTATCATCTAGTCGGGAAAATAATGTGGACTTGTTTGGTTTCATCTTGTCGGGGAAATAATGTGGATTTATGTTACATCCGTCTGTCGGGAAAATAGTGTGGATTTGTCGCAGTAAAATGCCCTTGCCGCAGTTGGGCCCCAAATCCATAGCCGTCGAAGTTTAAGCGATAACCAGCGATTCCAAGGCGCGACAAATCCACATTATTTTCCCGACAGACTGATATCCATCTGTCTGGAAAATAATGAACGCAATGTCGCTGCGGTGAAAAGCAATTTGACTTGGCCGCGACACAATTCATTTTCTCGGCGGCGACGCGATTTTCGAAGCAACAGAATGTTCATTATTTTCCCGACAGACTGATAGTGCACAGAGGAAATTTTTCGATGGTATTTATCAATCGGACCCAAATTTCCAGACCTCTATGAGCTACTTTTTATGGTGAATATTTCGTGCAGTCGTGTCCGAGTGGTTAAGGAGATTGACTAGAAATCAATTGGGCTCTGCCCGCACAGGTTCGAATACTGTCGACTGCGGGTTAGATTTTTGGCTGTTATGAAGAAAAAAATGTTTTGCCAACTATATGATACGTACTTTTATATATAAAATTCCATTTTTTTACTTTCCTTTGCTAAAAATCCTATTCATTTTTCAGGTCAAAGAGACCGGCAAGTTGAACATCAGCAACGCTTTCGTCGATTTACATCCCGCCCCAACCCAATCAAAACTTTAATTGATATTTTCGTTGTGTTTTTCCCGACCGCTATCATAAACTATAGTGAAAAAAAGAGTATAAAAAAATGTTTTGCGAACAGACCACCTGCTTCGGGAAAGTGTAAAAAGTAATTGATAAGGGAGAGAAGTGGGTGAGCAAAATGCCGATTAACTTGGAAGTGGCGAAAAAATATAGATCCCCGGCCGTGTTCAAGGAGTACAGCGAGCATCATGGGGTCTTGTTTGCATTGGCATGTAAGTTTCCCCAAATCCAACAAGAGTAGTTCTTCAAATTAGTTACCCAATGTTCAGGCTCTAAAATCAGTTTGTCGGGAAAATATTGAGCATTCTGTCGCATCGAAAATCGTATCGCCGTCAAGAAAATGAATTGTTTCACGGCAAAATCAATCTTTTTCAATTCAGCGGCGCAATTTTCGATTGCGAAAAGATGCTCATTATTTTCCCGACAGACGGATATCAGCCCGTCGGGAAAATAATGTGGATTTGTCGAGTCTTGGAATTGTCGCGACAGCTATGAATTTGGTGCCCAACCACGCAAGAACATTTTGCCGCGACAAATCCACATTATTTTCCAGACAGGCTAATACCAAACAAATCCACGTTATTTTACCGTGCAAAGCAAACTTTCGTCCTTTTTCGCATGTCACCGAAATCACCCAGCGACTTTACTAACGGAGTATCACCTCCGTTTTCGCTTTGTGGCTAGCCAAAGCCATACCTCGCTAGCCCATCCTGCCAAAAATTTTCTTTATCGTCTGTTTCGACCCGATACGCGCTTAGTTGACTGACCCAACCTCTGAAACGCTTATTATCAGTTTGTCTGGAAAATAATGTGATTTAGCCTAGAAAAATGTCTCACGTCGTCGAAATCGCGCACCAAATTTAACCGTCGCCAAGCAAAAAATCATCGCGGTCGCGAACAAGACCTTCAGCCAATTCAAAGCGAAAATTTTTAAATCCACATTATTTTCCCGACAGACTGAAGTACTCCCAACAAAGCTAGTAAGGCATCCACTGCTATTTTCAGGCAACGCCAGCGCAAAGACGCACCTCAGCTTGCTGTACGAGGAGCACAGAGACTTTCAGATCTCTCCGATCTTCTTGGTCGCTCTTGGAATGCAATCCTTTTCGTTGGATAAAACGCCAGGTAAAATACGACCTTTTGAACTTCATTTGGATGTAAAATAAAGTAGATAAAACGTAAAATAAAATAGCTGTGAATAAACTTTGTTTTAGGTGTCGAATGCGACCTAGACGACCTTCTTCATCTCGATCAATACTTGGAAGTCATCGACGAAATTCCCAAGTCCACCACGCTTCGACAGGACGTTAGAATAGTGGATGTGTTGGACAAGAAAAATGCTGCGGTCATCATACGAAATAGTAAGTGTAAAATACGGTTGAAGTCACCCCATCCTCTTTTTATAGTTGAAAGCTATGATGACAAGACGAACAAAAAATTGGCATACATGCAATTCGCGATATATCAGAAGAATGGAGGGGGATTCGGTGGAAACCCGACTAGTCCCGTGGAAATTCCATTAGAAAGAATCAACAAAAAGTTGGAGATCGACAAGGTTTTTGAGATTCAAACTTCGGTCAACCAGGCAAGTGAGGCAAATCAAAAAACCAAAAAATCTGTTTATCGCTTCCGTTTACTATGAGTACGCCAAACGCGGAGAGTGGTCACAGAGAAAGGATTTTTTAGCCGTATCTTGGCCATTTTCATGCGGAAATTTTTTTTTGATTTTTTGCAGAAACTACCTTCTATGGTAAAAATAGCCATGAAAATTTCCGTACTCAAGTTTGCAAACACTGCCTTTAGGTCGATTTTTCCCAACTTTCGACCTAGAAAATCTCGGTAGTTTCTGGAAAACGCGGGCTATGAGTCTCGCATATGGCCCACAAAGAACCTACAGGGTCTTTTAAGAAATGTGAAGGAAAATCGGAGGCTATAACCTCCGGCGGAGGCGGCGCAGAGATTCATTTTTAAAATACGTATTTTTAAATACGTATTTTTAAGCGACATTAGTTTTTACCTATGAAACAACAAGATTTTAAAGTAAAAATTGAGGTCTCTCCGGCCTTTTGAAGTAGTCTCCGACTTTCCTTCACGTTTTTTGAAAGACCCTGTATTCTAGATTTGAGTCAATTTTAACCAAAATCTGAACCTCACACTTGAGGTCTTATAATTCGCTGGCGCAGATACTCTGTCAAATTTAGCATTTTGATTGGTCAGAATGGGCATGCTTAGCGGTCAGAATGGTCATGGTGGTTCACACAAGTGTATCGTGTTGACCGACCAGCATGACCGCCATGATCGACAACTCGGCAATATGGCCCATTTTGCCACACATCCCAAATTTTGCTTACAAATGCCGCAAAAATAAAAAATAGTTGACCGTGCTTCTACACCCATCTCACCGTCATGCAGTTATTCTCGACCCGGCATCCAAACCTCTATCATTTCAGGCCGCGATATTCCGTCAATGCAACGGCTGCAAGTTCCCACTCCATATTGACCCTACAGTAGCCAAAGAAAAGGGTTTTCCAGACCCGCTGCTTCATGGCATTTGCACTCTTGGTATTTCCGTTCAAGCCATTATTGATCACTATGCAAAAGGTGATTGGAGAATGCTAAAGTCGCTGAAATGTCGGTTCAGCGCTCCGGTTTATCCGGGCGACCAATTGGAGGTCAAAGTTTACCGAGATGAGGGCAAATTGCGATTCGAAACTATGGTAAAGTTTTATCGCCTTATGTAAAAATCAATGTCGCTCTGTTTCAGAACCTCACCACCAATCGAACCGCGATTTCTTCAGCGTATGTGGTACTCAAGGAGAGCCATAAATTGTGAAAATAAAACAAAATTCTGAGATCTCCTATTCACATAATCTTTATTAAATTCTTGAGATCGGAGATTTGACAAAAGAAGAAATAAAACCACGAAAAAATAGTCATTGATTTGAATGTGATATAATAATAAAAGTAATCGTTTTGTAATCAAATCCAAGGATGGGAGAAACGAAGACTGCGGACGACCGGAGGAGAATATCTATTATTAGGCCCAAAAAAAAAGAGTGTCGCGATAACAAACAAATGAGAGTGTGCGGCCAAGTCAGGGTGCTGTGTCATGGCCAGACAGAACATATATCAAGTTTTTTTCCGTTTGAACCCGATGTGCATGTAGAACGTGAGAATTGAAACTTGTGTTCGGAAAAAAATAAATTAAGAGTTTTTTCTTTTTGAAGATTCCAATGGCAATTTTTCTATCCTATTTTGGTCCGACGAATCGTCTATTACAATTTTCATTAAGTGCATGGACAGTTTTTCGCTTTCGCACAGTGCATTTTGAACTTTTTCCCACACTCGTCGCTAATGCACAGTGCATTTTTCTTTTCGCACAGTGCAAACCTCAAAAAAGCCGTTTGCACAGTGCAAACTGGCATGTTTTTTTGCACGGTGCGACAAATTTTTTTCGCTTTCGCACAGTGCATTTGAACTTTTTTCCACATTCCTCGCTAAAGCACAGTGCACGGCAACCCGAAATAGAAGAAAAATGTTTCCCGCACACTTTTGAGTTTCGTCCAAACGAAGTGTCAAAATTGACAGAAGAAATAAAATAATTCCGAGAAAAGTATTTTTCGGTCGCAAAAGCCCACGAAAAATTCTTTTGTGACATTTTGTTTGATTTCAACCGATACAAAATGGGCGAAGTGTCGAAAGGAGCCAGGAAACACTTCGGGTTGCCGTGCAGTGCAGTTTACTCTTTTCGCACTGTGCAACCCTCAGAAAAGCTGTTTGCACTGTGCAAATTTCTGGTGCCGCAGCAGCGACAAAAGATGGAATGCACGGTGCAAAATGACGGTAGTTCTTTGTGCACGGGGCCGCGACAAATGTTTTTCGCTTTCGCACAGTGCATTTTGAACTTTTTCCCACACTTGTCGCCAACGCACAGTGCATTTTGTCTTTTCGCACAGTGCGCACCTCTGGCGTCGCAGCGACAAAAAAGTGGAATGCACGGTGCAAAAACTAAAAATCTGGGGGGTGTTTTGTGCACAGTGCGAAAATAGGATTTGTTTCTGCACAATGCGGACCGCGACAAATGTCCACGCATTTTATGAAAATACACACTAACATAAGGCAGTTAGGGGTGTTGTAAGAACGAGTTGAGTTGAATTGCAACGAAAAATCGGGCTGTCAAGAGAGCCGGAAACTCCGCAACAACCCATACTAGCGATCAATGAACAACTTTCGATTCAAATTCAAACAATCTCAAAGGAACTCGTCCTGATCGTCGTCCGTGTTCTGGATGTCCTCCGGCGTCGACTTGCCGTGCGAGGTTTGGCTGGAGACGCCGAGATGCGGCGACTGATAGGCGCACGGCGAGCCTTCGCTCTGCACCGCGCGCACGGTTTGAGCAATGTGATTCGAGTTGGTGCGCTGCTTCTTCTTCGACTTTTTCAACATTTTCGCCTAGATTGGGAGGTTGGATTCAACCGACTCGACACTCACCTTCAACGCCGACTTGAGGATTGTGATCGTGCCGGGCGGTTGGATGTGCGGCTCGCCGTCCACCTGAACCGGCCATTCGTCGCGAGTGGTGATTTTGATCTGCAAAATGAAATTGCGGTTTTTATTATCATACAGGGCGTTATGGAAAAAGAATTATGGAAAGAAACTTTTCATAAATAACTTTGTGATCGGTGGTCCAATCCAAAAATATATTATTTTTTTGGTTTTTACAGAAACCCCTTGAAGTTTTAAGATTCCAATTTTTTTCTTTTATCGGCGGAGACTTCCGAAATCCGCCTTGAATTCGGCGGAGTGTTTTTTTCACAAATAAGGCTGTAAATAATTAATTGAATGGGTTGATTTTTTTCTCCGCCGAATTGCAGTTTTTTCATCTGCCGACCGAAGGCGGAATAAGTCGTATTTAGGCGCTATGCCACCAGGGATACCATACGTTTTGGTTTTAGCCAGGCTTGGCTCTCCGAAATCCAAGAAAAGTCGTCCGCCGACGTTAAAAAACGTCTCCGCCAAACCAGCTTGAAAACCGTTTCATCCCAACCAAAAATGCTTACACTTCCACCCTGCGCGATTCGAATTCCAGCGCCCATTTTGGACTGGATCAGCCCCAATCGCGTCACATCCGGAATCCCGACCACTTCCAGAAGGCCGTCGTAGTGCGTCGGTTTCTGGAAGTTTCCCTCCTCCTTCGCCGATCCCCATGGATTCGCGCCGCTTCCCCAGCTCATCAAGTTCAGAATGCAGATGCCTTCGACCGGCGGCAGTTCGATGGGCTTCCCGTCCACCTCCAGATCCACTCGCTTCCACAAGTCTTTGCAGTTGCGCTCAAAGAACGCCTTCTGAAGCCCGATCTTGACGTACTGGGTCTTGTTGAAGAGGCGGGACGAAAACTTTTCGGGATTGGCATCGCGCTAAATTTTTAATGTTAGAGAATCCAAGTCATTTGCACATATGGCTCGAGGCTTATAAATCATTGGGTGTCCAGAAAATATGTCATGATGACACACTTTTAAATGCGTCAGTGGTAAACACAACGGCTGCATATGGTTAGAAGTGCTCCCTAACGAATCCCAAAAAAATTTTGGGTTCAAAGCTTTGGCCATTTGCAATTTGGATGACGGGTTTTCTGGATTTTTTCCATTGCTAATGAAGATAACCTATTTAATGCCCGAAAATTTTTTAACTTGCTCTAACGAGTACTCCTAGCCATACAAAATAATTTTTTATACCACTAACACATTTTCCACGGGTGTCATCATGACACATTTTCAAGACATACTTTACAAGTCTCTTAAATTCGAATACTAATGCTTTTTTACATGCAACAAGCTTCAATTCATACCTTATTATGGAACTGTAAACAGACGTCGGCATCAATTCCGATTCCAAAGTAGTTGTTCATGATGATCATTGACGTCTGGTCCTCCGGATTGGACATCATTTGATCCGGATCCGCCGATTGCTCACCGCCTGTTGGTGGTTGCGATCGCTCTTCCTCATGAAACACCACAGCCCATCGATCCAGGCGCACCTCTTCCGCTTCGATCACATCCTGCAGGATTTCGCGCGGATTCTCTTCGCCCGTATATCCGCCGCCCCAGCGCAACACACGCGCCAGATCATTGCCCGTGCCCAACGGCACAACCGCGCACGGCGGTGAAAAGCAGGCGGCGTCTTGTTTGGCAATGTCCAGGCATTGCAGCACCCAGCCAATTGTGCCGTCGCCACCGCACGCCAGGATACGGTATTTCGGGACGTTCCGGAAGACGTAGAGACTGAAATACGAATCGGTGTGAGGCTATTTTTCACATATTGGAGTGATAAAAATGCTGCCGGAAAGGGTCCGCTGTCCGAAAAGGCCTGTTAAAAATGAACAAATTACAGAAGTAAAAATCAAAATCCTATGAAATTTGGCCATATTTTGCATTTTTGGCCATATTTTTTCAAATTGGCCATATTTTCTTAAATTTGGCCACATTTTTTTCAATTTGCCCATATTTGTTCCAATATGGCCATCTTTTCCCCTTTGGCCTTGTTTTTTTCAATTTGGCCATTCTTTTCCTATTCGGCCATATTTTTTCAAAATGGCTCTATATTTTTTCTTTTCCTAAGCGGACCTTTCCGTCCCCAATTACAAAATCCGCTAGCTTACCCGACCAACGGCCCTCCCTTTAAAACATCGAAGACTTGGAACGGATTCAACATTCTTCGAAAAGCCGTCATCAGTTCCGCTCCCTGACATCCGCCGCTTTTCACGTTGACCAACACCAACAACGGCTCAATGTCCGAAGGCAACATGTGCGTCTGAATGTTGGGAAGACATAAAACAATTAACTTCTTGTCCTCGTAGACAGCATTCTGAAGCTTTTGCACCGCCGACGTCGCGGCTTTGGGGGTGTTGAAGGTGATGACCAGCGAGCCGTATTCAAAGTAAATGGGGCCGATGGCAGTGAAGGGTTTTTCTAAAATACGAAAAAGTAATCAACAAAAAGTTGTGTACCTTTTGCTCCTAGGAGTTTCAACAAGATGCGTTCGTATGTGCGTTGCGCCAGAGATGGAGGCAAATTTCCAACGAATACCGCATGATCATGAGGGTCTTCTTTCTCTTGTATATAGAACCTAACAACATGATATCGACGAAGCGAGTCTTTGCGGAGATTTCGGATCAACTGCAGCATGTTTTCCTGCGGGTTCGCCGTTCTCTCGGCCACGCCTTTCTCGAGCGACACCTCGACGAGAGTGTACTTGTTCCAGGTCGCGCCTTCCATGCCAAAGTCCTCCAACGCGTTGAACAAGAGGTCCTGAACAAGGGTATCTTTGGTCACGGTGATCTCGGTGAAGGTTACCGGTATCCTAAAAGAAAATCTACAACGTTTCAGAAAAGAGCTGATTCGGCTTCCTAACAGTCGTCTCCTTACCGTAACCATCCACCGTACACCTTGACCGCCGCTTTCTCCGGATCGTCTCGATATCGGAGGTAGATTTGGGCTCTCTTGCCCTCGGGCCGCTTCATATTCCGGAGCGGAATCGGGTCTTCCAGGTTCTCCTCCTCGCCTCCCAGCTCAAACGGCGCCTGCGTCACATAGTAATGCTCGGGGTTGTCGTTGATGTGAAACCGCCGCATTGCAATATCCCGTATTTGCTCGACGCTCGCCATCTTTGGGATCTGCGCCGTTCGAAACACCTGCGTTCGCATGGAGCTGTTCCCATCGTAGATACGGATCAGCTCATGATCCTCCTTCTCCTTCTCCTCGCCGAACGCGTTGTCCTCGGCGGTGGTGCGCGACGGCGATGATACTGAAACGACGCCGCCTGTAGAGGATTGGATTAATTAGAGGCGGGGAGCGGCGACCAATTGCCTACCTTTTCGATTGCCGTCGTTGATTCCGGGCGAGGTGGAGCCGTGAGGTCCGTGAATATTCAACAGCTGCTCCATGGGCAATTCCGTGCGCGGAATTGTCACCGAGTTTGGCGGAAGCATTATTTTCCTGAGCACTCCAAAGTCACAATCAGGCTTGACCTGAGCGAGACAGACGGCGTGGGCCTAAAATCCGAAATTGAATATAAAAAAATTAATTTTAGTGTCAGTACCGTGGAAGGTCTGTAGCAAAAACTTCATACAACAAAGCCTCTTTATAACGAATGCCCCCTGATTATAAATCAAAATGAAGCTCCGTACAACCAAACCCTTCCAAAACGAAGTTTTTTTGGTCCTTTGTGATTCGTTGTACAAAATTCTTACTGTAAAGGACAATGAAAACATTTTTTATTGCATTTCCTATACAATCCTTACCGTAAGTGAACACCATTCGCATTGCATTCCCGTAAAACATTCGTATGAGTAACACGTTTTCCTACACACGGCGCACTTCGCATCACGCGGAGCATTCCCCTCGCGCATGTGATGGTACTGTTTGTGCGACACCTTGTCCAACGAAGGCACAAATGTGGCGGCCTCGCGACAATCGCTGACCGCCAGGTCCTGACACTCCAGGTGCACGTAATATTCGCAGACTAAATATTCAATACAGCAAATCGTTTGACGGGCTTACCCTCGCATGCGACACTCAGTACGTCGTCCGTACGCTTTCTGCATACACAGCAAAATTTTCGCTTCACTGAGGTCGAGGGTTCCGACCACGTGTGCGCCACCGGGTTCTAAAACAATCATACTACTGTAATTCGAGAACGCACCTTGATGAGCTGCAGCGCAACGCCGCTACAGTAGGACACCACGGTGCGCAAACAGCGGTCATGGCAGACAAAATTACAGACTGAAATTGTTGATTAGAAGTATAAAAATATGAAGGTACAATCAGTAACACCAGCAATACCGGCGACTTTCCGGACGGGCTATTAATAGAAAAAGTTTGGCTCACCTTCGCAAACGTATCCCTGCGACAGCATTCCCCATATCTTCTCCGAACAGTGGTGACAATTTACCGGTTTGCCGAACGTTTTCTTCACAAAGTAATGGCCATGGTCCTTTTTGTCCAGCGACATAATACTCGCGTCCACATTGTGGCCTTCCGCCGTCATTGTGTCGGCGGCCGCGTGAGAAGACGTGTATTGTGTGTGCGGCGCACCCTTCTGATCATGCACACGCAGCACGCCCGCCCGTCTTGGCCCCGCCGAGCGCAGGTGGAATTCGCAACCGGTGTTCACTCAACGATTCAGCCCGGAACGCCGCGGCGGCGCAATTTTTTTGGAAGGAGAATACTTGGGCGTGAAGCAAGATTGGAAAAGCCAAGTCGAGAGATGGCGACGCGATAAGTCGGTGGACGAATAGGCTTCACCCGACCAAATTGACAAAACTCGTAATTGGAATGACGTCTGAGTGGGAGCGTGGAGCGGGCTGTTGTGCGAACCGTCGACTGCGATGTTCACGAGGCCTGAGGTCGCGGCACGGGTGCGTCGGCCACATCAATGCGCACGCCCACGAAACGCGTTCATTTGGTGGCGGACTGATGCGATTTGTTGGGTATTTCGTCGACGAGCGGATTCGGTCGAACCACAACGCACTGTAATAGAAATTGAATAACGAGTGAATGCAAATTCACGTAAAGAACACAAAACAGAAGAGCACGAAATTGTTCGTAAAAATCGATACACTTAGCTGCAAGAGTTCTATTAATAAGAATGTGCTACAAATAAAAATTAGACTCCAATTTTCTAGCAGGAAAAGCAATTGAAGTTGGACGAAAAAAGCGGATATAAATTGCGCGGAAATCTGCTCGCATTTGCAACATAAATAGCTGCAAATTTCTTTGAAGAATACCTATTGGCATGACCTTGTTTACGCGAAAATCCCGGGGCTTGTAATCGCACGAGCCGGATTAAAAGTAGCCGGCGGGCCGGATCGAAACGCTTTCGGGAAGATTGTTGCAACACGAGGCGCTAAAACCTCCACGACGACATTCCCACTTATCATTCCGTACTCGGGCTTCGCCTTTGCCCCGCTAGACGCCATCGGGCCTGAGGCGCTTTTGCGGGCTTAAAAACGGGAGGGGGAGAGATGAAGGGGACGGGAAAGCGCATAGGAAAAAGGGAAGGGTGAAGACGGTTGACGAGCGCAAGTCTTCGCCGGAACAACACAAAAGAGCAAGGAAGGGAAAGCGAACCAAATGAAGACAACAACGCCGTCCAAGACGTCCGTGGCCCCGCCGGCTTCCACGCCCGTTGGAGGGGCGAAAGCGTAGACGTCCGAGAAGAAAGAAGGCCCTTGGAAAAGACGCCTGCATGCGTGGCGCCCTCTGGGCTGCCGACAAAGGAAGTCTGCGGCCCAAACATGTGTATGTGTGTGTGTGTATGTGAGTGTGTCTGTGTGATGTGTGTGGACGAAGGAGACGACCACGCCGGTTTTAAGTGAGTGCTGAGACAGGAAAGTGTGCCGCCAAAGTGCCGCTCTCTTTCTCTCGCTTTCCCCCGCGCATTCCCGTTTTCACGTCGAGCATGACTCGGGGCCACAAAACGGCGAATGTCGCGCGCCATTACGCGTGTTTTTTTTTGCGGCGCCGTTCGGGCCCCCTACTTCCGGTGCGGTTCTGAGGACGGTTATATGTGGTATAAAAGTGCAAGACGTGTTCTAAAATTAAATAGAGTTTTGGCAGCCATGCCTGCTACGTTACAGATACGAAATGCGAATAACAATAAGCTGACCCATTTTTAAACGTAGCCGTTTTGAAGTGCTTGTTGTATCTCAAACAGCGTCAACCCATTCCCCCAAACAACAATTTCTATTACTTCCCGTTCTCTCTTTCTCTCTCCTTCTGCGCTTAATCTTTGTAGCATTTTCCGCCGGAAGTGGGACTAATAAAGTTTTGTAGCAAGGCGCCATAATCACATTACTCTATCCCACATTTTTCCACAAAATTCATTCGAGTGAATAATCGAATGTTCCGAAAAACAAAGAGAATGGGTACGGAATTAAAGCGCCCCAAAAATTTGAATGGATTAGCTGCAGATCAGGAACAATGGAGGTGGGAACGCCGAGCACAATGAGGATAAAGCTCGAAATGCCGAGAATGATAAAACGGGAATTGCCGGATGATTGGGCTAAGATGAGAGCGCCCCAATAAAGACAGGGTTATTTGGCCATATGTTGGGCGAGAGGGCTGCATGGGATCCGTGGGAAGAGATAACCTTCTGGGATGGGATGGTGTTTATCCTAGATAAATGATTAGGCATGCAGCAGAGTTTTCCCGTTAAATGAGCGGTTATTTTTAGGACCTACTAGGAGCTTCTCTTTTGAAACGCGCATAGAAAATCGAACTCCAGAAACAGCGGGTTTTGCGTACGATATAAGTGCAGTAGAGCCTCTGTACAGCGATCCGCAAGAGGGTCGACACAGCGGAACATCTGTAAAACGAAATTCCGTAGAACGAAACCTCTCCCAAAAAAAAATTCAGCCCAAAACTGAATAATGCGACCTCTGAAACTTTTCCGTACAGAGAGGTTTCGTTGTAAAGGGGTTCACTGTACAGAGCATCCACTGTACACAAAATGATACAAGTAATGGCCCGACTATCAAGTTATTTAATTATTCGCATAATCTACCACAAAATTATTCAACGAACAACGCATTAATATGCGAGCCGATTCTGCTACATAATTAACGTGATCCCTCTCATTCTTTTATATTCCCCATCTAAATTCAAGGATCAAAGACCCTCTCATGCACGACTCTCGTTTTTTACACAGGGATAAGCCGCAGCTTAAGGTTAAGGCTGCGTTGTTTTTGCAAAAATGGAGAGCTCCTTCCGCGAAAATTCGGGACGGTTGATCTCCCAGAAAAGTTGGGTGAAAAATAGAAAAAATAAACAGCCTTCCTCAGATTTCATGGCTCGAACAAGTTGTATTTGAGGTATAAACATTGTCACAAAAGGTGCCGGGTGTGCAAACACCGCAGGAGGAGGTAAATTCAACGCAGAAAGACGCGATAAAAATGGAAATCAAAAAATTTATGGGGGGAAATATTAAACTAAAATTGATAAATCACGCAATTCGTCACGGCTCTTAACGGCCCTACATAAATTTAAATATGAAAACAAGAAGGATGACACACGTCTCTCATCTTCATCTTCTCTAAACTACATTCAAATACCCTTTAAAACCCTCGTTTCAAGCGGTGTTCATTCCCCATCCCTCATTTGTATTCCTATCATCGGAAAGAGGCGAACCAAGTCAATGGGTATTATTGTATGGGCCGAGTGTTTACCAACTCGAGTCCAACGGGTTTATGGAAGAGAATCCGAGCGCCGGGTCGCGTAAACAGCGATCCGCATTGAATATGCGGAGGAATAAAGAAGAAGATAAACACAATGGCGCCATGATGACTGCAGGGGAGGCGTCAAAAACGTTGGGTACGGTGTTTCCGGGCGGGTTCAGAGTACAGTAGGGGGATTTTGGAAAGTTTTAATGTACTTTTCGGTTCCAAATGAACTCTAGGGACCTCCGTCCGTTGTAATATAGTCCGTTTACAAAGTCGCTGGAGTGATTTCGGCACCATGCACTATGAAAAAACAAAAGTTCACTTGGCACTGTACAATTCTCGGCTTTTTGCACAGTAAATGTCCCGAAATCACTCCAGCGACTTTGCGAACGGACTAGTATAAACGGAAAGAGGTCTCTAGAGTTCATTTAGAACCGAAAAGTACATTAAAACTTTACAAAATCCACTACTATACTCTGAACCCACCCGGAAACACAGTTCCCAACGTTTTTGACTGCTCTGCTTATTTTGCTTACTCTCTCCCCGTAAGATCGCCGCAATATATTACCTAAATCTCATGGGATCGAGTCGAAACTGAAATTTTTGCAAAAAATTAATATCAGAACATACGTCATCGTGACATATTTCATAATTTCTTGTATGTAACAGCGCCGGAAGTGGGAGATATTATCCAGATGTTCCGCAAGCGATCTATCTAGAAGAACTATCAGTCTGTCGGGAAAATAATGAGCACAATGTCGCTGAGCCAATCGCATCGCTGAAGTGAAAGGCAATTTGAATTGTCGCGATACAAATATCGAAGGCAATGCGCTTTTGTGCTCTTTATTTTCTCGACAGACTGGTAGTTGGTTCAGATAGGTCGCTTGCGGAACATCTGGAGAATATCTACCACTTCGGACCTTACTATCCGCTAGAAATAACAAATTCAAGTGCCATCAAAGCAGATATCACCTCTTGAACCGCAGAAAATAAGCCTATCACTCCGCATTCCCACCTAAAACACGGCCGCAAAACCCGGCGTTCCCGTGTGCCTCAGGGCAATCAATTAAAAATTATTGGAGGGAATGTGCAAAATCATAAAATATTTTACGACCTTTTCCCCCCACAAAAATCCGCGGCCCCGCCGGGGCCGTTCGTTTTTTCGGCGGGCCGCTCTAATCAGGCCTAAAGTCTTGGCCATTTCCTTCGGCCCCAACAGCGGAAAAATTGCGTTTTTCTCGCCGCCCTTTGTTTCTGTGGGCCGCCCTCCACGCACGAGGCGCTCTCTCGGCCCGGAGGGCTTTTTTGTCGAACAAAAAGAACATTTTTCTTTCGCCGGCCCCAACGGAATTTGATGGCCGGACAATGAGAGCCGCTGATCAATCGAAATTTCATGGGAAATGGGAGAAAAGAAAACCGAAAAAACAGAGGAGTAGAGGTCAAACCGAGAACAGATCTATATTATACTAGGGGAAAGGGCAATTTCACGTAAAAATAGACTTGAAATGTGAGCAATGCGATCTGATTGGACCTGATATGGGATGTTTACGATGTGGAGATCAATTTCATATCAAATTTTACCAAAAATTATGGAAAATCGACAAAATTTTATATTGTACTAGGCAAAAAGTTGCTATTTTACAGAAATTGTTTATGTTTACGATCCTACAAAACTTTATAAGGCATAAACCAGCCTTACATGTGCAATTTCATCAAAATTAGACCTAAAATTTTTGGTTGTATCAAAAATTTCACAAAAATTTATATTACACTAGGCAAAAGCCTTCGAAAAGTTGCTAAAAGAGCCTGAAATTTCTCTAAATTTCCTCAAAATGCTACTTTAATTCATAATACAGGATTTCAAATCAAAATCCCATCAAAATTTATCTTACACATCAGACAAGTCCTCAAAAATCCATAAATCCGCCAAAAATAATACAAATTCTTCAAAAAATCCCCGCAAAACCTCAAAACTCCAATATTCCCCCAACATTAGGGAGACGTGAGGCCCGAAATGCGTCCGGAATCGTGCGGAACACCAGGGAATCCCGTCCCAAAAAAGACATTAAAACTCGAAATTCCGGGTCCGTAAACAACGAATCCCAAAAAAAATTCGAATGAAGACTCGGGAGTAATTTGGCGACCAGACAACAGGAAATCCTTTCAATTTGCGGCCCGTTTTAATAACCGCAAAATGCGGGTTTGCAAACAGAAAATTTCGAGGAAAAAGTTTTGCGTCTCTGCAAAAATTCCAGAAAATCCGTCATCGGTTCGTAAAATTGACCGGACAAAGAGGAAAATTGGTGATAAAAATATTTTTCTCAGCATGCCTTGTGGGCAAAAATAAATTTTATGAAAAAAAATTTTTGGAAAATTGAGTAATTAAATGTGTCATGATGACGGATTTCTTGGAAACTTGAGGTAAGATGGGAAAAATGATATAAATAGGGCCTGTGGGCATAGATGAGCTCGTTTTGACGGACTTTTTCGATGAGTAAAAATTTTGAATACGTCAGGAGCAAAAAGTTTCGCGTCTCTGCAAAAATTCCAGAAAATCCGTCATCGGGTCGTAAAATTGACCGGACAAAGAGGAAAACTGGTGATAAAAATATTTTTCACATGCCTTGTGGCCAAAAATACATTTTAAAAGAAAAACTTTTTCTGAAAATTGCGTTATTAAATGTGTCATGATGACGGATTTTTTGGAATTTGATTGTAAGATGGGAAAAATTATATAAATTGGACTTGTGGGCTTAGATGAGCTCGTTTTGACGGACTTTTTCGATGAGTAAAAATTTTGAATACGTCAGGAGCAAAAAGTTTTGCGTCTCTGCAAAAATTCCAGAAAATCCGTCATCGGGTTGTAAAATTGACCGGACAAAGGGGAAAACTGGTGAAAAAAACATTTTTCACAGCATGCCTTGAGGCCAAAAATAAATTTTTAGAAAACAATTTTTCTGAAAATTGCGTTATTAAATGTGTCATGATGACGGATTTCTTGGAAATTTGAGGTAAGATGGGAAAAAATTATATGAATTAGGCCTGTGGGCGCAGACGAGCTCATTTAGAAGAATTTTTATTTGATGGGAAAAATTTTGAGTGTGTCAGGATGACGGATTTTCTGGAAATTTTGGTAAATTCAAAAATACCGGGATTTTTGGGAAAAATATGAGAATTGTGCCGAAGAGAATCTGCACAGATGAATTTAAAAAATCAAGCTTTTTTGGCAAATTTTCTATGCAAAACGCGACAAAAAATTGGAAAGAAAGCCGAAATTCTTTATAATTCCCCCCATTCTTTCCGTCCCAAAAAAATGCATAAACCCGACGGACATTGAGCTTCAGAAGAGGGGGGCTCGGCAGGGGCTGGCCGCGGGTCCGCAAAAATGTTTTTCCCGCGGCACTCGCTCGCCTACACTTTCCGTTCGCCACTAATCTTTCGGCCGCCCCGTTTCCGCGAAATGCGCGCTATTCCCGGCCCCCCGAAATTCCTGCGGGCAAACCCCGGGGCCGCACGAGCAGATTCGGCCACATTGTCTCGGTTCCAACGAAAACGCAAAACGACAAGGTTTGGAGTGATTTTTTGGAGAAATTTTTGGCGAATTTAGCCTCTAATGGAGCAAGGAGAATATCCGAAAAAAAGTTTTTGGATTTTTTTTCAAATTTTGGCAGAATTCTCCACATAGGCCACAAATGAAGTTCTGAAGGTTTTAGCTCACACTTTACAGCATGAGCCGCGATATTCAGCGATCTCTGCGACGAGAGAGTATAGGAAATGAGGAGAGACAGTTAGAGAAAAATCTTTTTTTTTTTTTCATTTCTCTTTGAATTTTTGACGGAAATTTTTGATTTTTTTGCAGGAATTTTTTACTCGTCATTTCATATCGAATGGCATTTTTTTAATTTTGAAAACCGCAAAAAAAAGTTTGGATTTTTTGATATTTTTTGTATAAATATTTTCGCCTAAAAATCATGATAAAAATCAGCGATATGCCAAGTAAAAAATGTAATATTTTTTTCTGACCAAATTTCTTGAAATTCGACCAAAAAATTTAATCAAAAAAATTGGATACTTTTTGACACTTTTGGAGTCGAAAATGGTCAGATAATGCTTTTCTGTCCTCTCTTAAAAACAGCAGTCTTTTTATAGCGCTACAATTATTTTTAACAACAAATTTAACGATTTTTCGACTTTTTTTATCGACCGTTATTAGTCATCAAAAAAAATTTTTAAAAATCAAATTTTTTCCACAAAAATTTCCTATAGATTCTAAATTTATCTCTCTAAAAACAGCACAAATACGACCCGCAAAACGTGAATCCGGCCCATTTGTGGCCAATTACCCAAAAGTTGCGGGGAAACGAGCAAAAAAAAGAGTCTTTTTTGCCATTTTCGGGTTGAGGAAATGATGTCGACGCGAAAAAAGCGAATCAAATAGAGACTCGGAATGATGTCATCCGGAATTTCACAAATTTTTATTTCGAAATTTTTGGAAAAAAAGTTGCGAAGATTGCACAGTGAAAGAGAAAAATAAATTAAATTTTATTAAAAATTTAAAAAAAAATAAAATAAATTTTTTAAATTTTCAAAAATTAATTTTTTTTTTTCAAAATTCAGAAATTTCATCCCTTGAGGGCATCTCGAAGACTCCGCAACCCCGGATGCTGACAGTCCCTTTCGCTGACAATGATTTTTTCGGGGTCCGTAATCGGCCATTCCACTCCAATGTCCTTGTCGAACACGTCGATTCCATATTCGGTTTTTGGGTCGTAAACCCCGGTACATTTGTATGTCACATGAGCACCTTCGGGGGAGAGGGCCTGAAAAAAGTTTTTTTGTATTATTACCAGAGATTGTGACGGCTTCGGAGCCGGAAATTTACGATACCATGGATCGTTCTGTTTGTCAATTTATGCATGGGGAAACGGCTCCTAGGATAGCTTATCACCTACTTTTTGGTATTTTACATGTACTCACATCAATGATATCTAGATAAAAGTTACGGATCTTCGTTTTCTGCCGCAAATTTTGGTGTTTTATATGTTACAAAGACTCAGAGTGAAGAAAACTAGCGTTAGTAATAGCTAAAATTACAAAAAGTCGACATTCGTCTCCGAGTCTCCGACGAACCTTCGCCGAGCGTCCGCCGACCATCCAACGGCTTTGCCAGGGCTCGCAAGCACTGCCTACAACCTTTTTTGGGCTATCCACCTGCCCTACGTACGGTATCAATCGAGTTTGTGTTGACCCGAACTGCCGTCGACCCGAAAAGTCGGGACGCGAATCTGACTGATCAAATTTACCTTGCCCAATCTGACATGTCAAGTTTAATATTTTTATAATAATTGAGTTGAAAATTCCACATGCATTAATCGTGTCGGTGGAAGACCCCAGGTTGAAACCTATAGAGGTTCCCACAAATCAGATTAAGGTTTATCAGCCCCAGCTGGGCCTAGGAATACAAAAAACGTGCGCGTCGACGCGTTCCCAGACAACGCAGCCCATAAACACGGCGTCGCGGGATATGATCTTTCTATCATCGATGATGATAAGATAATACCAAAGGAGAAGAAGGAGGAAAGCAATGAACCCAGTAATTATAAACGAAAGCTAAGAGGCTACTCCGGTACCGACTCTAAACTCGGAGAGCGTCGTTGTAATCGTTTTTTTTTTCAAAATTTATGATTTATGTTTTAGTCATCCATGATGGAAATCGATGGCAATGGAATCGATGAGCAATTGATGGAGCTTCAAGAGTGCCTCGCTCCAGAGGAACTGGAGCGAATGCTCCTTGGACCGCAGGTTGCAGCGGTCCAGTTAAGGAATGCAGATGTGGAACCCGTGGTAGCCCGTCGAGGGTTACCAGCAGTAGGAACAGTGCTCCACTACGCTCGGATGACCCAGAGCCGTGGGCCAGCCCTCAGTGCTGTGAAGAGACACCGGGAGCGACTTCCTCTTGTATCGTACTTGCGAACAGGAGGTCGGACGCCAGAAACCGACAGAACATACACGGTAATACTCCACGAACACAACCTTGTTATCGTGAGAGGTGAAGGATACGATCGAAGCTCGCCAAAGTACTTGATGATGACAGACAGGGAGGATCATGCCGTATTTGTACCCCCAGGCACAAGGTTGAGAGTCACGATGATCGTCAAAGGAGGAGTGAGATCAAGAGGCCAGGACTGGCCGTAAGTGGACCACGCCGTCATAACAGCAGACGTAATCTACATACCGAAGGCTCGTGCTTTTCTGGGAAAACTCTTGAAGGAAGGAAGTGATTGGCATGTCGAAATTGATGGTACAAGACACGTAATTGGTCGGAACACCATTTCGTACCGCACACGACTGCAACGTATGAGAAACAGCTAACCGCTTGTAGCGTTGGATGCACAAGGCGGCGCCGGCAGCGCCGTATGACAAAACGCAGAAGCGGTCTTCAGAGAAACAGAGCTGAAACCCCCATCGTTTAGCAGATTCAAACGAACGTCAAAAACGACGTGTCACGATTCCGTGAAGAATTCCCAGGAGTTAGCATATACCGACAAATATTTTGATATAAATGTAATGGACCGATCGCTTTTCGGTCACTCGTTTGGGTAAAAATAAAACCATTTTGTGATTTGTTGGAAGTCCCTTTGATACAGTCCGGTGGTGGTCCAAGCTCATTGGAATCGAATTATCGCGAGTTTCGTTTTTCAGCTAGAATTCTGTAGTTGTTGCAATGCGCCTCCTTGTTTCTGCGAGGTCGGCGCTGTTGATTGCGCAATCGAACCTCGGTATAAAAGGGCTCGCGATCCGTATTCGGAGACAGAGTTTGGAGTGGGAGCAAGCATGGTCGTTTCCTTTCGAAAAGATAATAAAGACACCATGACATATTTGGGGTTGTTCTATAAGCTGTAGGGGATGCGGAGAGCCGGGTCGTGGAAGACGGTGCCATTATTAGGACGAGGGTCAATCCATCATACCCCCACAGAAAAGGGTGGTTACATTGTGGTCTCCAGGTTATTATGGGTAGTTGATACTAGGAGTAGCGGGCAAGTTAAGGGCCTCATTAGACCTCGACTTGTAGCTTAGTCTTGACATACGTCGACGTACAACTTCAGTAAAGGCCAATCAAGTAATCAATTCAGTTAAAACGCACTTCGCGAGTTGCTGAAGCAGGCTCAAAGGGGGGTCTGCCCTAGAAATTGACCCCCACTTTTTTTTGTCTTAACTGATGACATGTAGGATGCTAAAGAACTTGGTGAATTTTTTTCGAAAAATTCGTCATCATGACCGAGATATGACGTATTTATTGAATTTCGCATAATGTGATATATTTTACTGATTTATTGCCAAAATATCTCAGAACTGAGTATATATACGTTATTGGCCATGCTGAACAACTTTGTAATTGGCCCGAAGTTTGTCAGGTTACTGTAACATACCGTAACGCCAATGCTCAATCAAAAAATCTCGATTTTCTCGATTTTTTTCAATAATTTTCTCGGAATTTTTTTCATTTTTGGAATCAGCATCAAATTCTGCATCGGATAGGCTATATGCGCATCTCCAGATAGGTGTACAAAAATGTCGTGGCGCAACCGGTAGTGGGTCGGACTACCATTCAAAAGGTCCCGGGTTCGAGTCCGGGTGGAAGCAAAAATGCTCAAACGCGCTGGAAATTGTCCCAAAACAGTTGTAATGTATTGGAACTGTGTTAAAAATAAATAATAATTAACATTTTCCCCTAAAAAGGCTAAATTTTGGATTTTACGAAATTTTTGAAAATCATGATTTTTGTGGGCCCAAATCTGCCGAAGAAATGAAAATTTTTTGTTAGCGATTTTTTTGTTTAGAAACAACACAGGCCATATAGAAAGACTATTCCTCAGAAGATTTCGCTCAATTTTGCCCAAAACACCAAAAAGTTGCACTTTTTTGTTTTAATCGGAGAGCCCCGCCAGAACCCAGTAAACCGAAGTAACGTCATTCAAACGTGGATACAAATGTTTTGTACTATGAGGAGTCGAAATTTTAGCAAATTTTACATGATTAAATACTGTAACATCATGAAATATGTGAATATCTACAAATTTTTGAATGTAAAATTTTTTTGTGGAAGATTTTCGCGGCTGTTAGAAAGCTATTTGAAGGCATCGCAAAAAACTGCTCTAGAAAAACTGGAAACGTTTTCGCGTAAGAACACCTGAAAATCATTATCTCAATTTTTTGTCAAATGGCAAAATGCGAAAACTTTTTGGTGTTTTGGGCAAAATAGAGCGAAATCCTCTGAGGAATAGTCTTTCTGTGTGCCCTGCGTTGTTTCTAAACAAAAAAATCGCTAACAAAAAATTTTCATTTCTTCGGCAGATTTGGGCCCACAAAAATCATGATTTTCAAAAATTTCGTAAAATCCAAAACTTAGCCTTTTTAGGGAAAAATGTTAATTATTATTTATTTTTAACACAGTTCCAATACATTACAACTGTTTTGGGACAATTTCCAGCGCGTTTGAGCATTTTTTCTTCCACCCGGACTCGAACCCGGGACCTTTTGAATGGTAGTCCGACCCACTACCGGTTGCGCCACGACATTTTTGTACACCTATCTGGAGATGCGCATATAGCCTATCCGATGCAGAATTTGATGCTGATTCCAAAAATGAAAAAAAATTCCGAGAAAATTATTGAAAAAAATCGAGAAAATCGAGATTTTTTGATTGAGCATTGGCGTTACGGTATGTTACAGTAACCTGACAAACTTCGGGTCAATTACAAAGTTGTTCAGCATGGCCAATAACGTATATATACTCAGTTCTGAGATATTTCGGCAATAAATCAGTACAATATATCACATTATGCGAAATTCAATAAATACGTCATATCTCGGTCATGATGACGAATTTTTCGAAAAAATTCACCAAGTTCTTTAGCATCCTACATGTCATCAGTTAAGACAAAAAAAAGTGGGGGTCAATTTCTAGGGCAGACCCCCCTTCCACAGCTCGCGAAGTGCGTTTTAATTAAAATGATTTTAGTAGCTATGTATAAGTCATAAGAGTCCTAGACCTTAAAGCTAAAAAAAGAGGGAAGGAGTAAGGGCACGCCTCTCTCTTTTATCAGAATTCGGACCGTACGTAAAGGTCCGTTGATCTTCCAGTTTGACTGAGGCCATATATGTAGATGGAAAATAAATAGTAATTTAGACATTCGGATGATATTCATTATTAAAAAATGATTTTTGGAATTTTTTGAAAATTCTCCGGTCAACTGCATCTTGCCCGAATTTGCCCAAACCGACCGGTCAACCTCAAAAAATACTTTTACCAAAATTGTCACCCCAGTCAAAACTATTAGACCCCTCAATTTTAATTTCTCACCTGTAATCCATGCAGAAATCCCGGCGGAATCCAGAAGTTTGTCTTGGACTCAGCATCCAGGATCTCGGCGTGCCATTGGCCAAACGTGGGCGAGTCAAGGCGAGCGTCAACGGCAACGTCGAAGATTTTCCCACTCACAACGGAGACAAGTTTGCCCATTCCCGGCTGGGAATGGAGGCCGCGGATCACTCCGAACTTGGAAAAGGAGTGGTTGTCCTGGAAAAGGTATTCAATTTTGCTGTGATTGTGGAATATTACATTACGTATTGTAACGTTCACTATTATGGGCGTATTTTACAATGCTGGGGAAAGGTTTTACCTACGAAAACTTGAAAGTTTTAGCTTGCGCTTAGCAGGAAACAGACGAGATATTCAATTGTCTTTGCGGCCAAGAGAGTAGGCAAAACGTGTAGAGCGGTTAGAGAGAAAAACAGTTTTTGGCCGTATCCTTGCCAGTTTCGCATGGAAAAAATATTTTTTTTATGGAGAAATTACCTTTGACAGAAACAGGCGTGAAAAAATTCTCAATGAGAGAGCATAGGAAATTTGGAGGGCTCAGGAAAGACCTTTTTATGCTATTTTTTCTAAAAAAATGTTATTATTGTAAAATTTTGGGCCTATTTTGGAACATAATGCTCACTGTTGACCTTAAAATTCATAAAGAAAATCGATTTTTGGAACTTTTTGCGGTCTAAAAATGGTGGTGGTTTCTGTAAATACCAAGGTAAAAACCTGGCTTATTTCGAAAAAAATTGCAATTAAAAATCTCCGCCAAGTTTCGTCAATAACTGTGCACTTTTTTCTAAAAATTTTGGTCCCAACACGAAAATATGAAAATATAAAAAATTGAAAAAATAAAAAAAAAATGCTTTTTCTGGACCGGAAATCGTACTTTACTCGATTTTTATAAAACTTAATTTTTAAAATACGGATCTTTGCATTTTATGGAACAACTAGTAGTATCGAAAAATTTGTCTCAAAATTCCAAAAAACCCTCCTTACCTGTTTTTTATACGACGTTTCTCAGCAAAAAAAAACAAAAAAAAATTTTTTTCGAAAAATTTTCTTTCCATTTTTCAAATCGGTAATAAAATTTCACCTGCAAAAATTCCAAAAACCCCTCCTTACCTGTTTGAAAACCTCATGAAAATCGAGGACCTTCGCCCACTCCTCCACGTTGTAAGTCTCGCAGAAGAAGCCTCGATCATCGGGAAATGCCTTAGGGCGAATGATTTTGAGGTCCGGAATCTCTTTCACACTCTCAATTTCGGGTTGAAAGCGCTTTGTTACAGTAGGAATCGACATTTTTTTGAGATTTTTTCGAAGATTTTTATATTATAGTAGGCGAAAAGAGGGGGAAAATCTTAAAATAAAAGATTTTTTCCGCGTCTCTTTTTTTGATTAGATATTAAACCGACCTTGACCTGAGTCGATTCGTCTTTTTCGGGTCGATAAGCGAGAAAAAATTGTAAAAAAATCTTAAAAAGACGGAAAAATCAAAAAAAAAACTTTTGAAAATTGTCTCTCAGTAACTGAAGATTACTTCGAAATACGAAAAAAAGGTCTTGTGACAAAGTTGACAACATATTTTACGTTGTAACGTTACGAGCGATCGCTGTAAAAATGAAAGGGAGTCGAGAAAGTCAAGTTTGCATCTGACGGGGTAAAAAGTCAACGTTTTATTGGCTAAAAGCATCGAATTTAACGTCAAATTTAAGATATTTTCCGCAACAATCAAATATATTGTAATTTTACTATAGTATTTTCATAAAAAAAATGACATTTTTTCTCGACCCGCACCGTGCACAAAACCCAAATTTTTGCACTGTGCATTTGAAATATCGCTGCGGCACGGTCCGAATATTTCGTAAAGTCTGTCGGGAAAATAACAGTCGTCGCACGTCAAGATTTTCCGCTCAAAGGGTTATCTATCAACACGAAAGTTGGCATTCTGTTCCCGCTTATGAAAGTGTCCAAAAAATCCGTCTCAATGACGGTTTTTTGGATGAAGTCAGAGGAAAGGCGAAATATTGCGCAAAATGAAGAGATTTTCTATCTCGAAACTGGCTCATTTGATTTTTTTCGTAAAAAAATCCGCCTTGTTCCAGACTATGTTTCCACGAAACTTCAAATAGGGGCGAGGGAAAATCTTAGAGAAATCCTCGAAATCGCAACATTTTTTAGACGTTGTTAGTTTAGGCTTCAAACAGATAGAAGGCGACCGATTTTTTATATTAAATATATACGCTCAGGTTTAGCAGGAGTCCAGCTTCAAATTTATGTATGCAATAACCCTATTCTACCTCATCTTCACGGTGTAATCAGGTTATCTTTGGAGCAAAAAACTATCCTTTCGCTGAAACAGAATGCCAAGAATTTTTCATTGCTTGAGCACTTTTGTTTTATTTTTCTTGACGTGCGTCGCATCATAATGAAAATTATGGGCGAAATTATGGGCGATTTCATGGCCCGCCGTTATTTTCCCGACGGACTGATAATGAGCACTCTGTCGCATCGAAAATCACATCGCTTCGAAGAAAATGGATTCTGTCGCGGCAAAATTGAATTGCCTTTCACTTCAGCGACGCGATCGGCGTCGTGCACTCTTTATTTTCCCGACAGACTGGTAGTAACAGAATCACATTTTTAAGTGTTACAAAAAGAAACTGTCTCAAATTTCACGATGACATCAATTTATTTACACTTTGCGACCAAAAAAATTCTAAAAATCTCGAATTTGCTAGAAAGCTCTTGCATGAATTTGCATCAAATTTCCTCAAAATCTAATAACTCCATATTTAAAAACCTTCGAAATCACAACATTCTATTTTCTACACCAAAATCGATGACTATACAGCATTCGCAACTTGTTCCGGCGATTTTTTTTCGGAGTGAAAGCGATTGCTGACCATGCCGACCACTCTTTCCAAAAATTATTTTTCCGATAGAATGGTAACACTTTTCTTTACGTATTTTACCCCACATATTACATTTTTAGTCTACGACAAATCGCAAAACAGCTGTAATAGCCGAAAACTTCGCCGGAAAATTTTTATCGCTTTGACTCATCAGAAACGCGGTTTAAACTCTGCGTGGAGGTGTTTTAAATTCCGATATTTTTGTTCCTGCGCTGATAGGCGATCATGTTTTTGTAAAGAGTCGTCGGCGCTTTCACTCCGCTAAAACATCGCCGGAACAAGTTGGGTGTGGGTTTGTATGTGCTGTACAGTCATAGATTTTGTTTTACAAGGCTTCCAAGAGCCACGCTGAGATTTTCTTTAGGATTTGTATATGCGTTGCGCATAGCCAAATATTAATATCAGTTCTTGAAATTTTAGGCTCCGAAATATTCGCTTTGCGGTCACGAGAGCACGCAAAACGCGGAGAAAAATATAATATTATTTTTTTGTTGAAACAATAACCTTATCGGTAGATATAGACGTGCAACTTTTGATTAAAAAGTCGCAAAAAATATCACATTTTTTCCAATTTTTCGTCGAAAAGATCCACTTGGAGTAACTCCCTTGTAAGGTTAATACTTACAGGGGAAGTACTATGTGAGATTTTTAGAGATTTTTAGTTTCAAAATGTTGCGAAATTGTTGTTACCTTGAGATTTGCGATATTTTTTCTTGTAGGACTCAGAAATGTTGTTCTGTTACTAGGGTGATCAACACCTTCTTTTAAAAATTACAAAAGAATATTCCAAGTTTCTTTCCGATTGAGTCACCCATTTTACAAATTATCTTGGTTGCAAAAACCGCTGAATAAGGCGTCTTAGGTTTTTTCTACTTTTTTCCAAATTGTGGAAACTTTTCAAAATAATTTTTTGGCACATGATTTATAGTACATATTAGGATCAAATATGGCACAGTTTTTTGACAACCACAAAAGTTACAGCGATTTTAAAAGTGTATCTATAATTTTGTCCAGCACTGTAACTTTTTTAATTTCCCTTTACTAGGGCGCCTAAAAAGACTTTTCGCCCCTACTAAAAAAACTATTTCGTCCGCGACATAAAATAATATTTGATTCTGCTTCTGCCTTCTTTCAGAGCTCCCAAGAAATGAGGATTCTCGGGCTCTGCACCCTCCTCTTCTGCACGATCTCTCTGCTCACGGGTTACGTGATCCGCCTCACACGAGCGCCACCGATTGCGGAGGGGCGTCGCGCGTTCGCGTCGCTGCTGCACTTCGGCGAAGTGGTGGACCTGGATCGCAACAATTTGGTGGACTTTCGGCCGCGACGGCCGCATCGCTTCGCCACGGAGCTGCTGCCATTGCCTGAGGCGGAATAGACCGAAATCAGAGTGTGTGGGAGTTGAATTTGTAAAAATTATTTGCAATATACCTCAAAATAAAATAAAATATTTTTTTTTTTTTTTTTGAAAATTTGCATATTCAAATATAATAATTTATTTAAATTTTCTGAAATTTTTGAGATAATACTACATGGCTGTGCTGAGCAGTTCCATTCCATTACTGGCGCTTGTGTTTTTCCGCCGTTTCGAGGAATTGCCGCGCATCGGATCGACCAGTCGATTTATTTCATCTGAAAAATTTTTATCGTAAAAAAAAATCAAAAATCAATGAAGCCACAAAAAATATTTTTTCTAGAATATTCGCCGAAAAAAACGATGTTCCATAACTATCACTCTGTCGGGAAAGTAATGAGCATAGTGACCACAATGTCGCTCCCCCGATCCCGTCGCTGAAGTGAAAAGCAATTTGATTTTGTCGCAACGTCAAAAATAGGGTAATCGATGGCGTAGATTCCAAAAATCATATTCGTTTTTCGCGATTCTTACTTTTTTGCTTAAGTAGTAATGTTAAAAAGTAATTTTTTGAATTTTTCCTAAAAATAGTCGATTTAGGGGTTTTCGAGGGTGCTGATTTCGAAAATGACGTTCATTTTTTTGATAGTTACGTTTTTCCTTAAGCAGTAGTGTTAAAAAGTAATTTTTTGAAATTTTTCTAAAAATGGTCGATTTAGGGGTTTTCGAGGAGGCTGATTTCGAAAATGAACGTCATTTTCACTTCACTTTCACTTGAACGTCATTTTCGAAATCAGCACCCTCGAAAACCCCTAAATCCACTATTTTTAGAAAAATTTCAAAAAATTACTTTTTAACATTACTACTTAAGCAAAAAAGTAAGAATCGCGAAAAACGATTATGATTTTTGGAATCTACGCCATCGATTACCCCTCGGGGTCTCTTTCGATGGCTTTCATTTTCCACGCGACAGAGCCATCATTATTTTCCCGACAGACTGATATTCAAAAAAAAATTTTTTTTTAATTTAACCTACCAGCTTTCTCTTTCTTATTCCTCAACGGAGAGACGTAATTCTCGCGGAGCTCGGCTTGATACGCCGGCACGTACGTCTGAACCTTGAACTGAACAAATACGGAGACGGGACACTCATTCCGATCATTTTTATTGCGAAGAATTACGTGGTGGTAGCCTGGAAGAAAAACAGTTTCTTTATCAACGGACAGAGAGTACGCGAAACACGGAGAGCGGGCAGAGAAAAAACACTTTTTGGCCATAAATTTGTCTGTTTTGCGTGGAAAAAATATACTTTCGGCGGAAACATGGCCCTTTACGACAGAACAAGGTGTGGTAATTGGTGTGCTAAGGCCTCGTTCTTACCTGCTTGAACTTTGTGAACTGCCAAAAACCGCTGACCCAGCTCTTCGCCATATTCGTCAAGCAATCTGATATGTAGCATGGCGTGTTCTGGTTTGATGATCTGAAGATAAAAAGTTGTGCACACCAGAGGCGTAGCTGAGGAGTTGAGACATCATCGGTCTGTCTCGAAAATAATGAGCAGAATGTCTTTTTTTTTGATGCGACAGAGTGCTCATTATTTTCCCGACAGACTTCGATTTCAAAAATGCATAAATTATAACGTTTTTGTCCATAAAATTTTGAAAATCGCATAAAATCATTTTTTGCTTATAAAAAACCATAATATTTATCGACAGAGTTGTCATTATTTTCCCGACAGACTGATATGCAAAAAACATACATATATGTATATATGGTACAGTATGTACTCTAGGCTTACCTTGTGGAATTTCGTAAACTTTCTCACAAAAAACACATTGAATCCGCCATCAGCACTGGCCATCAGCGGAGTCGCGAACTGGTCTCGGATCGTGTCATTGGGCAAGTCGTACAAGTCCATGGCTATCTGAGACGGTAAGATATTTCATGTCGCCAAACTCCAACCCTATGCCATAAAAGCTCTCACCTGAAATCGCAGCGAATTCCGATACCTCGCCACCAACAGATTCACAAATTGCAGGCTGTGAACGCAAATCTCCAGCGAATCCGCCGACAAAATGGTCCGATCGTGAACACTCATCTTGTGATTGCGGTTCCGCACACACGACGACTTCAGAACATAGCCGCAGCGTCCGTTCTCCTCGAACAGCGCCTGGTTCATCTGCATGGGAAGGCCGGGCGTCTGGAAGTTGAGCGCCAGCATCTGACAACCCGCCGTCCAGAAGTACTGAAAATTTGGGGATTATTATTGGAGTGTCCCATAAGTCTTGTGCATTTTTGGGTCGTCGATTTCCGCGAATTCCTGTGAGCTTTGAAACGCATTACAAGATAGGTTGAACATACGGTTTTGAAGCTCAGAAATACCGCTTTTGAACCGTATATGGCGAGTCTGCAAAAAGTCTACCTGCTACCCGCACTACCCCGATATTGTACTAGACATTAAAAATTTTTTCTTGCTGATGTTAAAATCGGTATATGTACGGGGGACCTACTCCAGTGGCAAAAAAGTATCATTTTGCATCCGGAAAATATCAAAAATGTGGCAAAATGCCTCCCTCTCCACGTGAAAACTCCGATTTCAAACGCGCCCGCTCTTTTTGTGAGGGAAATGCTTTTCAAAACAGAGTATTTTTAGTTGGAGAGGGAGGCATTTTGCCACATTTTTGATGCTTCCCGGATGAAAAATGGTACTTTTTTTTGGCACTGGATCAGGTCCGCCGCTGTAGCGGGCCTAGCGAATTGCCCAACCGTCCAGAGAAAAAATTGAAACGGACCGGCCCAACCCGCGAGCCATGTCTGCTTTCTCCTCAATCTCTATGGTCTCTGGCCTTAAAAGACCGGTGAATACCCCGGGTCAAAAATACAAAGCGCTGATCAAGACCTATGATGTAATATTTTAAGATTTGTTGGGGCCTTGGTAGTTCAGCCGCCCACGAAAGCGCGCCCTTCAAAACGGAGTTTTTTCACTTGGAGAGGGAAGCATTTTGCCACATTTTTGATGCTTCCCGGATGCAAAACGGTATGTTTCTTGCCACTGGATCAGGTCCGTCACTTAATACTTTGGAAAATTAGATGTGTACCTAGTTCTCAAAATAATTTTTTATTATTATACAAAGAGATGTGAAATTCGATATTTCTTGGATCAAAAAATCTGAAAAATAAAGATTTTTTTTTACTTTTGCGATTTTCAAAATGAAAAATCTGGCATTCTGTCTGAAGCGCCGGTTAAAATTTTCCCACAAAAAATCTATTTTTTCGACAAGCAAGAAGAGGCCGCGAAAAAAGTCCACGCACTTTATGAAACTCCCAGTAGTATGTAAGAAACTTGCCATAGGAATAAAATTGGAGGAAGAGACCCGTCCAATGTCCGGGTAAACTCGGACGATATGCCTGGTGGTATGTTCGATCAAAGCGGCCGAACCATTCGTAATCATCTTGTCGATTTTTTGCTCACTGCCGGAATGCATCAGGTACTCGGGATCGTCTGAAAAACGAATGAATAATAAGAGATTTTTATACTATAATACAGTCTGATCCAGTGGCAAAAAACGTGCCATTTGTGATCCGGGGGAGTATCAAAAATGTGGCAAAATGCCTCCCTCTCCAACTTTTTTAAGGTCTGTTTTGAAAGGCTTCTCAAAAAATTAGCGGGCGCCCTTCTGAAATCGAAGTTTTTTCACTTGAAGAAGGAGGTATTTTGCCTCATTTTTTGAGACTTCCCGGATGCAAAATGGTACGTTTTTTGCCACTGGATCCGGTCCGTTACTTTACCCTAACAAGGAAAGCTCTTAAACGAGCTATTCGTTGTAAACGGCTTACCGATATCCAACCTTGGCGTGGTTTGGAAATAATTTATCAAGTCGGCCAACGCTTGCTTTGTCTCCGCGACAGTCTCATTTTTGACGTACTGAAATTGCTCCTGAACCATTCGGTATTGCTCATACTGCTCTTCAGTCACTGGGCGACGCTGCAATTACGATAGACCTAGATGACTATGACAGTGTTTAACTTACAGTAATAATAGCCTCATCAGGCGGTGGGTCTCGAACATTCATGTATTCTTGGAAGTTTTGCGACAGCTTGCTAGTGCCAATGTCGATTAATCGGTTCATTTCGTCCTTCATTTTGCCCACCAACGAAACAAATCGATCGTTGCTGCTGGCCTTCTTCGACTTACTGCCTAAAATAATGCGCTTTATAACAGAGGGAGAGACAGAGGCATAGGTCAGATATCATATAGAAAGGCTGAGATGTAAGTTCAATCCATCCTAAAAATGGAAAAAGTTCCTTATTCTGGCCTCAGCGTACAATGGCGCACCTGATCCACTGGCAAAAAACGTACCATTTTACATCCGGAAAGTATCAAAAAATGTGGCAAAATACCTCCATCTCCAAGCGAGAAAAACTCCGATTTCAAAAGCACGCATGCTCTTTTTTGTGAGGGAAAGGGCGCGCTCTTAAAACGGAGTTTTTGTAGTTGCACGTCAAAATAAAAAGGGAATTTCGTCAAAGCCGTGGCGATCCGCGAAATAACGATTTGCGATTGGCGAGAGGAAGAGGGCGCGCGCGCAAAAAGGAAGAGAGCGGTCAAGAAAGAAGAAAAAAATCGGTTGTTGCTTTTCGCTGCGGCCCCTCACGAAATTTCGTTTTTCTTCTATTTTCATTCTGACGTGAGTTGACGATGAAGGCATTTTGTCACGTTTTTTGGTACTTCCCGGGACCGGGTTCAAAATGGCATGTTTTTTACCACTGGATCAGGTCCGTCACTGTAGCTTATTATTTTAAACGCAAGGACGTGGGATTAACTTATTTACTTAGGTAGCTTTGACTTTTGGTACCGGCAAACGTTTAAAATACGGCTGCCAACTGCAGTGTCGTTTTAAGAGGAGACATGGGTTCCGGTACAGAGGTTTCGCTGTACATATATATTAGTCTGTCGGGAAAATAATGTGGATTTTTATGGCCTTGAAATCACTTGGCAACGGCTGGAGATTTGGTGCACGACGAGGCGAGAAATTTTTCTGCGACAAATCCACATTATTTTCCCGACAGACTGATATACAATATACTAAATAAAATTATTTTTAAAATACGATCATCTTTTCGTCCCTATAATTTTTCCAAATATGACCAAATTTTTCATACCCTTCAACAAAATTTTTCGCTTCAGCGCATTCGGCGAGGGCAAGCAAATCCCCTTCTCGCAGGGAAAATTTTCCAACGGTTTGGCTTGCAGATGATCGCCAAAGATCTCGATGAAGTCGTTGGCCATGTGCTGCTGCTGTGGAGGGCTGCAGTGATTCTCCAGGGACAGAACGATGGGGTATTCCGAGGTCTTGAAAGCGGTCTCGATAATCGCTTCACAGACTTCCTGAAAAATGGGATTACGAGTTTTGCGGAGGTAAAAAAAGTGATTGAAAATCACTCAAAAATTTGCTGCAACATGTACTATACTTTTTCAAAAATGCATTTCCGTCTGTCGGGAAAATAATGTGGATTTGTCGCAGCAAAATTTCTCGTCTTGTCACAGCCGCGTGCCTAATCTAGTTATCGCAAAGAGACGATGGGAGATCCCAAGGCGCGGCGAATCCACATTATTTTCCCGACAGACACACAATGCATTCCACTTTTTGCACAGTGCGGTTTTTGCGCGTTTTCGGTGACAATCTAAAGAGAAATAGGAATCACAGAAAAAACGACGAAAAAATTCTTTATGGCAGTATACTAATACGCTTTGAAATACACTGAAGGACCCGATCCAGTGGCAAAAATGTACCATTTTGCATCCGGGACGTATCAAAAATGTCGCAAAATGCTTCCGTTTCCAAGTGAAAAAACTTTTTTTTGAAGGGCCCTCACAAGAAGAGCGGGCGCGCTTTTGAAATCTGAGTTTTTTTTCACTTGGAGAGGGAAGCATTTTGCCACATTCTTGATACTTCCCGGATGCAAAATGATACGTTTATTGCCACTGGATCAGACCCCACTGTGGGCTTACCCGGAACGGAACCGTATTGATTTGCTGCAACGATATGGGCCCATGCGTAATGACGGGCAGCCCGTTCGGGCCATCCCAACAATCCAACTCAATGCAACGACAACCGGCGAGAAGGATCTGAAAGAAATCACAACCAATTCAACAAATGTAAAGCGGATTTTTCATTGAAGCAAATATTTTTTTTATTTTCTTTTTTTTGTTGACTAATAATGGTCGATAAAAAAGGTCAAAAACAGTGGTCGAAAAATCGTAAAAGATGTTAATAAAAAGAATTGTAGCGCTATAATAGGACTACTGCTTTCCGGGAGAGAGCAGAATGACATTAAATGACTTTTTTTCTACTCAAAAAAGTATCAAAAAGAATCGAATTATACGATTTTTTTGTAAAATGTTTTGGTCGATTTTTTAGTCAATTTCCATGAAACTTGGTGATCAATCAAAATTACATTTTTTACTAGGAGTTGCGACATAATGTCCATGCTCTTTATGAAAATAAAAGTAATCTCTCATATACACCTACAAGACTTATGATAGTATTTTCATAAACTGCATGGACATGTTTTCTCTGATACGCCCACCAACTTACTTGTCGATACATTTCGGTCTGTGTTTCGCAGATCTGGCAATTATTTCCGGGCAAGGCTTTGGCGGCTTGGATTTGATTACCTGAAAAAATAAACGTCCACCTCAATACGATCAATAACCATCGTATTTAACGTCTTCACACTCCCTTACCATTCAGATATGTGTTGTGTGAGCTGTTGATGTAGTAATGAGTGATTGTGTTGACCATGTTCTCGGGTTTCAGGAGCATCGCGTTCGAATTGAGGTCCGTATCCATCTCCAGAAGGTATCTGGCGAATCCGCGGAAGGTCAGGCCCGTTGCGTTGGGGTTATCTTCCAGTCCGACGACTGTGTCGCGAGCCCAACGGATCGACTTGAACGGAAATAACTCTTCGTTCAACCGGGGATCGTGTTGAGTTCCGTTGACGAACTGGAGAAATGCCTCAGGCGATAATAACGGAGAGCCTTGGCAACTGAAATGCGAAGGGTGAGGATTGCATTCAATGTAATTATACAGTGACGGACCTGATCCAGTGCCAAAAAACGCACTATTTTGCATCCGGGAAGTGTCAAAAAAATGTGTCAAAATGCTTCCCTCTCCGAGTGGAAAAACGTCGTTTTGAAGGGCGTGCCCTGCTTTCTCGCAAAAAGAGCGGGCGCGTTTTTGAAATCTGAGTTTTTTCGCTTGGAGATGGAGGTATTTTGCCACATTTTTTGGTGCTTCCTGGATGCAAAATGGTGCGTTTTTTGCCACTGGATCAAGTCCCCCACTGTAAGGTAGTATTCTTGGTTTACAAATCATATATGACTCGTTACTACGAGTCTTACAGTTCGTTGAAGAGCTGGAGAAGATCGGGACGTTTCACTTTTTCCAAATAAAGATCGAGAAAGTCAGTCGATTCTGTCTGAAATTATAGCTTTATTATTCTCCAACTGCCGTTAAATCCCTGTAAAACAAATCATAAATGGTCCAAAAAATCGATTTGTTATAAAAAGGTTTTGTTTTACGAAGGTTTATTTCTACTTGAAATCGACTCTTGCAGCCGCTAAAATTGTTCGTTATAGACAGTTTTGTTGTATGGGAGTTTGTTGTACAGAGGTTTCGCTGTAGTAACCGCCAAAAATACTTACAATTTCGATTCCAACTGCAATTCGATTAATGGCGTGAGTGTATGGGATGGTCAAGTGTTGATATGCACTAAATTACCATTGATTTTTAAATTTTTGGTCCCGGCACGAAAGTCACCAAATTTTTTTTTTTGTTTTTTGCCGGTTAAAAAGATTATTTTCATGCTTATTTTTGAATTTTTTTCAAAATCAAAAAATAAAAAAAAAATTTTTTTTTTTGGTCTCGCAGCGAAAACATTCAAAACGAAATTTTTGGACCACCTACTTTTCCGTTCGATAATTTTTCTCTTTCGATTGCAGCAGTAGCGGGGCAAATTGTAACCGGTAATATCGGAGGACCGAGTGATACCGATCTCGATTCCAACGGACCCATTTGAACAGCTCGTTTGCCCAATCTTCAGCGACCTCCTGAAAGTTCAAAAAATGACTTTATTAGTCTGTCGGGAAAATAATGAGCACTCTGTCGCAGCGAAAATCGCATCAGAAAATGAATTCTTGTGGAAAATCGAATTTATTTTCATTTTAGCGATGCGATTTTCGATGCGAAAAAGTGCTCATTATTTTCCCGACAGACTGATATGTATTTTATTTTACCCACCTCACTCGAAGTTTCGAACCCAAAGAACTCGGCGCAGGAGAAGTTTCGGTTGCAAACGATCTGCAAGACCGTCGGATTGGACTTGGGCACTCGGCAGTCAACAATGGCGTCCACGAACAAGAATTTGCGGGACTTCTGAAAAAAAATCATTTTTCACAGACTTGTTCTAAACTTTCAACTTTAAAATTTTTTTCAGTCTCTTCTGCAACGCTTGCGAAACCCTGGCCCAGGCCAAGGGTGTTCATCCCCCAACTTTTGTTGGATGGAAAGCCGATTACTTGCGGAGAGGGCCTCAAACCGGGTGTCTACGACAATTTGGAGCTGGTTTTCTGTCTGCCAGAGATCGATGACATCTTGAACAGCCAAGGATTGAGCAAGGAGACCTTCAAGAGTCTGGTTCAAAGCGAAGTGAGTCGAATTTTTCGTCGATTTCGCGATTTTTTCGAAATTCAAGTTTTCGTGGTGGGACCCAGAATTTTGCAAAATCTCGATTATTTTTTTAAATATTGGGAAATGACGATGCTATTTTTGATACGTGTATTGATTTTCCACTGTCTCTGCTTATTTCGCCGAGTTTTGGGAAATTTCAAGTTTTCGTGCTGGGACCTAAAATTTTTTTAAATCTCGTTTATTTCTTAAATATTGGTAAAATACGTTGTTGTATTCGATGATTCTGGATTTTCTACTGTCCCAACATATTTCGCCGTGTTTTGGGAAATTTCAGGTTTTCGTGGTGGGAACCAAAATTTTGAAAAATCTCAGTTATTTTTTAAATATTGGTAAAATACGTAAATGTATTCGATGTCTTCAGATTTTCCAATGTCTCGGCCTATTTCGCCGTGTTTTGGGAAATTTCAGGTTTTCGTGGTGGGACCCAAAAAATGCAAAAAAAATTATGGAGTTTGCAAATTTCGATTGAAAACCCTCAAGATTTTTTTCATTTTTAACCATTTTGGAAAAAATTAGACAAAAATTTCGTGGTGGGACCCAGAAATTCAAAAAAATGTCAATTCTTAAAATCCGCGATTTTCACTTTTTTCAAATTTTTTTGGTTTTTTGCTTCATTTCTACAACGATGTCATGTTGCCCAGTCTAATTTCCCCGGTCAGACTGATCATTTATTAACATTTCCACTCTTTTTTCAAACTTACATGTCGTTTGTTCTCCCAGTAAAATATGCTTTCGGTTCCATCCACAGCCACATGAACTTTTTGCAATTCGGCGCCGATTTTCTTCTAAAATCAACAAAAGAAATATTTTTCTTTTTTCACAACTTACATTCAAATTGTCACCGAGGTATTCGAAATCTTTTCCATCGACAAATCTGGCTGGGACATCGAATCTAGGCAATCGAAGAGAGGACATTTGAAAACAATAATTTAAATCCCATCCAGCTAAAAAATGAATTTGAAATTTTGACGATGGAAAAGAAGATGGTATATAGGCAAATTGCACATATACAAGGCAGATTTTTAAGCCTAAAAAGAGAAAATCCAATGAGTCAGTTTCGAGATAGGAAATCTCTTCATTTTACGCATTGTTTCGCCTTTCGTCTGACCTCAAAGTCGCTGCTCTAACCGCGTCGCCAAATTGAACAGCAATTTGACTTTGCCACGACGAAATTCATTTTTTTCGGCAGCGATGCGATTTTCGATGTGACAGAGTGCTCATTATTTTCCCGACAGACTAATGTCTAAATTTGCCCCAAATTACACCAAAATCAGAGAGTTGCACTTAGAGAGACTTTTCTCGTAAATTATCACCACTTTTTCCCCAACTTTCCCGCAAATCTGACCTTCCAGAACCCCCTCAAAATCAACACATGACGTTCCCCGAAAAAAGTCCCAAAAAGGGCCCCGCATTATCAGCGACAACGCCCTTGATTCCCTGTCCTGAGGACGCGAAAAAGGAGAGGCTTTGAGGCCGAAAATTTCTTGATAAAACGTTTCGGACAGCGGGCACACCTCTCGCAATTATTCCGAATTTGGTTTGAGTGGGTGAAACAACAAAGAAACCAAAAAGTTTTTTTTTTTGGATTTCCCCCCTCCCCTCCGCTTAATTAGCGGATCTAATTACGGCAATGTGGGAACATTGCTGTTGATTGGACAAGGTTTTATTGGACTTTGGCATGAGAAAAAAGGAAATGAAAAAGTTTTTTGAAGTTTGAATTCGGGGGAAGGAAAATGAAGGCTCGAGAAAATATTTTTGATGTGAAATAAGGGCGGAAAAATTATTGATACTTTTTGAAACCTTTTGATACTTTTTCTAAAATCTATAAAAATTTAAATTTCAAGACACGAACAACGATTTTTTAACATTAAATTCTCCAAAAAGTCAGATTTTTTTAATAATTTGGATACTTTTTGATACCTTTTGACATACTCGTTTTATTGGACTTTGGCATGAGAAAAAAGGAAATGAAAAAGTTTTTTGAAGTTTGAATTCGGGGGAAGGAAAATGGAGGCTCGAGAAAATGTTTTTGATGTGAAATAAGGGCGGAAAAATTAGTGATACTTTTTGATACCTTTTGATACTTTTTCTAAAATTTGCAAAGAAATAGATTTCAAGATACGAACAACGATTTTTACAAGGGATGAGCAACAAAAACTGCAAATTCTCCAAAAAATCAGATTTTTATAAGAAATTTGGATACTTTTTGATACCTTTTGATACTTTTTCTAAAATCTGTAAAAATTTTAATTTCAAGACACGAACAACGATTTTTTAGCTTTAAATTCTCCGAAAAACCCGAGTTTTTCAAAAAATTTGGATACTTTTTGATACCTTTTGATACTTTTTCTAAAATCTATAAAAATTGTAAATTTTCACAATTAGATCTTTGGCCTCCACAAAGCACGGATAAAAAATCAGATATATTCTTAATAAATTCTAATCAAAATTGCGACAGAATTTCATCAGAACCCGTGAAATTCAAACCCAAATTATTTTAAAAAAAACAAAAAATCCCAAAAAATTAAAGGTCAAAAATTCAAAACCTCCCTTCTTCGAACGAATAGGGAAATTTTTTGTCAAGTTTTACTCGGATTATATTCGCGGGGTCACATCAATCTTCACCCCGAAGAAACCGAACATCCCCCTATTTTTAATCCGCGGCCGAAAAGAAACTCCATTTTCTTTGACGGCGAAATTACACAAGAAATAAAAAAATGTGAAGAAATGTCATGTTCCGAAACGTTTTGAACTATCATTGTCAACTATGACGCAAAGCGCAAATTTTTTTTTTAATTTTCAAATTTCCCGCTAAGATTAAAATTTCTTGGCATTATGTTGCAAATGGTGAAAGGAGACCATAACATGCAGCCATGGATTTAATTAAACGTATTTTACAAAAACAAGTTGTTTAAAATTGCCAAATTTTGAATTTTTAAATTTCCCGCCAAAATTAAAATTTCTTGGCATTGTGTTGCAGGGGTGAAAATTGGCAAAAATAGGAAGAGAATAATTACGATACGTGATAAATTATACCAAAAAGAATTGTTTCTACAGCTGCAAAGTTTTAATTTCGAAATTTCCCGCCGATCTTTCCAATTCTTGGCATTATGTAGCAAGCAGTCAAGTTTGTCATAAAATTGTTCACAACCAAGTCAATGGCAAAGTTGTGATCAGAAACGTCTTTTCATGGCGCCTCTGCTCACTTCCATCAACCAAAAATTCAAATTTCAAAATTCCCGCCATTTTTGCAAAATTTTTGGCATTCTGTTGCAACCTTTCAAATTGACTGGAAAATCATATTTCATCCACTAAAAAACGTCCACACTCCATAATTCAACCAAAAAATCGATAATTTAATTATAAATTACAATTTCAAAATCACTAATGCCCACTACAACATGTTTAGCTGGTGCTCTTGATCTTGATGTTTCCGTAGATCTTGTGACACGCCACGAACACCTTCTGCTCCTTGATCATCGAGTTGAACGGCAGCGACCAGTAGATTTCGGCGGGAAGCGGTTCGTTTTGGAAGAAGGAGCGCTTCGTCTTCCGATAAACCGCCTCCACCTTGGCCTGGGTCTGCATTTGTTTGCTCACGTCAGTGTCGAAGACGTAGATAGTGGCGAAAATACCCATGGATCGGAGGTTTTGCCCGTCCTGAAAATTTCAAAATAAGCGAAAATATTTTAAAAACTGATTTTTTTTGTAATTTTGGGTCCCGCCACGAAAACCTGAAATTTCCCAAAACTCGGCGAAATAAGCAGGGACAGTATAAAATCAATGTACTTATCAAAAATAACATCGTATTTTACCAATATTTGAAAAATAACCGAGATTTCTCAAAATTTCGGGTCCCACCACGAAAACTTCAATTTCGAAAAAATTGAGAAATCAGTGAAAAATTTGACTCACTTCGCTTTGAACCAGACTCTTGAAGGTCTCCTTGCTCAATCCTTGGCTGTTCAAGATGTCATCAATCTCTGGCAGACAGAAAACCAGCTCCAAATTGTCGTAGACGCCCGGTTTGAGGCCCTCTCCGCAAGTAATCGGCTTTCCATCCAACAAAAGCTGGGCATGAACACCCTTGGCTTGGGCCAGGGTCTCGCAAGCGTTGCAGTAGAGACTGAAATTTTTTTTCAAGATTTCGAAGTGAAAAGGAAAAAAAATTTGCGATTATGATCAGTCTGTCGAGAAAATAATAAACAGAATGTCGCGGTGCGATCTTTGATGATCTTTTTTGATTATAAATGTAAATCTTGAGTTATTAATATAGTATTTTCATAAAGTGCATGGACATTTTGCCGCAATCCGCACTGTGCACGAAAGACCCTCCTTCTGCACCGTGCAGTTCATCTTTTTTTGCTTCTTTTTTGCACCGTGCATTTTATCTTTTTTTGGTTTTCGCACTGTGCATTTGAAATATCACTGCGACAGCGTCAGAAATTTGCACAGTGCAAACGGCTTTTTTGATGTTTGCACTGTGCAAAAAAAAAGAAAAAAACTGCACTGCGCGTTAGCGACAAGCATGGGAAAAAAGTTCAAAATGCACTGTGCGAAAGAGAAAAAATGTCCATGCACTTTATGAAAATATACTGTAGTAATTTACAGAGATTTTTTCAACCAAAAATTCCAAAAAAAATTTTACCACGATCCGAATCCTCCGCAGCCATCAGGTCTTTGTTTTTGGCAGGTCTCTGGCACCTGCTTCTTGTTGGCTGAGGACCTCAACTCCAGATAAATACTGAATTCGCCCTTGAACTCGCTGAACACCTCCACTTTCCCGCCGATACTGTAGCAGCTGTCGGAGCCGGGTCTTGGCAACAACTTGGGGCCCGATCGATCGGTGCCGGCTTCGAATTCAATCTTGCGCTCCCATTTGGCTTTATCTGGAAAATTTCTTTGCAACGGCCGCGTTCAACGCAGTTCTACCTGGTTTATAGCTGCAGGGCTGATGCTTGATCAGCTCCAAGTTCATCTCCAATTCGTCGTCGATTTTGATGGCTTGCGCCGAGACCACGAGCAGGGCGATTAAAGCAAGGCGAGCCATTGGGAACGGGCTGGAATTTCATCGAGATTTTTCGATTTTGAAAAAATTAAAAATTCGGAGAAAAAGATCCGGTAAAATGAGGTATCGGTGTGTCGGGAAAATAACGCGCAAATTTGATTTTGCCGCGATACAATTCATTTTCTCGGCGGCGATGCAATTTTCGCTGCGACAGAGTGCTCATTATTTTCCCGACAGACTAATCGTCTATTCGCCAAATATGCATAGCAAATGTTAAAAACTTTTTTGACTAGCCAATCAGTTGATATATGATAGCCAAAAATCGAAATTTGTTGAGCTTTTTAGGGCATTTTTAAAATTTTGAAAAATTTTATGTTTTGCTTCCCAAAAATTTTTCGCTGTAAAAATATGCCAATGGGTTGAAAATCAATCGCTGAAAATACTACCTCATGATTTGCAGATATAGCTGAGATATTGCAAAAAAAGAAACTTCCAAACGAGAGATTATGGAAAATGATGAGAGACGGGCGCAGAAAAGGTCTTTCATTCAAAAATGTGGCAGGAAAAATCGATTCTTCTGCAGAGTTAAGGCTCCGAAAATTACACAAAAAAAATTTAGACCTCTATACAACTAAAACGACCAAAATTGTTTGTTATCAAAAGTCTTTGTTGTATGGAGGTTTCAAAAAGTTTTGTATGTCATCTTCAGCGCCTTTTTATGCAATCTTCAGAACCATTGCAAAAAAATCAATTTTTCCTGTTACATTTTTTAATGAAACCCCTTTTCTATGACCCTCTCTCCTCATTTTCCATAATCTTTTGCTCGGATTTTTTTTTTTCAATATCTCAGCTATATATATTTGCAAATCATGAGGTAGTATTTTCAGCAATTAATTATCAACGCATCCGAATATTTTTACAACGAAAATTTTTTGGAAAGCAAAAACCAAAATTTTTCAAAATTTTTCAAATTCCCTAAAAAACCTCTTCAAATCTTAACAAAATCACAAGCCGAAAATGTTCGCTACATCCCATCCCTCTCGATGCACACCCCGAGGCGAACAACAAAATGACACACGAAACGTCCGTAGACATCTGCCGATCCCGAAACCGGCGCCCGACTAATGGAAGCGAAAAATTCGGGTTTTCCATCTGCCATCGCTGCAAGGGGTTGGTGAAAGTGAAAGTCGTTGATGAACGAATAAAAAACGAGTGAAACAAACGTTGTGCTGAGAAAAAGTTGAACTTGGAAGGTCGGTTAGAGGCCAGCTGTTTGGGAAGATGCGACAACCTCTTCGTACCCTGAAGGCAAGACTTTTCGACCTGACACGTAGCAAACAGGGCTATGCAAATCCAGAAAGCCAAGTTCAAGTTCAAATTTGGGGCTTTGAAGTCCCTCATCCTACAGTGAGGGACCGGATCCAATGGCAAAAAACGTCTCATTCTGCATCCCGGAAGGGACCAAAATGTCTCCAAACCCTTCCCTTCTCTAAGCTAAAAAAACCCGGCTTTGAAGGGCCCCCCTTGAAGGAAAGGGCGCGCTTTTCGAAGCGGAGTTTTTTTAGCTTAGAGAGGGAAGCATTTTGCCACATTTTTGATACCTCCTGGATACAATATGCACGTTTTCTTGCTTTGGAGTCATTTTGGTCTCTTCCGGGATGCAAAAGAAGACGTTTTTTGCCGCTGGATCAGGTCCCTCACTGTAAGTTCAAGTCCAAATTCAGGCCTAGGAAAACCTCGAATTCAAGTTTGGAAGAATTCATAGGCTAGAAGGGAAGTGCCCCAAGTGCGACGCTCAGATTTTGCTGAAGCTTGGCACAAATTTAGAATGATTTTTTCTAACAAGAAAAGCACTTCTATGGGGTATGGAGCTACAGGTCGAGACATATATCAAAAAATCGCGAAATGTTTCTGATTCAGCAATTGTAAAAATCAGCTGCGCAATTTCGGGTTTGTAAGGGCGAAAAAATCCTCAGAAATTTTCTCGCAACACCACGAAAAATCCTTTTTGACCAAGTTTTTACCAAATCAAAACCTTTGTTTTGAGCTAAAGAACAAGCCACGGGTAAACCGAAATAGAACAAAAATGTCTCCCGCCCACTTTTGAGTTTCGTCCAAACGAAGTGTCACAACTGACAAAAGCATAAAATAATTTCGAGAAAAATATTTTTCCACCGAAAAAACCACACGAAAAATTCTGTTGTGACATTTCGTGTGGATTTGACCGATACTGGGTGTGCGAAGTGCCGAAACGAGGAGGGATTGCCGTGCAAGCCTTTTGCAAAACGCAAATTTAAAAAAAAATTACAGAATCCGAAAAACCGACTATTTATACGTCAACTTCTAATCCTGACAAATCCAAAATTCATCTGGGTAAATTCGAAAAAATAAAATTTTAAATCGAAAATCCAATTTAAAACCCTCAAAGCGCTTTCAAAATCAAAAAAAAGTTGATCGAAAATGGGATCCTCTGCGAGGGATCCCTGGGATCTTCTTCTTTGATTCACTCGACGAATGCGGGAGAAAACAAGTTACTGGAACTGCGATGTTTAGTGAAGACGTCGCGTGAAGAAGACATCCGATTAGATTATGGAAGTTATATGGGGATAAAAGATGATCGTTTTATTCAAACGTAAAGATGACAATGAGAAAACCGGGAAATGGAATGTCGGAAATTCAGCTATAGTAGGCACAAAAATTCGAGTGAACTGGAAATACGACAATGGTAAAGAAGAACGAATTTCGTTGACCTGTATTGACTCTAGGACAGTCATCACTGGAAAAGAAAAAAGCTTTGATAAGCGATGTGCGACGCTCAAATTTTCTTCACACATTGCACACACCTCGTGCATGCAACAGATATCGACTTCTGAAAGTTTCAGCTCGCGCTTTGCATCCGCAGCCGAGATATTCAACGATTGTTGCGGCCGAGAGGGTATACGAAGTGCGGAGAGCATCCCAACAGAGAAACATTTTTTGCCATATCTCTGCCCGTTTCGCGCAGAAAAAATGATTTTTTGTAGAAAAATTAACGTCATAATCTTCGACAGAAGCTGGTATGGAACGTTTCTTGTCATAAAAAAGTGGCATTTTTGCCAGCTTTCGGTCGTTTCTGCAAAACGCGAGCCAGGAGCCCTGCGTATCTTTTATCAAAAATTAATCTATATTTGCGCCAAGTTTCATCAAATTCTGAGCATCGCACTTGGCCTAATTCCCATGCAAACCTTTTGCCGGTTAGCGGAGGTCGAAGCGCGTACCGATGACCAAGCTTTCCACTCCTCACCAAACTAAACCACGGAAGTTCTCATTACTGTCTTCTCAATGCGAGGCAGGATCCAGTGGTCAAACGGGCTTCCCATTTAATCTCGGAAGCATTCCGAATGCCTCCAAATACGTCCCTCTCTGGCCGAAAATAGCAATCTTTTGAAGGGTGAATACGAAAGCCGCCTTTTTTGCTTCGCATCCCCTCAAAAGAACACTATTTTCAAAGCCAGAGAGAATTATTTGGAGGCCTTCCAAAAACCTCCGAGATGTAATGGGAAGCACTTTTGACCACAGGATCCTTTCCTGCACTGTAGACAGCAGTAAAGAAAACTTCTATGGTTTAGTTTGGTGAGGAGTGGAAAGGTATCATCGGTAGCAGCTGCAACGTTCTAACCGGCAGCGCTGGAGGTTTTCAGGGGAAGTAGTCCAAGTGCGATGCTCGGAATTTGATGAAACTTGACTCAAATTTAGATTAATTTTTGCCAAGACACACGCCTGACTCCTAGCTCGCGTTTTGCAGAAACGACCGAGATTTTTAGGGCGAAAGCAGGCCAAAAATGCCACTTTTTTACGAATTTTGGCAAGAAACGTTTTTCATACCAGTTTCTGCCGAAGATTATAGAGGGTAATGTTTCCGCAAAAAATCATTTTTTCTGCGCGAAACAGGCAAAGACATGGCAAAATTTCTCTGTACGACTGCTCTCCACACTTCGTAGGCTCTCTCGGCCGCCACAATCCTTGAATATCTCGGCTGCGGATGCAAAGCGCGAGCTAAAACTCTCAGAAGTTGATAACTTTGGTGCGATACTCAGATTTTGATAACTATATTCCTTGAGCAACAACTAACACTATGCTTTATTTGTTTCCCGGTTCTCACTTGCAGGCGTACTCAATGAAGCCAACAGCCGGCATTACCATTGCGTATAGGCCGGATCCTGGTCTATAAATGAGCAGGCCGTACGGCGGGTCACAGGAATCACCACCGTAAAGTCGTATCAAAAAACATTGCGTAAAAGTGCGATTGATGATGCATTGTTTACGAAACAACTGGTTGAAACCAACGTTGTTCGTTGTAATGGTTCGAATTTTCGGTCGTAATCGGTAACCAGTGATAATAACACTATTAAAAAAGGTCGTAACCTTTTCAAAATCAATTTTTGTGGATTTTTTTTTGTTAAATAATAGTAATTTACCCCAATTTCTCAATTTCCATTTTTCTCTCGTCCGATTTCCGGCTAACATTTTTTTCTTTACAGTTTTATCGTTTTAAGACCCCGTTTGCTCCCTCCGATTGAAATGTTTCGTTGTAACAGTCAATTCGCTCGCGTTTTCACACCTTTTCCAACAAAAAAAAAAAAACGAAGAGAAAGTCGTTGGAACCTTCGGTTTTCACCGAAAGGGCTATCGAAAATCGCTTTGAGCCCGCATATTTTACGCGCGTTTCGATAAACTGTCATCAAAAAACAGTTTGTGATGAGAAAACAAAAACAGCCTGAGGGTGTTTAGCTTTTTTCAGCGTTCTTTGCATTCTCAGCACTGTAAATTGCTTGTCTTTGTTTGTTTTTACCTATTTCTTACAGAGTAAACGGTTTTTTATAATTTTGGGTGACTAATTAGCTGGAAATTAATAAAATTAAAAAAGTTCGTGTGGTTTACAAGCCCGGGACCACTTTACAATGCTTTTGATTACGCAATTTAGGTGGCAGTATACAGATAGTGTAAAGAGTTGACCAAAAAAACAGTTGGGAAAATGTTTGTTTTTTTTTTGTATTTGACGTCACTTTCTTACTGCACATTACTTTATAAGCCCTTCCGGAAAATTTTCCAGCCAGTGTTTGAATAGTTTAATGGCAGCGATTTAGACTTTTGTTTGAAAGGACGCAAGTTCGAATCCCCGTTGATGTGAACGTCACTCTATGTATTTTAAAATAATTTACTGAGTTTTTTGTCTAGCACTGCTTTTTAAAAGTTGTAATCAGTCATTTTCACGGCTTTAAAAGCCATTTGCCACCCGAAATTTTTATTTTTTCATATTTTTTGGGCATTTTTTGTGTTTTACACCGTAATTTTATACCGAATTAGGAGTGAAATACTACATAAAATTTATCTTTATATTGTCCTCAATACTTTTTAATCTGATTTCCTCCATTTTCCCGGATTTTCAACCTCTTTTTTATTAAATTCCACCCGCACGGTGCAGCCTAGATTCTCACCCCATAAGTCAAAAAATTTCGGTAATTAGTCAAGATTACACTCTAGGCGCCATCGTTTTTTCTCTATGAACGTAAATCATAGCCATAAAAAGGGTTTAACCCTAGCAAAATCATAATTTTCGACCCGCGAACGGTTTCTTTTTTGTTGGGGAAAAAACTGGTTTTTTATCGGTGCAAGCGGCTCTTTATGGAGTTACTACTTTGGTTCTAAGACTGTAAAAATGCATAAATTTTGGGGAGATTATAAATGGAAATTTGGGAATTTATGAAGCAGAATATGCGGCCGGAAAATTTTTGGAATTTTAAGATTTTTTTGGATTTTTTAGAGCATTACTCGAAAAAACACGGTACAAATCAATCTTTCATATTTTTAGCTCACTTTTTGAAAATTATTTTCAAAAAGAATTCAAATTTTTATCATAATTTTCGACATTTTTCGGCCTAAATCACGCTGGGAGAGGCAGGTGATAAAACCTTGGAAATTTTCATCAAAATCCGTTGCTCAATTTTTCCATTAATACCAACCTTTTACAAAAAAATTTCTTTTTCCATTTTTCAACCTTTTCATTATCAGTCTGTCGGAAAAATAATGTGGATTTCCATAAGTATTTACAGCGTTATTTGCGCTTTTCGCAATAACTTTATTTTTTTGCAAAAAAAGGTATGGCTCCAAAGTAAATAAAAATCGGAAATAAATATCACTCTGTCGGGAAAATAATGTGGATTTGTCGTGCTTGAAATCGCCCGTCATCGCGTTGCGACGGCTGCAGATTTGGTGCGCAACTGCGACAAGGAAAGAAATTTTACAAAGACGAACACACATTATTTTCCCGACGGACTGATATGTCGCAGCAAAATGTCTTGACTCGTCGCAGTTGCGCACCTAATCTGCAGCCGTCGCAAAGCCATAACAGGTGATTTCAAAGCACGACGAATCCACATTATTTTCCCGACAGACTGATATTTATTTCCGATTTTTATTTACTTCGAGAGCCACACCTTTTTTGCAAAAAAAAAATTAAGTTATTGGGGAAAGCGCAAATAACGCTGTAAACACTTATGGAGTCACCGCTCTGAATTGATCATCCCACAAAACGGTTTGGCTTCCAATTCCAATTTTTTTCGCAATGATGGAAAGGTATTTGTAATTCTTGGGCTAATTGAACAAACAGGATTTTTTCCTACGCTGACGGAGCCCATAATTAAAATAATTTTTAGGGAATTAGGCAAAATTTTTTAATTTCTTCTAACAGGGAGGGTGTACCAAGTGCGAAGCTCAGATTTTGATGAAACTTGGCACAAATTTAGCATTTTTTTTGTAGGACATATACGAGACTTCTAGCCCGCGCTTTGCAGAAATGACCGAGATTTTTAGATCAAAAATTGGCCAAAAAATGTGACACCTTTTTTGGAAATTTTGGCATGAAAAAGTTTCGTCGATTTCTACCGTAGAGTGTAATGTTTCCACAAAAAAATAATTTTTTTCCGCGCGAAACTGGCGAAGATACAGCCAAAAAGTGTTTTTTCTCTGCCCGACCTCCGCGGTTCGAGTACTCTCTCGGCTGCAAAAAGACTTTTAATCGTTGAATTTCTCGGCTCTGCCTGCAAAGCACAAGCTAAAATATATATTCAGGAATCGATACGTGGCCAATGCCCGAAGTGTGTCAAAACTCAAACTTTATAGAAAATCTAGGCACCGCAATTGAGGCGATTCCCTTGTAAATTATTTTTCTTTATTTTTGTTTTCGTAAAGGTTGGAAAAACCAGAATTGTTGCGTTTGAACACCAACCACCAGCTTTTAATTTTTTATAAACCATTTTTTCAGCTTTTCGCCATGCGGTGGCTCACTATTTCGGCCATATTGGCCTTATCTACGCTTCGTACAATGTCCATGGAAGTCAAAGTTTTCAAATATGGAGGTAAAAATCGGCTGCAAAACTATCAAAACCCCCAAACTTCCTGACAAAACTAATCAAAAAATTTTCAAATTTCAGTGGGAGATCGTGCAATCAACATGGTAGATGAGACTCAGTTCAAATTCCCGGATCCTCGAGACTTCACCGACGACATTCTAAAACAAGTCGACTTCAAAGACGAATACGACGAGCTGGTTCCGAGCCTGCCCCGTTACGATGTTCATAAATTCGGAGAGGAAGTCGAAGTTGGATCGGTAAGGGAAATTTACCCAATCCCAGAGGACTTTTCATCAGTCTGTCGGGAAAATAATGAGCACTCTGTCGCATCGAAAATCACATCGCCGGAGAGAAAATCAACTTTGTCACAGCAAAATCAAATTGCTTTTCACTTCAGCGACGCAGCAACATTGTGCATAATTCTCCCGAAAAATAGATTATCGACAAAAAAAGTCGAAAAAACGATCAAGCAGACCCAAATTTGCTATCAGAAAGTATCCCAGAGACGTGAAAAGGCTGTTGGACTTGAAGAGAGGAGCTTTCACTTTTGTCGACAACCTTTTTCAAGTCGAAAAAAGTGGTCGATAAAAGTGAAAAGTCCCGTCTTCTAACCCAACAGCCTTTTCACGTCTCTGTGATACTTTTTTAAAAGCGAGTCGACGTCTCTTTTATCAAAACGAGCAGGATTTTTCAGTACTCAATTTTTCCTTCAGGTTCCTATCGTGACCCGACCAAAGCCCTACTGGTCGACTCCATCGCCCCGAAAATTCAACGAACGCGCCTTCAGCACTCCCCCATCAGTTTTAGCGGCGTTGGAAGCAGTCCGAGCCACCAGGCCAACGCATGCACCGGCCAAAACAACCACTGTAGCGCCGAAAACAACTCCCGAAACCCTGAATATCAATCAAATAGACGATACACCCGAGACGACTACTAGGAGGAAATCAGTCAAGATCACTACAACAACACCAAAACCAACTACTACAGAAGCGGAAGTCACGGAAAAATCGACCACAGAACGACCAAGCACTGCCAAGCCAAAGTTCCAAACCCCCGAAATTACTCGGAAATCCTTTACAACAACTTCGAAGCCGAGTACAACAACTACTGCAAAGGCGAGCACAACTACAGCGAAGCCCAGTACAGTCAGTGGAAATACGCCACCAGTCTGGAGAAATCCTAATTTCATCAACAGAAACAACGAGATCACCGTGGGAAAATCGCTGGGAACCAGGTAAGGAATGGGAGAAACACTTGACACTTGAATGGCTGTTTCCTCAGCTGGTGATATAAAAAAATCCCATCCAGGGGTGGTCAGCGGACCCTATTTTTCCGATTTTCGGCCCGCGGCCCGGCCCGTCTAATTACCGGCCCGGCCCGGCCCGTCTAGTCTTTTTCCAGGCCCGGCCCGGCCCGGCCCGTGACGGGCCTGGCCCGGCCCGGCCCGGCCCGTGCAGGCCCGTTTATAGAGGGTTCTGCGAACTGCGCCCAAGCTTGGGATCTAAACTTAGGCAAAAAAGGCGTTGATATAGCTAGTAAAGGATCAATGTGATAGTTTTGTGGTTTTATAATAGAACTATAGACTTGTAAACGTTTTAGAACTTCAGAAACAGCAACTATAACAACATCAATTAATTTTCCCGGCGCGAAAACAATGAATGCCAACGGTTTGGCATTGTAATTTAGACGGGCCGGGCCGGGCCGGAAAAACCCCAGGCCCGCGGCCCGGCCCGGCCCGGCCCGTGACGGGCCCGGCCCGTTTGTAATTTTCCATTTTTGAGCCCGGCCGGCCCGTTTGGGCCGGGCCGGGCCGGCCCGTCACGGGCCGGCCCGGCCCACTGACCACCCCTGATCCCATCCCGTATCCCATTCTATTTCTAAAATATTAAGTTTTTCTTCATAGCAAATTCATCTAACATAAATCCACCTCAACACGTATTTTACCATTATTTCGAGTCAAGCCTTCCTCTCCTACCAAATATTGGGAAAATTGATCTACAAGGTGTTCCTAGAATTATGGAAAAAACTATTCATTAATAACTTAGTTCTCGGTGGTCCAATCCGAAAAATTTCTTTTGCATTTTACAGGAAAACATTTGAGTTTTTATAATCAAAAAAAATTTTTTTTTCTTTGACCGGCGGAGACTTCGGTGATCTTCTTTGAATTCGGCGGAGTGTTTTTTTCACAAATGAGGCTGTAAATTGTTGTATGTGTGAAGAAAATGGGCGGGAAAGGATTCAGAAGATACAATATGACATTTATTTCAAATTTTCGTCATTCGGCGGAGACATTTTTTAACCTCGGCGGACGATTTTTCTTCGATTTTGCAGGTTCAAAATTGGCCAAAACCAAAACGTATGGTATTCCTGGTGGCATGGCGCCTAAATACGACTTGTTACGCCTTCGGCCCACTGGGAGAATAAAAAAAAGCAATTCGGCGGAGAAATCGGCGGAGAAAAAATGAACCCATTTTTACAGCCTCGTTTATGAAAAAAGCACTTCGCCGAATTCAAGGCGGATTACGGAAGTCTCCGCCGATAAAACAAAAAAATCTTTTTTGATTCTAAAAACTCCAAGGTTTTTCTGCAAAATGCAAAAAAAATTTTCGGATTGGACAATCGAGCACAAAGTTATTAACGAATAGTTTTTTCCATAATTCTTGGAACACCCTATATAAGGGGGCTATACAAATTTTACATTGCTTCGTTTAGCCTATCCGGTCCCTCTGGATCCCGAATTGTCCTCGACAGCCACGGAAAACCAGTTGAGCTCAAGTTTGGAGCTCCTAAAGCAACTTCGTCTCCAAAACCGTCACCCACTGCAACTACCCCAACTCCACCAGCCCTGCCCATCTTCAACCGGCCCACTCCCCACATGTGGCAGCGATCCTGGTCGTCGAGCTGGAAAATCGGCCCGAATGGACAGAAAGTGGACGAGAAAACTACCGTAACCGAGACAAGAGGCGGGAAAACTGAGACCAAGACGATCTCGGGCGGAATTGAGAATCTACCGAGAATTCTGCCACCTCCAATCATCCACACCAACCCAAAGGAGTACAGAGGTAACGTTTTATTTCGCTTTTTTGCCAATTTTTTTAATGCCAGGGCGCGAGCTGCCGTTTTTTCAAACCATCGGCAACTCACAAAAATCGTATTTTATTACTGTATAGGCTCCAAATTGGAACATTTTTCACAATTTTTGCCGATTTAATCAAGTTTTTTTATTTCATCCCAAGCCTGGGCGCGAGCTGCCAACCGCCAAAAGCACTGTTTTTCATGATAATTGGAAAAATTAATGTATTTTACGTTATTTCCAGGGCCTACATTCAACTGCCGAGTCTTAGACGCGGCTGTGGACGGAGTTGCATCGCCCGACAACGACGAAACTTGCAAACTAAACTTCCCAGGTATGTACTGCAATATAGAAAATTTTTCGAACTTTTTATCTCTGGATAAGAACTGACTAGTCTTTTTAATTGCTATCATCCATCTAAAAGCACTTTTTGCTATATAATCGTCAAAATTTTATATTACACTAGGCATCTGATGCCGTATTAGGCCAAAAAATCATTTTTATTAGCCAGAATTTTCTCTCAATCCACTTTTTAGTTCCTAATCTTCCATTCTAAACCAAGATCTCACTTCTACACCATCCCAAATCCTCATTCCTCACCTAATTTTACCGTATTTTAGGTTATCCGGCCGACGAAACCTGCCGTTGCACGTTCAAGGTGCAGGAGCGAGATGAAGCGGGATGTGCTTTGGGCTTCATTTACACTTGTCGTCGGGTCGTGTTTGCTTAGATTTTTTTCAATTTTCAACAAATAGTATCAATTAGTATTGTTTTTGTTTTTCGTATAAAACTCGTTAATTTTTTAGCGCGATAACGTTTTATTCTACTAAAACAACAAGAAAATGCATTTTACACACTGTACATTAACCATGGCAAAAATTATTATCACCCGTAAAGATGGAAAGCATTCGAAAAAGGGCAAAAAAATTCGAAAATTTCCAAAAAATCCAGAAAATCCGTCATCATGACAAATTAAATCGGTTTAAAAAAGTCGTAATTTTTTCCGAATTTAAATTTCTTGGGCATAACTTGTGATTAAAACTTCTAAAACCTCCTTTTTCGGCAAAAATTACCTTATTTTAGGTACTAATGACGTATTTTCTAATTTTCTTTCGCTAAAAAACAATTTCAAAAGGCTCCATGCTAAACCTAGATCCATATATTGTCATAATACATAATAATTTCAAAATAAAACTTATTAAAACATCGATTACTACCTTATTTTAGACCAACTTTGGCCTAAAACAAGGTCCTGATTTTTTTAATCCGTTTTTCCTCAAAAAATCTTTTCTTTATACAATTTCAACCCGCTTATTTCATTCGTAACAACAAAATACCCTCAACTATCATTAAAAATTCAAAAATCGCGATTCAAACTCATCTGATACCACTAAAACAACAAAAATTATCCAAAACTGCCGTCTCAACTCCGGATCAATCGCCACGAACGCTATCCACAGCTCAGACGAGCTCTAAAAATCGGGCCGGCATAAAAGATTGAGCAATATTTGCTTACCGATGTAGTGTTTTACTTCATCATACCACTGGAGGAGGGTCATGTGGCCAAACGTGTTTTCCAGGAGCTCTTTATCTCTGTATCTAAAAAATTGAAATGTAAAAACATTTTTAAGCCCTGATAATTCAATAACAAGCTAATTCTTCTCCAATTTCGTCCATTTTCACCAATTTCCGACCTTATTTTAGACACCAGCTCAGATCAAAAAATTTTTTAATTTTTCTTCAAATTTCCACCAAAAAATCGGTAAATGTTTTATCCAATCCCTCCGAGTCCTAAAAACAAACACAAAAAACGCAAAATACGACTTACCTTTGCATGAAACTAGCAGCGCGAGCTTGGTCCACGAAATGGATGACATACCCCGGCTGTCCGTAAAAGGTGACCAAGAAAATACGAATTGAACCATATGCAGGACCGAAGAATGTTCTAAAATAAAATACGATCATTTTGAGAGCATAACCAATAACCAACCAAATAGAAAAATCAAAAAAAAAATATTACTTTAGGTCAAGTGTAATATCACCTGTATTACGATGAGAAAGCCGATTAAATTGGCTTAAAATCTTTTAAAAACACTTATCTTGCTTTGAATATTCATTTCCAAGTCTCTAAACTACTGAAAACGCAAAAAAAAATATATTACTTTAGGTCTAGTATAATATCAGCTCAAACTCAATATCCAGGTCAAATTAATACTCCCAGATGCTTCTAAAATCTCAATCATGCCTTAAAACTCGATTTAACACTCTTCAAAGCTCTAAAATCATAAAGTTAACACTTTTTCCTCCTTTCAATTTATCAATACCTACTACAAAATCCAAAATCCCCTTCAAGCCGCCAAACCCACCTCAACTTCGACTTTGATTTGAACTTCGCATTCTCCATGATGAGTACCGCCGACTTCGGAGGGATTTCCGAGAACTGCGCTCTCTGGTTTGCTGTATTTTCAATCATCGGCATTGTGTTCATGACCATGTTGCGTGTTCCTTGGAGTTGTTTGTACTTCTCGAGTCTCGCCTTTTTATGCGTAACGTTCGGTTTTGGCACACTGGTGTCCAATTCCGCGCGATCTCTTTCTTTCTTTCTCTTCCTTTTGGCAGCCCTTTTTTGGGATTTGGATCTTCCGCTAGCGGCTGTTTCAGGGAGCGATACTGGACCAGCCGGGGTTGGGATTTCCGTCTCGGTGTCGCTTGAAATTTCGATAATCTCCGGGAATTTTTTGCCATCATTTCGGATCGAGCTTATTGATTTTTCGAACTCGTCATTTCGGATCGAACTTGTTGATGTTCGAACTGGACTAGCGAGTTGGCGGGGCCTTTTCTTCGGGCTAATCGAGTGTTCATGGCTTGGACTTGGGCTGGCCTTTCGTTTGGGCGTCCTTTCCGGGCTCAGAAATCCGCGGGAATGCGTCCACGGGCATTTTCCCAACCTCGACATTGGCCGGTTCGTTGGACTAGATGATTTCTCGCTTTTCCTCGCCCTGGACTTCTTTTCCTTCTCTCTTCTTGGACTAACATCTCTTCTGGATCTTCTTCTCGGACTTGGCGATCTTCTCCTTGGACTCCGACTCTCACTTCGTCTTCTGGAGCTCTTCCTTCGCCATCTTCGGCTTGAGTACCCGCTTGACAAACTTCCGCTGGAACTGCTCGATCTCCCTCGTCTCTGGCGCCGGCTTCGATACGAGAGTGACGAGTAACTCCCGTGGCTTCCGCTACGGCTTCTACTTCGGCTTCTCGAGATTCTTATGGGCGAAATTGACGTCCGATTCGGCGAACAGGCGACGCGATAGCGGCGAGGGCGTGGGTCCGAACATCTCGAGGAGCCAGTAGAAATCTGTCGGGCTCTACTCTGAAGACTGGCGCTTCTAGACGGAGTGCATTCGCCCTAAGATTGAAAAAAATAAATAAATTATGTTACAGTGGGCTTAGCGTGCGCGGATTTTAAAAAGCATGTTTTTTTGAGATTTTTTCAAAAAATTTTTACTGATGGCTAGTATACAGTGACAGACGTGATCCAGTGGCAAAAAAAGTACCATATTGCATCCGGGAAGTATCAAAAAATGTAGCAAAACACCTCCCTCTCCAAGTAAAAAACTCCGTTTTGGAGGGCCCGCTTTTCAAAACGGAGTTTTTCAGTTGGAGAGGGAGGCATTTTGCCACATTTTTGACTCTCCCCGGATGCAAAATGATACGTTTTTTGCCACTGGATCATGTCCGTCACTGTATACTACGCCATCAGTAAAAATTTTTTGAAAAAATCTCAAAAAAAAAACATTCTTTTTAAAATCCGCGCATGCTAAGCCCACTGTAACATAATTTATACTTTTTTCAATCTTATAATAATCTCACCTCATCGGATCCAGAAGCCCTTTCAGTCGGCAGAAAGTTTCTTTTTTCAACTCGATCTACTACAACATGCTCTGATGGCTCGACTTTTACGACGTTCGGTTTATGATTGACGATTGTTTTGTGATACACTGTATCTCCAGGGGCCTTCGGAATAAGAGAATCTTCATTTTCCTGAGAAAAAAAAATTATATTGAACTTGATGTTTTTTGAACTTCAAATTCATATAACTGAAACAATGATCCACAAAAACGCCAAAAAAAACTTCAGGAATGTTCTATTGGAGCTCTATCTTCATCTTCAGAAAGTTTTATAAAAAAAAAAATAAACCAAAAAATTCTCATGTGTAATATAATTTTTTGCCTAAACCTGACGAAATTTGAATTTCAAATGAAGTCTAAGAGTAATGTAACAACATAAAACAATATTTTCCACCAAAAGAGAGGCATTTACATCTCAACTTTTCGAAAAATCTTACCTTTTCCGTCAAAACAGGTGAATTTGGTGGGAAAATCATGCGGCCTGACCCAGTCATAGTTGGCGCTGTTACTATTGGAACGCTCACCACATTCTTCGAGTTCTCTTTCACTTTTTTACCACTATTTTTAACATTTTTAACCGGCTCCGGAGTCACAGTTTTCTCGATCTTGTTCCTGTCCTCCATTTCTTGAATAAGTCGTCGTTCCGCCTCGGACAACAAACTGTCCGGCCTTCCATACTTGTGGTTCTCTCCGCCAAGACGCTCTCCAAATATTTTCAACATTGTCGTGGGGGAGAATCGCCCAGTTGTGTGGCTTTTCGGCTCATCTCCCACATGACCATCTGATGATGAAGTTGATGATGCCAAGGGACTCTCGACAAATCGCATCGCGCTTTCTTCGGAATTCTGCGATCTCAGGTCGATATCTTGCGGTGAGCTTTCGTTCTGATTCATTTCCATTCCGTTTTCGACATCATTTTTATGTTGTACTTGACCTGAAGAGCACAAAACTCCCGAATTTGATGGGGTTTGGCTCAAATTTTGGGAGCTCTCATCTTCCAACGTAACAACCTCAATTTTTACCTTCTTCTGAACACCAATTCCCGCTGTCTTCGGCTGAATCTCACAAGTTTCTGAAGCTGGTTGTGAAATTTCAGGTGGAATTTGAGTTTCCACATTCTCCAGAGGCGTTGTAACTGGTTTTTCTTTCTTCAAAGCCACTTCACTTGTCTTGCTACAGCTCGGAGACACATTTTCTTGTTGAGCTTTAGCATTTTGTTCCGATTTCTCGGCCTTTTCTTCGATTATTCTCTCCTTTGTAGCTAGTTCCACCGCAATTTCGTGTAATTTGATGGTCATACGGTTGTAAAACCCATCGATCGACTCGTCAGTGGCGTGCGGAACAATTCGACGTTCCAGTTGAAGGATCTGAGTCAAGGATTGCTGAACAAAAGCTGTTGGAATTCGATGGTTCGGCAAGATCTTACGGATCTCCTAAAGTAAGGTTGGAAATCATTTTTTTCAAAAGTCAGCAGCTCCAAATTTTCTAATACAGCAAGAATACATCATTTGCTTGCTGGAAACAAAATTTGGGCTCACATTTGAAAAAAGTGCGGCGTTGAAATCCAAAATACCTTGTACACCATGAGCCAATAAACAATGTTGCTGCAGGCCAACCAAAGACGTGTCGTTGTAGCGGCAGTCACTCAGCGGGCACATACAAGTCTCCTAGAAGCTGTATCACTCAAAAATTTCAAGCACTTACCACTTTTTTCCGATGAATTACTCGAATATGGATCTCCAAGAAATTCGGCGCCGAAAAATTTTTGTGGCATTGAGAACAGTGATGCGGCCGCAGGGCAGCGTGCTCCACCATCACATGACGCAAGACGACGGCAGTCGTCACATTCTCTCCCAAATTCGCCGCGCATCCACGCCATTTACATTGGTCTTGAGGGCTTCCGAGATGGGCGGATAAATGAACAACCAGCTCGTCGGTGTGTCCAAAAACCTCGCTACATTCATCCCAACAGCAAGGGTTGGGCATAAGCTCCGACTAGATGCGCAATTTAATGTGTTTCAGTTTATGTTTCGCTGAAAAACAATAATTTTTAGACTTGACACCTAAAACAACATAAATTCTCGCAAATATTCGTAGAAAACAAGAAACATAAATATAAAAGGCCGCGCAACGGCGTGAATAGGACTTCAACTATCTAAAAAAAGAAAAAAACCGCGCGAAACGGGAAAAATTAGCCATGGATAAGATCTTTTACCCATCCGAAAATACAACCCTGATCAAAAGAAACCCAAACGCCTTGAGAAACAGGAGGACTGCTTTACGAGAGGTAAAAGACGTGAATGTCGCAGTAAAACTAATTTTACGACAAGCGTTTGAAAATTTCACGGGAATATTTATGTTATCCTTGAGGTTCTAGAAACTGTGTCATCCCAAACACGGAAAATCCAGGAAGCTGAATTTGCACATCAAGCGTCACTTTTATTTGGACTAAATGAGAGATATCAGTGCTGATTTTGTTGTTTTAATAAACAAAATCGACCAGAATCAATATGTCACCATGACGGATTTTCTGGAAATGACGAGAAACCGAAAAATAATAAGGAATACTGTAAAATTATTGTCTGGAATTGTTGCAAATGGTATTTTGAGAGGGTCTAAAAAAATCCCAGTCAAAAAAGCGAGACTTTTTATCAAAACAAGACCTATTTGCCAAGTATAATATAAAAATGACTTTAAACTCCCTTTTTCTGGCCAAAAAGCATCCGTAGAGATGGGGAAAAATGGATCACTATCCATCGGCAAAAATAAAAACCCCTTGTTGACCATTCGGAGTGAATTGCACAACAAAAGAGAATTGCGCGATAAAAGCGGATAAGTCAATACTATATAATCACGAACGAAATGGATGACATCTCATAAGAAGATCGCTTTTTTTGGGAATATGTACTACTAGTCGTTCCAGAAAAAGCGTAGACTTTTCGTCGTGGTCCGCACCGTGCACAAAACCCCTTTTTTGCGGGGTGCTTTGGACCATCTGCACGGTGCAATTCCAATATCGCAGCGACGGAGGCTTTTCTCAACGGAGCCGGCCCGAATGTTGGGCATGCGAAAGGAAATGGCACAGTGCAAAATGTTTCGAAAAGGAGAGCGTCGCGCAACATCCACTGTGTGGTGCGAAAAAGGGTCAGTTCGCAAAGTCGCTGGAGTGATTTCGGCGACATGTCGCACTGTGCATGTCGCGACATGCACAGTGCGAAAACAAAAGTTCACTTTGCACTGTGCGAATTTTCGTGCTTTTTGCGCCGTGCAATCGGCTTTTTTGGGCTGTCGCTCGCACCCTGAGTCTTTTTTCGCACAGTGCATGTCGCCGAAATCACTCCAGCGACTTTGCGAACAGTCCAGAAAAAAGTGCGCAACAAAAGAGGAAAAAGAGAAAAAAAGGTTGAAACGGAGGGCGAATTTTTCAGTGTCAATCACCATGTTATCCTTTTTTGGTTGGGTTCAGACTTTTCACGAATGCGAAGTTGGGGTCAACGACAGCTGAAAAGTCGGGGCGCGCTCTCCTGCTGTTTCTCGGCCCTAAAAGCGGCATAAAATAAATCGCGGGGATTTATTTTGCGCCTCGGATATCATGATAAAATGCAAAAACATGCAATCAAAAAAATTTTTTTGATTTGAAAAATTTTCACATTAAATTTCAAGAAGCCGGGAAATCGAAAATTGGGCCCGAAAAATACATGAAAAATGGAGAGCGTCGTCCGCAATGGCGCCGAAATTCGGGCAATCTTCTTTTTTTTATCTGATTAACAACAAGTGTTCATTCGGAGAGAGCTCGATTTTATTCTGGCCACGTATTTTTTGGAAATTAAAAGAGCGAAAAGTTGAATCGTAATTGGGAAAAGTCTGTCATGATGACTTGTTTATGACAAATGTACTGTCCTGAGGGGAAGAGCCTTCCAAATAAAAAAATCAGTCATCAAAAACATCGATTTCTTCTCTGAATTTATACTCACGATTTATTTACTTACAAAAATATATATAAAAAAAGAGAAATTCATGGGTTTCTTATTTATCCTATCCTATATTTAGCCGAGTAAACTCAAGGCTTTTGGGGGTGGTGTATTTTACTTTGGTTTCTTGGACTTTTGGGTGGTTTCAGACTGCTTGCCGGATTTGGCGCTGGATGGTTTCTCCACAGGGAGCGAATCCCACCATGGGTCCGAGTACTCAAACTCGAACTTGACTCGGAACTGAAAATAAAACAATTAAAAATTTTTTAAATAATAAAAAAAAAATAAAAATAAAGCCTCACCTCATCCAGAGTCTTCAAAACCGCGGCCATATCGATCGTATTGCCCGGGGGCTTGTCCCAGATCAAGTTCCTGAGCATTGCGATGATTTCGTCATCCTTTGAAGGGTACTGCGGAACGTCCTCGGTCTGCGCCTTCAAATACAACTCGACCAGGCCTTCGGTTTCGTCAGGAGTTGGCCGAGAATAGGCGAACTCGCCCGTCAGGACCACCACACAGCAGTGGAACCAGGACTGCATGTCGTCGACCATGCTGACCTCCTGGCCACGTAAAGCGGGAAGCGACATGTACTCGAGGGTGCCACAGCCGGCGGGACGCTTCGCTCCAAATTTCTTCACAAACCCGAAGCCGACGATTTCAATCTGAAAAAATTGTGCATTATCTTGTTTTCGGGACAACATGAAGCAATTTCTGGTAACAAGGAGAATAACAAAACTGCACCGCACGGCATTCTGTACTTTTGCGACACAACCGATCTCCGCGACTTTTTCTATTTTTTTTTTCGGAATGCGCTTGCCTTCTCTCTCCATATCTCGCTGGCCGTTTGAGCTAGAAGGCTAAAACTTGGCATGGCGGTAGAGTAAAAAGCCGGCTTTGAGAAAATATAAATACCGTAAGGAACCCCGTCGTATGAACTTCGCAATGACCATTGAAAAAATTTCATTCTGAAAACTTCTGCAACCCAAAAGTGCAAGTTGCATGATCGTATTGACAAATTTTTTTTAGTCTCTGTGTGTCAGTCAAATTTGATTCTCAAATTTGATAGCCGAATCTCATCGTATTCGATGTGTAACGAGCTGAGTTATGATTAACATCACAGTGCTTTTTTTGGTACTTTGAGTATAATTCGGCCCTTAGGGCATCTACAAACAAATCCGCCAGCCGAATTATTCAATATGCTCGTAAGTATGATCCTACCAAGTTTCGTCCTTCTAGCTCGAAAAATGGCAACGTTATTCGCATAGTTCTTCTTTCAATAGCTAAGCCCTGAGTTTTTTAATTTTCTGCTTGAAAATAATTCTCAAGGTATGAATACCACTTAGAATAGGATCATACTTACGAGCATATTGAATAATTCGGCTGGCGGATTTGTTTGTAGATGCCCTAAGGGCCGAATTATCCTTAAAGTACCAAAAAAAGCACTGTGATGTTAATCATAACTCAACTCGTTACACATCGAATAAGATGAGATTCGGCTATCTTGTAGAGAATCAAATTTGACACACAGAGACTAAAAAAATTGTCAATACGATCAAGCAACTTGCACTTTTGGGTTGCAGAAGTTTTAAGAATGAAATTTTTTCAATGGTCATTGCGAAGTTCATACGACGGGGTTCCTTACAGTGGCGGTCAAAAAAACGGCCACCCCGAGATGATGCGCTCTAACGCAGAAGAGAGTGGTCGTAGGAAGATAAATATGGTATCATTGTAAAGCTTATGGAATACTAAGACGTGCGAAAATACGCTTGTGGCACTGTAGTGCTGGCCTAGCCCGTACTGGGGCAAGATGTTATTTTGGCCAAAAAAAATGGCCACCCATAATTATTGTGCTTTAAATGCGGTTTATGCTAGAAATTGCCGCCATATGCGACTGGACTAGGATAGCTATATCAATACACACAAATCCCAGTATTTCTTATTTTGTACATATGCCCTCAGGCATCAATCAAGGTTGATAACCTAGTTCATGGTTAAGGCCCGGCCAAATTTTTTTTTGGGTTTGTGCCGTTGTTTTGATAATCCGAAGCAATACTGTAGACGGTATTGATCGTATTCGTGTGTAAAACTGCCCACTTTTGTTAAAATTGTGCCCCTTCTGATAAGAAAACTCAAAAAATGGAATTTTTTGACCTAATTTTCTCCAAAAATCCGTTTTGGAGGCCGCTAAACAATGAATGTAGAATCTTAAACAGGTTTTATTTGTACAGGAACATCATGGACATTTGTTTTAACACGGCACCGGTTAAAGGAAACGACCGTCCGAAACGACAGATACCGTTTCGTTACAGTTTTCGACTTCGGGAAATAGTCATAAACTTTGTCAAGGTCTGCAACCCGAATTTTTACTTTAGGGGCTCATATTTACGTTTAAATGATTAATTGGTATCTCAACTACGCCACAAATGCGATACTATATTCTAACCTCTATTCAACGAAGTCTCGGAACCAGACAAAATTCATGATTACTTCCTGAAGTCGAAAACTGTAACAAAACGGTATCTGTCGTTTCGGACGGTCGTTTCCTTTAACCGGTGCCGTGTTAAAACAAATGTCCATGATGTTCCTGTACAAATAAAACCTGTTTAAGATTCTACATTCATTGTTTAACGGCCTCCAAAACGGATTTTTGGAGAAAATTAGGTCAAAAAAATTCCATTTTTTGAGTTTTCTTATCAGAAGGGGCACAATTTTAACAAAAGTGGGCAGTTTTACAAACGAATACGATCAATACCGTCTACAGTATTGCTTCGGATTATCAAAACAACGGCACAAACCCAAAAAAAAATTTGGCCGGGCCTTAACCATGAACTAGGTCATCAACCTTGATTGATGCCTGAGGGCATATGTAGAAAATAAGAAATACTGGGATTGGTGTGTATTGATATAGCTATCCTAGTCCAGTCGCATATGGCGGCAATTTCTAGCATAAACCGCATTTAAAGCACAATAATTATGGGTGGCCATTTTTTTTGGCCAAAATAACATCTTGCCCCAGTACGGGCTAGGCCAGCACTACAGTGCCACAAGCGTATTTTCGCACGTCTTAGTATTCCATAAGCTTTACAATGATACCATATTTATCTTCCTACGACCACTCTCTTCTGCGTTAGAGCGCATCATCTCGGGGTGGCCGTTTTTTTTGACCGCCACTGTATATTTTCTGAAAGCCGGCTTTTTACTCTACCGCCATGCCAAGTTTTAGCCTTCTAGCTCAAACGGCCAGCGAGATATGGAGAGAAAAAGCAAGCGCATTCCGAAAAAAATAGAAAAAGTCGCGGAGGTCTGTTGTGTCCCAAAAGTACAGAATGCCGTGCACCGTGAAAAAAGACAATTCCACGGCGCGAAAAGTCTTGCGACACAATGCACTGTGCATCTTGATTTTTTTGCACAGTGCGACGGGAAATTTTAAACCTTTGTCTTGCATGGTGCAAAAAAAAAAATAATAAATGATTGTCATTTTCTTGCACCACTTCAATTCCCCCACCAAACCCACCTTGTTTGTATCCACCTCCCACTGCATATAATTCGCGGGCTTGATGTCTCCATGCGCGTATCCCAAGCGCTGCAACTCCAGGATTCCCTGCAGCATTTGATAACAAAGGTTCAGCTTCTGCCCGTAGTGTGAACATGGAAGATCTTCCAACACGTCCTGAAGACTGCGTTTGAGGAAAGGCGCGACGTAAAAGTAAAGATTCGGATAGTGGCCCCAATCGATCGCTGTTATAAGGTGGTAATGGTAATCTCTGAAAAAAGAGGAATTTGAAAAAACGCGTTGGTTGTATGTATTTTTTGCAGCAACTTTACACCCAAATTTATTAGGTTGGGGAATAAGTCCGCAACGATTTCTTTATTGCCTCGTCCTGCAACGATTCTTTGTTGTTTGGAAAAGTTTATATATGCATTCGAAAGAGTTCTGCCTCCTCTACAAAACTGTGTTTTTATTTTTCTTTGAAAATTTAATTTTTAATTATTTTTTGGGCTTAAAAGTGAACCATCTAGGAGGCAAAAATTTGCGTTTTCGACACCTGCTTTTTTCGCCGAGCAGCACGTGGACGTAAACGGCGGTCTTTGTGTCGAATCATCATCGGGGATGAAAATGGTGTCTGTACGTCAATATAAAGCAAAATGTTGACTGTTTCCTGGAGTGGGTGGCCCCAGGGGACAGTCAAGCAAGATCCCCACCCAAAAAGGCCATGATCTGCATTTGGGGGGACTGGGAAGGCATGGCGCATTGGGACATGCCTCAAAAGAACGCCACTGTCAACAAGGAGCTCTATGATGCCCAACTACACCTCGAAAATAGGGCTATTCGACTGAAATCAAGGCCAAGTCATCTTGCTCCACAAGTCATCTTGCTCTCATGTTGCACAAGTCGTCAAAACCGCACTCCATGAGTTCGAATGGGAGGTTATTTAGCATCCACCATACTCTTCGACCTTGCGCCAACCGATTACCACCTTTTCCGCTTTCTGTCAAACCAAATCCGAGGTGAAAAATTCGATGGCGAAGAGGACCTCAAAAACTTTTTAAGCCCAAAAAATTATAAAAAATTAAATTTTCAAAAAAAACTAAAAACACAGTTTTGTAGAGGAGAAAAAACTGTATCAAATAATATATATACCCTTTGCCAAACAACAAACAATCCTTGCAAAACAAAACAATAAAAAGCTCTACGAACTTATTCCCCAATCTAATACTAAGAACTTCACTTCCTTGGAAAATACCATTCTTTTCTAAAAAACCATTCTTAGCTTTGTTTTGAGCTAAAGAAAACCCTGGCATCTTGATAAGCCTTAAAATATCAAATTTGATTAATGAAAAAGGCATGGTGTTGTGATAAAAGTTTTGAGGATTTTTTCGACCTCACAAACTATTGCTCAACGATTTTTCTATGAAAAACCATTTTTTTAAATAAGTTTTCTAGGAAAAGGCATTTTTATTTCTATGTCAAATACATTTTCCCTCCCCCAAGGCATATAACGATGTATCGAGAGCTGGCTGGAAACATAACTCAAAAAATCTGCACAAACTCACTTCGGGTGAGCCTTCCTGCAGTCCCTAAAGAATTCGAGCAGTGCTAGTTCCTGTTTGGCCCGCTCCATTTCCATCTCGTCCCTGAAGACCATGAATTTGATGGCGACAAACGCTTGCCCATCATTCACCTTGTATTTGTGGACGGCGGTCATTCTGCCGTGACTCAGCTTCGCAACATGGTGATAGGTACAGGGTAGGCCACTAAAACCTTCCGTCCTCTTTTTTTTAGATTTCTCCGCGGAGACTCCGCCGATTTTCACGAAATTTAGATTTTTCTGGAGCTGAGACCCGCCATTTTCAACCGACTGAATTTCAAAAAAATATATTTTGAATTGACCTTTCCATGCCTTCTCAAAGTTTTGAAAAATTATTTTCAGGCCGAAACCGCTAATATAGACGACACTCTTTTTGCTTTTCACTTGCTTTAAACAAGTTTAGAGAAAGCGTACGGGACTTTTTACTCCACGATTTTACCAAAAAAAAAAGCCAGAAAATTTCCAAGTCCGAGAAAGTCAATTGAAAATCATTCCAAAAATTTTCCAAGTTTTAGCGGTTTCGGCTCAAAAATAATTTTCAAAAACTTCGTGAAGGCATAGTAAAGTCAATTCAGAATATTTTTTCCTGAAATTCAATCGGCTGAAAATGGCGAATCTCAGCTCCAGAAAAATCTAAATTTCATGAAAATCGGCGAACTCTCCGCGGAGAAATCTAAATTTAGTGGCCCACCCTGGATACTCGTCGCCGAAGAAGGTTTGCGGTAGCGGCAATCCCAAATCTTCGTCTTTAAAGCTGTCTTTCAAGTCCAGGACCTTCTCGTGTTGAGGTCTCCGCAACCTCAAGTTGCAGTCAACGTTGCTGAAAATATAATACAATGCGAATATGCCAAAAAAATGCAAAAAAACCAATTTGCACTGCGCGATTGAGGCCGAAAAGGCTCCCAGAGCTATGGCCAGAGTGCAGAGGCCCCAATTAAAAGTCAAGAAATATTCCAAATGATATTTTATACCACGAGAAAAAAATTGCAAAATGGAAAAAACAGTGAGACATGCATAGCACGTAACCTGCACAAAACTATAATCATATGACTACTTCAATTTACTACAATCAACAAAAGTAAAATTTAAAAATTTTGCATCGTATAACATGCCTTACATCCTACTTTTTCGTTTTGAAATTTTTTTTCATTTGAGCTTTGTAAAATCAAAAAAAAATGCAAATCTTACCCGTACGAGTCGCGCGGTAAGTCCTCAGACGGCGACTGAAAGTAGACAGCATAGACTTTTAAAACAAAGTCGCAAAACTCCACTGAACAAAACAACTTACTTGGAGGTCGGTATTTGTCTTTTCTCTTCTCCAAGCGCCTCCCCATGGCGACCATTTGTACTGAAAAAAAACACAACGTTATATTTCGAACAAGCTGCGAAAACGGTGGATACAGTGGTGGACCTGATCCAGTGGCAAAAAAAGTACCATTTTGGATCCAGAAAGTCTCAAAAATGTGGCGAAATGCTTCCTTCCCCAAGTGAAATAACTTTATTTTGAAGGGCCTCGCAAAAAGAGCGGGCGCGCTTTTGAAATTGGAGTTTTTTCCACTTGGAGAGGGAGGTATTTTACCACATTTTTGAGACTTCCCGCATGCAAAATGGTACATTTTTTGCCACTGGATCAGGTCCCCCACTGTAACAAGGCCGGAAAACATCCCATCAGCCACAACTTACCCACAACGGGGCGGAACCAACAAAGGCGATGAGAACAACTCCAAGGAACCCGGCGGAGAGGCCGACGAGCACCTTTCCCCTCTCCGTCAGCAGACCTCTTCTGCGGGCCTTTGGTGGCGGGGGTCTAAAGACCAATCAAAACAATGTTATTCTTCCACTTACCTATACAGGAACCGGACATAGACGTGTTTGAGCTCGTCTCGGGGAATGGTCCGGTTCAATTCGCAGTCGTGGACGGTTTGGAGGTACTGCTGAAATCACCACGTTCCAAAAAACAACTGTTTGACCAAAACTTACGACGTGATGCCATCCGGATGTTTCATTGGGAACCAGAGTAATCTTCTCGCCGTCGCATGAACGGGATTCCCAGGATGAAGACAGAGAACCGACGGTGACTTCTCGACACGTTGAGCCGTCTTTGTACACAAAGGTGCCTTTGGTTTGATTCACACCAAAATCGTCCTTCCCCTCTACAGATCTTGTTCCAGTTTCAATGCGGGTTCCACCTAGACTGAAAATGTGGGCAGTCTTGAAATCGTTCCGTCCAATTGCATAGAGCCGGTCTTTGATTCGGTAAACAAAGAAATCGCGACTGCATAGCCCTTTGTCGATAACTATGCGGACTTCACTCGTGTCGCCGGCAACGGGGCAATGACTAAAATATGTCACGTATGAATTGAAGATGCAGCTTACAGCAAATTTCCATATCCATATTTGACCGCGACCTGACCACCCAGTTCAATATTTTCTCCACTCACAACCATCTGCAGATTAGCGCCCTCTATTGTGTCGCTGATGTAGATCTGGCTTCTAAAAGATGAGAGGCATTAAAAATCAGCCTTTTTGCCGAAAAAGCGGCTTGCACTGTGCAACAAGGAGTTTTCGCCAAGAAACGACAAGTCTACACACTTTACGAAAATAACACAAAAATTGCAGTCCCCAACTTACGAAGCAAAGGATCCGTTCCAGTCCAAGGTTTTCATTCGGATTCCCCCGTCGTCGTACTCGAACACCTTGAACTCGGCCAAGTTCGGCATCGGACCGTCGAAGAGCGCGCTGCATGTCAACAGCGAGTTTAGCAGTGCTCGGAGTGCCACTTCGTACATCTCGACCGCTGAATGCGACGACAACAAACGAAAAATGAGGGCGAATTCAATCAAACTCGTGGCTTTTATTGTCGGAAATTATGCAAATATTATGCAATTTTTTCGTGGCCACGTGGGAAAATTTTCTCGCCTTTTCGATAAAATCCGTCACGATGACATACTTAATTTGGTCGATTTTGATCATTAGAACAACAAAATCAGCACTGTTATCTCTTGTTTAGTCCAGATAAAAGCGGAGCTCGATGTGCAAATTCAGCTTCCTGGATTTTTCGTGTTTGGGATGACAGACTTTCTAGAACCTCAAGGATAACATAAATATTCCCGTGAAACTTTCGAACGCTTGTCGTACAATTAGTTTTACTACGACATTCACGCCTTTTACCTCTTGTAAAGCAGTCTTCCTGTTCCTCAAGGCATTTGGGTTGCTTTTGATCAGAGTTGTATTTTAGGATGGGTAAAATATCTTATACATGGCAAATTTTTCCCGTTTCACGCGGTTTCATTCTTGTTTTTGATAGTTGAAGTCCTATTCACGCCCTTTTATATTTATGTTTCTTGTTTTCTACGAATATTCGCGAGAATTTATATTGTTTTAGGTATCAAATCTAAAAATTTTTGTTTTTCATCGAAGAATAAATTGAAACATATTGAATTGCACACCTAGTCGAAGCTTATGCCCAGCCCTTGCTGTTGGGGGGGATGTAGCGAGGTTTTTGGACACACCAACGAGCTGGTTGTTCATTTATCCGCCCATCTCGGAAGTCCTCAAGACCAATGCAAATGGCGTGGATGCGCGGCGAATTTGGGAGAGAATGTGACGACTGCCGTCGTATTGCGTCGTGTGGTGGTGGAGCACGCTGCACTTCGGCCGCATCGCTGTTCTCAATGCCACAAAAACTTTTTCGGCACCGAATTTCTTGGAGATCCATATTCGTGTAATTCATCGGAAAAAAGCGGTAAGTTCTTGAAATTCTTGAGTGTTACAGCTTCTAGGAGACTACCGAGCCTTTGCCGGCCATCCAACGGCTTGCCATCCGTCGTAGACACTTCCCTCAACCCTTCTTTGGGTATCCACCTGCCCTAACCGCACAGTGCACTACACCAAAATAAAAAAAGCCAGCTGTCAAATATGTTTATTTCCTATATATTTTACTTGGACCCTATGGTTTCTTGGACTTTTGGGTGGTTTCAGCCTGCTTGCGGGATTTGGTGCTGGATGGTTTCTCCACGGGGAGAGAATCCCACCAGGGATCCGTGTACTTGAACTCGAACTTGACTCGGAACTGAAAATAAAAATAAAATTCCTTTTTTATAAAAGTTAAATAAAAATAAAGCCTCACCTCATCCAGAGTCTTCGAAACCGCGGCCATATCGATCGTATTGCCCGGGGGCTTGTCCCAGATCAAGGCCCTGAGCTTTGCGATGATTTCGCCATCCTTTGAAGGGAACTGTGGAACGTCCTCGGTCTGAGCCTTCAAATACAACTCGACCAGGCCTTCGGTTTCGTCAGGGGTTGGCCGAGAATAGGCGAACTCGCCCGTCAGGACCACCACACAGCAGTGGAACCAGGACTGCATGTCGTCCACCATGCTCACCTCCTGGCCACGCAAGGCGGGCAGCGACATGTACTCGAGGGTGCCACAGCCGGCGGGACGCTTCGCTCCAAATTTCTGCACAAACCCAAAGCCCACGATGTAAAGCTGAAAAAATTGGGCATTCTCTTGTTTTCGGGACAAAACGAGGCAATTTCGGGTAACAAGGAAAACGACAACACTGCACCGTGCAAAAAAGACCAAAACAGAAAAATTGAAATTCCACGGCGCGAAAAGTCTCAATGCACTGTGCATCTTGATTTTTTGCACAGTGCACGTCAAACTGAGGAGTCCGGTGACCGGAATAGACCCTTCGCTATCGGTTTTTTACATTTCGTCTTGATTTCCAGAGAAAGAGAGAAAAAAAGACACGCAAAAGCGTACTCCCTCGCCCCAAAAATTCCCCATTTCTTCCCCGACAAAACGGTTTTTCGCGTCTTTTTTTGGCAAATTGCCAATCCGTTCACCGGACTGTTTTAGCTTATCTCAGTTTGACGTGCAGTGCGACGGGAAATTTTAAACTTTTGTCCGCATGGTGCAAAAAAATAATAATAAATGATTGTTACTATCTTGCACCACTTCAATTCCCCCACCAAACTCACCTTGATTTCATCCAACTTCTTCTGCATGTAATTTGCGGGCTTCAGGTCACCATGCGCGTATCCCAAACGCTGCAACTCCAGGATTCCCTGCAGCATTTGATAACAAACGTTCAGCTTCTGGCCATATTTTGCGTTTGGAAGGTCGTTCAACACGTCCTGAATACTGCGTTCGTAGAGAGGCATGACGTAAAAGTAAAGATTCGGATAGTGGCCCCAATCGCCTGCCCCTACAAGGTGCCAATCTTCGTAATCTCTGAAAAAAAGAGGAATTTAAAAAACGCGTTGGTCGTATTTCTTGCAGTAACTTCATACCCATGTTTACTAAGAATTTCACTTTTTTGGAAAAAACGATTCTTTTCTAACAAGGAAAGTATTTCTATGGAGCATGGAGTTACAAGACATATCAAAATTCTCACAATTTTTCTGATTCAGAATGTGCAAAAATTAACTGCCCAATTTTGGTCTAATGACATGTTTTTGTCCTCAGAAGTTTTCTCGCAAGACCACGTAAATGCCTTATTGACCACGTTTTTACCAAATCAAAAGCTTTGTTTTGAGCTAAACCCTGGCATCTTGACAAGCTTTAAAATATCAAATTTGATTAATGAAAAAGGCATGGTGTTGAGAGAAAAGTTCTGATGTGAGGATTTTTTCGCCCTCACAAACAAAATTAGGCAGCTAATTTTTAGATATTCTGAATCAGGAAAATTTTGCGAATTTTTTGACATGCCTCATCCTGTAACTCCATACCCCGTATAACTGCCTTCCTTGTAAAAAGTTTTCTAGGAAAAGGCATTTTTATTTCTATGTCAAATACATTTTCCCTCCCCCAAAGCATACAACGATGTATCGAGAGCTGGCTGGAAACATAACTCAAAAAATCTGCACAAACTCACTTCGGGTGAGCCTTCCTGCAGTCCCTAAAGAATTCGAGCAGTGCTACCTCCTGTTTGGCCCGCTCCATTTCCATCTCGTCCCTGACGACAATGAGCTTGATGGCGACAAACGCTTCGTCATTCATCCTGTATTTGTGGACGACGCTCATTCTGCCGTGACTCAGCTTCGCAACATGGCGATAGGTAGCCCCGCCGAAGATGGTTTGCGGAAGCAGCAATCCCAAATCTTCGTCTTTAAAGCTGTCTTTCAAGTCCAGGACCTTCGGCGTCTCGTGTTGAGGTTTCCGCATCCTCAAGTTGCAGTCAACGTTGCTGAAAATATAATACAGGGTGTACCAATTTTGCGGCCCCGTTTTTAATTGACTATAACTTCAATTTTGGGCCAAATTTTAAAATTCTTTTTTCCTGAATCCTCAGACGTCCCCCTATTGTTTAAAACCAAATATGATATACAAAGGTAAGTGGAACATACAGTTATCGGCTCTTACGTTTGGTTTCATTTTTTGGTTGTATTTTCGGTCGTTTTCGCGGTCTTTTCGGTCTGTGGAGTACAGCGTTGAAGAAAAACCTTGGTCTGTCGTTTAGTATGGAAAATGTGGTTCTCCAACTGTTGTTCGGAATAGATACGGACGAAACGCCCAACTTCCGGACCGTAGAACAATTTCACGTTGGGGGAAGAGGTTCCTGGAAACTGGAAGTGTGAACAAGAAACAGAAAAGTCGGAAAAAATTTCGCCAAAACTTCTTCAACTTTCAGATCCGTTCGTACCCATTTTTTCCGACTTTCCGTTTCTTGTTCACACTTCCAGTTTCCACCAACGTGAAATTGTTTTACGGTCCGGAAGTTGGGCGTTTCGTCCATACCTATTCCGATACTCCCTTTGAACAACAGTTGGAGAACCATATTTTCCATACTAAACGACAGACCAAGATTTTTCTTCAACGCTGTACTCCACAGACCGAAGAGACCGCGAAAACCACCGAAAATACAAACGAAAAATGAAACCAAACATAACAGCCGATAACTGTATGTTCGACTTACCTTTGTACATCACATTTGGTTTTAAACAAAAGGGGGACGTCTGAGGATTCAGGAAAAAGATTTTTTTTAATTTGGCCCAAAATTAAAGAAGTTATAGCCAATTCAAATCGGGGCCAAAAATTGGTACACCCTGTACAGTCGAATATGCCAAAAAGTGCAAAAGAAAACTTTTCGCACTGCGCGATTGAGACAGAAAAGGCTCCCAAGGCGTAGAGGCCCTCAGAACGAAGAAGACCCAAAAATACGGAGGGGGCCAGACATGGCAGAAAACAGGCCGGGCCTACTTTTCCAGGGCCCCGAAGTAGTCATGTCTGGCCCCAAAAACGAAGAGGCTCCGATCGAAGACGCCTTTGAACGAAGATGCCCCCATTAAAAAATCAAAAAATATTTCCAAATGATATTTTATACAATGAGAAAAAATGCAAAATGGAAAAAAAACAGCGAGACATGCATAGCACGTAACCTGCACAAAACTGTAATCACCTGATTACTTCAATTTACTACAATCAACAAAAGTAAAATTAAAAAATTTTGCATCGTATAACATGCCTTACATCCTACTTTTTCGTTTTGAAATTTTTTTCTCATTTTTGGGGGCCTCTTCGTTCTTTTTCTAGGGGCCTCATTTCATTGGCCTTTTGAGCTTTGTAAAATCAAAAAAAAATGCAAATCTTACCCGTACGAGTCGCGCGGTAAGTCCTCAGACGGCGACTGAAAGTAGACAGCATAGACTTTGAAAACAAAGTCGCAAAACTCCACAAAAGTAAACAACTTACTTGGAGGTCGGTATTTGGCACGGGCTTCTTTCCTCTTCTCCAAGCGCCTCCCCATGGCGACCATTTGTACTGAAAAAACACAACGTTATATTTCGAACAGGCTGCGAAAACGGTGGATACAGTGGGGGACCTGATCCAGTGGCAAAAAACGTACCATTTTGCATCCGGAAAGTCTCAAAAATCTGGCGAAATGCTTCCCTCAACAGGAGAAAAAACTTTGTTTTGAAGGGCCTCGCAAAAAGAGTGGGCGTGCTTTTGAAATTGGAGTTTTTTCCACTTGGAGAGGGAGGTATTTTACCACATTTTTGAGACTTCCCGCATGCAAAATGGTACATTTTTTGCCACTGGATCAGGTCCCACACTGAAACAAGGCCGGAAAACATCCCATCAGCCACAACTTACCCAGAACGGGGCGGAAGCAACAAACGCGATGAGAACAACTCCAAGGAACCCGGCGGAGAGGCCGACGAGCACCTTTCCCCTCTCCGTCAGCAGACCTCTTCTGCGGGCCTTTGGTGGCGGGGGTCTAAAGACCAATCAAAACAATGTTATTCTTCCACTTACCTATACAGGAACCGGGCATAGACATTTTTGAGCTCGTCTCGGGGAATGGTCCGGTTCAATTCGCAGTCGTGGACGGTTTGGAGGTACTGCTGAAATCATCACGTTCCAAAAAACGACTGTTTGACCAAAACTTACGACGTGATGCCATCCGGATGTTTCATTGGGAACCAGAGTAATCTTCTCGCCGTCGCATGAACGGGATTCCCAGGATGAAGACAGAGAACCGACGGTGACTTCTCGACACGTTGAGCCGTCTTTGTACACAAAGGTGCCTTTGGTTTGATTCACACCAAAATTTTCCTTCCCCTTTACAGATGTTGTTCCATGTTCAATGACGTTTCCATCTAGACTGATAATGTGGGAAGCCATGAAATTGTTCCATCCAATTGCATAGAGCCGGTCTTTGATTCGGTAAACAAAGAAAGTGCTACTGCATAGCCTTTTTTCGATAACTATGCGGACTGCACTTGTGTCGCCGGCAACGGGGCAATGACTAAAATACGTCACTTATAAATTGAAGATGCAGCTTACTCCAGATATCCACCACGAATTTTGACCGTGACCTGACCACCCAGTTCAATCTTTTCTCCACTCACAACCATCTGCAGATTAGCGCCCTCTATTGTGTCGCTGATGTGGATCTGGCTTCTAAAAGAGAGGCATTAAAAATCAGCCTTTTTGCCGAAAAAGCGGCTTACACTGTGCAACAGGGAGTTTTTCGCCAAGAAACGCTTTCTATAAAAGGGCAAGTCTACACACTTTATGAAAATAACACAAAAATTGCAGTCCCCAACTTACGAAGCAAAGGACCCGTTCCAGTGCAAGGTTTTCATTCGGATTCCCCCGCCTTCGTACTCGAACACCTTGAACTCGGCCAAGTTCGGCATTTGACCATCGAAGAGCGCGCTGCATGTCAACAGCGAGTTTAGCAGTGCTCGGAGTGCCACTTCGTTCATCTCAACCTCGAATTGGACGACAACAAACGAAAAATGAGAGCGAATTCAATCAAACTCGTGGCTTTTATTGTCGGAAATTATGCAAATATTATGCAATTTTTTGGTGGAAAAAAATTTCTCGCCTTTTCGATAAAATCCGTCACGATGACACAACTAATTTTTCCGAACTGGATTATTATAACACCAAAATCCTCAATTATTCTCATTTAGTCCAAATAAAAGTGGAGTTTGATGTGCAAGTTCAAGTTACCAGGATTTTCCGTGTTTGGGATGACACATTTTCTAGAACCTCAAGGATAACATAAATATTCCCGTGAAATTTTCAAACGCTTGTCGTAAAATTAGTTTTACTGCGACATTCACGTCTTTTACCTCTTGTAAAGCAGTCTTCCTGTTTCTCAAGGCTTTTGGATTGCTTTTGGTCAGGGTTGTATTTTCGGATGGGTAAAATATCTTATCCACGGCTAATTTTCTCGTTTCACGCGGTTTCATTCTTTTTTTTAATGGTTGAAGTCATATTCACACCGTTTCGCGGCCTCTTATATTTATGTTTCTTGTTTTCTACGAATATTCGCGAGAATTTATATTGTTTTAGGTATCAAGTCTAAAAATTATTGTTTTTCAGCGAAGAATAAATTGAAACATATTGAATTGCACATCTAATCGGAGCTTATGCCCAGCCCTTGCTGTTGGGAGGAATGTAGCGAGGTTTTTGGCCATACCCACGAGCTGGTTGTTGATTTATCCGCCCATCTCGGGAGCCGTCAAGACCAATGTAAATGATGTGGATGCGCGGCGAATTTGGGAGAGAATGTGACGATTGCCGTCGTATTGCGTGATGTGATGGTAGAGCACGCTGCCCTGCGGCCGCATCGCTGTTCTCAATGCCACAAAAACTTTTTCGGCACCGAATTTCTTGGGGATCCATATTCGTGTAATTCATCGGAAAAAAGTGGTAAGTTCTTGAAATTTTTGAGTGATACAGCTTCTAGGAGACTTGTATGTGCCCGCTGTGTGACTGCCGCTACAACGACACGTCTTGGTCGGCCTGCAGCAACATTGTTTATTGGCTCATGGTGTACAAGGTATTTTGGATTTCAACGCCGCACTTTTTTCAAATTTAGGCCCAATTTTGTTTTCAGCAAGCAAATGATGTATTCTTGCTGTATTAAAAAATTTGGAGCTGTTGAGTTTTGAAAAAAATGATTTCCTTATTTTAGCAGATCCTTAGGAACTTGCCGAAAAATCGAATTCCAACCAGAGATTGCCACGGTCAAAATTTTGGCTCCGGCTCTTAGCTCCCAGAGCCGGAGCCGAGGCCAAATTTGCAGCTCCGGCTCTTGGCTCCGTGCAAAATTTAAAAAGGCCTCCGAATCCAGGCTCCTATGCAAAACGTTTTTTAAAAATATTTTTCCAAAAATAAAAGTTATTAGTGCTAGAGATCATACAGCCAACGTTTTTGCAGTCAAGTCACATCCTCCGCAGTGTTTTTCAAGCAATTTGGTTTAACAAGATCACGAAATTTTTACTTTTCTGACCGCTGGGAAGCCTGGCTCCGACTTTGGGCTCGGGAGCCGGAGCCGACCCCAAAATTTACGGCTCCGGCTCTGGCTCCTGGCTCGGAGCCGCTCAGAGCCGGAGCCAAGAGCCGGCTCCGGAGCCGTGGCAATCTCTCGCAGTGGGCGCAAAATTTAATAGATCAATCAAAAAAAAATTGACACAACTTCACAAATAAAAAAAAAACGATTTATTACCATGTTATTTATATTTGTATCACAATATTCTGCAGTAGAAGCTCCAAAAAAATTTTAAAAAAATCGAAAATTCCATAGAGCATTTCCTGTTATTCTTCAAGCTGAAGACGTCAGCGGCTCTTCTGACCGGTCGGTTCCAGGGAAAGAGCTTTTTTTGTCTTTGGGTGTCATAACCTCCCTCCAAGTTGGGAGGCGATCGTCCAGGGCTCGAAGCTCGGTTTGAGTGAACATTCGCTCGAGCAAAAATGCGCGGACAATCACCATTACTAGGAGCTGAAAGTGAAAAAAAAAGTTTTCTTTTTTCGACTACGTCGCTGCGCATTTTGGGCTCGCAACAACAACTACACTGTGCGAAAAAGTCTATGCACTTTTGAAAAATCGTAATAGCATTTTTCACAAAGTGCATGGACGTTTTTCCGCTTTCACACGGTGCATCTTGAGGCTTCCCAGCGCTCTTCGCCAATGCATAATGCGTTTTTCCCTTTGCGCACCATGCCAACCTTAAAAAAAAAGCCGTTTGCACTGTGCAAATGTTTGCGCGAATCCGCGGCGACACAAAAACCATTGTCGCAGCGATGCTTCATTACACCGTGTAAAACCAAAAAAAGGTGAATGCACGGTGCACGAGAGACATTTTTTGTGCACAGTGCGGACAGCGACGAAATATGTCTGTCGAGAAGATACAGTGGGGGTCCTGATCCAGTGGCAAAAACGTACCATTTTGCATCCGGGAAACATCAAAAAATGTGGCAAAATACCTCTTTCTCCAAGTGAAAAAACCCAGATTTCAAAAGCGCGCCCTTCAAAACGAAGTTTTTTCACTTGGAGAGGAGAGCATTTTGCCACATTTTTGATACTTCCCGGATGCAAAATGATACGCCTTTTGCCACTGAATCAGGTCCCCCACGGTGTCTTCCCGACAGACATATTTCGTCGCTGTCCGCACCGTGCACAAAAAATGTCTCTCGTGCACCGTGCATTCACTTTTTTTTGGGTTTTGCACGGTGCAACGAAGCATCGCTGCGACATTGGTTTTTGTGTCGCCGCGGTTTCGCGCAAACAGTTGCACAATGCAAACGGCCTTTTTAAGGTTGACATGGTGCGCAAAGGGAAAAACGCACTGTGCGTTGGCTAAAAGCGTGGGGAAGCCTCGAGATGCACTGTGTGAAAGCGAAAAAACGTCCATGCACTTTGTGAAAAATGCTATTACGATTTTTCAAAAGTGCATAGACTTTTTTCACACAGTCCATTTTTCTTCTTTTTGGATTTGTCGCGTCTTGGAATCGCCCATTCTCGCGATGCGACGGCTAGCCGCGGTTGGAGATTTGGCGTGAGACTGCGACGAGGTGAGAATTTTTTCTGCGACAAATCCACATTATTTTCCCGACAGGCTGTTATCAATCTGTCGGTAAAACTAGCCTGTGTTCCGTGAAAAAAGTCTACGCACTTTATGGAACGACTGGTAAATAGTATCCCAGCTGCACTTACCATCAACGGGAAGGTCATTTTCAATCCCTTCAAGTTCTTGAGTCCAAACAACGCCAAAACGCAGACCAACTGGATAAAAGTGAACAAATGCGTTCGTTTCATACGCACCGAGCGCAACCAATGGTATTCCGGCTGGGTTTTACTGCTCATAAAGAGCAGCTGAAAGCGTTGGACGAACTGTTGGCCTCCCAATGAGACCACACCCATGTAGAGGAAGATCCCGGTGAGCACGGGCAATGGAACCAGCCGCAGGATTGGGGTCAAAAACAGCGAAAATCCTATCAAAATGTGGGCAAAGATTGTGCTGAGCCGCTGCTCTCTGAAAAATAGAATGGGGATTACGGTGGTTTAGAGAGGAAAATTTGAGAAATGAGCTGAAAAAGGCAAAACTTTTGGGATTTTTGCCTAGTGCAATATTTCTGAGCCATTTTAAACTGCAAAGTTTAAAATTCCCGCCAAGTTTTTGAAATCTTGGCATTCCGTTGCAAGTGCCGAAAGATGGCTAGACTTCAAGATCTGAGGCTATATAAATGCCGAAAATAATTTTTCTGTTTGTAAAATACGCTTGACGAACGGCTAGGTTTGACTAATTGACTTTTTGTGTATCAATTATGTTATCCATGACATCTGATGTATAACAAGAAAAAAATAATCCAAAAATCAACTTACTTGATCCCCAAATACCTCGGTGGGTCGCCAGGAGCACTGGAGACGGATTGCTGCTTCAAGGCGTCCAAATGCGCCATACTGAGTACTGTGGCGGCGACATAAAATGGAAGTCCCAATAAAGCGCAGAGGATAATGAGAGGGGCCAAAATGAAGAGGTCCAGATGGTAACCACCCCCTTTCTGAAGAATTAAAAGTCTAGTTTGATCTAGTTTTGAGGTTTTTAAAACTGCTTTTTGTGTTCTGCGCACTGTGCGGCTTAAAAAAGGTTTTTTTGATCTGCACGGTGCGGATTTTCGCAAAATGGTTACATTGTGCGGGAATCATGCTTGAGGGCAAAGAAATTTCAACTAATGAATAACATGGATCCTGAAATTTTTTTAAAAACGAATTTTGACCTTCTACAGGTTACCTTGCGCACAGTGCAGAGCATTGAAAATTGTTCGCACTGTGCATTTTTAAAATCTTTGCCAGATGAAAAAGAAACAATGACAAAATTTTTTTCAAACTGAAAATAGTAAAATCAACCCCCTTACCTTCAATAAATTATCTTTTCGATTTACAATGACAGCTGTGATTTGCTGATCCATCACAATTAAGATTGTATACATTACTGCTGGAACGGCCGAGACGAAAATAACTGTCGGCGAAGAAATGTTTGTTATGTCGACGAGCCACGGCCGTTTCATTGTCGGAGTAAGGGATTGAGGGACTTGCAGGATTGGGACACGGATTCCAATCAAATATGAAATCAAGGAGAAGATGATAATTGAGATCAATAATCCAAAGTCGGCAACTATGTTGCGGATCTAAAAATTTGATATATTTGGTTTGAAAACTAACCAGCAATAGGCTAGAACTAAGGATTTTGAAATTCTGCCGACGAAACCTCGAAGGGACAAGTTATACGATGAAACATTTCCGAGGTGAAAAATTATACACATAAGTTGATTTTTTATGATGCAAAAAATTGTATGACGCTTCTACAGTTACTTTTTAGCTGTTATAAGTCGCATTTAGTGTCCTTCCGAGGAGACAAGTTATACGATAAGAAAATTTTTCGAGCTGCGCCCTGGCTTGATTGATAAATCCGAAAAATAAAACTATTGCCGTTTTCGCCACTACTCTATCCATTTTCGTCAATAGTATTAAATTTTTAGTACATATTTCCATTTTATACGACGGAATGTGTCTCGAGCTGCGCCCGAGCGTAGACACTGAAAACTGTAAAAATAAAAAAAAATTTACATCCTTTTGTGCCATTTTACGTCTACTTCATCTTTTTAAAAGCGATTTCCAAACCATTTTATACGATGAAATATATCTCGAGGTGCGCCCGAGGTTACAAAAAAGTCCCTCAAACATGGCAAATTTGCTTACCATAGTGTTGAGATATGGCGATTGTTTGAAAGAATGCAACTTCATTGCCACCGCATACGTCCCCAAGGCCAATAAAACGGACGCCAAAAACACGTCAGGCTTGAAAAAACAGGCTTTTCCACTCAACGTCCCACCACTTTGGGTGCAAACCTCGGCCTCGCTGTACAGATTATGAGTCGATAATATCGACCGAGAGGCGTTTCGGATGCACTGACACGTAGAGTCGATAAATTCCCCCGGATTCGGAGTTAGTGGAGCCTCTTTTTGGATCTCGAGGATCTTTTCGGCGGCCTGGAAATAAAAGAATTTTTTTCAGTTTTTAGGTGATGAATAGAAATCGAGATTAAAGTTTTGCTAATTTTTTCTTTTTTTTTGGGTATTTTATTTCTCTATTTTTTGATTTTTTCAAGTTAAATAAGAATTGTTTTTTATTTGTGTTAATTTTTTGAATTATATTTTCTATTTTGTTATTGATTATTTTTTTTACGAATTTTTGTATTTTTTATAAAATAAAACAAAAATTTCTTTTATTTTATTAGTTTTTATTTTTTCGATTTTTTTTTATTTTTCCAAATTATTTCTTTTAAAAATTTTGTATTTTTTGTTTTATTTATTTTTATATTTCTCCGATTTTTTTTAATTTTTTATTTTTTTATTAATTATTTTTTATTTTTCGTATTTTTTAATTTTTAATTTTTTTATTCAAATTTTTTTTACCTGAATAATAAAAACCACCGAGATGAGCGTCGCGAAAGCCTCTTCCGTGAATCTGGTAATAAACGCGACCAGCGCACTCAAATCCTTGGCCACAATCACCAGCAAGATGAGCGCGATCCAGCACGCCATCCAGAAGCGGAAGGGCAGGAAATCCCAGCCCTGCGTCTTGCACATGTCGTAAATGATTTTTTCGAAAATCAGCGTAGGCCCCGTCGCGGACAGTACGTTCAGCGGTTGGCCGGAAAAGAGGCCAAAAATGACGCCGGTTATGGCGCCGCATAGGATGTTTTCGACCGCCGCCATTTCGCCGTTAAAAGTTCGTTCCATGACGGCGCCGAACGTGATGATATTGGTGAGATTGGCGAAGAAAACACAGATCGTCGCGGCGAACGATTGGCTGAGGCGGCCGCGGAAAAAGTCGGTGAAATCGGAGGCATACCAAGGGAGTTTCCGTCTGAAAAGGTGTAATGTAAGTATCGTACTAACCCTAAAAAAGTCCTGAGAATTTGTCGCGGCCCCGAAATTTGAAATGAACCAAGTGCGACGCTCAGATTTTCTTTAAACTTTGCACACATGTCGAGCGTAGGCTAAGTATCAATTCCTGAAAGTTTTAGCTCGCGCTTTCCAGCGACCGCCGAGATATTCAACAATCTTTGTCGCCAAGAAAGTACGCGGAGAGCGGTGAGAGAGAAACGTTTTTTAGCCTCATCTTTGCCAGTTTATGCGGAAAAAGTGATTTTTTGTGGAGATATTGCCAATGGTAGAAATAGATCTGAAACTTTTGATCCCGAACGTGTAACATCCGCGCGAGGACTGGTTTAAAGAATGTATGCAAGGCAAAGAAGCGAAAGTGGAAGTACATGGAGAAAATGCAGCTAAGACGCGAGGAGGGAAGATGGGATCAACGACTGATGGAATGGACGCCGCACGTCAAACAGAGGAGGCCGGTGACCGGAATAGACTCTTCGCTATCGGTTTTTTACACTTCGTCTTGATTTCGCAGAGAAAGAGAGAAAAAAGACACGCAAAATCGCACTCTCTCGCCCCAAAAATTCCCCACTTCTTCCCCGACAAAACGTTTTTTTGCGTCTTTTTAAATTTTTTGGCAAATTACCAATTCGTTCACCGGACTGTTTTAGCCTATCTCAGTTTGACGTGCGCCGCCCTACAAACGACCTTTTACGCCCCAGACTCTGATGGACCGACGATTTTCGAAAGCACCATGGCGCGAGATGGAGAGACCTTATACTGACCAGACAATGGAATCCCGACTGATACACTCCATGATTTTACATGTGATTAGTGTGAATAAATTGAAATTGAATTGATCCCAAAATTCGCAAAAAATTGCTAATTCTTTCCAATCTTTAATCTAAAAAAAATTCAGTTTTTTTTCTGCAAAGCGCGAGCTAGCAGTGTCGCTAATGGATTAGAAAAAAAACTTCCAATTTTGTACCACTTTTATCAAAATCTGAGCGTCGCGCTTTGGGTACTTCCCCAATGTTTCCCGATTGTCATCATTTTCTTGCCTAAAGATTTTCGGGTCCCGCATAAATTATCGGTCTGTCGGGAAAATAATGAGCACTCTGTCGCGTCGAAAATCGCATCGAAAATGAATTGTGTCGCGGCAAAATCAAATTGATTTTCACTACAGCGACGCGATTGGCGCTCCGACATTGCGCTCATTGTTTTCCTGACAGGCTGATAGATAGACTTACTGAATGTCATGTGCCAGACCTCCGAAGAGCGTGCCAGACACAACAATGTCATTTGCATGACCACCTGGCGGAGAGGTCTCTTGAATATCCTCTCGACTCAACCCAATCTTCCGGACCTACAAGCAATTTTTTATCATCAACAGGCTAAGCATTAACGAATTTTACAAAGCTCAAAACCCCCCGTACCTCTCGAAACTCCCCTCCCAAACTACTACTCAGGTCCTCCGGATGGCATCTAGTTTCCGGTGTGCACTTGCCCGCAGGCAATAAGCATGCGGTTGTGAAGAATTCGTCAGCCGCGTCGCATAACATATGCTTGTCGGACGCTAAATACGCGACGCGGGAGAAAATCTCGTCCGAAAAAAGGGCGCCGACAGTCCGGCCAAGGTTCGACGTTTCGTTGATGAAATTTTCGGCCCGATTCAACAGAATGAAGACGAATTTCACAGGGATTGCGTGTTGAGGAATGTCGGGGTTGAGGATCTGAAACAAGCAGGAAGGATTGAGGTGTCTTTTAGCGCGCCATATAGGGCTTACCTGAGCAGTAGTCAGTCGCACGAAGGCACTCAACGGTTTCTCCAAACCCTCCACGTTAGCCACCATAATTACGGCTGCTTCCGTTCCTGGAGCCAGTTTTCGGATAAACGAGTCTTCCTAAAGTCATGGATATTACAGTGAAGGGTGTATGAAGAAAGAACAAGAAAATCATATAGGAAAACCTCTGTATTATACATCTAACAATAAGAACATTAAATGGCACAAAAAAATTGATTCGTTAAAAGTGTTTCCTTGCAGACTGATACACAGGTTTCCTCTCATGTTGTACAGAGATCCCACTGTATGTATTTCTTTGATTCTCAGACTTCTATAGACAGCTGAATACGCAGCAATTTAACTCCCCTTACATCATCCGGCTTTGGCGACGAGGGCCGTTGCTGAAGCTCATCAAAACTATCCCTCGGCGACAGCTTTGAATTCTCGCTGTCCATGGGACTGCTCGACAGCTTTCTGACCACATTGGAGATGGAAGAGCTTGTCGAACTTCTCAATCTGCTCTCTGATTGAACCAGCTCCTCAACTCGGCGCCTCTTCCCCATTCCGGAGTATAATTTTGGAGCGAAGAGGAGCATTCGGACACTCTCCACCATCGCCTCGTCCAATGCGCCGCGATCGCACCAACTGTCGGTGATCAGCTCCACCAAGGAGGGGAAGTTTTCCACATCCACGTCGAGCAGAACAAGACCTCGTTTCAGGGTGTTGCGGACCTGGAATGGAGATGGGAGATTGGTTGTAAGGAAAAATGGGATTGAATAAAAATAGAAGAAAAGGAAGTTTTGTCACAGATTTACAGATTTATCTACCGACTTATCAGTCTGTCGGGAAAATAATAAGAACTCTGTCGCATGGAATATTGTATCGCCGCTGAGAATATGAATTGTGTCGCCGCAAAATCAAATTGTTTTTCACTTCAGCGACTGGATCGGGACAGCGAAATTGCGCTCATCATTTTCCCGAAAGACTGATAGTTGACCTAGTATGCAGTGAGTGACCTGATCCAGTGGCAAAAAAATACCATTCGGCATCCGGGAGGTACCAAAAAATGTGGCAAAATGCCTCCTATTCCAACTAGAAAACCCCGGTTTGAAGGCGCGCCTTTGAAATCGGAGTTTTTTGCTTTGAGAGGGAGGTGTCTTGTCACATTTTTGAGACTTCCCGGATGCAAAATGGAACTTTTTTTGCCACTGGATCAGGTCCGCCACTGTAGGATGGACACTCTTTTATTGGTCCGTATTTTACCTGCAACAGCGACGGGACCCGCATAAAAGTGAGGTGCGGCTTCGAGAAGCGGCTTCCCTCGCCCTCAACGGTCTGCTCGTACTTGATCCAGCGGTTGGTCTGATTCCAATGCGGCTGCAATTCCTGATCCGAGAAGTTGCTCCCAACCAAATGCAGCATCTCGCAGAACAACATCGGCTTGGGCGGATCATTGGACTGCGCCAAAAGAGCGGTGATGTTGTCGGTTGGACCTGAATTTTGATTTTTTTTGAGGGATAGCGATTTTTTGGAGATTTTTTATAAATTTTTAGTGATTTTTTGGGCGAAAAAAATTTTTTTTTAGTAAAAAAGGGTGAATTTAGAATTTTTTTGAATTATTGCGATTCTTTGGAGATTTTTTCAGCCTAACGATAAGAAGTGATGATTTTTGGGACGAAAATTTTTTTTTATTCGAAAACGATGATTTTTTGAAAAAGAAAATTTAATTAAAATTTTTTTTTACAAAAAAAAATGATTTTTTAGGAAAATCCAGTAATTTTTTGAACGAACAGGACGATATTATGATGAGAATTTCGAATCTTTTTATTACGATTTTTTTCCGAAAAAAACGATTTTTTTGGGGTGATTTTTTTGTTTTTTCACGACGAGATGCTGATTTTTCAGGGGAAATGACGTTTTTTGAGCGAAAAAATATTTTGTGATTTTTGGTAGCACTGTGCAAAAAATTTTTTTTTTTAGAAAAAAAATTTTTTTTTCGCAAAAAAAAATTTTTTTATTTTTCGATTTTTTCGAAGATAATTGAAGTCCACACCACCCCTACCGTTAGCTTGATGTCCGATCTGCACGACTTGCGGAGAATAGAGGACATCGTTGAGCAGATTGGCCTGACTTCCCCAGCCAGACGCGGTCTCGGCCAAGGAGGCGCTGCTCTTCTTCTGCTTCAAACTCCCTCGACGGAAACTAAAACTGTTCTTGTTCTTCTTCATGACGAAGATGAGGAGTTATTGTCAGGGAATAATGGTTGAAATTTTTATCTGAAAACGAAAAAAAAATTGGACAATGATTTGGAAAAAGCGCACTGTGCGGAACATTTTGTAATCGCACTGTGCTAAAATTTATTTCAAAACTAAATTTTTTTGTTGTACTGTGCAAAATTAAGAAAAAATTGCATGGTGCAAAAAAATTACGGCCGGTAAAAAAACTAGCCGTTGCACGGTGCAAAGCTTTCTGGTCCGCACAGTGCACAAAAAAATTTTGGTCGCACAGTGCAGAAAAAAGTCCGGTTGCACAGTGCAAAACTTTTTTTCATTGCACCGTGCAAAAAAATCATTTGCACTGTGCAAACATTTTTTTGTCCGCACAGTGCAGAAAAAAATTTTGATCGCACAGTGCAAAAATTTTTTTCATTGCACCGGGCAACAAAAATTAGCTTAACTTGCACTGTGCAAAATTTTTTTGTCCGCACAGTGCAAAAAAAATTTTTGGTCGCACAGTGCAGAAAAAAGTCCGTCTTCACAGTGCAAAAAAATTTTAACTGCACTGTGCCAAAAAATTTACTTGCACTGTGAAAAAAAAAGTTTTTCACTGCACTGTGCAAAAAAAAATTAATAAAAATTAAAAAAAATAACCGTTGCACGGTGCAAAAATTTTTTGTCGGCACAGTGCACAAAAAATTTTGTCCGCACAGTGCAAAAAAAATTTTTGGTCGCACAGTGCAGAAAAAAGCCCGGTTGCACAGTGCAAAAATTTTTTTTTGTTGCACCGTGCAAAAAAAATTTTTGATCGCACTGTGCAAAAAAAAACCCGGTTGCACGGTGCAAAAAATTTATGACTGCGCTATTGCCAAAAAAATTTACTTGCACTGTGCAAAAATTTTTTTTCACTGCACTGTGCAAAAGAAAGTTTTAGTTGCACCGTGCAAAATTTTTTCACTGCACTGTGCAACAAATTCGAAAACCTTCAAAATTATCGCAAGTTTCCCCACAAAAAAAACTTTTTTTATTGTCAAAGCATAATTATTTTACTGTAATTATTTTAAAAAGAAATCGAAAAATCTTTTTGACAAACATCCTGCGAAAGGGCACGTTGAAAAGTAATTGTAAAGAAAACAAAAATCTTTTTGCGATTACAAAAAAAACTTTTTAATGGAAAGTCCATTAATTTTGTTTATGGGAGGAACAAGTCAGGCAAGGTATGAGTAGGAAGTAGACTGAAGACTGTAAAATCTTTTTCAATTTTTGTTACATTTTGAATTAAAAAAAAAGATTTTAAAACTAGAAGAACATTTTTTCAATTAATGAAAGGTCTTTGATCAAAAAGTAGCCAATTTTTTTAAAGGCGAGAGAGTATGTAAAATTGGGAGAGACGGTTAGAGAAAAAAAATTTTTTTGGCCAAATCTTTGCAGATTTTGCAGTCGTGAAAAAAATACTTACAGGGGAAATACTCCAAGTGCGACGCTCAGATTTTGATGAAACTTGGCACAAATTTAGAATAATTTTTTCTAAGATATATACGAGAATCCTAGCAAGCGCTTTGCAGAAACAACCGAGATTTTTAGATCGAAAGTCGGCCAAACTTTAGGACTTTTTGCGGAATTCCGGCACGAAAATTTTCATGCCTACTTCTACCGTAATGGATAATGTTTCTACAAAAAATCAAATTTTTCCGCACGAAACTGCCAAAGTTATGGCCAAAAAGCGCTTTTCTCTCTGACCGCTCTCCACGTTTAGCGTGCTCTCTCGGCGGCAAAAATCGTTCGATATCTCGGCGGCGCTTGGAAAGCGCGAGCTAAAACTTTCAGGAATTGATATTCAGTCCATACCCCACGTGTGTGCAAAATTTAAAGAAAATCTGAGCGTCGCACTTGGAGTACTTCCCTTGTTAGTAAATTAAAAAAAAAATTTTTTTTGACCTTTTAGGGTCAAAAAATCAAAAAAATTAACTCCTCCAAATTCCAAAAAAAAATTTGTTGTGATATACGGATTTTGTTGTAGAGTTCATTTTAAAAACCAATTTTTATAAATTCTCACAGTTGCAAGATTTTTGGGTCAAAAATTACGAGAATTAGGCACTTCTTGGCGTTTCGACTTGATAAATCGCTATTCTGGTCGGCGAGTAATATTATTCCATAAAAAATTAATGTTTTCGCACAAAATTCGCAAAGACCGAAAAACGGGTGCATGTGTCTTCCGGTGAGGTCAATGTTTCTACAAAAAATCAATCTTTCCGCACAAAACTGACAAATTTATTGCCAAAAATGGTATTCTCTCTGACCGCTCTCCGCATGTCGCATAGTCTCGTCGCAGCAAAATTTCTCGCCTCGTTGATTAAAAAAAATCGTTTGGGGTACTTCCCTTGTCAATTTTGAGCGAAATCCGAGGGTTTTGAGAGAGTTATGGAGAAAAACGTTAAATTTTATGCATTATGGATGAAAAACGTGAAGTTGTAAATAGTGTGAGAATGTCAAAAAATGTGTGTAGAAGAGCGGAAAAGCTTGTAGATTTTGTCGTATATCCATTTTTTCGAAAAAACAGTCTGTCGGGAAAATAACGTGGATTTGTTGAAAAAACAGTCTGTCGGGAAAATAACGTGGATTTGTTGAAAAACAGTCTGTCGGGAAAATAACGTGGATTTGTTGAAAAAACAGTCTGTCGGGAAAATAACGTGGATTTGTTGAAAAAACAGTCTGTCGGGAAAATAACGTGGATTTGTTGAAAAAACAGTCTGTCGGGAAAATAACGTGGATTTGTTGAAAAAACAGTCTGTCGGGAAAATAACGTGGATTTGTTGAAAAAACAGTCTGTCGGGAAAATAATGTGGATTTGTCGCAGAAAAAAATTTCTCGCCTCTTCGCAGTCGCAACCAAATCTCCAGTCGCTGCAGTCATCCCAACGTGATGAGCGATTTCAAAGCGCGACAAATCCACATTATTTTCCCGACAGACTGCTTTTCGGCAAATCCACATTATTTTCCCGACAGACGGTTTTTCGGCAAATCCACATTATTTTCCCGACAGACGGATAATTCACACCTTTTCCGGCTATGTTCCGACAGACTGATATCCATGACAATCCCGTCTACCTACGATTAGAGGATTGAAAATTTATTTTTGTCTCCTTTCCCCGAACAGTTTACAATACTCACCAAAAGACATTACAATCTCTTCGCCTAAAAGCCTCTTTTCCCATTTTTGCAATTTCTTTATTCCAAAGAGTGATCTTTGAAACAAAAAAGAGAGTTTTCACCTCAACCAAACATCGGCCGATAAGGTTGTTGAATTCGAAAGAGTAATGTTTTTCGGTAAACAGCTACAAATCAAGGCCGACAAAAACTAAAATACAATTTTTTCGGACGGGTGTGCTAGACAAAAGCCGAGCCAAAAAGTCCTCATAATTTATCACAGAAACAAAAAGGTTTGTCATGTCCTAACATATCTTATCACCTATTTTTAGGTATTTTACATGTACTCGCAATTTTTAAAACTTTAGCAGACAACGAAGATCCGTAACTTTTATCTAGATATTATTGATGCGAGTAGAAAAAGTGGTCTATTGCAAGCATTCGCCAAGTGCCTGCCGAGCCTTCGCCGAGCGTCCGCCGAGCATCCAAGGCTTTTCCAGGCCTCGTATGCACTTCTTACCACATTTTGTTGGGTATACACCTGTCCTACGCCCCGTACCGGTCGATATTGTGTTGACCCGAACTGTCATCGACCCGGAAAGTCGGGACGCGTGAAAAAATAATTCACGTCGCCGTGAAGCTTGTTACAATTTTACTTTTTTTCACTACGTCGCCACGCATTCTTTGCACAACGCAAAAAGAAGTCTACGCACTTTATGGAACGACCAGTATCAGGAGTTCTTGACCCGAGTCAAGAACTTTCGTGCCTATTTCTACAACAGCGGGTAACGTTTCCACAAGCAATCAAGAAATAAAATGGTAAAGAAAAAAGTGGTCTTTCTCTGACCGCTCTCCGCGTTTCGCGTACTCTCTCGGTGGCAAAAGATCGTTGAACACCTCGGCTGACCCTACAAAGCGCGAGCTAAAAATTGTACGAATTGATGTGTGGCTTATGTCTGATATGTCATAAATACAATATAAATTTTGGTTGAAATAAAAAAAATTTGAAAAAAACAAAAAATTGAATATTTTTTTATAAAATTCGTTTAAAAAATTGATTTTTTAAAATTATTTCGGCCAAAAAATCAATTTCAAGAAAATCATAAGTAACTATTACAACTTTTATCGATGAAAAATCCTAATCTCAACCCTATTTATTCGACTTACAACCGGCTTAAAAAGTAATCGAGAACGTGATGCGAAAACAAAGAAAAATTTCGATAATTAGAGCTTGCGAAACTGCTGATAAGAAAAAATCGAAAAAAAAAGAATTTTTGGGGGCCTCGACCTCAAAAGGGAACATTAATCGGCACGAGCGGATTAGTTCTCCACCCTCAGATTGGGAGTGATATTACACTTGAGGACTTGGTGGTTCTCGCGAAAGCCTTTAGGACGTCACAGTAGCCGGATTACTTTTACGATTTCAATAAAAGACGGAAAAATTTTTTTTTTAATAATTTTTTTTTGCTTTTTTTCAAAAAAAATTTTTTTTTGCACTGTGCAAAAAATAATTTTTTCATCGCACCGTGCAAAAAATTTGGGAGACCCTTGCACTGTGCGAATTTTCGTTTGCTCTCTGCACTGTGCAAAGACCCAGTTGAAACATACGCACCGTGCAAACACAACAAAAATCGCCGGGTTTCATTGCACCGTGCGAAAAAAAAATTTATCGCGAATTTTCATGACTGCACTGTGCACAAAAACCCCCGGATTTTTTGCACCGTGCATTCATCTTTTTTCGTTTTGCACTGTGCATTTGAAATGTCGCTGCGACGTAAGCTTTTTCCAACGGCGTCGCTGCGGGCTTGTTACTACTAGTCGCGGAAAAAAGTCCTGGGATTTTTCTGCGACTCTGCACTGTGCATGAACCCGAAAAGTGCTTTTGCACTGTGCAATTTTGTTGATTTTGGCTTATTGTCGCGCGCGATTCCCGCGACAAATCAACTTTTCGGGGCGCGACGGAATTTGGGGGCGCGAGAAAATCCCAGGACTTTTTCCGCGACTAGTAGTCGCGGCAAAAAGTCCTTAGAATTTTTCGCGGCCCCCAAATCTCATCGCACCCCGAAATGTTAATTTGTCGCGGGAATCGCGCGCGACAATAAGGCAAAAACAAGAAAATTGCACTGTGCAAAAGCACTTTTCGGGTTCATGCACAGTGCGGAGTCGCAGAAAATTCTAAGGACTTTTTGCCGCGACTAGTACTAATCGCGCTCAAAAGTCCTGACAATTTTCGCACCGTGCGAAACTTTGGGTTTTGGACGTCGCCCCTGAAAATTCGGGTTCGTCGCGCGCAAAAGTGCATGTCGCTAGTGAAAAAAAGGGAAATTGCGGCGACAAATGCGAAATGAAAGAAGAATGCACAGTGCGAAAGTTCGGGTTTTGAACGTCGCGCCCTCAAATTCGGGTTTGTCGCTCGCGAAAAGGGGAAATCGCGGCGACAATTGCGAAGAGATGCACCGTGCAGATCAAATGAAAGAAGAATGCACGGTGCGAAAATTGTCAGGACTTTTGAGCGCGATTAGTATCAGTCTGTCGGGAAAATAACGGCGGATCGTCGCAGCAAAATGTCTCGCCTCGCCGCTATCGCGCACCAAATCCCAAGCCGCGGCTTGCAGTCGCAGAGCGATGATGAGCGACACCGAGGCGCGACGATCCGCCGTTTTTTTCCCGACAGACCGATAAAACATTTGCACAGTGCAAACGACTGTTTTTAAGCTTCACTGTGCGCAAAGGAAAAAAACGCAATGCACTGTGCGTCGCGACAAGCGTGGGAAAGGGTTCTGAATGCACTGTGCGAAAAGGGAAAATGCACTGTGCGTCGCGACAAGCGTGGGAAAATTGCAAAACGCACTGTGCGAAAAGAGAAAAATGCACTGTGCGTTCGCGACAAGCGTGGGAAAAGGTTCTGAATGCACTGTGCGAACGCGAAAAATGTCCATGCGCTTTATGAACATACTAATAGCAGATTATTCGAGACCACTTTGAGAAAGGGGGATTAATTCTTTCACGCACAGGTGTAACCACCCGCTCACATATGTAATGCGTATGTTTATATGACGTGGTTTGTGGAGAGTTTGAAATCATTTTGAGACGATATTGCGACGACACACGTGATAAACAATCTTATCAGACGCTCTTAAAATACGGTTCGTTTGACGTTCGATGTCAAATGCACGGTTGGAGGAGGCTGATAAGATGATGTTACGGCGGTTTAAGCAGGGTTGTGTTGAGGGCAAGAGGGATTAAAAGGGCCATTCAAGAGCTGCCGATCACTGGTTGACGATCAATGAGTAAGGATGTGTGATGATTTATAATATCTGTGGGCAAAATAACCTGCTTTTCTGGACCGAATAGTGACGTGCGATGAAAAATGGATCTGCTACGGCAGTGGGACAAAAATTTTCGGCTCAATGATGTCCTCCGGGGATGTCCCCATGGCACTTCGCAAAGCCGGCGCACGTCAAACTGAGGAGTCCGGTGACCGGAATAGACTCTGCGCTATCGGTTTTTTACACTTCGTCTATTTCGCAGAGAACGAGAGAAAAAGGACACGCAAAAGCATACTCTCTCGCCCTGAAAATTCCCCATTTCTCCCCCGACAAAACATTTTTTCGCGTCTTTTTTTGGCAAATTGCCAATCCATTCACCGGACTGTTTTAGCTTATCTCAGTTTGACGTGCGGCGCTCCATCAAAAAAGACTGTATCACGGTTTGGGTTATGCAGTTCCGGCATCATACAATACAGCTTTTTGGAAACGTGGTCAAACTATAAAAGCCAACTCGTACTGTATGCAGATCGACAGTTTGCGGCGAAACCTGCCAACAATGGTACGTCGGAGTGGTCCATTCATTTCGCATGACAATGCGAGGCCTCACGTTGCAAAAACCACCCTGCTGAAGCTACAGGAATTGGGCTACGAAACTCTCGCACCCTTCATATAGCCCGGACATGGCACCTACCGATTACCACATGTTCAAGCATCTCACAAGTTTCATGTGTGGTAGTAAAATATATAGTTGTAAGCGACTACAAATGGAGCTTTTTTGTAAGGACTAGTTTTTCCGGTGTTCCCTTTGAACATTACAGTATTCCGCCCACTGAATTCTTTTCTGCACCTTTTCCAACAAATCCTTTCCGTCACCATCTGGAAGCCGGATCCAACGAACGGATTGTCATTCTTTTCAAACCATAAATATTTACAATCTTTTTATACATTTTTATGCCTACGTTGAACATTGACTAATTCCCGAACAGGTGGATTTAGCCCGAAAAAGATTAGTGCCGGTTTATTTGAACCTTGTTTGACATTCGACAATCCACTGGGAAAGTTCTTACGGGTAAAGTTTGCTGTGACAACGGATAGTATAATTAGATATAAATACATTAAAAAATATACTATAAAAATTATGTCACTAAAGAAAAAAAACTTTTTTTTTGATTATTTTTACTTTATTCAATATTTATTTATTCAAAAAATATCTGAAAAATCGACTAAACTAAGAACATTCACGCCCAAGTCAGCGTTTTCTTCCGTTTCCCCTCCGAACTTTCGCCGTTCAAATTCTGCTTCGACAAAGTTGGACGTCGCGAAATGGAATTGCGCATACTTCGAGTGGGCGCGCGAGGGCGCGGGCGCATTACCCGCCCGAAATCGGGCAACTCATCGTCCAAGGAGCGGAGCTCAAGCGGAGCGAAAATACGCTCCAGAATGAACATTCGAATCAACACCATCACCACCAGCATTATTGGGAAGACGAACGCGATGTGGCTCATGAATCTGAAGAGAAATTTTTTTTGGTGGTTGGATAAATTTTCATTTTTTTTTTTTATTTTTAATATGTTGTTATTCTGTGTGATTTTTGTAAATTTTGAAAAGCGAAATAAAAAAAAGACTCCATTACCGTATAAAGAAAAAAATCTTTTTTTTTGTTTTATTTTTTATAAATTTTGTTATTCTGCGTTTTTTCACATATTTTGAAATGCGAAATAAAAAGAACAAAAAAAAAGAGTGTGTTAATGTATAAAGAAAAAACAATTTTGTTTGCACACCGCACTTTTTTATTATTTCTATTATTATTATTATTATTATTATTATTATTATTATTATTATTATTATTATTATTATTATTATTATTATTATTATCATTATTATTATTATTATTATTATTATTATTATTATTATTATTATTATTATTATTATTATTATTATTATTATTATTATTATTATTATTTTTATTATTATTATTATTATTATTATTATTATTATTATTATTATTATTATTATTATTATTATTATTATTATTATTTTTTTTGATATTTTTTTATTCTGTGATATTTTCAAAAATAAAAAAAAAACTCAAAAAACCTTTCTTACCGTATGAAGAACAGCGAAACCACGCTCAAAGTCTGTATAAAAGTGAATAAATGCACACGATGCATCCGCACCGTGCGCAACCAAATAAAATCGGGCTGATTTTTGACGGGCATGAAGAGCAGCCGGAGTCTCTGCGTATATTGTTGACTCATCAAAGATGTAGTCCCGATGTAAAGGAAGACTCCGGTGAGGACCGGCGATGGAATAAGTTTTACAACCGGCGCAAAAAAGAGCGATAATCCCATGAAGAAATGGGAAATAAACGCGGTCAGACGTTGCTCTCTGAAAATGGGATTTTTTGGTTTTAAAATACGAACATGGCGACAATTGAAAAGGCAAAAACTGATAGAAAAAATTAAAGAATTAATTCCTTTGCCCAAAACATTTTTTTAATAAAACTGTAAATTTTATATAATTTTAAAAAAGGATGAAATTACGTATTTTTATTTTAAATAATTCTAAAAATATTTACTTTTTTATTTTTTTTTTTTTATTTAGCCGTTAGATGTGGCTCTCTGAAAATGGGATTTTTTAGTTTTAAAATACGGTTATAGCAAAAACAAATTTTTTAAATATAAAAATTCACTGAAAAAAAACATTTAACATTTAAAAATCTTTTTGTCACAAAAAGGGTTTTTGGTATTGAAAATGCTGAAATAACTACATATTTAAATCTAAAAAATTTTTTTCTTATTTTTAGAGTCCGAGAAATCTTTTTTTTTATACTTGAAAAAGTCAAAAAACGTTTTTTATTTATAAACAATACTAAAAAATCTTTTTATTTTTAAGATTTCTAAAAACGCTCTTTTTAATTTTATTTCTTTATAAATCGAAAAAAATCATTTTTAGAATAGTTTGAAATTAAATAAGGAATGCTCAGAAATAAAAAAAATGGTAAAAGTTCCTTATTTTGGCCACAACTTATAACTTTGCGGAAACTGGTCGGAATTAGCCCAAATTTAGCGTGCACGCTCAATTCATCGTTCTCAATGCCCGGACAGTGGATTTAGTCAGCGAGGTACCTTCTTTTTTACGTACCACCTTACCCTTCAAAAACGGCTGCAGCCTGTGATTTTACATTTTATACGATGAAACATGTCCGGAACTAAACTTATTGCCTCCGTATGGAACTAAATGAGTCGTCACAGCCTTCGTAGGTACCCTTAAAACTATAGAGCTATTATAAATAGTAATTCAGTGCCAGCTAGGTCGAAGCGTTTTTTAATAACTTTAGTGCCCAATCTTGGGCGCAGTTCGCGGAGTACCTTTGTTGTGGCCAAAATAAGGAACGTTTTCCTAAAAAATATATTTTTTCCTTTAAAAAATCGCGAAATTCCCCATTATTTTCCAAAAAGTCCCGAAAGCAAATTTTCGCCACCGAAAAAAGGCTCAAAAATCATCCAAAACTTGCTTACTTGACCCCCAAAAACCTCGCTTTTTCCCCAGGAGCCGCAATTTCCGAATGCGATTTCAGCGAATCCACATGGGTCATGCTCAACACCGTTGAGGCCACATAGAACGGCAGTCCCAGCACAGAACACGCCAGGATCAGAACAGCCACCACCAGCAAATCCAAATGATATCCATCGCCTTTTTTCAGCTTATTATCCTTCCGATTCACAATCCCCGCAGTGATTTGTTGGTCCATAACCACAAGAATGGAGTAGAAAAAGGCCGGCAAAAGGGCAAACAGCGCAACTTTGTATCCCTCGATGTTGAGGACGTCCACAATCCAAGGCCGATCCATTGTGGGCTGAAATTTTTTTTTGAAGGGGATTGAAGATTTTTCGACCAAAAAAAATCGACCAACATAAAAAATAGAAATTTTTTCTTCGACAAAATCAGTTATAAAAATTTTTTTGAGTGTGTCGGGAAAATAATGTGGATTTGTCGAAAAAACAGTCTGTCGGGAAAATAATATGGATCCGTCGAAAAAAAGCAGTCTGTCGGGAAAATAATGGGGATTCGTCGAAAAAACAGTTCGTCGGGGAAATAATGGGGATTCGTCGAAAAAACAGTTTGTCGGAAAAATAATGTGGAATTGAAATTTTTCAAGCGAAAAATCGACCAGAAAAAATGTTTTCAACTAAAAAAAATCGACCGCAAAAATAAAGAAATAGAAATTTTTTCGTCGACAAAATAAATTCTCCTCCGAAAACTCACTACTTTGACTAAAAAATCGATTATAACCATTTTTTCAAAAAAATTTTTCTTCCAAAAAATCAGTGAATAAAAAATTTTTCGATTAAAAAATCGGTCAATAAAAAATTTTTCGACCAAAAAATCGGTCATAAATTTTCATGTCGAAAAAAACTCTTCCTCCAAAAAATCGACCAAAAAAAATTTTGCGACAAAAAAATCGGTCATTTTGTCCTGTTTTCCACCAATTTCTTTTTCCACTCTCCACACCTACCGTCAATTTCATTGGGAATTTGAGGGCCGGCACATCCAGTCCAGTCATCTTGCTCAACAGCGTAAAAACCATGACCGCAATCAACACTCCAAAGTCGGAGATGGCGTGCCGCACACCCCACGCCAAGTACGGCGAATTGCGGAACTTGGCCAACCGCAACGTCAGCCAGAACGTGCAGAGGGCGAGCAGAATGGAGAAAATGAAAATGTCGGGCTTGAAGAAGCAGGCCAGACCATGGGGAACCCCGCCCAACGAGCGGCAACGGGTCACTCCAATCGAGAGATTCTTGATCACAAAGCCTTGCGTCTCGTTGGCGGGATCGTTGGGCGTCTCGAGGAGACAATGACAGGCCGAGTCCAGGACTGCCTGAAGAAGTTTTTTCAATTTGAAAAAGGGAAGGTAAGGGTCAAAAATAGGATTTTTTGTTCTTCGCTTAAAAATCGGTCGATAAGTTTTTTTACCGATTTTTTTATATTTTTTTGGTCAAATTTTTTTTGAGAGAAAAAATCGACCAAAAAAATGTTAGTCGAAAAAAACGGTCGATAAATTTTTTATCGACTTCTTTGGGCGAAAATATTTTTTGAGGGGGAAAATCGACCAAAAAAATTTTAGTCGAAAAAATCGGTCGATAAATTTTTTATCGATTTTTTTTATTTTTTAGTCGAAATTTTTTTTGAGGGGAAAAATCGACCAAAAAAATGTTAGTCGAAAAAATCGGTCGATAAATTTTTTTTAATTTTTTTCTTATTAAAAAATTTACAAAAAGCTTACCTGAGGTCTCCAAGTGATCGGCGCTTCATAACTGATCTCATAAATTTTCTGACAAGCCAAAACGATGACCGCGCCCGAAATAAGCGTGGCAAATCCATCTTCAGTGAACCGAGTGATAAACCCGACCAATGCTGAAGTGTCGGTTGCAACGAGGATCAGTAGAAACAAGACCATCCAACAAGCCATCCAGAAACGGAAGGGAAGAAAGTCCCAGTTCATCCCGCTGGAAATAAAGTGTCATCTTTTTTTTATTTTTTTGATTTCAATTTTTTTCTGATAAAAATGTAATTTTTTTTTATTTTTCTACTTTTTTCAATTTTAATTTTTTTTTATATAAATGTTTTTTCACCAAAAAAATTTTTTTGATTTCAATTTTTTTCTGATAAAAATATAATTTTTTCCCCAAAATTTCTTTTTTATTTTTCCATTTTTTTCAATTTTACTTTTTTTTTTGATTTAAATTTTGTTATAAAAATGTTTTTTCACCAAAAACAATTTTCTTCAATTCATTTTTTTCTGATAAAAATGTAATTTTCCCCCAAAAAAAATCTTTTTTATTTTTCCATTTTTTCAATTTCAAAACCCCCCAACTTAGTACGACCCAGGGCCGTCCACGCGACTACGACTAAAGATGGAGCAGCTTCCGACTCAATTCAACTCATATAGACCAATAACAGCAACCCGATCCAGTGAAGACTAACCCGCCTGCGTAACCAAATGGTCTCGACGCGAAGACAACCGTGGCATTCTGCCATAGTACGGTGGAAACCCTTCAGGAAGAGAACAAGAGGACAGGGGAGATAGAGGGAGGAACAGAGAGGTCAAGGAGAAGGTCAGGACGAGGGCGTGAGCCCGAGGCCCCGTTTACTACTCTTTATCTTGGTTTTATTGTTGATCATTTACATTTTACTTGGCATTTACCTTTATTGTATTTTTTAAGCTGGATAAACGTGTATTGCTACGCGTTTGGCAGCTTTATCTTTAGCAGAACCGTTTCTACACCCTTCATAGGCGATACCCCTACCGGTATTTTGCCCTATTACTTACGTGCACAGATCATACACCACTTTCTCAAAAATCAGTGTGGGCCCAGTGGCCGACAGAATTGTCAACGGTTGCCCGGCAAAGAGTGCGAAAATCATTCCACAAATCGAGCCGGCCACCACGTTTTCGATGGCCGCCATTTGCTGATGAGTGGCGCGTTCGAACACCGCGCCAAACGTGATCACATTCGTGAGGTTGGCGAAGAAAATGGCGGCCGTTGTGGCCAAGGACTGGGACATTCGGCCGGAGAAAAAGTCGGTGTAATCCGAGAGGTAGTAGCGGGCTTTACGTCTAAAAATAAATTTTTTGAGTCTGTCGGGAAAATAATGTGGATTTGTTTTAAAACGAGTCTGTCGGGAAAATAATGTGGGTTTGTCGAAAAAAGAGTCTGTCGGGAAAATAATGTGGATTTGTTTTAAAAAGAGTCTGTCGGGAAAATAATGTGGATTCGTCGAAAAAACAGTCTGTCGGGAAAATAATGTGGATTTGCAAAAAAAAAACAGTCTGTCGAGAAAATAACGTGGATTTGTCGAAAAAACAGTCCGTCGGGAAAATAATGTCGATTTGTTTTGTGAAGGAATCAAAAAATCCCACAACTCACTTCACATCATCCACCAGACCTCCAAAAATCCTCCCGGAGCGATTGATCAGGACCAATTTCTTCTTTGGGGCGAATAAATTTTGGTCCGAGACGAATTCATCCTCCGGAGCGTCGTCGGCATTCGAATACATTGTTCCGATATTTCGAATCACCTAGAAAAACATGTATATTATCAAAAAAAATTGATTAAAAAAATCTCGATTTTTTCGGTGGAAAAAAATTTATTTTATTTATTTTTTTTATTTTTTTATTTAAATTTTTCATCGACAAAAATTCGTTGACCGATTTTTGGCTGAAAAAAAAATTTTTTTTATCACAAATTTTCTTTATTTTTTTCAATTTTTCATTTACATTTTTTGTCTAGAAAAAATTATTTTTTACCACAAATTTTTTTTTTCCAACCTACCGCATTCTCATCCACCTTCGGTTCCCATCTGGTATCCGGCCGGCATTTGCCCGGCGGGATCAACGTGCATTGAGTGAAATACTCCTCCACGGCCTCGGCGATGGTAAATTTTTCCCTACAAGTGTAGGCGACTTTGTGGAAGATTTGGTCCGAAAACAGAGCGCCCATTGCACGGCCAATCCCCGCCGTCTCCTCGGGGTAATTGTCGATGGTGTTGAGGAGGACGAAAATGAAGCGAACCGGCAACGGCTGGTCGGGGATTTCGGGGTAGAGGAGCTGAAAAATATTGGGGGTTTTGTGGTAAAATACGTTTATCTAAAGCTTGTTAAAAATTATAGAAAAAATATAATGAAAAGCACTTATGTTTACTCCAAAAAATCAAAAAAAAATATAAGAAAAAATCAAAAAAAAAATCCAATGAAAAAATCGAAAAATTTTCAAGTAAAAATCAAAAATTTCCAAGAGAAAATCAAAAAGTTGCAAATAAAAAACCAAAATTTCTATGAAAAAATGAAAAAAAATTCAAGTAAAAATCAAAAATTCCGAGAAAAAATAAAAAAATTTCCAAAGAAAAAAATCAAAAAATTCGAAAAAAAAAATCAAAAAATTCCAAGGAAAAACCAAAAATTTCCAAAAGAAAAAATCTAAAATTTCCAAAAAAATCAAAAAATTCCGAGAAAAAATCAAAAAATTCCAAAACAATCAAAAAATTCCAAAAAAAAAATCAAAAAATTCCAAAAAAAATCAAAAATTTCCAAAAAAATGCTTACCAACGGATTTTTCAGTCGAATCAGGCAAGTCAGTGGCTGCTGAAGGGCCCCAACATTGGCCACCATGATCGCCGCTCCTTCCGTGTTTCGTTTCAGTCGGCGGAGGAGACGTTGATCTGCCTGAAACGAACGGAGTCATAATTTTCGAAAACCTGACAAGCAACTGTAATTTAGACAAGATTGGTTCTATCAGTCTGTCGGGAAAATAATGAGCACTCTGTGGCAGCGAAAATCGCACGCCAAAATGAATTGTGTCGCGGCGAAATCAAATTGCTTTTCACTTCAGCGACGGGATCGTGGTAGCGAAATTGTGCTCATTATTTTCCCGACAGACTGATAGTTGACCTAGTGTACAGTAGGGGACCTGATCCAGTGGCAAAAAAGTGCTATTTGGCATCGGGAAGTGTCAAAAACTGTGGCAAAATGCCTCCCTCTCCAACTAAAAAAGCTCCGGTTTGAAAGGTGCCCCTCCCCTCACAAAAAAGCGGGCTCGAAACAGAGTTTTTTCATTTGCAAAGGGAAGCATTTTGCCACATTTTTGATACTTCCCGGAGGCAAAATGGAACTTTTTTGCCGCTGGTCAGGTCCCTCACTGTATACTAGGTCAACTATCAGTCTGTCGGGAAAATAATTAGCACAATGTCGTTGCGATTGTAAGCTCAATGTGAATAACGTCGCTGAAGTGAGAAGCAACTTTATTTTGTTATTTACAAAACGCGAGCTAGAAGTTCCGCATATATTTTTGTTATTTTTTATTCTGTAAGTTTGTGCCAAGTTGCCTTATCGCTTACGTCTTCATATTTCGTTGCATATTGATCCATATGCGGCTCTCCCTCGTCATCACGATGAGTTCTTGTTGGTCTTCGACGCTTCATATTCTCTTCTCTGTCTCGATCTGTAAAATCGTCATTTTTTATACATAATGCTATCTGTTTGTCGGGAAAATAATGTGGATTTGTCGCGCCTTGGAAATCCACATTATTTTACCGACAGACTTATAAAACGCATATATCAGTCTGTCGGGAAAAAATAATGAGGAATTTGGCTTACCAATCGGGACAGTTGACTCATTCACGGTCCGAATTTGCCCCTCGATCAGATGCATCTTCGGGGCGTACATGACTTCACGGACCATGTTGCTGTGATCCTCGTCCAGGAATCCGTCCTCAACCCAGCATTTTATCATCTTATCGCAGACTTGCACGAAAGTGTTTGCCTCCAAGTCAAGGAGAACAGGGCCTTTTCGAAGGAAGGATTTTACCTTAAAAACACGATTAAAGTCAAAAATCGGAAGAAAAAAGATATTTTTTAAATGAGAAGTTTTCGTGGTAGGACCGAAAATTTTGAAAAGCTCCAATTATGCGATAAATTTTCTTAAAATGCGGTGTGGTTTTCATAGAAGGATGTACGGATCAAAAACTTTGTCCAAAATTTTCAATTTTTTGCCCAAAATTTTCAATTTTTTTGTCCAAAATTTTCAATTTTTTGTCTAAAATTTTCGATTTTTTGGCCAAAATTTTCAATTTTTTGTCCAAAATTTTCGATTTTTCGTCCAAAATTTTCGATTTTTTGTCCAAAATTTTCGATTTTTGGCCCAAAATTTTCAATTTTTGGGCCAAAATTTTCAATTTTTTGTCTAAAATTTTCGATTTTTTGTCCAAAATTTTCGATTTTTTGTCCAAAATTTTCAATTTTTTTGTCCAATATTTTCAATTTTTTTGTCCAAAATTTTCGATTTTTTGTCCAAAATTTTTTTAGAAAATGAAAATTAAAAATTTTTTTTAAAAAAAATCCAAAAAAAAATTTCGAAATTTTTGCCCAAAAATCTTAAAATTTTTTTCCCACCAACCTGAAGCATGGCATGCACCGTCAACAGGGTCAAATGCGGTCGACTGAACCGGGTCCCATCGCCCTCCACGACCTGCTTGAACTTGATCCAGCGGCCGATCTGTTTCCAGCACAATTCCGCCTCCTCGTCGAACTCCTCCTCCTCCGGGTTGGTGGTCAGGTACATCATCTCGCAGAAGAGCGGCGGATGGTCGATGGGGTCGCGGAGCACCAGCTTGCGGACATTGTCAATGGGAGCTGGATTTAATTTCAAAAAATTTGGAAATTTCGACCTACTTTCCACATCATTGCTCAGCTCGATGGATTGGGGACAGTGCAATGCCTCACTTAAAAGATCGCCTATATCAGTTTGTAAGTCGGGGTTTCAGAGGCCGAGTTTTGGAAACATTCTGCGGGTTCGAAGATCAGCCCAATTTCGAACTGTTGCCTTACTATCAGTATGTCGGGAAAATAATGAGCACTCTGTCGCATTGAAAACCGCATCGCTGCAGAAAAACGAATTGCTTTTCACCTCGGTGACGCGGTTGGCACGGCGACATTGTGCTCATTATTTTCCCGACAGACTGATACTGGATTACAGTTTGAAAAAAAGACGACGACTCAAAACCCGCAGAATGTTTCCACCGTCACCCTCTCGCTTACAAGTGTAGGACGAAGTGCTGGCCGTTGCACTCCGTTTGCGCAATGTAGTTGCCCGTAAATTAATTGCTGCATGGTGGTTTTCCATCAACCCTAAATACGTATAATAAAAAATATACTTTACATTGAAAGTTTTTAAAAATAAGTAGCTATATTTGGGTAACGGTCCATTATGGGCAGATACCATAAAGGACAGATCCTTTTCTTAAGTACAGTGAGGGACCTGATCCAATGGCAAAAAACGTCTCATTTTGCATCCCGGAAGGGACCAAAATGACTCCAACCCCTTCCCTTCTCTAAGCTAAAAAACTCCGTTTTGAAAAGCGCGCCCTTTCCTTCAAGTCGGGCTCTTCAAACCGGGGTTGTTTAGCTTAGAAAAGGAAAGGGTTCGGAGACATTTTGGTCCCTTCCGGAATGCAAAATGAGACGTTTTTTGCCATTGGATCCGGTCCCTCACTGTAGTACTGTAAATTAGTAAATAATAACAATTAAAAAAATTAACATGACTGCTGTCATCAGCACCCTCGAAAACCCCTAAATCAAGTATTAAAGAAATTACTTTTTAACAGTACTATAGAAAAAAAAGTGAACAACACATAAAATACACATTTTTTTTAAAAGATACATTGGTCTTGAGAATATTTCTAAAAATTTCAGCCCATAATAATCTCTTCCCATAATGGACGAGCACGCTATATGGTAGTATGTGATAACCAAAAAATAAAATAAAAAATAAAAATCGAGGATTCACGACTTCCAAAAAAACATTTCAAAGACGCGACGAAAAAACGGATGGAAAACGCTTGCAAAGTCAAATCAATTCGAATCATTTCGTCGGACGAAAACCCGAGGAATGACTTTGAAGCGCTAAAAATCAGAGAATAAACTCAAAAAAACAGTTATGAGAATGGCAAAAACAGAGAGTGAAAAGGGTGGAAAATAACTGCAAACATCTTATTTTTTGATATAAAATATTGTTTTTACAATAAACTGTATTTATCTTTTGAGCCGGACTAGAAGATGACAATTGCCGGTTTTATGATAAAAATTAATTTTCTAAAAGCAGGCATGTCAGATTTTGTTCAAATTTATTGTAGAGATCCTATCTAGAATGCATTGTAATCCCTAAAAATTTCAGCTCACAATTTTTATTTACAAGGGAAGTACCCCAAGTGCGACGCTCAGATTTTCTTTAAATTTTGCACACACGTCGGGTATGGACTAAATATCAATTCCTGAAAGTTTTAGCTCGCGCTTTGCGGGCGCCGCCGAGATATCGAACGATTTTTGCCGCCGAGAGAGCACGCTCAACGTGGAGAGCGGTCAGAGAGAAAAGCGCTTTTTGGCCATAAATTTGGTTTTTTGTAGAAACATTATCCTTTACAGTTGAAATAGGCATGAAACTTCTTGTGCCGAAATTCTGCAAAAAGTCCTAAATTTTGGCCGACTTTCGATCTAAAAATCTCGGTTGTTTCTGCAAAGCGCGAGCTAGGATTCTCGCATATATCTTAGAAAAAATTATTTATAATTTGTGCCAAGTTTCATCAAAATCTGAACGTCGCACTTGGAGTACTTCCCCTGTTAGTATTTTTTCAATTTGAAAAACAGAAATTTTTCTTTTTGATTTTTTTTATTTTTGAATTAAAAATTTAATAAATCTTGTGTATGTCCTAGAAAATTCAAACAATAATTTGGGCCAACTTTCATCATAATCTGAGAATTTAAATTTTAATTTTTTTTTGGAAAAAATCGAAACCCCGCACAGTGCGAAAAAGTCTAATTGCACTGTGCGCCGCGAAAAAAATCTACGAATTTTTTGAAAAAACATGGTAAAAGGAAGTATTTACAGAGCGAAACTCTCTCATTCTCCTCAAAATACGCTCTTCATTTTATCAAAATCGCCTAATCAAAACATTTTCCGCCGGTCTTTCGCACATATTTTTTTCTCGCTTTTCTTCAGACAAAAGTCCAATGGTAAATACGAACAAAGAGCAAATAGTAATAAGCCGCTTTTCATCGCTGATAGTACTCAAAACGTGGACTTGAAATAAAAAAATTGTAAATTTAGCGAAATGTCATCAAAAATCTCAAAATCAAAAAAATTTTTTTTTCTCTCACGATCAAAACAACATGCTATGGCAATTTAATTTGATATTCAAGGGTGTTTTGAAAAGATTTTCCCCGCCGATTTTATGTCCCAACAGCAAAAAATCGCCTTATTTTCGCGTCTGCCCCATCCCAAATAGTAAGTCGTTCGGCTTTCGGAAAATGTTTTTTCAGCGTCCGAAACGAAAAATCAAAGGTAACCCGGAGCCTCCAAAGGCGTTCTCCGTGAATCATATTACATAAAGGGAAATTATTGTGACAAGTTGATTATTTTTTTGGAGAAGGAAAGGGAAGATTTGATAGCGTTTTAGTTTGTGATTTTTCAGCTAAAAAAGGCAAGTGCTTGAAGTGAACGCTATCCATCTGCTTCAAACTTGTCATACCTACTCTGTATTGGCCATATTTAAATTTCTGAAGGTTTTAGCTCACGCTGTCCAGTGACAGCCGAGTTATTCAACCATATTTGCAGACGAGAGATCATGGAAAACTAGGACAGACGATCAGAGAAAAAAGTTTGCTTGGCATATCGAATTGCGGCCAAAAAGTTTTACCAAATCCGGACTTCTTACCTTGAACAACCTTTGTAAAAACCCAAACAAAACATCCGATGCTTCAAGAAGTTTCCGATCAACAAATCGCATTGTAAGATTTCAAATTGTCATGTCAAGTCAACCGTATCTAATTAGAAAAAAAAACAAGAGTAATTTTTCAACTCTAAACTTCGAAGTTTGAAAGACCAAGTCTTCCGAAAGGCACATTTGCTATTTGAAACAAAAACTTGACTAAAAAAGCATGCACAAAAGTCAATAAATATATCTTTATGTCATTATATAGAATTCAACAAATAATTGAGCAAAATATTTTCCTTTTTCTTTGTCTTCAAGACTTGGATTTAGACTTGGATCTTGAATTTGGCTCTTTGGATGACTCCTTCAAATGGACTTTGTCGAGCTGTCTGAAATACCGTAATACAAAAGATACTGCCGGGAAAATCCAATGTTGTTCATAAAAATTTCCTTATGTCCTGTGACACTATTTGATACAAAAATTGGACTTCTGAACAACCCTAACACTACATATTAATGGTGTTCATTTGTTGACACCCCTGTTAACAAATCTCTCATAGCCAAACAATTTATTCGTTATATTCATTTTGACCTAACATTCATTCCTGGTACCTCGAAAAGTAGCCGTTAAAAAGGGCTTTTATTGGCATCCATACATGCCACTGTATTTAAAGTTTTTTTGACAAACGGGTTCGTTGTACAGAGGCTTCACAATGGGTTCGTTGCACAGAGGTTTATACTTACCCGGAAAGTTTCTTTCCCAGTTTGTCCTCTTTGTTCAATAAATAGACCCGTTTCCCTTCATTTCCATCCAATGTCCATTCAGGAGCATACAAGGAGCCAATTCTGACTCCGATCAAGACCATAAATTCACCCGGTTTAAACATTTCCACAATCTCATTGTAGCGTTTCGGTACAAAAATATCCATAAACCTTTTGCCGACCTTCCGACTTAACGTTGAATGTACCGTATTGGCGGGCGGTGTGAATGAGTCGCGGAGGTCGAGGTTTATGCTGAAAAAAGTGAACATAATAGCAGTTCAATGGTTGTGATGACACTCACAACTTTGGACTTGTGCCATCCCAAACCCTCAGAATGCTTCCGTTTGCCCGAAGTTCGTATCCAATCAGCTAAAAATTAAAGAAATAAGTGTGTAAGGATTAAAATGTTAATAAACCAAAAACGCGTAGACCCACTCGAAATCCAACTTCGGCGCAAACAGATTCCTTACCTGAACCGCCAAATTATGGCACCCATTAGCCGTGCATTCTGACAATTTCGAAATCTTCACATCGCCCTTTATCCTAGGCTTCAGCAGTTCAAACGGAGCGTAAGAAATAGGCCGTTTCAACCGATTTCCTCCAAGCGCTTGGTCAATCTTGTACGCAGCCAAGTTTGTACTTTCAAAGTTGACATTACTGCTGCTTTTCTCTTTTCTCCAGTCAATCAAAAGTTTCATTCCTTGGTTGTCGTCAACTACTTTTGGCTCCGTACTAGTCGTGGCTGATTTTGAGGATGTTTCTCCCTTTGAGCTCCTCGTAGCGACCGCTTTAGTAGCTGCAGTGCCGTTAAAATCATAATTTTCATCAAAATTCAGACTAGTAGTGGCCTCTCCAAAGATCTCGGTCAACGTTTCCGCCGACACTTGGGTTGGTGTGTCAATATCGGCATCAACTCTCATCATTTCACCGAAGACCGCTGAGATCAATCTTCTCAGATGCTTCACCTAAAAATAAAACATAAAAAATTAGAGGAAAATCTTACTCGCTTAGCCAAGCTTGCAGTATAGACTCGTTGTTCTTTTGGTGGTTCGTTTGACCAAAAAATATATTCAATATCGTCGCCGTAGTTGTTGTAGCCAAAAGCAGCGACATTGAGGAGGCCGCAGTAACCGGTTAGTTGAAGCTCGTCATTAACCGAGGTTGCATGGAAATGCCGGAGATGAATTAAATTACCAGCTTTCAGCTCTCCATTAATGGAATGCCAGGGAGTCCAGAGATTGCAGATTATTGGCCGATAAAGATTGGTTTCATCAAAGATCTCCAGAACAGCTGAAAACAAGACATGTTTGATGCCGTCATGTGTGTCTAAAAGAAGAAGAAAAAAGAAAATCTTACCTTTTATGGCGTTCTTCAGCTTGTCAATCCAGATACTGTCGACCCGCTTCACAACGCACACCAAATTCTGCACAAGCATTCCAGGCTTCAGATCTTCACATTTTGCAAATTCGTCGGTAACTTTGGATTGCAAGCACTGCACGATCAGCATGGTTTTTTTAAAATTTAGAACAACGTCCAGCACACTTTAAAATGGCCGTCAACAAAAAACAAGTCAACAAAAAGTGCAAATTCAAATAATAGTGTTCACAACGGCAAGAAAGAATGGCAATGGGAGAAAAGAAAAGAAGAGCGAAAATATTGGGCGCAGCTCGGCTTCTCGCAGTTCGCTTTCTTGCGAAAAATGTCTAGTTCGAGTGGACACAGCGGTGTTTCTTATCAAAAGCGTTCGTCCAAGAAAGTGGGGGCTTCGGAAGGAGTATAAAATGTTTGGTTTTTGATCAAAAGTAAAGCTGTTTTTTCGTAGTTCCGGGAGAATTTTTTTTGCATAAATTTATCCTGAAATTTGTTGGGATTGCTTGTAATGATCAAATTGCCGTAGGGATAGAAGTCAAAAACTTACCGACGGATTTTTTTTATTTATTATACCTATTAGAAAATTAGAAAATCGTCGATTTTCGAAAGCACCATGCACGTCAAACTGAGGAGTCCGGTGACCGGAATAGACACTTTGCTATCGGTTTTTTACACTTCGTCTTGATTTCGCAGAGAAAGAGAGAAAAAAGACACGCAAAAACGTACTCTCTCGCCCCGATAATTCCCCATTTCTTCTCCGGCAAAACGTTTTTTCGCATCTTTTTTTGGCAAATTGCCGATCCATTCACCGGACTGTTTTAGCTCATCTCAGTTTGACGTGCTATGGCCTGAGATGGATAGACCTTATCTGATCGGACAATGGAATCCCGACTGATACACTCCATGATTTTACATGTGATTAGTGTGAATAAGCCGAAATTGAATTGAAATACCTATTAGTGCATCACTTCCGTATGGTCTTGTAGTTAGCTCTCATCTGCAGACAGTTCAACAACTTTGTTTTCGGTTTAAAGGAGCTTCAAAGACTGAAAGTAAACTTTTAGATTAATAAGGAAAGTGCTCAAACAGCGGCATTAAAAACCTCTTCAGACTTTGCCTACGAGGCCCACTTAGACTATACATTATTTCCTAAAAATTTTAACTTGCGTTATTCAGACCCACAAGATATATTCAACATTTTTATAGGAAATAAATACATAGTACTGAGATCGTTGACAAAGCCTGATTTTTAAACCTCTCCTACGAAAAGATCCATAAACCAAATGTTTCAATAACTAATCCCTCGTCTTTTGTAATTTAAATACTTGGATTACAGAGGTTTGGCTCATAATTTGTAGTCTTGCAAGAGTCATCGGTTTGATGTCTTTTTTGTTCTATTTGTTCATTAAAATCCCATTTCCTCCTCGTTTTTTTCATTTCCCTCTCTGACATCACTCTCCAATTCGTCTTGCATTTACATGTTTACAGGGAATTTTTTCATCCAATTTATTAAAGAATTGTGTGCATAAAATATTCAGCCCTCCATTCCACATCCACTCCCTTTCCTGCCCCCCTGTAAAGGCCTGAGGGCCGCGAACATTTCGGGGTGTTCCCATTTTCATTTCCTCAAGAAAAAAGGGAAGGGAATGGACCAGATATTTTTCCTCTTCTTCATATTATTCGCTCCCTCTCTGCTTCGGCGGCGAGACAGAGGGAGAGCGAGAAGAGATAGAGAGAGAGAGGGGCGGCGATGAGGGTCAGCGCCGGCGTTCCGAAGCAATATGAAAAAAAAATATTATAATGGGGCTGTAAAGGCGAGAAGACGGATTGCGGGGGTCCAATTTATCGCGCTGATGGATCGAATGGCCATTGGCTGGAAGGGTTGTGGAGTTACTGGTGGCCGTTATCAGAATGTCGGGAAAATAATGTGGATTTTTGTCTCGTCGCGGTCGCGCAATAAATGTCCAACCGCGTGTAGTTACAAAGCGATGATGGACGATTACAAAGCGCAACAAATCCACATTATTTTCCCGACAGACTGATATTATACTCCAGTCTTTATCACAGCCTATAGATGATGATATTGGGTCTTCTTTTAAAGCAAAACTGCCTGAGGTGCGATTCTCAGATTCTCATGAGACTTTGAGCAAATTACCACTGATATTGCTATTTATATTTCCATCATCTTATCGTTAGATTTCAAACGTATATGTTCTCTCTAATACCACGGGTGCAACAAGACTCGTGAGAATTTTTTTGCACATTCTTCCAGGTGTTATTGTATATTCTTTCTACTCCCATGTTTGTTAAACAGAAATTGTTGCAAATTATGCAGTAATTTTTAATTCGATTTATCGTATCTTTTATCGTTTCTTCGTTCCAAGAAAGTTGTTTTTTTTGCCCCATCCTCTTCAATTTTTTTTGACTTCATAAAAATCGCATTCCGAAAAATTATGACGTTTCGGCGTTTCAATTTTAGCGCTGTTTTCAGCACTCTATATAAGGAGGAAGTGTAATCTTTGACCTCTGAAAATTGGTTATCTAATCAATGAAAGTCATCTCTGCCTGTAATTTAGTCCACATTTTTTTTTGTGGCCACAACTACTTGTTTTTTAAAGAGCATCAAGAAGAAGAGAGTTTGACTCCTTTCTCTTTCTCTTCGCCCTCTTCACTCTCAACGGTCTTTCGGCGTGCTCTAATTATCTGCCGATAGCCTCGGGTTGCGGTCTTTTGTATTCGCATGGTGTCTTGTTTTGTTTCGTACAGCTGATTTCGGACCCCCCGAAGCAGTAATGGTTTTGAGGAGGAGCGGCGAGACTGTTTTTTAATATCTTGTACCCTAAGGGGATTTGGTGGGTTGCATGGTGTTAGGGACGGGGGAACATATGCATCATGTTGTAAGTTGTTTTTCAGCCATTACGCAGTTATTATAGTGGAGTTTTGGGAAATTTTAGGACAAGAGAAAAAATTGAGGATTAGATTATGTTGTAGTAGGCTGACTGGGATTTATGGGTTGACTAGGATTGAGGTGCGGTGATGAAGCGATTTTATTGGTAAAATACGTAAACTTCTACCATGTTAATTATTTTTTTTAGCAATTTAAACCACATTTCGATATTACATTTGACATCTGATGTAATGTCACGAAACTGATGTCTAGTGCAACATCTTTCCAATTTTTGGACTGAAATTTGCTCTAAGATAAAAATCAGCCATCGATCTGCACTGTAGACAAGTTTTGTTTCAAAATTGACACCAATTTTGTCATTTTTAAGCCATACATTACACATGGTCTAGTGTAATATAAAAACTTCGGAGTAACAAACAATGTTTTTGATGTCCTATTGTTAATTAAGGTCTTTGTTTATCTCTGTAAACAAACTATTTTGTATAATTTTTTTTTCGGTCTAGGTTACTGTAACATCGAAATTTCTAACAATCTCTCTTTGATGTTGTAAATAAAGCAATGTTTCATATGTTTTTTCTCCGTTAGTGCCTTAAGTAGGCCTCCGCATCGAATGCTTTTTGATTCCCCACAATTTTTTATATCCTACTCTCATAAACACATAGTATACCAGTAGTCATCAATGTGCGTTATTTCCAGCCCTCTCCATTTAAAACTCTCTGCGATATACGCACTGGGATCTGCACACTTCCCATTGTCTTCCCATTACCATCGGCGACGGCTTCGTTTCGCCCCGCCGCCATACGCACCTCCTCGCTTGGGTTTTTGCTTTGCGCCGCGATTTTCTCCCCCCTCCCCAAAAACCCGACTTTCTCCCCCCACTGCATTGGAACAGCCCGCAACGCCGCGAGAGAGTGCAGAGGGCAGAGGAAAGAGAAAAACGGAAAAGGGGAAAAAACTCGGAGAGATGTGGGGAAGAGGTCGAGGCCCTCTGTTTTGCTCCTCATCAACACTTTATGTTATACATACAGGCCGCCCTCGGCCCCCCACCACCACCACACCGGGCCCGGTGTAATTTCACACCCCGAGGGCAACTTCATTTTTGGTGGGTTCACAATCAAGTTTTCGGGGGGCGCGTCACATTTTTCGGGCGGTTGTTTTGTTTTTTTTCGCTTTTGTTTTCTTGTTGTTTATGACCTTCGAAAGTTGTTTGATTGTCCACTTTCGACGTTGGAAATGTTGCAAAAATTGATCGTTTCCGAAGGAAGCGGGTCCAAAAAAAGTCGGTGGAACAAGGTTGGAAGAGAAATTTGCGGAGTACTCGTTTTTTCGGACACATTTAATTATGCACTGTTATCGATTGGCGGGCCTTAATGTCTTTGGGGTTTTTTGCATGAATCCTAGAGCCGGAAGGAAATTTTTTTAGGTATTCTTGAAGATTACTGATTAATCTATCGCCTGCAACAACATTTTTCTATTCATTGCCTTAGGGCTTTTCAAAAACGGGGGTTTTTTAAAGCCTGGTCGAAGTAATGGAAATTTTGGTTTTTTGTCTTTTTCATGAGGCTAAATCAAGTTAATGGGCATATAGTTTGTTTAAATTACTAGCTTTTCCTTTATACTATTTAGTTATAACAACAAATCCGAAGTTTCCAATCTACGTTTGGCGAAAAGGCCATCTTCTTGCATAATGCAACACTTGACCCAGGACAGGACAAAAGATGGCACAAAGCAAAGATTTAGTCGTAAATTAATTTCTGTCTAGTCCTATAAGGCGTAAACCATCTAGTCAAAGTAATAATGGACTATAATAGGAACGAGAACGGTGTGTTTTCTCGATTTTTCATAATTTCCCCATAAAATAATGTCATCATTTTTAATTTAACGAATTTTGATGTCTTATTCCAGGATTTGCATACTCTAAATAGCACCAAAAAAAAGTCTATGACTTTAATTTTGTCCATTCAAGCCCCTTTACTCGCTCAGACAATTCTTTGTTTATTAATTTATTCATGAACACAAAATTGACCCATAAATAAGACCAGTCCTCGGCGTCTTATCACTTCTCTCCTCCCAAACTGGTTTGACCGCAAATAATCTTTGCTGCCCTATAATGTTTCGGAAACCAACCAATAAGCAACAATTTTTGCCACAAAGTTTTTATTAGTCTCACAGGGAAAGTACTTCTATGGGGTATGGAGTTACAGGTCGAGAGATATATCAAAAAATCGCAATTTTTTTCTGATTCAGAATAAGTAAAAATTAACTGCCCAATTTTGGGCTGTAAGGGCGAAAACCCCCCTCAGAACTTTTCTCGCAACAACTATTCAACTTTATTGCGCTAGACAAATTGCCTATGCGCCATGATCGTCCGGTTCGGTGGTGAATCGGTCAGGATTGGTTAGACAGAGGATACTGGCACGAAATTTAAATGTTTTTTGTCCTACATTGGTTTTAGTCTGTGTTTCAAACCTCTGTCGCCTCAGGCGGTAGTGGTCCTGTTTTAATACAAGTTGACCATTTAGGCACTCGTTTGTTGATTTCAGACTTTTTGACCAAGTTTTTACCAATTCAAAAGCTTTGTTTGGAGCTAAAGTAAACCCTAACATCTTGACAAGTCTTATAATATCAAATTTGAATAATATTTACTACACCTTAATTAGTAGTTCTAATATAAAAAAGAGACATTTGCGTGGTGTTGCGAGAAAAGTTCTGAGGGTTTTTTCGCCCTTACAAACCAAAATTGGACAGCTAATTTTTACATATTCTGAATCAGAAAATTTTTGCGATTCTTTTGATATACGTCTCGACCTGTAACTCCATACCCCATAGAAGCAGTTTCCTTGTCAAAAAAATTATATTACACTTGACCTCCCCGCTCATTTCGCTCCCAAATTATACTCCCCGTACAATGTTTTGACCCCCCTCCTAACTCCGTCCAAAGTGTACTAATTCGGACCAAATTTGGTATGTAGTATACTCACAGGCTAGTAACAAAAAATAACATAGCAGGACCTACCTTATATTAGCATTTTCACAAAGTGCCTGGTCATCATTTCGCTTTCGCACAGTGCATCTTGAACCTTTGTCGCCAACGCACTGTGAAATTTCCCGTTTTCGCACCGTGCAAACCTCAAAAAAGCCGATTGCACTGTGCACATTCTCGCGGAGGCGCAGTTGAGAAAAGCTTACGTCGCAGCGATATTTCAAATGCACAGTGCAAAACCAAAAAAAGGTCAATGCACGGTGCGAAAAATCGGGGGCCTTTGTGCACAGTGCGATTCGCGACAAATATCCAGGCACTTTGTGAAAATGCTAATAGTTGAATATCAAAATCTAGGGAAAATTTTCAAAAATCACCTTAAAAAATCGAGGAAAAAGTTTTGACCCCCCATTAAAAAACGTTAGATGTCGCCAGCGGATGCCACGCAAACCTATTGTAATCGACGTCCCATACCTGAATACAGGTTAATAAATGGTTTCCCGTTGAATGCTTCGTTGCATTTGAGGATTCAACGCGTTAAACCGTTTTTGATGTAGAGCTGCCCAAAATTGTAAAAATCTTGCCCTAGCGCTTTTCTAGAGCTCTAAATTGGGTTTATATTATGTGCTTTAGACCTGTATTTACCTTCTCCCTTCAATAAAAGTGCATGGTGGCCTGGCGGTGTAGATTCGGCAGATACCCTCTTGTCATGCCCAGCCTTGGTGAGCCATTTGCTCTTTGACTCAAGGTCGAGATGTGGTCGTTAGGTCCTCAATGTAATCGTGAGACTCCTAGTTACTCTCAAACAAAGAATGAACTCCGGGTGACACGGTCTCATATGGTTTACAGGCGCAACTTCGCCGATCTGCACCTTAACGAAAAACCCGCGTTTTTCAAATGGATTTTTAGCCACCAAAAACGGTCTTCATTTGATGGACCAGGTAATTTAAGACGGTACAGCACCCACCATACTCATTTGAGACGTATGAAACGCCAAGTCGGAGGTGGGGATGTCATCGTACTCGGGGTCATCTACAGTAACGGCAAACTTAAGATTAAGGTGAATGAAACCCATTACAAAACGTGTCAAATCAAAACATTTTACATTACTGAGAGTAAATAGGAGTCTCAGGATTACATTGAGGACCTAACGACCACATCTCGACCTTGAGTCAAAGAGCAAATGGCTCACCAAGGCTGGGCATGACAAGAGGGTATCTGCCGAATCTACACTGCCAGGCCACCATGCACTTTTATTGAAAGGAGAAGGTAAATACAGGTCTAAAGCACATAATATAAACCCAATTTAGAGCTCTAGGAAAGCGCTAGGGCAAGATTTTTACAATTTTGGGCAGCTCTACATCAAAAACGGTTTAACGCGTTGAATCCTCAAATGCAACGAAGCATTCAACGGAAAACCTATTATTAACCTGTATTCAGGTATGGGACGTCGATTACAATAGGTTTGCGTGGCATCCGCTGGCGACATCTAACGTTTTTTAATGGGGGGTCAAAACTTTTTCCTCGAATTTAAGGTGATTTTTGAAAATTTTCCCTAGATTTTGATATTCAACTATAAGGTAGGTCCTGCTATGTTATTTTTTGTTACTAGCCTGTGAGTATACTACATACCAAATTTGGTCCGAATTAGTACACTTTGGACGGAGTTAGGAGGGGGGTCAAAACATTGTACGGGGAGTATACAAGTACACAGGGTTTCCTGTTGTCGTAACTTGTTTTTGAGTATCTTTTCGGCATTGTCACACGATTAGTTGGGGTGTAATTGGTTGCGTGAAGGCCCCGTTTTTAAGGGCATTATCTCGCGGTTTGGTCGGAAATTTTTGTTATTCCAGTTCGAATATTGACGGGTGGCGGGGTTAATTAGCGGGAGTAAGCTGTGTTTTGTCCTTTTATTGTCGTTTCGGTAGACAACTGGCGGGGTGAGGCCGAAATTTTTTATTCCTTTATGTTATCCTAGACCCTTGATGACTATTGTGGATTTTGCCCGATTTTAGATAATGTTTTGCTATTTTAGGTGACTAAAATTGCTGATTAAACTATTTAAATTGGAAATAGAGTATTTTAAATTTAAACTTCCGCGATATCGTCAATTTTTTTTGTTACACTTGGCATTTACAAGTAATTCCAATTTCATTACTTTTCGACCTTTTTCCCTCTCCAAACAAGACTTTAATCCAATAAAGAGCAAGTGTTTACACGATTTACATCCCATTTACCTCATTATTACTACCTCAAATTCCGTTATCCATCCACTTTTGCGAGCTGCAATTAAGGTTGATCTCTCGCTGAATGTGCTGTTGTTCCAGGTGCGTAACCTTTTTCGCCTCGCCCGTTTTTGAGGACCTGGACGTGTCTCGGAAAAGGCCGCGGGAGTAATAACAACCGAAATCACTGGCCCTCTCTTCGTCCCCATTTCTTTTGGCATTCGTCGCGAAAAAAGTGCGGGCGCTCCTCTACCGAAGGTTTCTCGAACTCAACAACGGTCTAACTTTTATTGATCTTCACAGCAAATCCGATTGTAAGTCGGGGGCGGGCGGATTGCGCGATTTTTTACGCATACAGTGACGGACCTGATCCAGTGGCAAAAAACGTACCATTTTGCATCCGGGAAGTATCAAAAATGTGGCAAAATGTCTCCCTCTGCAAATGAAAAAACTCCGATTTCAAAAGTGCGCCCACTCTTTTTGTGAGGGTTCCCATAAAAACAAAGTTTTTTTCACTTGGAGAGGGAAGCATTTTGCCACATTTTTGATACTTCCTGGATGCAAAATGGTACGTTTTTTGCCACTGGATCAGGTCCCTCACTGTAGGAATCTCGCTTACAAAATTATGCCCAAAATTCGGGCTGACTTCCATCCATGTCCCGTAAAGATTTCCCTGGGAAAGTCCTGCGGCAGACACATAAATAACCTTTAACCTTTCAGACGTGTACCCTTTATTTTGTGTCTCATTTGCCCTCAGCGTTTACCTCGACAGGCCCGCAGCCATTTCAACCCAAGAAAAACCCCGTGGTGTCACCAAAGAAAACAGATTGGACGAGTCCCTAAACTACCCGAAAACAAATCCATAATCCCCCTCCCGAAAAGGAAACGTGTAGCAATTCTTCTTCGTACTTGGTCTCATTAACGAAATTACGGTAACGCCCGTCAACCGCCACTCACGCAGCGCTTCTTCTTCTCTTCGGTGTCGATGCTTTTCACCGAAGAGCCGAGTTATTTCAACAAACCCAATAGCGATAATTCCGTCTGGAAACCACCGCAAGACATGAGCAACGGAAGCGGACCTCCAAACGTGAGTTTTTCGGCCGCGACGGGATGAGATTGGAAAAGCTCAAAGGCCACTCGCAGAGTTTGATGGAACTTGCGACAAATTTAGATTACAATGTCCTAAGAGACATGTAAGATTTTTAGCCCGCGCTATGCAGAAATCACCGAGATTTTTAAATCGAAAAATGTCAAAAAAGAAGATTTTTTGGCCGTTTTCAGAGAGAAAAAATAGGATTCTGTTTGAAGTGTAGAGCACATTATTTCTGCAAAAAAAAATATTTTTCCTTGCAAAATTCACAGAGATATCTCCAAAAAACCTTTTTTTCTCTGACCGTCTCTCCTCATTTTCCCTAGTCTCTCGTCAAAACGATGACTATGGAAAATGAGGAGTGACAGTCAGAGAAAAAAAAACTTCTTCAGCTGTATCTGCGTGAATTTCGCGAGGAAAAAAAATAATTTTTGGCAGAAATAATGTGCTCTACACTTTAAACAGAATTCCATTTTTTCACTCTGAAAACGGCCGAAAATCATTTTTTTTGGCACTTTTCGATTTAAAAATTTCAATGATTCTCTGCAAAGCGCGAGCTAAAAATTGCAATCTTAATTTGCCCCAAGTTTCATCAAAATCTGTTGGTCGAACTTTGAGTATTTCCCCTATGAGAGCACTTGTCGTATTCCCAACCGTTTCCCATCAGTTTACCCTATGATTTTAGACATCAAAACTGAACACATGGGCCGGGAAACAGCGGCAAAAGGAGAACAGCCTCGGCTCCGGCTCCTTCAATGGTACAGGTGGGCAAAACGGTGTTATGTGTGAGTTTTTGTGACGTGGTTTGTGGCTATTTTTTCAGTTTATTACTGTGTTTCTAGTAATAAAAAATCACATACTACGAATTTCAATCGCTCTATAGAGTCTTAACTAGACTAATTTTGTGTTTTTTCACTCTAATCCACCTGTTTGGAGTGATGATTTTTATAAATATTGCCCATGAAGACTAAAGTCTAAATCATCCAAAATTATGCAAATTTCAGACGACGAAAAGGGTTGGAGCAGCGGGAATGCTCGACAAACCCCTCAAGATCAAAGCAAGGTCCCCTGGTCCGATCCGGACAGCATGGGGAACTCGTTGGAGAACGATTTCCTCCAAATGAACCTTGGTCCGGGCCAAATGAAAATGCAGCCGAACGGCCAATGGGGCCGTGAAGTGAATCAGTCGACGCCCTGGGAGGTGGAGAATCGTGGATTCCCCGCCGATGGTCCGGGCAATCGATTTATGGGCGGAGGTGAGAGAAACTTGATATTGTACTTGACATTGATGTCAAACCCTCTCTAAACTATACAAATCTCAAAGTTCGAGGGGAAAAACACACCTCTAAATAATGAATTATTTCGATATGACCCTGTCTAGACATTTCTGGATTATTTTACAGCAGTTTAATGGGGGAATTTCAAATACCGCGCCAAAAACCAAAGATGTTTGGCATTCTGTTTCAATGACAAAATATATCGCCTCAGGGTATGAAATCAATGTTCAGTAATTTCAATGTCTAAATACGATCACATACCATATGACGGATCTGATCCAGTGGCAAAAAACGTACCATTTTGCATCGGGGAAGTATCAAAAATGTAGCAAAATGTCTCCCTCTCCATGTGAAAAAAACTCCCTTTTGAAGGGCGCACTTTTGAAGTAGGAGTTTTTTTCACTTGGAGAGGGACACATTTTGCCACATTTTTGATACTTTCCGGATGCAAAATGGTACGTTTTCTGCCACCGGATCAGGTCTGCTACTGTAGCAATCTACATTTGTTTTAGCGCTTACTCGCCCCGCAATACACAGATTTCACTGCAATAATTGAGTAATCGGGTAATTAGTCGCAACAGCGGTCTATAAACCAAACATAGTAAACATGTTTTGTGCCTCTGACCTTGAACCCTTGAGTTTCGTTTGGACTAAAACAAATAAAGCCTCGGGCTTTGTTAGTTTCCCCCCTTCGAAACGAACGGCTGTGGGATTGTTTCTAAGTTGGGAAAGACCATCAGAGTTTTTATATTTGGTTAGGCTATTAATTTTTATATTACACTAGATATCAAGTGTAATATAGAGGTGAAAAATGAATGATTTTGGGCTCAAATGTCAGTTTGTTATGTAAAATACGGCTTGTTATGGTATAATACGCCATTCGGAATTTGAAAATTAGGAATTTTTGGTTGGAAATAACGCTGCTTTTCGGCTTAAAAAATGCTGATTTATTCAAAAAATGGCTTATAACGCAAAAATTAAGATGCTACAGAAAGTGAATTTTGTCTCTAAATGTGTTAAAAATCACATCCTATCAGCTGTAATAGTTTCCCCTCCATCATTATCATCCAATTTTTTTTATTGTACTCGAATCATCAAGTACAATATAGCTCGGAACGTCATTTTGTTTTTTTATTTACCCCGAGTTCTTTGTACTCTTCTCCCACTCTACTCTCCCTTCTCTCTTCTCCGTCTTTGTCCGCGTTTATTTCGCAAATTTGATGCCAAAGTCGGAAGTTCTTTTTTCCCCAACTTTTTCGGGCAAATTTCGAACTTTCCGAGGCCCGAAAAAAGAGAGGCCCGAGCGCGGCGAAAGAGCGCCGCAAGCGCGGAGAGCGCCGAGAATCGGACGCCGCAGATTCTTGACTGCCCCATTTGCTGCGCTTTTTCCCCCGAGTCGGCGAAGAAACGGACGGAAAAGAGGGGAGACGAAAAAAACGACCTCGCTTTAGGGTCGGCGAGGGGACGCACCAAATTCTTCCCCCTTTTCGTTGTGTTTGCCCCCCGCCTGCTCGTCGCGAATGCTGTGGGGAAAGGCACGAAGCGTCGACCCTATTTTTTCTTCATTTTTCGTCACAAATCTTGGGATTTTCGGGATATTTGGGGCTGATCGGGCTTGATGGTCAAGTGTAATATAAAAAGGTCCCAAGTCTCGGCGCTACACCCCTCCTACATCTTTTTTGCACCTCTATAAGTCCCATAACGAGTAGTTTTCGAAAATTTAGAGAGTAAAATTGAAACTCCCGAAGGGAGAATTGATTTTTACCCGATTTTTGCCATTGCCTTGGGCAAAATGTCTCAAAAACAGGGTAAACTGGGTTTGCCCTTTCATTATAAAGACTGCCCCGTCTTCAGTTTGTTTATTTTGCCAGAAGGCACGTTTTGAAACGCCGTCTGACATTGGTCTACCCGTTTTTTTGATGATTTCAGCGGAATTCTTTCAAATTCCGTCCGTTTTTCGATAATAAACAATTTTTTCAAAGTGTAAAATGCAGATTGTAGGGTCGTTTTGTATTCCGAACGCCTTATTAGCATGTTACAATTGTATTTTAGGGGAAAAATCAAGTATAATCGCAAAAAGTGGAGTTGTTGTCATGAGCAATATAAAATTGCTCTTTTTTGGCTAAAATTTCGTCAGCTTTGTGGCTGTAATGCCTTCCAAAGGCTCTTAGAGTCTTTTAAAGGTCTTTTAAAGGCAATCTCGACCTTCCGCTGACTCCCATTTGTGTTTATCAAGCCCCCCGAATTGCACATCTGATTTCCATGAAATGTGCGCCCCCTCCCCATTTTTGATCGGGAAAAAAAGTGAAAACCCCCGAGCACGCGACCCCCAGACCACGATCGTGTCGCCAGCTGTCTGCGCCCTCACGAATTCCCCCACTTTCTCGCTCGTTTCACCACGTCGCCGGGTTTTGTCGCCTTTTTTGAGAATTTTACGTCGAAATTGGACATGTCTGCTCGGGAAATCGAACATTCCGAAGGGGTTTGGACCTGTTCTAAAGATCTGAATAGAAATTTTGGGGCTAAATTTAGATTTAGCCAGGTTCGGACCTTATTTTAGCCATAAAATTGGTGTATTTCGAATTTCTCTAAATTTTTTGTGGTAGAACAACAAAAACTGATGTCCTTCGTAATACGCAGAACAAATATGACATTGCGGATTTTAATTACCGTATTTTACCCCGTATTTCAGCCAGAAACACAATTTTTTGAGGGTTTCCTTCAAAAACCCTCGATTTTCCCCAAGTTTTCGATTTTTTACACTCGTTCGCGGAGATTACACTAAAAAACACGCAGAAATTACAATAAACACTAGTCAGTAATTGTACTCATCAAATTCTCCATTCGGAATTTCCCCGCATTTCTGTAAAAAAAATATTTTTTTTTCTCTCGACCTTTATCGATTTTTGCGAACGAAATTCTCGTTTTTTTCGCGTGGAAATAGAAATGCAGACTAGCTGTAAACACGTGATAATGTTGTAGGAATAGTTTTATGAAGGAATTGGATGCTCAGAATAGGAAAGGACACTTTTTCTGATAGTTTTGGCGACTTTGCGACATTATTTTAGGTATTATTGATGCAAGACTAAATTTTCATGCGATTTTAGGCAAAAAATTCGAAGTAACTACTCTTTGGAGTATCTAAATGTTTTTCACAGCTATTCACCTCGTTTTCGACGTTGATTTGAGCTATTATATTACTTTAGACATCAACTTGTCGTTCCTCCCGAAAATTGCCTAAAACAAGGTGGAATTGGTCTAAAAGTCGTATTTTCAGTGAGCATGGACAATGGAACGGGCCAATGGCGCTCGTGGGAACATAACGGTGGCTTCGAACAGAAGGAATTCCACCCAGGGTTCCCTATGGGCGGGATGCCCAATCACAAGATGCCCAACAACTTCTACAACGGTGGCAACTTTATGATGCAGCAGGGCTTTGCCGACAACAGAATGGTAAGGGTTTTGAGTGCTTTTTCGGATTTTAGGCGATATTTTACATGGTGGAGGAAGTTTGTGGGTTTGATGGCAAGTATAAGGTGGAAATAGGTCAAAAGGGCTGTTTGAGGGTTCAAAGAGGTTGATTCAGAGGTAACAAGCCTTTTGAAATCCTTGATTGTCGAATATTTTTGGGATATTAACCAAAATTTTTATATTGTTCATGGCAGCTGCTTTGATCAGATTACTGTTGATGAATAGGCCGGAAATCGAAATTAGATTCTTGTGATAGACGGCTTTTATGCTGTTGAAGGTTTCTAAAACTGTTTTCAAGTGGATGAATCCGCTATAGCGCTTTTATGACATTATCCATGGGCTCACCCGCCATTTCCAGATGCGAAACGGTCCTCCACACATGAACCAGCAACAGCCTGGTCAGCCTTGGGGCAACAAGTACGGTGGTGGGCAACGCAACGCGCCCGGCGGTGGCGGCGGCTTCCAGCAGTTCGGTGGGCCACCACAAGGCGGGCCAATGAACATGATGCCGCCTTCCATGATGGAGCGTGTGATGGGTCCCCCACCTCCGCCAATGGCGCAACAACATCACGGCCGAGGCCCGCATCATCCACATGGCGCTCCACCTCCGCCGCCGATGCATCCCATTCCGCCGATGCCGGCGCAAAATCCGGGCGGCTCTTTTTCGGTGGGCACCTTCAATACGCACGGCGCGAGCATGATGAACGACGATTCCTTCTGGCATGACCCGAATGGAGACCTGCGGAAGTGGCAGAGGGACACCGGCACCGCGCATTGGGGAGATCCGGCCAAGCAACAAGGTAAGGAGAGGATTTTTTGTTGTACTGAGCAAAAAATTTCTGATCAAAATTTTTTTAAAAGTACTTCTGTGGGTATGGAGTTACAGGTCGAGACATGTATCAAAAAAATCGCAAAATTTTTCTGATTCAGAATATGTAAAAGTTAGGTGCCCAATTTTGGTTTGTAACGGCGAAAAGGCCCTCAGAACTTTGCTCGCAACACCACGCAAATGCCTTTTTGACCAAGTTTCTACCAATTCAAAAGCTTTCTTTGGAGCTAAAGTAAACCCCGGCATCTTGACAAGCCTTGAAATCTCAGATTTGATTACAGTGGGGGACCTGATCCAATGGCAAAAAACGTACCATTTTGCATCCGGGAAGTATCAAAAATGTGGCAAAATGCCTCCCCTTCCAAGTGAAAAAAATCCGACTCCCTTCAAAACGAAGTTTTTTTTCACTTGGAGAGGGAAGCATTTTGCCACATTTTTGATCCTTTCCGGATGCAAAATGATACGTTTTTTGCCACTGGATCAGGTCCCCTCACGGTAATACTACACCTTAATTAGTAATTCCAATATAAAAAAGGGATATTTTAAGGCTTGTCGAGATGCCAGGGTTTACTTTAGCTCCAAAAAAAGCTTTTGAATTGGTAAAAACTTGGTCAAAAAGGCATTTGCGTGGTGTTGCGAGAAAAGTTCTGAGGGTTTTTTCGCCCTTTCAAACCAAAATTGAGCAGCTAATTTTTACATATTCTAAATCAGAAAAATCTTGCGATTTTTTTGATACATCTCTCGACCTGTAACTCCATACCCCATAGAAGAACTTTCCTTGTAAAAAAATTATTCCGAAAATGAAACTTTAGTGTTCTCGGTGTTGTGTTGTCGCCCAATGAACGCTTTTACGGATACTATTAATTGGTTTTGGGTTTAGGTCAGCAAATCCGTCGCTGGACCCAGGTGGAGGAAGAAGACAGTCTGGTGGGCTCCTCCTCCAACAACCAGGCCTCGCCGGACTCGCTGAAAAAGGACCAGGATGAGAATCATTTGCCGGAAACTGGATGGGGAGAGCTCCCACCAATCAATGGCTCCACCACAACCCCCACTTCCGCCAATCCAGCCGCTCCGCACAGTGCGGCCCCGACCAGCCTTGCCTCGGGCTGGATGGGCACCGCCCCACAAGGACCCGGAGGAATTATTCCGCCGGCTGCGGCGCCAGGAGCAGGTAGGAACTTGTTGAAGTGAAGTTTGTGGGGTTCTCGGCGGTTTTTGATCGGATGTTGTACTTGGTCTAGTGTAATATAAAAAATGATTAGGTTTTGGTTGAGGCGACTTGTAGTGACGTATTATGGAGGGTTAGATCGAGTTGAGTTTATTTTTCGCTATTTCAAATAGTTTTGGAGCAGTTATATTACACTTGTCACATCAAGTGTAATATTGGATAGCATGAAAGTGGGTGGTTTAATATGCTTTTTTGCAGATCTAGAAATGCTTACTAGCTAATTTGAGACTAATTTGGGCTAATTTGCGATTTTTTTTGGGGATTTTTTGATATTATATTATACTAGGTGGCAAGTGAAAAAATGATTGATCTCTGTACGGCATTTGTTCTAATAGGTTCCAAATTACCTGAAAGTTAATAAAATATAGTTTTAAATATAGTTTGATGTAATTGGGACCAGTTCAAAAAAAAGTTTTATATTACACTAGGCATCAGATGTTGTTTTGGTGGTTTGCTGTGAAAACTCCAACATAAACCCCTCTCTAATCTCAACCGCAGACTGTTTAGGTTGGGCGGACTCGCCACGCAACGCAATGCCGCCGAGCAACTTCATCCCCGGCGGGCAGTTCCCTCCGAACAACTTCTACGGCGGCCCGCCGGGCAATGATTGGTCCGCGCCCCGACCCCCGGCCAACATGTCCTACGGCCAGCAGCCGCACATGTTCGAGCAGCCCTCCAACAACAAGGATATCGCCGAAAAGTTGCGGTTGGCCGCCTCGAAGGGACTCATCGACATCAATATGTTCACCAGCAGTGGGGGTCCACTTCCGCCCAACACAATCAAGCTGTTGAACAACATTTTGGACGTTTTCACCGAAGTGGAGAAGCTCGAAGACTTGGAAGCCAATATGAGCAAACTCAAAATGGGCGACCGCAAGATCAGCCTCGAGCTCAGCCAGAAACGAAACACCCTGGATGAGCTGAGGGACAAGTTGAATAATTCCTTCGGCGTTCCAATGCAACCACCTCAACGGCAAGGAGGATGTAGGTTATTAATTCTGAGGGCATTTTGGAGGGGTTGAGATGGATTTTGGGCTTGGGATGAAGATTTTTTGGATGTTGTACTAGATGATTTTGGCTAAAAATGTTAGGAATTAGACGATTTTTGGTATATCTTGAACTTTTAGAGGTTCTTAGGACTGTTAGACTAAGAAAATAAAGGATTGGAATACATCTGACAAAAATTTTATATTATACTTGACCTTGAAGTCAAGTGTAATATGAAATTTTTAACAGATCTGGGAATTTTTGGTTTTAATAGGCTGATTGGACTTTGAAAACAAGATGTGAGTCATTTTGGGATTGATTTTGACACCTTTTTATATTGTACTTGACCCTAGTGTAATATAAAAAGTTGTTCGAGCTGTTGATTTTTTGGTTTTATTAGATGAATTGAGGTATATAGTCAATGGTTAGAAGGATTTTTGTTTGATTGAACGATGTATTTTTCCGTTCTGACCTTATTTTTGGCACTTTCAGTAAGCCTCGCGGACGAGCTGACCAACATGAGTACCCTGCCGATGGGCAGCGACGTGGCGCAGCTTTGGTGAGTGTGCCAGCAAAAAGAATCAGCTCATCCCCCACTCGATATCTCTCTGAAAGCATTCGAATCGAACCATTGCCTTGTAAACAGTCCTCAGAAGTCATATAACACCCCCCACAACTCTCATCATAGAACCGGAAGAAATCTGAACGAGACAACCTTTAATCAATCGAGACACGTGTAGCCCCCCGAAATGTTTTCCACTCTTTTTTTAACCATGTTTCCCCCTCTCTCATCTCGCCCAGTCCAACTGCTCTTTTTATGCAAATTTTCCCGAAATTTTTTTTTCGATTTTAACCACAAGTTCATATTATGCCTTTCTCACCACTCTCCATTCTCAAGTGTGATCCGAACGCCTGATATTTAATAACATTCAATGTAATATTTGTATATCCCATCAACTTTTTTCGTCAAGTTTGTGCAGTAAAGTCTTTGCGAATACGACGGGTGGGTCCCTGGTTTTTTTTTGATTCGGTTGGATCTTCCAGTATCTTATAGAATTTCGCGATTTTTTCGAGGATTTTGAGGTTTTTGGACTTTTTTGAAAGTTTTTGTCATGTGTAATATAATTTTTGGAGATTTTAAACGAAATTTTGATTGATTTAGAAACTTAGTGGCGTAGAATGAAAGGAAATAGCATTTAGAATAGGAGAGTAGAAAAAACAAGCGAGATTCAGCTTGTTTTAGCTAAAGAATTACCTAAAATAAGGTAAAATTGTAAAATTTTTGGATGGAATCTAAAGTTTTGACCAAAAATTTGAAGATCTCGACCGAATAACAAATACCCATCACGTATTCGAAGCCATTACTGCATTTGCCCACCTTCAGCATACCTTAATCTACTCCTTAGACTTGGACTTCTCATCATGTATTGCGCGGTACTGTTCAGAACATTGCGAAACACAAACTAAACTTTGTTTACTCTAGTGCTTGTCTCTTTTTTATTGTAAGATGGCGCGGAAAGCCGCGGCCCTTAGGGTGATATAGGGACGAGTTCGGGAAAAGTTGGGGAATTTTTCGATTTTTGAGGGAATTTTGCGATTTTTGAAGGGGTTTTGCAATTATTTTGTCGTATTTAGTGACTTGGTGAAAGGGGATTCAATTTGAAATGGAAAGTTTGCAATGCCAGAGGGATCATGTTTTCGTGGCGGGACCAAAAATTTCAACTTTTGTGGGATTTTTTTCCAATTTTTGAAGGGCTTTGTTATAGACAACGTAGAAATTGTTTTCCTGTCCCAACTTTCCCTATCGTCCCCCGAAAAATTTACATATGTATGCGCTCGGTGCCGCCGAAAATGTCGCCTCTAGAAATGTTCCAGGTTCCTTTTGTTTGCACTCATTTCGATTACTGTGGTCATGCTCTTTCTCCTCCTCCTCGAATACAATCACAATCATGTTCTCAAATTCATCGTCTTCTCTCTGTTTCGTCGCTTTTTTCCAAAGTTTCCATTCTCTTGATCAGCGGGGGTTTTCGTTGCAAATTTTTTTTCCTCAAAATCAGCCTTGGAAAACGGTCAGCCTTAGAATGGGTCCAGGGACGCTCCTCGCGGCTTCGTGGAAACTGGACAGAGTGAAATTGAACAGAGTGAAACAGAAGGAAATTGGACAGAGTATGGAAGCTGGATGGAGGGAAACTCGACAGATTTTCGCAGTGAAGAAAATCTGTCGAGTTTCTGTCCAGTTTCGCTCTGTCCAATTTCCTTCTGTTTCACTCTGTCCAATTTCACTCTGCCGAGTTTCCGTGAAGCCCTGCGGCGGATTGCCTCAACATATACCCGGTGGTGTTGCATTGACCCGAACGTCCGTCCGGAGCGCTCCTTTCTTTTCAACCGCAGTGGCGGCTCTGTTCCTGCCGCAAAAAACGTACCGTCTTACATCTGGGAAGGAATCAAAATGCCGCGAAATACCTCTTTTTTTATAGGTAAAAAATCACTGCTTTGAAGAGATTTGAAGAGCTTTCAAAACAGTGATTTTTTACCTACAGAAGGGAGGTATTTTGCGGAATTTTGGCTCCTCCCCAGACGCAAGACGATACGTTTTTTGTCACAGGAACAGGTCCGCCACTGTACCTACACAAGTCGAAATTCCTAAACTCTCAGATGCAAAAGTTTTAACGCTCTTCCCTTCCCCCCGACAATTTTCTCGCCCCCCAAAAAACCCCCAACAAAACACAGTGCCATTTTTACCTCGCCGTACACTTTAAGCAACTGTTTTAGTCTCCCAATTTTTACAACATTTTAATCTTAATTTTTTGTTTTGAAATTTTCACGCTGACGATGAATTTATGCTACAGACGGGCTAACTTTTCTCTCTCCACAGAAAAGGTCGATTGTTTATTGTATGTGTACTAAAAGTAGTGGTCTTACATCCTTTCATATCCCCACGGGACGACGGTCATTTTTAATACTCCATTTATTTTACTCTGCTTTTTTTGTGATGGGAGGCTGGAAGCAGGGAGGGAGCATGGAAGTTACTGGTAACTTAATTTTTTGGAAATCACCAAAATTTGACAACTTCATGAACCAGCGGCTTCTAAGACGCCCCCACGCCGCTTCTAGCCCTCCCAAAACGCTTACAACAAAAGATAGTCAATGCACGCTTATAACCGCTCTAAAGTTACTACTCCAATGTTTCCGTCTCAATCCATAAAACTTCGAACCCAACATAAATACAACACATTGCACATCTCCACGCTCATCTCAGATGTTACGACGGATTTGTTTCGCTTTCCCTCTCTCTCTCTCTTTTTTTTCTCGTTGGTTATCCGACCACTAATATTTTAATCAACTGTATTGTATTTTTTTCTTTGATATTGGCAAAAGTTATTTTATTCGGAGTTCAGATAAAGCATGTACATTATCAGTGGGAGGTTTTGAGGACGTGTGAGATCGAAAAGGGAAGAATATGTATAAAAAAAATAGAAAAGACATATACTGGCCATAAAGTCCTACCTATTTTGTTTACCTTCACAGTTCAGAATAAACATGGTCCAGGAAAAGGGTTGAGCGTCTTGCTGTTTATAGAGGCCACCGGACTCATTATTACTGTGAATTTTGTCAAATTGGCAGGAACAACAGGCTACAGGGTAGTCCATAAAGTCCTACCTGTTTTGTTTGTCGAATTTGACTGTCTTGCGGCTTATAGAGGCAGCTGGACTTGGATTTGGCATCCAAACCCTTGCACTGCGGCGACGTTATACAGGGTGGTGAAGTCCTTCCCAGTTTGTTTGCCGAATAACCTGGTAACGGCCCTACAGAATTTTGAAAAATTTATATTTTTGTAATCCCTTTGGTCTTAAGATTGCAAAAATATATTTTTTCTAAAATTTTGTGGAGCTGTTACCGAGTTATTCGACAAACAAACTAGAGAGGACTTTGTAGACCACCCTGTATCACGCAGTGCAAGGTTTTGGATGCCAAATCTAAGTCCAGCTGCCTCTATAAACCCAAATTCGACGAACAAAATAGATAGGACTTTATGGCTACCCTGTAGACTGTTGTTCCGGCCAATTTGACAAAATTCACAATAATAATGAATCCGGTGGCCTCTATAAACAGCAAGACGCTCAGCCCTTTTCCTGGACCATGTTCATTCTGAACTGTGAAGGTAAACAGAATAGGTAGGACTTTGTGGACTACCCTGTAGGCCATCGGTCCGTCAAATTTGACAAAATTCACAATAAAAAACATCGTTACAATTGAAGGCATAAAGGCATCATTGAAGCATATGGCACATAGTTCCTTCTGTTGAATGTGTCGCTTTTTGAGAGCCACGCAGACGTTGTCACAACATTCATATATGCTCATGAACAAACAGCATTCCTCCTGCAGTGGAGGACTTGATCCAGTGGCAAAAAACGTATCATTTTGCATCCAGCAAGTATCACAAAATGTAGCAAAATACCTCCCTCTCCAAGTGTAAAAACTTCGATTTCAAAAGCCCGCTCTTTTTGTGAGGGAGCCCTTCAAAACGAAGTTTTTTCACTTGGAGAAGGAAGCATTTTGCCACATTTTTGATACCTCCCGGATGCAAAATGATACGTTTTCTGCCACTGGATCAGCTCCTTCACTGTATCTCGTTATTCTCCACTATTTTTGCGGAGTAATCTAACAAAATATAGAATAAAGACAATCCCTTGCAAATTGGCTTCGTTTTCGATGCTGATTTCAAACAGTTTTCAAAGCATTGCTCCTTCAAGAAACATTGATCCCTATAAACAACCGAAACACCAACTTTCAACATGCCGTCCGTCGTTACAACCCATCGAGCAGCCAGATTGATCAGCCCGAAAACGCAATTCTTCGGGGTGCATTCAGTGTTCATTGATCGAAGGAAGCGAAAAAGAGACCCGTTTAAAAAGCGTCGGATATAAAGAATGTGGGAAATTGGATTGCTGAAGACACGGGGGTTTTCGTTTATTGTCCATTCAAGATTTGTCCGCAACATGTGACGATTTCTAGGGCGTTTTAAGGGCAACGCTGCAAAAATTTTGAGATTTTCTTCTAGCCCGTCAGTTTTTTTATGAGACCGAATTTTTTGATTAAAGATGGATAGAAAATGGATTTTTTTGAACTGTCCTTGATCGCAAGACGTTTTAAACATGCTCTATACACTCTTAAATTGCTAATAAGTCTATAATTTCGCTTATTTTATGGGGTTTTCACTTTATTTTAACTGATTTGAACCTTATTTTAGGCATTTTTTTTTCTAAAATTAGAGTTTATTTTTGAATTTTGTAACCTCTAAAAGGTTAACGAATAAGTTTGAAATGGTTTTTTGTAATGATTTTTTTATTGAAATTAAATTTTCAGAGGCCATGCTTCGACACAGACTGGTCCGCCTCCGATCGGCTCATTTTCGACTTACTCGTTGCTACAGTGCGGTTCCAAGGTGCGTTCCGGCAACAAATTTGCTTAATTTTTTCTATGCAGCGTTTTTCCGACATATTTTTGCAGTTGAAACAGAATGCCAAGATTTTTTATTTTGGCGGAAAATTTAAATTTTGAAAAGTAGGATAGGAGAAATGGAGCTTACAGCAAATTTTTAGGGTTAGTATTTGAGAATTTAACACTTTCGCCCTTAGGATGTCGAATTTTGAAGGTTGAAACATAATGCCAAAATTTTTCTATTTTGGCGGGAAATTTGAATTTCAAAAAGTAAGATGGTGAAAATAGAAGTTAGAGAAAATTTTCAGGTTGATTACATGCAAATTTTGCATTTACACCCTCAGGCTACCTAATTTTGAAGACTGAAACAGAATGCCAAAACTTTTTTATTTTCGCGGGAAATTTGAATTTCAAAAAGTAAGATGGTGAAAATAGAAGCTAGAGATAACACTTATGGTTCACTTATGGTTAATTCATGCAAAATTTGCACTTACACCCTCAGGCTACCTAATTTTGAAGGTTGAAACAGAATGCCAAAACTTTTTTATTTTGGCGAAAATTTGAATTTCAAAAAGTAAGATGGTGAAAATAAAAGCTAGAGAAAACACTCATGGTTAATTCATGCAAAATTTGCACTTACACCTTCAGGCTACCTAATTTTGAAGGTTGAAACAGAATGCCAAACATTTTTTATTTTGCAGGGAATTTTGAATTTCTAAAGAAAATTTTTGTTGCAGTATCATAGAGATGAGTTTTTAGCCCGTTTTGAGGCCTATAATTAAATTTTGAGCGACTTTTTATCTTCAAAATTACGTTTTTTAAAAAAAATTTTATGTTTTTTCTAGCGTGTCCAACTACCCCCAAGATGTCTACAAACTGGATCCCATCAATCCGGCTGAGCCCAAATTCGAGAAAATCCTGATTGCGAACCGCGGCGAGATCGCATGCCGAGTGATCAAGACGGCCAAAGCGATGGGAATCAAGACTGTGGCCATCCATTCGGACGTCGACTCCCATTCGCTGCATGTCCGAAGCGCCGACGAAGCCATTTGTGTGGGCACCGCCAACACCGCTGACTCCTATCTGAGAATGGACCGAATCTTGCAGGCGGTGAAGGAGACGGGAGCGCAGGCTGTGAGTTCTTGAGATTTTTGGGATTTTTTGAAATTTTCGAATTTTTTGAAAAAAAAAATTTTTTTTTGAATTTGTCGAGAAAGGTTTTATGGACTTTTAGAACTGTTTTTTACCGATTTTTCGAGCGAAAATTTTTTGAATTTTTTTGGATTTTTTTGAATTTTTCAAAATTTTTTGCAGAAAAAAATCAAAAAATAAGGCGAACTTATAAAGGCATAGTTTTTTAATTTTAGAAAATTTTTACCCATTTTTTCAGCGAAAATTTTTTGAATTTTTTTGATTTTTTTTTGAATTTTTGGATTTGTTTTTCTGGAAAAAATTTGGAAAAAATAATGGGAAGTTACGGAGAGAGAAATTTTTGATTTTTTTTAAATTTTTGCCAATTTTTTGAGCGAAAATTTTTGGATTTCCCGATTATTTTAAAGTTTTTTGCCATTTTTCCTAGAAAAAATTTAAAAAATCAAATTTGCAATTAAACCTATTTTCAACAAATCTATTTCCTTTTTTTGATTTTTCACGAAGAAAAAATAGAAATTTTGTAAAAAAAAAATTTTTTTTCGGTAATGAAATATGGCAATGTAAAATCCGAAATATCCAGCCATGGTAATGTAGGATTGTTTTTCAAGCTCTATGCTTGTATTTCAGGTCCATCCCGGGTACGGATTCCTCTCCGAGAACACGCATTTCGCGGCCGAATTGACCAAAGCGGGCGTCACTTTCATCGGCCCAAACCCGAAAGCGATCGAAGAAATGGGCGACAAGATCCGCTCCAAACAGATCGCCGGTCAAGCCAGAGTCAATCTGATCCCCGGATTCGATGGGGTCATCAAAGTGAGTCGATTTTTTTGCAGAAATTTGAGACATTTTGAGGTTTTTTGCAACTTCGCTCCAAAAATCATCATTTTTTTGATGATTTTTGGGGATTTTTTGGAAAATTGATATGGAAAATTGGATGGGAAATAATTTTAGGCTTCATATACCAAATTTTGAGAAGTAGAAAGGTTCGTTTTTTATACGATAAGGTCGAAAATTTGGAGCTTTTTGTGAAAAAACATCGTTTCTTTCTAAAATTCCCATTTTTCCCACCAAAAATTGCCAATTTCAATGGGAAAAAAGTGCTGTAAATTTATTCGAGGACCTTCATGTGTGACCTCGAAGTTTTTTGTCCCTTAAAAATCTCAATTTCTTATCGAAAATTGCTATTTTCCCTCGAAAATCCCTGGTTTCCGCCAAAATTTTGGAAAATTCCCATTTTTCCTCCAAAAAATCGCCAATTTTAGGACCAAAAGTGCCCTAAATTTATGTCAGAAGGTTGATTTATAACCTAAGAAATGTTTCGTCTTCTAAAAATCTCGGTTTCCCATCGAAAATTACACTTTTTCCTCAAAAATCCCTATTTTCGCCAAGAATTCCGAAAATTCCCATTTTTTCGCCAAAAATCGCCAATTCCAGGGGGAAAAAGAGCTGTAAATTGATGTCAGAAGATTGATTTGTAACCTCACATTTTTTGTCCCCTAAAAATCTCGATTTGTCATCAAAAATTTAATTTTTTTCCAAAAAGTTTAAATTTTCCGTTTTTTCGCCAAAATTTTTGAAAAATCCCATTTTCCCCTCAAAAAATCGCCGATTCCAGGACGAGGACGACTGCGTGCGCAAGGCCAAAGACATTGGCTACCCGGTGATGATCAAGGCGTCGGCGGGCGGCGGCGGCAAGGGCATGCGGATCGCGTGGAACGAGAAGGAGGCGCGCGAAGGGTTCCGCCTCTCCAAGCAGGAGGCCGCCTCCTCCTTCGGCGACGACCGAATGCTCCTCGAAAAGTTCATCGACAACCCCCGCCACATTGAGCTCCAAGTCCTCTGCGATAAGCACGGAAATGGAGTATATCTGAATGAAAGGGAGTGCTCGGTTCAGCGGCGAAATCAGAAGGTCATCGAAGAAGCACCCTCTTCGTTTTTGGACGAGGAAACTAGAAGGAAAATGGGCGAACAGGGTGGGTTTCAGGAAAGAATCAAGGAGTATAAGACCTGTAGAAGCTAGTTTAGACCTTTTGGGAGTGATTAAAATCCTTTTTTGAGACCGAAAATCATCAAAAATTTCCGTGGATAATATATGAAATTGATGAAAGTATATATTTTTGAGTTTTTTCGGGCAGAATTTAGTTGGTAGAAGCTGGTTTAGACCTTTTGGGAGTGATTGAAGTTCTTTTTTGAACCAAAAATCATCAAAAATTGTCATGGATAATATATGAAATTGATGAAAGTAGACATTTTTGGGTTTTTTCTGGCATAAGTTAGTTTATTGAAGCTAGTTTAGACCTTTTGGGAGTGATTAAAATAGTTTTTTGAGCCAAAAATCATCAAAAATTGTCATGGATAATATATGAAATTGATAAAAAGTAGATATTTTTGAGTCTACTTGGGCAGTATTTAGTGTGTAAAAGCTATTTTAGACCTTTTGGGAGTGATTAAAATCCTTTTTTGAGACCGAAAATGCAAAAAAAAATCAAAAATTGTCATGGATAATATATGAAATTGATGAAAATGTATGCTTTGGAGCCCATTCGGTCTGCATTTTGTTTGCAGAAGCTAGTTTACGAGTTTTGCCTCTTTTGCGACTCTTGCAACAGAATGCCAAGCAGAAGGGACGCTAAGACTTGGATTGCAGAGGATCGAAAACCATTATAGATTATGAAACTAGATGGCCTGGGCTTCAAAGTGATATATAGTTCACTTAGTACTCACTCTATTTTTACTGAGTAATATCACTTTTCTTTTTGGACCTAAAGGATAACTAGAATTTTTGAAATTTTATAACATTTTTTCCTTGAGGGCAAAAAACAAAAATTGGGTGTAAAACTACAGTTTCTAGGCGTCAAAAGGATATATCACAAAACTAGTACTACCGTTTTTTTACGGAGTAATATCACTTTTATTTTTGGACCTAAAAGATAACTCGAATTTTTTCAAATTTTTGAACGTTTTTGCCCTGAGGGCAGAGAAAAAAAATTAAGTATTAAACTATATAAAACTACAGTCCCTAGGCTTCAAAATGATATATCACTCGACCAATACTACCGTTGTTTTTACGGAGTAATTTCACTTTTCTTTTTGGACCTAAAGGATAACTCGAATTTTTTCAAATTTTTGAACATTTTTGCCCTCAGTGCAGAAAACGAAAGTTGGTTATTAAACTATATAAAACTACTGTCTCTAGGCGTCAAAATGATACATCACTCAACCAGTACTACCGTTGTTTTTACAGAGTAATTCGCATTTCTTTCCAGCCATCCAACTTGCTCATGCCGTGGGCTATGATTCGGCCGGAACGGTGGAGTTCCTGGTCGATTCTCAGCGCAATTTCTACTTCCTCGAGATGAACACCCGTCTGCAGGTGGAGCATCCAATTACGGAGCAAATCACGGGCGTGGATCTGGTCCAACAGATGCTCCGCGTTGCCTACGGGCACAAGTTGAATTTCGCCCAAAACGACGTGGGAATCAACGGATGGGCCTTTGAGAGCAGAGTGTATGCTGAGGTAGGGATTTTGGAGTAGATTTTAACAAAAATTTGATCATTTTTTTTGATGACTATATTACTGCAGGACCCATACAAAGAGTTCGGATTGCCCTCGATTGGCCGACTCAGTAAGTATGTGGAGCCGAAACACAAGGTCCAAGGCATTCGATGCGACTCTGGAATCACCGAGGGGTCGGAGATTTCGATCTATTATGACCCATTGATTTGTAAGGTAGGTTACGGTAGATTTCCCGCAATTGGGGAAAAAATCGGAATTTTGCGTTTTTTTTTAGTTATAATAGTAAAGTTTTGGGATGGTTTTTTAGAGTATTGGGAACTACGAATATATTCCAAATATTTTATGGAGCAAAAACGTCAAAATTTTGAGGTTTATGGACAAAAACGTGAAATCTTATGCATTTCGCAAATTATGGATAAAAACGTGAGAAATTAGATAGGGTTTTAAAATTTTTAGAGTGTAAATGACATGTCAGTGTCATTTTCAAACTATTTTCGTCAATTTCGCGTCATTTTAAGCAATTATGGACAAAAAACGTCAAATTTTATGCATTTCAAAAAATTATGTAAAAAACGTTAGAATTTTGAATGCGAGTTGGAACTTTTAGACTGTGAATAATCTTTTAATCTTATTTATCCACATTTGCTATCAATTTCCAATCGTTTTTAGAGATTTATGAACAAAAACGTCAGATTTTATGCATTTCAAAAAATTATGGATAAAAACGTGAGAAATCAGATAGGGTTTCGAAATTTTTACAGTGTAAATGACATGTCAGTGTCGCTTTCAAACTATTTTCGTCAATTTTGCGATATTTGAAGCCATTATGGACAAAAACGTCAAATTTTATGCATTTGAAAAAATTATGTAAAAAACGTGAGAAATTAGACAGGGTTTGGAAATTTTTAGAGTGTAAATGACATGTCAGTGTCACTTTCAAACTATTTTCGTCAATTTTTGCGATACTTTAAGCCATTATGGACAAAAAACGTCAAATTTTATGCATTTCAAAAAATTATGTAAAAAACGTAAATCTGCAAATTTTGATCCGTCGCAATTTTTAGCTGGTTTCCCACGGCGCCAATCGCGACCAGGCCCTGGATCGGATGGCGGCGGCCCTGGACAACTACGTGATCCGCGGCGTCCACAACAACATCTCGCTTTTGCGCGACATTGTGGACGAAAGGAACTTCCGCAGCGGCGACATCACCACCAAATACCTGTACGACACCTACCCCAACGGATTCCAGGGCATTCGGCTGAACGAGGTGGAGAAGAAGGCCCTGGTGGCGGTGGCGTCGGCGCTGTCGGCCAAACGCACCATCCGAGCCCGACAATTCCTCAATAACAGCGAGCTGGGCACCACTTTGACGGGTAGGCAACTCGAAAGTTGGAGGAAATTTTGGTTGCCCTCAATTTTGAGCGAAATCCGAGGGTTTTGAGAGAGTTAGGGAGAAAAACGTTAAATTTTATGCATTATGGAGGAAAAACGTAAAGTTGTAATTGGTGTGGAAATGTCAAAAGACGACTGTAGAAGAGCGGAAAAGCTTGTAGATTTTGTCTTTTAGCATTTTTTGGCCAATTTATGGGCAAAAACGTAAAATTTGATGACTTTTTGAAAAAAACGTCAAATTTTATGCATTATGGAATAAACGTGAAGTAGTAAGTATTACTAAATTGTCAAAAAATAGCTACAATACCAAGAAATAGCCTTGAAACCGAAAAATTCTCTCTTTCTAGTCGATTTATGCACAAAAACGTGAAATTTTATGCATTATGGAGGAAAAACGTAAAGTTGTAAAAGCACGTCACTAGTATGTAATTTCATTTTAGAGCCCTATGACACCTCCTACGACCTCTTGGTAAGCTGGACCGACAAACATTCGGGTGAAACTGTGCGATTCAACACTTCAACAAATTTTGATGAGAACAGAAATATTAGTGTGAAATGGGATGATGGAAAGGTCTCAAATGTTGAAGGACACTTTACACCGGCTGATTTGGTCGTGGAAGTAAGTTTGAGACGTGAACTTTGGGTGCAAGGTGGTTTTTTGGGCAGACGATGACAAGTGCAATATAAGATTTGTCTAAAATAAGGTGGGAAACTAGTTTAAAATGCCAAATTAGAGTAGATAATTAGTTTAAGTTTAATTTTTTTTTATAATTCAGCAAAAAATTAGGGGTTTAGACATCAAAAATTTATATAAATTTAGGTCAGATGTGGGTCCTAAAATAAGGTCGAGAATCGCATGTGAGCCTCAAATTATGTTCAAATAAGATACTAAATGGTGTTTACACCCCAAATGAAGCTAAAATACGGCGAAAGATTTTATGTGCGACATGAAAAATCGATCCGAAATTTGACCAGACCTAGGACCTAAAATAAGGTCAGAAGTCCTATTTTATGGCAAATTATGCCCAAAACGTTTATTGATAGACCTTCTACGATCCCTAAAGAGTAAGATTAACAGGCATTTACTGTTTTTTCTCCTCCAAAATTACGGAATTTTACCAGTTTTTTTCCAAAAAGTCATCATTTTTAGCCTAATTTCCCAATTTTTAGGTTCAAATCGACGGCCAAAAGCGTACCATCCAGATTGCGGGCGCTCAACCAGGCCAACTGACCTTGATCTACAAGGGAACAACATTTGACGTCAAAATTTACCCTCAAAGTGTCAGCGGTTTACTGAAATACATGAAGGAAAAGCCGAAATTGGACCTAAGCTCGGTGATCTTGGCCCCAATGCCGGGCGCAGTGAAGGCAGTTCACGTGGAAGTTGGTCAGGAAGTAAGATAAGACCTTTTATGTCCTATACTAGAGTTTGAGCCTCATTTTAAAAAACCGAAAAATGGCCATTTTTGGGAGACTGGGACGATCGGGGAAAAGTGCGATTGGGGAAACCGAAAAGTATTATTTTTCTTTGATGCAAGTGTCGAAATTAGGATAATCGAAGGCGCTGATTTCGAAAATGACATTCATTTTTTTCTGATCTTTACTTTTTTCCTTAAGTAATACTGTAAAGTAGTAATTTTTTGAATTTTTTTCACAAATACTCGATTTAGGGGTTTTCGATGGTGCTGATTTCGAAAATCATGTTAACTTTTCCTCTAGTACTACATAGTACTATCTGATACTATGTAGTACGAGGTGAAAATATGGCTTTTGACGTTAGTGGTGTTATTTTGATGCTTGGTACTGCTATTTCCACCTCGTACTAAATATAGTATCAGGTAGTACTAAATAGTACTATATAGCACCAAGTCTTTAAAAAATGTTTATGAAGAGTACTAAGCATCAAAAACACCATTAACGTCAAAAGTCATATTTTCACCTCGTACTATATAGTATCAGATAGTACTATATAGTACACGAGGAAAAGTTAACATGATTTTCGAAATCAGCACCATCGAAAACCCCTAAATCGAGTATTTGCGAAAAAAATTCAAAAAATTACTACTTTACAGTACTACTTAAGGAAAAAAGTACAGATCAGGAAAAAATGAATGTCATTTTCGAAATCAGCGCCCTCGATTATCCTAATTTCGACACTTGCATCGAAGAAAAATAATAATTTTTGGTTTCCCCAATCTTCTTTTTTCCTATTTTTCACAAAAAAAATTTGTTTTAGGTGAATGAAGGCCAAGAATTGTGTGTAATTGAGGCGATGAAGATGCAAAACGGCCTGCATGCCGGCAAATCGGGCAAAGTCAAGACTGTGAATGTGAAAGAAGGCCAAACCGTGGATGAGGGAGAGGTTTTGGTGGAACTGGAATAGATATTTCACCCCATTTTCCCCTGTAAATACCTGTTTTGTGCGCAATTTTGGTGATAAAGCATAATTTTATTGACTTCTACGGATAAATTTCAATTTTAAAATAAATTTAAAGTAATATACTTCGGATTGCCAATCGATTTTCTTGTAAAAATTGACAAAATTTTAAATTTATTTAGGTTTAAGAAAATAAGAGATGTCTAAAACAAGATCAATATAAATCTGATGGAAATTGAAGTGATATCCGACTACTCCAGCCCGAATCCGGCCTCCTTCTTCTGCTGACTTTCGTACATGGCCTTCTTGATGGTCCGTTTCATCTCATCGTCGCCTTCGTCGTACATTTTCTTCATCATGTTCATCAGACTGGCTTGCGGATCCGGGTTCTCCTCCATGTCCGGCAGATCAATCTTTGCCGCCTTTTCCAACTTTAACAGCTTGCCCCAGGTCTTTCCCTCCTCCTGCTTCTTCAACATCACCAGAACCAGGTCGGTTTTTGGCTGAAAAGAGGAAATTTTTATTATCCATGATCAGTGTAGGTGGTCGAATGGTTTTGATGTTTTCTTCTTACTTTCACGATACTTTTGCTTGCATCAATGGCGTAACTGAGCCCTCGCGCAGAGAACTCGTAATCAAAACCGTTGAAATCGCTGATTCGTACCAGGAATGAGCTGAAATCGGCAATATTAGCCATGACCATCTAAAGACAGAAACAAAATGGAAAACACTTACTCTTCGTCGATTTTGCTCTCAATTCGGTCGGCTGGATGGTTCTGAATGCCGTTCAGGGTGTAATAGAGCTTCACGAACTTGTCACTTTCATCGTAAGCTAAAATTTTTGGAAATACAGCTTATATTAGCTTAGACACTCTAAAAAACGAAAATGGCTGTCACCCCAAAAACATACCGAAAGTTGTGATTTTCTTCAACGGCCTAGGAGCAGAACCGGTTGATGAGGCCGCAGCAGTCGATGCAGCTCGCCTGGCTTCAGCTTGGACCTGCAGATAAATGTTTTATTACAGTAGGTAAATCAATGTCCAATTTTCAAAAATGCCTTACACTTTTGTTCAGTCGCTCGTTGGCCAGCAAAATCTCTTTCTCCAAGAACTTCTGAACATTCGGACGAAGACTTTGGGCCCGCAGGGCTTCCAACTCGCTCAAATCGGCTTTCAATTCAACCTAAAGTAAGATGTCCAAAGAAAAAACGATTTCAACTTACTTGATTCGACATAATGATGACAATAACAACCTAACAGGAACAAACAAGAATTTTAGTAACAATTTTTTCAAGAAATTTCTGAAATTTTCCGGATATTTTGCCACAAGTTGTTTTCGTGGCGGGACTCAGGTGGGGGTGTTATGAACAAGATTTTTGACGAACGCCCTTACCAAAAGCATTGTAAATTACCGTCTACAGTGTCTTCAATATACAACAGCTACTATTCCTTCGTTAGGAACCTTTTCGCCGCCAAAAATGGGCCTTACACAAGTTTATTATACCAAATAGCTGAATAAATAGCATTTACATCGAGAAAATAGATTAACAAGACCGGTTGAAGCGCTCAGTATCCCGTGTCGACCAGGTAGGAAGCCAGCTTCTCGACGGCTACTCGGGTGGCGGATCCGGCGCCAGTTTCGCCTTCGAAGACGGCCAGGATCACGGCAGTGTTGGACTTGACGGCGCAGAAGCCTTGGCTTCCCTTCTTGCCGAAGATCAGAGTGTCCTCCACACGCGGAACGATGTAGTGGACTCCTTCGAGGTCGGAGCCGGTTTGTGGGACGGATTGGATATTCTTAAAGCTGTTGACGAGAGTTCTCAATTCGGTGTCGGTGGCCTGTAGGATAATATTATAAAAAAGGTTGAAAAAGCGGTTTCTTGGAGAGATTTTGGTATGAAAATTAATGAGAATGTCCAGAATCTCTCGCACACTCTGTTAGACATCAAAATCCCCTGACTACCGACCTAAATCTCAACAAAAACTAGAAAACACCTACGTTAAAGTCGTTGCTTCTAGCCCATACAGAGCCATCTTCCAGGCCGACGATTGCGGCCTTCTTGATGCCGTCGGAGCTCTCGAGCAAGTTGGTGATGTACGCGTCCCAGCCAGACATGATTTCTTTGCTGAAAACGATAAAAATCAATACCCTCTTCGGACCGCCTAAAGTAATGTCAGAAAACACGCAAAAACGGTTATAAAAACACAAAATTAGATGGTAAAAAGGTTAGCAATCACAAGTGAAATAATCATATCACAAATGCCGCAGGCAGTTAGAATATCAATCCAGAAATTTTTATATTATACTTGACGATTCAATAAAAAAATTTTACCAATCGTACTGGGCAGCTGTTCGTCGTGAACGCGCGCAATTCGACGCTCGGCATGGCGACCTACTCGGCTTCCAGAATCCAACAGTTCTGAGGAAAATCCGAAGAAAATGGAAATACAGAATGCCAGAAAATGTTTTCGTGGCGGGACGAAAACGCTGAAATTGTTTGGACGCGCGAAACTTTGGCGAGTCGCGCCCTCAACTTTAATCAAGTCCGCTTTCTGACGTCACGGTTGCGAGATCGAGGATTCTGTCTTTACATAATGTGACGAATGTAATTTTGCGCATTCTCAATGTGGGATTTCTTGCACGCGGCATTATTTTGAAGTTTTTTCTGAATTTGAATAATTACCTCGGGCGCAGATTGCGAAACTAAAATTCTCTTGTTTTTTTGATGGAGGTGTAATTGGCGCGGGAAATGTCGAAATCGTTTATACATGACGTATTTTACATTTCAACTTACTTTTCATCACTCTACAACTTGCTTTCAGGTGTATGGCCATCAATTTTCTAGTTCTAACATGTTTTACACATCTTATCCTTCAAATTCAAGCGACATCAAGCGAATTAGACATTGATAAGTCGGGCTGGCTCGATGTGAACGATCCACTCAGCTGGGAGAACACTCAGAATCAGCGAGATCGTGGAACATGCCCGTCGGAAGAAGCTGTGAGCGAATATCAGCGAGTAAGTGGTCTAGTCTAATATTATTCTTGATTTTTAGAGGATTTCGCAGTTGGAGAAGGAGATTTTGATTGGAAAAGCAAGTTCAGAGGAGAAGCTTCTAAAGCACGTTGTTCGGCAGTTTCTGCATCGTTTGAATATTGAGCTAGTCGACGGACAAAGCGTCTATAGAGATGCTCAAGTGTATATATCGGCAAAAGACGTGCGAATACTCCGTAGATTCTTGAATAACGAGTATCCTGACGAGGATGTTGGCATAAGAGAACGAGTGAGAACGGCGTTGGGCGAGTTTCTCAGCGAGGTCGGTCAATTTTTCCATTTTTATATTGTATATGACACCTGGGGAAATCATGAATAATATCGGTGTTTAGGCCTCGGAACAGACTCCAATCTTCGTCCAGTATCTTCAACCATACACTCCATACCTAATGCTGCTGAATATCGCGATACTACCGATTGCTTTGTTGTTCATTTTGCAAAGGATAATGTCACCCAAACAGCTGTTGATAATATTATTTTTATGGGCTTTTTGTGTGTCGTTTTGCTTCACATACGCGAGAAAATACAAAGTAAGTGTTTTTATATTGTTTTGTTGGATTTTAGATCGAATTGGAAAGAATTTTCATCAATTTTGCCTAGTGCAATATAAGGCATGTTGTTTAGGAAAAGCTGGCGGAAAGGTATGACCGCGCCGACCGAGAAGATCAATGCATAAAGGACAAGACTTTCCTTGGTGAGGTTTCCGATGTGCTGCTTGGGTATTTACGGATCAAAGGAAAGAGCGAATGCCTTAAAAAATACGAGGTCAGTTGATGTTGTTGATCTCGAAAAAATGACTCATCCTGCCAACTGTTTGGGTCAGAACTTAATGTTTCTGACTTTCAGGACATTTTGATTGAGCCCTTCTTGCTGATCGACCCTCTGGCCACATTCGGCGAAGTTCTGGCCAATTTCTTCATGAGTCCTTTGGAGGTCGCGGGAAAGCAACTAAATCGATTTTTCAATGACTTTTTCATCGACACCCCACTACCATTGGCCGTCTTCAAAGTCGTATTCCTATTTTTACTGCTGTTTTTCTTCATGGGATACCGGCTGAGGACCTTGTTATTCTCGGTGGAGCCGGTTTTCAGGCCGCAAGAACCGGCAATTCAGAGGACAGAGAGGGCTTCTGAGGCTATACGAACAAGAGAGACGACTCCAATGATCCAGGAAGTTCGTAGTTGCCCGGTGAGTTTTGATTTTCAATGATTTTTGGGGGAGTTTTATATTGTAGTAGATGAAATTTGAATTTATTGATATTATAGTAGGAAAGGGTGGCTGATATGACTTCAAATGATAGAATAGGAATGTTTAGGGTATGTTTGTTCTGTTAGATCAATTTTTAGGAGATTTCGAAGAAATTTTTATATTGTAGTAGATGATTTTTTTTAGTTTTGATATTGTAGTAGGAGACTTTAAGATGAAATAGTATACATTTTGAAGCCACGTAGGTCCTATTACTATGATTTTGGATAAATTTAAAAACATTTTTTATATTGTAGTAGGTATTAATGTAATTTTCTATAAGAAAGTTTGATGAAGCAGTCGTATTTTACCAAATTTTAGACCTTACCAGCCCCAACCCCTCCTCAGAACCCCGCATGGAAGGAGGCGAGTCCAACGTTGGCCATTGAAGACATCCTCGAGGAGCTGGATTTCCAAATTGAAGAGGAAGAAGTCAAAAATGAAGAAAAAATTGAGGAAGAAGAAGTCAAAGCCGACGAAAAAATTGAGGAGGAAGAAGTTCTGGATATTCGAAAGATATTTTATGCCCATTTGACCTACGAAGAAAGCGAAAATTTATTGAGGAATGAGGAAAAAGGCGCATGGCTCCTGAGGAATAGCCAAAAAATGGTAATAATTACTGTGATTTGAAGGGACAATATGTGAATTGTTGATTGATAGGACTAGTATTTGGATTAGGGAGACAATATAACAAGAATTTTGGGAAAATTTGAGGGCTAAATTGGATTTCTGACCTTATTTTAGACATCTATATCTGGACCTGGTTTTAGATGAATTTTTGAGATGTATTAGAAGAAATGGTCGTATTTTACCATCATTTGGGATACAATTTTTGTATAGTAGCGTGCCAATGAATAATTTTGGATGTTGAATAGATTTCGGACCTTATTTTAGGTTCAACATCTGACCTAATTTTAGCTGATTTTTTGATGTTCAGGAAAAATATGTCTGCCGTATTTTACAATTATCTGAAGCGTAAATTCCATATATTAGGTTTAGTAAAGCTGATTCAGCATTAGAATAAAATTTTGGACCATTTTTATATTACACTTGATTCCAGCCCTCGAACATGGCAATGTCAATTCGTGGTCCGAACAGATGCCATCATTTCATCATCTACTTCACGGAGGAGCTGAATTACCGTCTCGGAGACTCTAAAACCACGTTTGGAAGTCTGCAGAACCTTCTGCGACATTATACTAGACATCCGGTCCTAAACGAAGGCCCCACCACGTTGGATAGGCCGCTTTTCCGCGACATTTCATAACGTTTAGGTCGAACACGGTAGATTTGACTTGTATAGAATGTAATTTCATATTTATTTCGATCCGATTCTCAGATATTCACCTTGCTTTAGCTAGTATAAGGTCTTAATTTTTTGGTAGAAAACAGTCGGAGAGGAATGTTTCTCTCCACGCAACGCATACCTCTAGTCTTGGCGCTCAATTTTCTATTGTGTTTTTCAATTTATTAGTTATGAATACCGGTGATTTAACATTTTTTTCATTTTCAATATAACATGTCCAATAAAACTTGACGATTGTACAATAATAGATGTTTTTCGCAGCGAAATGGGACGGAATTTGCAGTAGCAGAGACTTTCAAGCGAAATACCGCAAAAATTTTGGGGATTTGAAGGAAAAATTTTACTAACCTTCATCTAAAGTAATATAATTTTTGTCCAAATCAATACAAATTTAGTGGTAAATTTGTGTCTTAAGGTGAGAAATAATCAGTAACAGCGAAATCAGGTCGCATTTGGGCCGAAAATTATCAAAATCACTAAAAAATATCAAAATTCACCTAAAATAATATAAATTTTCGTAAAAACTCTCAAATTTCCCAAATTTTCGCAATATTTTTCCCAAATCCTGCTTGGCTCATAAGTAGTGGGTTACGGTATCACAAGTGAGTGAGGAACATGACTGGCGCGGCCTGAGGCCAAAAAAGACAAAAAAATAAAAAAAAATCCTCATAAATCTGATGTTCCACCCAACAACATATTAGTTGCTCTACCTGGGCAACGGTTTGACCAGATAGAGGCGCTCGGCGGTTTGATCGTTGCTGAAGATCGGCGACTTCATGTAATGCTGGATCAACGCTTGCATGGAGCCAAAATCCCGGTTCCCAATCTTGTAGGAGCCGGTGTTGGTGTTCACCTGCACCAGGAAGTGCTTGTTTCGGCCGTTCCCTTTGACGGATATCGAGTAATCTCCGGGCTGAAATAGTTTTTTTTTGAATTTTTGATGGATCTCATGTGTACATATAATTTTTGATAAGTAGGTAGGAAATTGACGGCAAGTTGAACTGAGGATGATATAAAATCACCAGTAAGGACTCTAGATTCCTTTTAGAGTCTTGGACTTATAAATTTAGCAAAAAATTTCGGTTTGAAAAGATTTCTCGACTTTTGGTCAAGTGTAATATAAAATTTGATGAATTGGGTGGGAAATTGAAAATGAAAGGGTGGTAAATTCGTTGGACATGATCCATAAGGGCTCTGGATTCCAGTTCGACTCAAAGATTTAGAGGAAAATTAAGATTTCAAAAGATTTCTTCATATTGGTCTAGTATAATATAAAATTTGATAGTTTAGTAGTAAATCATGGATCGAAAGAGCTAAAATTGGTACAGAACGTCTATTAGAGTGGTTAGATGGGGTTGATGTTGATTTATCGAGTAACTTGTAAATTACAATGACTTGTTATATTACAGCGGCGGACCTGATCCAGTGGCAAAAACGTACAATTTTGCATCCGGGAAGTATCAAAAAATGTAGCAAAATACCTCCATCTCCGAGTGAAAAAACTCCGATTTCAAAAATCGTCCGCTTTTTATGTGAGAAACGTCACGCCCTTCAAAATGCAGTTTTTTAGTTGGAGAGGGAGACATTTTGCTACATTCTTTGAATCTTCCCGGATGTAAACTGGTACGTTTTTTGCCACTGGATCAGGTCCGTCACTGTGATATAACAACCCATTGTGATAGACAAATTATTCGATTTCAACCCCATCTAAACACACTAATAGACTAGCTTTACCAATTTTAGCCCTTTCGATCCATGTTTCCCTACTAAACTATCAAATTTTATATTATACTAGAACCAAAATAAAAGAAAGCTTTGAAATCTTAATTTTTCCTCTACATCTTTGAGTCGAACTGGAATCCAGAGCCCTTATTATCACGTCCAACGAATTTACTACCCTTTCATTATCAATTTCACACCCAATTCATCAAATTTTATACTACAGTTGACTAAAAGTCGAGAAATCTTTTCAAATCTTCACTTTTTGCTTAACTTATAAGTCCCAAGACCCTAAAAAGAATCTAGAGTCCTTGCTGGTGATTTTATACCATCCTCAGTTCAACTCGCCATCAATTCCGTGCCTAATTATAAAAAATTATATTCCACTAGCCTCCAATATACAAAAATCCTCTCTACTCTCCCCAAAACCCCTCTTCTTACATTGCTTTCACTATCTCTGACGAGGAAATCTCCTTCCACTCCTCTTGCGTTCAATTCCATATCACTTTGATCTCGAGACAGCGTTCCATAGTACCAAGGCTGAGATGCATAAGGTCCGGAAAGTGACGACAAATACGAAGGTCTGGCGCTGGTGGACGGTGTCGATGCGGGATAGGCGGTTTGGAACGCGCTGTGCTTGGGGTTTCGTTCAACAATCTGAAAAACATCAAAATTTTTTAAATTTTATATTATCCATGACACTTGATCTTCTTCATGTCAAAATTGATGTCTGATGCCCCAAATTTCTGCCGAGCCTACCTCAATATAATTCGTTGGGACTAATCCAACATCTCCTCGCGAATTTCGAGCACGATACCAGTCGGGGTCGTGGGCAGGATGCTCCACAATATCTAGACGTTCGCCCTTTTTGAAAGACAATTCCTCCGCGTTTTGGGCTTCGAAGCTGTACAGCGTCACCACAATCTAAACTCAGAAGGCATAAAATTTATAAAACTCGCCATCTTACCTCAAGGATTCGTTCGGGTTGGTTTGAAAATCCGTTTGTTGCAAATTTCGGGGACTCAAACTCATGGTTAAAGTTTTGGTTGTAATTGTTAGGGATGTCGGACAAGACATTCTGAGGTATTGGAGCAGGTTGTTCAAAGTGTTGTGGAGGTGCATCGTGGGTTTCGTCCACGTAATTCGAAGGGAACCAACCGACGGAGCCGTTCAGCTGGAACATGGATAACATAAGGTGAATTTGGTGGGAAAATGGAAAGGAGAGAAAAAATGAAATTCCCACCTCTGACAAACCCTTTGGCGTATTTTTAAATCATTTTTGGACCGTTTGGGATTTATCTGACACTAGAAACACCCTATTTCCGAAATGACTCATCTCAATGGAACATGGATAATATCAGGTCGGTTACGAAACAAATCGCAGACATATTGGCTGTAAAAGTATCTAGAAACACTCCCTGCACGTTAAGGCACATTTTATATTTATACACAAGCAATTTCTCGGCTATTTTCTCCAAGAAAACACCTGAATTTCACTGACCTCCCACAAAATCCCTCATAAATCAGATGCTTATCTTCCTGATTCAAAAACAAGGTCATTCGGTTTTCCCGCGGGATTTCTTAAACTAACAACGGTCTAGTCTCGTGCAATCTTGATTTTACACCGCCTTTCGGGTCAATCTAAAGGTTGAACAACAAAAAATGAAAGATCTTACCTGTCCTTTCCACCAGCCATCGGAACTTTTATCGACCACTGTCAGATGGTCGCCTTTCGATATTTTCAGCTCATCTTCGCGTTGAGGGTCGTAATTGAACTTGGCAACGGCGTAGCACAATAACTCGGTCATCTGAAACAAAGAGTTAGAAATTCCGACATTACATTTGGTAGACATGAGTAATATAAATGGATGTACGGCTTGATAGAGAACGCAAAAACTAGTTAAAAAAACAAGTGAATCAGATAAATGATTTCAGAAAGCATCTATTACAAACACTTTAATTAGACTCCACTTTAATTTTGAGTTGATTCCGACATTTTTTCTAGTACAACATCGAAAGCAAGGTATTTTTGTCAAAATCTCAAAGTTTTCCCGAAAACTTTTTCAATTCAATGGTTTTACTAGAAACAGAGAGGAATATTCTTCAATTTTCAGCCCGATCAGACAGTCTTATCACCTAAAACACAGAGAAAAATCAAGAATCTTCCACTTACCTGCCCTGATTTGTTTCCGCTTCTGTGCTTGGAAACCGGCTTCTGCTGAAACGAGGCTTAGATTAGAGAGTTTGGCGGGGGATGAAATCGAGCGTGAGCCGAGACGCCGAAACCCCATCACGACGCCTTATGAATAATATTGCACAAAGCTTGTTTTTTGGTGTGGCGCAATCAAAAACGGGCGCCATGTGGGATAAAACGCGGTGAATGGAGTCGAAATTGGTTCGGCATGTTGTTCAGCAGGTGTGAGAGGCTGGACAACCCCAATATATATGAAATTCCCACATTTTTTCAAATTTTTTATCAAAATTTGAGAGTGAGGTCTAGTACAATATAAAAACTCGTGAAATCATATGAAATCCCAGCTTGTTTCGAAATTTTTTCAACTTTTTATTAAACATTACTAATTTTTCGATCTAAAACAAGCCATTAGGGGTGACATCAGCTTATGAAACCAACAGAAATTTGCAAAAAACAAAGAAAGGGGTGAGTCGAGAGATTTGCGGGTGTTATCAGGTTGAAAATGGAAGGAAGGGCTTCAGGAAGGAATGAATCGGCGGCGAGATTACACGAGGAATTCGGAAAAGTCGAGAGAGAGAGCAAAAACCACGAGAAAATCCAAAAAATAATTTTTTTTGTCTGAAAAACAAATTTTCGTCGGAATGACGGAATTTTCGGTTATAATTTCCGGAAAATGCGTCATAATGATATTCAAATTTCATTTTCTTTCTGATAAACCAATTTTCAACAGCTAAAAATGTTGCCGAAAATTTCTCGGATATTATACTAGACGTTTTTGGTGGAAAACTTGTTGTGGCTGATGAATAACCGTAAAGTGTTTGTTACAAATGAAGGTAAACAACTCGAAACCACTCCCTTTTCATTGCTCGACCGTCTTTTGTGTCGTTATCAGCCGTTTCCACGACTTTTTCGAGGAAAAAACTTCAAAAATGAGGGGACGAAAAAATTCGAAACAAAATTTGGATATTCAAATTTCTGGATTAAGAGGCATGCAAGAGGGGTGAATTCGAAAAGTTTGGGTGGAGAAAGCGCTGAATCCGAGACTCTCTTCCGTCCATTTGAGCCCTCAGGCGGCGCAAAAAATGGGAATGCCGGACGGCGGGAGAATGAGTCCGCAATTGCTGTAGTTGGAAAGCCGTAAAACCGGGGGGAGATTTCGCATACAACAAAAACGAAAAGTTTGGAAAAAAGCCGCGGGATTCGTGAGTTCGGACCTTGTTTTACGTGAAAATAGATAAAAAATTTGCTCAAATCCGTTGAAAAAATCTGTAAAATTATGCTAAATACTATCTAAAATAACTTTAGACACTTTATCTCCTCAATTTCCAACAGTTTTTCCATTTTTCATCTAAAAAATACCTAAAATTTCCAAAAAATCTATAAAATCTTGTCGAAAACAAGGTCTACGTATAATGTAGGCCTCACAATCTTTTTCTCCAAGTCATAGTCTATCTTTAAATAGCCTTTCCAAATATCTCCACCTATCTTTTGACACTCCTGGACCTTATTTTAGATCTGCGGTCTAGTACAATATAATTTTTGGTTTTTCGATAAAATTTTCGCTCCCAATCGCAAGATCGCTTATCCCTTCAGAAACTACGACACATTAGCATTCTATTGGTCCCACTTTTACTTCGATTACCTTGTTTTTGCGAGTTCTACAGCTCAATTTAGATCAGGTGTCTAGTGCAATATAATTTAGTGATTTTTTGATGTCCAACCGCTGTAAAAGGATGTTTCATGGCCAGCACATGACATAAAATTCCTTGGACTTTATTCTACAACCACTTTTCCAATCAAAACATCAAATTTTTATATTCCACATGGCAATTTATACCTAAAATTTGACAAAAATTGGCCAAAACCGCATTAAAATCCTCTTTTAAGTAGTGTAAAATACGATGCACATCACATATTTTATATTTCCAAGCTAAACCTACAAAAATTCGCATGGAAATTTGGAGTTTCAGACCATTTTCGACGAATCGAAGATCTCTCGACGCGTTTTGATTTTCATAAACACTCCAATTCAAATTCGGAATTAAAAGGGAGAGCGGAAGATCAAACAGTTCAAAGAGAAACGTCGCCAAATGGCAATCGGAGCCGGTTTTCGCGGCGAATAAATTATGAAATAACAGATTCGATCAAAAAAAATTTTTTCAGAGAATTTTTTAGTCAAAAAAACTTGTTGTATCTGTTATCAGCGCACACCTTTTGTTCCGAAATGCTACAAAATGTATTGTATTCGATATTAGAGGGCTTAAAATTGGGAAGTTTCCCGAATTTTTATCAAAAATCATCAAAAAAATTGGTGACTTTGCCATGGATAATATAAAAATTGTTGAAATCTTGATGTAAACTGAAACAAAATCGTAATTTAGAACTTCTAAGTTCCCATAAGACCTATACTTCCCTAACTGATCAAGTTTTCGGTCCAAAAATTCAAAAAAATTGTCATGGATAATATAAAAATTGTTGAAATCTTGATAGAAACTGAAACAAAATCGTATTTTAGACCTTCTAAGTTCTCATAAGACCTATATTTCCCTAATTGATCAAGTTTTCGGTCCAAAAATTTAAAAAATTTGTCATGGGTAATATAAAAATTGTTCAAATTTTGATCCAAAATAAAACAAAATCGTATTTTAGACCTTCTAAGTTCTCACAAGACCTATATTTCCCTGATAACTCAAGTTTTTGAGCAAAAAAATGAAAAAAAATTGTCATGGATAATATAAAAATTGTTGAGATCTTAATGAAAAATGATATAAACCGCTCTTTCAGAGCTTCTAGCTTCTCATAACGGCAATATTTCCCTGATTGATCAGTTTTTAAGCAAAAAATTGACAAAATTTGTCATGGATAACATAAAATTTTTTGAAATCTTCATCCCAGATGAAACAAAACCGTATTTTCGTACTTCATAGCTTTAATAAAGCCTATATTTCCCTGATTAATCAAGTTTTGTGTCCAAAAATTCAAAAAAGTTGTCATGGATAATATAATTTTTGTTGCAAAACTCAATGAAAACTGATCTAACGTGAAGAAAACGTCTTATTATTTCTTCCACTGAAATTACCACCCAATTTCACCCTCTTTTCAACCAAAAAACTCAAAAAATTTGTCATGGATAATATAAATTTTCTCATTTTTATATAACTTTGTCCCATTATCGAAGGTAAAATACGCCATAGAAACAGTTGTAAAAAGTCCTTACCGCTTCTTGTTCCACAAGGTCGGGGATTTTTGGGCAAGAACGGCCGTTCAGCGATCGAATTGTGCCTTTGGCTCGGTCGATAAAACCTTCGAGGCGTACGAAATTGGAAGGAACGAAGCCGGTTTGGCCTTTCAAGTTCACAACCTACAACAAAGTCATTAAAATACATCAAAATTCCAAAAAATTTTTATTTGGAAAAAATATTTTTTTTGCACTGTGCAGTCGACTTGCATGCATGCAGTCAAAAATTGCACTGTGCGGCCCAAAAAATTATTGCACAGTGCACTTCGAAATTTATTTTTGACTGCACTGTGCAGCAGCGACCAGAAGTGAATTCCAAAATCTACTGCACTGTGCATTTTCAACAAAAACTTTTTTGAACGTTCAATCGCGACAAAAAGTGCTTTGCACTGTGCGGGAGCAAAAAACAAGGAAACTGCACAGTGCCATCGCATGGAAAATAGTTCTTGCACAGTGCAAAACCAAGTCAGATTTTGCACAGTGCAAAATAAAAAAAAAGTTTGCACAGTGCAAACGCGACAAAAGTTTATCGCACAGTGCAATCCCATACAAAAAACTTCGACTGCACAGTGCAAAACCAAAACAAACTTTGCACAGTGCAATCCGCAAAATTATTTTGCACAGTGCAAACGCTATAAAAAATATCGCACTGTGCAATCAATGAAAACCAATGCACAGTGCAATCCCATACAAAAAAACTTCCATTGCACGGTGCAAAACCAAAACACATTTTGCACAGTGCAACTCGAAAAATTATTTTGCACAGTGCAAACGCGACAACAGTTTCCCGCACAGTGCAAAACTAACCCATGTTTTGCACAGTGCATACGCGACAACTGATTATTTTGCACAGTGCAAACGCCGAAAAACTTCGACTGCACAGTGCAATCCAAAAAATTTTCTCCAGTCCGACTGCATGGTGCAATCGTAAAGAAGTCGATTTGGACATGCTTAGAGAGTCAATTCTGCGCTCGAAAAACATTCGTCCGACGGCATTTTGTCCATTTTTTGTGACAAAAATGGATGAGAAAAGAAAAAAGGGCCGAGGAAACTGCGAAAATTAGGTTTTGTTCTGGGCGTTCGGCCGAAAAAACGGGGAAAATGTCATGGAAAATATAATAAAGATTTTTTTATTTTTTTATACAGGGTGGGCCACTCGAAACTCCCAACCTCTTTTTAGGTATTTCTCCGCCAATAATGCACCAATTTCTATAAAATTTATATAAAATTGAAGCTGAGACACCCCATTTCTTGTCCACCAAATATGGCTTGTCTAACTTCACGGAGGCACCCGCATTGACCTTCTAAATTTTCATTCCAAATTTTGGAGCCCGAAATCGGTGAAACTTAGAAATTTTTTGGAATGATTTTTAGTTGAGCTTCTCGGACTTAGAAAATTTTTGGATTACCGGCAAGAAAAAAGTCGACAAATTCGCGGAAAATTTTTTAAAACATTAAAGTTTACGTCCGTACCAAGTGTGTTAAACCCATATTTCAATCAGGTGAGGTACCAATTTGGGCGAATAAGAACAAAAGCTGTTTTCTCGGGCAATCTAAGCCTGGAAAGTTTCTATGCATCTTCGGGATGGATGTCGTCATGCATGTAGACTGTTTCGCCCATTTTTTAACATTTTGAAAAATTTCGAATAATTAAGCCTATCGCCCCAGAACACGAAAGCAACGCCTTGAAGAATAATTTTGACTATTCCGTTGACTGCCATCATTTTTTTCTGCTGCTTATAAGAGTTTTATTTAGTCAAAGGCGCGAACATTTTCCAATTCCGAGAAACTCAACTGGAAATCATTCCAAAAATTTTCTATGTTTCACCGATTTCGGGCTCCAAAATTTGGAATGAAAATTTAGAAGGTCAATGCGGGTGCCTCCGTGAAGTTAGACAAGCCATATTTGGTGGACAAGAAATGGGGTGTCTCAGCTTCAATTTGATATAAATTTTATAGAAATTGGTGCATTATTGGCGGAGAAATACCTAAAAAGAGGTTGGGAGTTTCGAGTGGCCCACCCTGTATAATAAAGTGGTTGAAAAAGTTACTAAACGATAAAATAGGGATGACAGATTTTATTTTACAAATTTTTAAGCTATTTTGAGGCTTTCGAAAGCTTTTTTGATCAAAATTTTGAAAAATTTTCATCAAATTTGCCATGGATAATATAAAAATCGGAATAAAAATCTCAATTTTTGATAAAATAAAGTTCGAAAAGCCAGTTAAATAATTTATTTAGTAATTTCATTGCATTTCCGACCATTTTCAACTAAAATTTCGTCAAAAATCATCAAAAAATTTTCATGGATAATATAAAAAATTTCCAAAAATTCCATTTTTTTATATCCAAAACGTCTCAAAAACAAATTCTGAGCCCTTTCCGACTTGTCTTTTCCGCATGACCAGGTATTAATCGCACTAATTACCTGGCCTTTTCGCCTTGGGAAATTCGAAACCCCGCGGGAAACCGTGAAAATCCCTCTCGAAAACCGCATGGCCAAAACAAATATATTATATTAACAGCGCGTCTAGAGTGCATTCGGCGGGAAATTGGACTCTAGAAGGTCAAAAATTAGGCATAAACCGGAAATTTTTTGACCCAATTTTTTCATGAATAATATCAAAAAACTCTTCGAAATAATCGATTTCTAGCTGAATTAGCTTTTTACAGACCTCATTGAGCACTTAAATTTACTTTTCGGAGGTTTTTATCGCCATAGCGACCATTACAACACAATGCCAAATTTGGCGGGAATTCAAAAATTTGAATTTTTTTTGCAAAAAATGTCAGAATATGGCTGAAAATGGATTACAGAGGTGGGAAAGTAATTAAAAAATAATTTTTAGCGTTCAAAATTTGCAAAATTAACTTACTTTCCACCAATTATGCGAGTTATCGATCAATTTGAGGCGTTCGCCTCGCGCGATCCCCAGCTCGTGCGGCTCCTGCGCTTCGTAATCGTACTTGGCAATCACGAAGCTCTCCTCGACCATGTCCGCCGCCGGGCAGACATGCAGTGGGAGGGTGGGATGGGCAAAAATCGTTCTTGTGGATGGTGAAGGTCAAGATGACCGAATTTCCGATGATATGTGCTGATAAATGGGTATGAAAGCACCTCAAATGACGTGCAAATTAATTTTTATAATATTGCGAGTAATTATACGGCTTTTCGCGGCAAAAGAAAGTGTATTTTGGGGGTTTCCTACATTATTTTATATTACACTTGAGCAGCTATGAGAAAATGGGTTCAAATGCCCGAAAAACTAATACAAATGGAAATGAATGTAATATCAAAAGAAAATAGAAGTCTTGATGAGTAATTTGAGCACTTACACCACATATGAAAATCAAAATTAACGACGGGACAAGCTGATATTACACTAGGTCGAGATAGGTCAAAATCCCAATATAGAGCCCAAAAATTGAACAAAAGTAAGTGAAAACATTAAAATTGTAAAATACGAGGTAAGGATCTACTTTTTAATTGCTAAATTCCAAATTTTTTATATTACACTAGGCAAAAATAGATAAAAAATTGCTAAAAACCACTGAAATTTTTATATATAAAGGCCGTCAAATCGTAAAATACGTCTTTACATGACATTTGCTACCTTTAGATTTCCATTTTCCTCCAAAATTCAAAAAATTTTTATATTACACTAGGCAAAAATAGTCAAAAATTACCTAAATTTTGAAGCCACAAGACCTTGAAATGGTAAAATACGCCTTCCCATAGCTTGCTCAGCTTTATTTTTCCTATTTTCCCCCAAAATTCAACAAAATTTTATATTACACTAGACAAAAATATCAAAAAATTGCCAAAAATCCCAAAATTTTTAAACCACAAGACCTTCAAATGTTAAAATACGCTTTTCTCTAGCTTATTCACCTTTATTTTTCCTATTTTCCCCCAAAATTCAACAAGATTTTATATTACACTAGACAAAAAACCAGTCCAAGGCCCGGTCTAATCAAAGAAAAGGCTTCTGATTCCCAACGCCCGCGGCTACACAGAGGCTGGGGCTATTATAAACGCCGCTGCTTAATTAATTGAAGCCCGCGCGGCTGCGGGAGGGAGAGCCCAGTCAGCCGAATCAAGGGGCGGCTGAAGAGATCCGGAAAGAAAAGAAAAGAGCGATCCATCTCAAGGACAAGACAATGCAGGAAGAACGGGGAATTTGATTTGGATTTCCGATACCCCCCTTCCGGATTGCTCTGTTTTATACGCCAATTTACGAATTTTGCGAAAGTGGGATTTGAATTCCCGCCAAATTTGGCATTGTGTTTTGGGTGGATATAAAGGAAAAAAATCAAGTTTACTTTTATTTATAGGTCTATTGGACTCTATTTTACATAAGTTACACCTTGGTAAGTTCAAAAATTCAAAAAAATTCAAATTCCCGCCAAATTTGGCATTGTGTTTTGAGTGGATACGAAAGAAAAAAAATCAAGTTGATCACTATTTATAGGCCTATCTGGCTGTATTTTACATAAATTACACACTTCCAGGCCAAAAATTCAAAAAAAAATCAAATTCCCGCCAACTTTGGCATTGTGTTTTGGTTGGATAAAAGGTTTTAAAAATTCAGTTTTACTACTATTTATAGGCCTATTGGACTTCACTTTCCCTTAATTACACATTTTCCTGGCAAAAGAATTCAAAAATTTCAAATTCCCGCCAAATTTGGCATTCCGTTTCAAGCCTCGAAAACTCAATAAATCCCTCAAATTTGTATAAATAACACGTTGAAGAATTGCAAAAACGCATAATTCGTCCAAAAACTATGCCATCGAAATTTATTTATATTCACCATGTCAAATACCCTCAATCATAAACAAAAATTTGCTTTTCTGAAACCCCAAAACTAATAATAATTCATGGTCCCCAAAAAACCTCCAACAGTTTCCACGAAACAAAGACCGAATCCCGTTAGCGTTGCACTTTTTTGAATTACGAAATACGACCATGACAATGTCCTTCCGAAAGGCCGAAAAAGGAGCGTTTTTACGGCACTTTTTGACGGCAAAAAATTTTATCTAAACATTTCAAAATTTTATTTCCTCAAAAATTGCACTGTGCAAAGTTTTTTGTGACTGCACAGTGCAAAAAATTTTGGAACCGCACAGTGCAAAAAATTTTGGAACTGCACGGTGCAAAAAAAATGGAACCGCACAGTGCAAAAAAAATTTTCGAACCGCACAGTGCAAAAAAAATTTTGTCCGCACGGTGCAAAAAAATTTTTTGTCCGCACGGTGCAAAAAAATTTTTTGTCCGCACAGTGCAAAAAAATGTTCGTCCGCACAGTGCAAAAAATTTTCGTCCGCACAGTGCAAAAAAAAATTTCGAACCGCACAGTGCAAAAAAATTTTTTGTCCGCACAGTGCAAAAAAATTTTTGTCCGCACAGTGCAAAAATTTTTTTTTTTCAAAATTAAAAAACCAAAATTCAGAACTTCCCAGACACTCCGAGCTTATCCTACCTCCCGAAACACCTCCAAACATCTTGCGAAGAGCAAAAAACAAAGACTTTCGGGGCCACATTTCGGGCCATAAAATCCTCTTCCTGACACGAGAAGATCCCCATAATTTAGTCGCTTGACCGCCATTAATTACGAGTGGGACAACGTAATTCACGAGGTCCGAAAAGGACGGACGGGGTCATCCAGAGAGATTTTTCGGCCAAAAAATTAGTTTTGGGCTCATTAGCAAGTGTAATTTTGGGAAAATCATTGGGGAAATGGTAAATAAACACTTTCTTCTGAGCTTATTATTCTTCCAAATGCCCCAATATTACCTAATTTTGATATTCTGGTAGCCTTTATGCCTTATTTGGTTCAAAAATAAAGACTTTTTATAAAGTCATCAAGTGCAATATAAATAACTAAAAAAAGTGAAATTTCTAATAAACTAGAAGTAAACTAGCTTTCGTATGGACTTTTTAAGGCCTATACTGTCTTACTAAACCTGTTTTCAGGCTTGCGGCGTCTAAGTTCGTCCAAAAATTGAAGATCTTATACTAACGAACCTAGTCTAATATAACCCAAAATTCCTAAAAAAATCTCTCAAAATCTTTATAGAAGAGAGACTAGATCCCTCTACGACCTATATAGTCATATTTTCAGCAACTTCCGTCCAAAAATAGTCTTTTAATCGAACACTTTATATCAGCCCATCTAGTGTAATATAACCAAAAAAATCGGACATAACCGGCCAAATTTTTGGTCTGCAAGTCAAACTGAGTCCTTTTGCGATCTAATTAGTCTCATTTTACCATTTTTTACAAAAGAAATTGGCTCAAAATCGAAGACTTTATATTAGCCCACCTAGTGTAATATAAGCAAAAAATCGGACATAACCGGTCAAATTTTTGGTCTACAAGTCAAACTGAGTCCTTTTACGATCTAATTATTCTCGTTTTACCATTTTTTACAAAAGAAATTGGCTCAAAATCGAAGACTTTACATTAGCCCACCTAGTGTAATATAATCTTGAAAATCTCCTGGAACCACAAAAACAACGAGCAATTTAAACCCAACACTGTCTAGAATACATCCTCATACCTCGAAATTCAACAAAATTTTAATTAAACCCGTGAAATTTCGCAATCCCTAGTGCGCGGCCCAAAAAAAAGAGCGGAGAATTAAACCGGATAAGGCTTATGAAGGCGACGCTCGCGAGTGTATTACACTTTATAACTCGGCCTCAAACATTTCCCCCACTCTTTTCCGTCGGGTTTAAAAACCCAAGGCCCGAATATGACGTTGTCATAAAAAGATTGGCCCAAAGGAGTGGACCCAGAGCGGAGGGGCCCCGGGATTTTACGAATTTAGCGCTAAACCCTGGAGATTTCGTCAAATTTGGGGGTTTCATCAAGATTTGATGGGTAAAATACGTTTGTTTGATCGAATTTTAGCTAATTTTCGTCATGGATAATATAATTTTTCTCGAAATGAGAGGATAAAAGACCTTAAACAGAAAGGAAATGTCCTAAATAGATGGAAAAAGTCACAAAATGTGGGTTTGAAAGGCAAAATTCATAAATTTTAGCTAATTTTCGTCATGGATAATAAAATTTTTCTCGAAATGAGGGGATAAAATACTTTAGACAGAAAGGAAATGTCCCAAATAATCGGAAAAAGTCACGAAATCTCGCTTTAAAAAACAAAATTCATAAATTTTAGGTATTTTTTGTCATGTGTAATATAATTTTTCTCGAAATTAGGGGGTAAAATACGTTGGATAGAAAGGAAAGGTCCTAAATAGTCGAAAAAAGTCACAAAACGCGGGTTTGAAAAGCAAAATTCATAAATTTTAGGTATTTTTTGTCATGTGTAATATAATTTTTCTCGAATTTTTGGATGAAAATGCTCTAGACAGGTTGGAAAGGTCATAAACAGGCACGAAAAGACAAAAAACATAGGTTTAGACATCAAAATCCATAAAATGTAGGTATTTTTTGCCATGGATAATATAAAATTTTCAAATTTTCTTCACTTTTCGGTCGGAAAATTGTCTAAACAGATGGCAGAAGCTCTAAATCATCATAAAATATGAGATATTTACAATTTCAAGACCAATTTTTTGTCATAAATAATGTAATTTTTTTCGAATTTCCCCAAACTTTCGCCACAAAATGCCAAACCCAAGTATGTCAAGCGGCAAGAAATCGGATCGGCGCGCCAAGAACGCCTCGATTTTCGAAAATTTTCCCGAAGCAACGCCCACTCAAAGGTTAGCAAACCTGAAAATGGACCCGAAAACCTTTTTCCCCGTCGAGTCCCCACAGTCACATGTAGATCGGGGAAGACAGAACGCGAGTGACCGCTTGTAGACGTCATAATCTCCCGCGATATTTATTCAAGCCTCCTTTCGCTGTTAGACCAGGTATTCCGAGCGATTTCCGGGACTCATAACTTGATCGCACCGGCTAAAGTGGGGTCGGAAATTTGTGGAAAGTGCTGAAAAATGTCCTTGGAATTTTGCCAAGGGCAAAAAACTCCGGCAATTTTGAGTTTTGGAAATTTGCACTGTGCGGAGTTCAAAAATTTTCGCACAGTGCGGGAAAATTGAAAACGCTCAAAAAGTCGCAAAACGATCAAAAATCATTTTTTTTTTATTTTTTTCCAATCCAAAATTTTCATTGCACTGTGCAGTTCCCAAATATTTCGGCACCGTGCAAACTCCAAAAAAATTTGCACTGTGCGGAGTTCAAAAATTTTCGCACATTGCAAGAAAATTGAAAACGCTCAAAATGTCGCAAAACAATCAAAAATCCAGTTTTTATTCTTTCAATCCAAAATTTTCATTGCACTGTGCAGTTCCTAAACCTATCGGCACCGTGCATTCTTCGAAAAATTTTGCACTGTGCGAAAATTTTTGAAAAAATTGAAAACGCTCAAAAAATCGCAAACCAGTCAAAAATCCAGTTTTTAAATTTTTTCCCATCAAAAATTTTCATTGCACTGTGCAGTTCCTAAATCTTTCCGCACAGTGCAATCTTCAAAAAATTTCGCACCGTGCAAAAAAACTTCCCTCCAATTTTTTCCCCAAAAAACCCTCAAAAGAGCATTGTCAATCAACTGCAAGCCCTATCGATCAATTTTGCGGCCAATCCCTCGCCAAGAACCCTCTCAAATGGCCCGGGTTAATCCAAAAATCCCCCCTCATTAGCACCTTCATTCATATCCAAAAAAATAAAAAAAATATCGGCCAAAAAACGAAAGAATACAGCAAAGAACCTTCGGAAGGCCCATTAGTGTTGGCCATTCAACCGAAATAAAGTCATTATGAGATAAAGCCCGCAGGGCAAACGCTGGATTTTACGGATATTCACGGAAGAATAGAGTCGTAATGGGCTGCATAATGGATCCCAAGGACCAACAAAGCATTTAGATGGCAAATTAAAATGAACAACCCAGGAATATTACGGTAGTTTATATTACACTAGACATCAAGTTGAAAAGTCGCAAAGAATCAAAGAAAACGGAAGCAAACAGCTCCCAAATTTTTTTTAAAGCATAGTAAACAATAAAATTCGACTGTAAACACCTCATGAGGTCGCTTTCTACCTCAATTATTCACCTTGCAGAACAAAAAAAAAATAAAGGGAACAGTTGACACACAACTCAATTTGGGTCAAGTGTCACTTTATAGAAGCTTTTCTCGCAAAACCAGAAAATCCTGTTGAAAACAACAAGATCCGCTTGTTTATCTGCCCTGATAAACGATTATCGGTTCACAAAAAATGTCTGCGATGTCAAAGGATGATCTGGGTAAGAAATTTTATCAGTAGCGCCATGTATAATATAAATTCATGTCCATCATCGAGATTTTTAGGTGATGAAGAAGGTTGGAAGCCAATAATCAACACAAGAAAGCGCCGGGCTTGCTCAGCGAATGGAAATGGCGAATGGTAAGAGAGTTTTGGCTTAAATTTTATATTGTTTTAGTCTAACATCTCCTGGCTCCTCTAGACCAAAACCAGAAGGTCGATTCGCCCATACAGTGCTGTCGTTGGAAATGTTGGGAGAGTATGTTGATTTTTGTTTTATATTTTTTTGGTTTAGTGGTGAAATATCGGCGTACCATGAGGAATCTTATCCATCGACCAGCTCGAACGTAGAATATCGAGAACGTTATGTTACGACGCATAAGGACGATTATGACCCTGTGATGCCAAATGTGATAGCAGAAGAGGTCATTGTAGCTGATGAGTACATCGATGTCGAGTCTGCAGCGTAAGTTTTCGCGCTATTTAATTTTGGACATCTAAATTAATGTTTTTGATTTTGGACTTCGAAAATAGAAGTTTTGTTGATGGTATTGCTTACTAATAGTAAGATTATGAATTGTCCTTGGTAGTTATAGCACAATTTATTTCGTTTGAGTTTGTTTTAGCTGTCTGGTCTCGATTTTCCCTTGTAGCCTCATGTGTAATATAAAATTTGCTCATAATTTTTTTCCAGGAAGTCTCCTGAGCCCAAAGATGATAGGGCGCATTTGGAAGCCCCTATACGACGAATTGTAACATTAAATAGGCCGCGCGAATTGCAACGGCAACAGTTATACAACTTAAATCAACTTAATCTTGACCTCAAGGCCGAAAATCAACGACTCCGAGATTCGTAAGTTAATTTTGGTCTTACTATTGTTGGATTTTAGGAACGCACGGCTGAAGCTAGCTTTGAACGATCGAGGCCTTAAGATTAAGAACATCTTGGCGGAGAATGCGAAGTATTGCGTGATGTTCAAGCTGTTAGAAAAAGAATTTGGTGTCGACGCTGTCAAAGACGTTGTAGGCGATCGATTATAGTGTTTACAATAAACTCAGGCTTTCTATTTTCTATTGAACGTTTATTCCGGGGTTAAACTCCCTTGCATATCAGTTATTTGACAATTTTTATATTATACTTGACGTTTAGGTGCGGATTTTCCAAAAACATGGTCGAAAGCGATAAGAATGGTGAGTATTTAAATGACTATTGTGAATTCTGTATTTAGAACCCTCTGTGCGCGGTGAGAACTCTTCCTATGTGAAGCTGATATCCAGCGATGGCCATGAATTCATAGTCCGCAGAGATCTGGTGGTCACATCCGGCACAATCAAGGCCATGCTGAGTGGCCCCGGGCAATTCACGGAGAACGAGAGCAATGAAGTCAATTTTAGGGAAATTCCGTAAGTTTTGGAGATGTTTTGGGTTGATTTTTGGCTAAAGTAATATAATTTTTGATGAAAAAATTGATTTTTTTTTAATTTTTAGATCCCATGTCCTAAGAAAGGTCTGCCATTACTTTGCATACAAGGTCCGGTTCACAAACAGTGCCACGGAGATCCCGGAATTCTCAATTACTCCAGATGTTGCACTTGAACTTTTGATGGCCGCCAATTTCCTTGACTGCTAAGCAGCTAATTTTTTCTTGTCATGTAGCAAAATTTGAACGATAAAGGTATTAATGGGTCAATTTTGCGGACTATAGGAATTTTTTTTGTTCGGAAATTTGAATTTTTTTCAAAAATTCGAAGCGTATTTTAGAAGTCAAAAATGGTTTCAGGATAAGTAGACATGGAAAATTAGGAGTGATTAGGGCATTAGAAACTATGAGAAGCTAGCAATTGATTGTTTTGGGTGGTTTTGCAGGCCTTGGAATATTATCCATGGTGATTTTTTTGACAAGGAAAATACTTCTCTGGGGTATGGAGTTACAGGTCGAGACATATATCAAAAAAAATCGCAAAATTTTACTGATTCAGAATATATAAAAATTAGCTGCCCAATTTTGGGTTGTAAAGGCGAAAAACCCCTCGCAACTTTCCTCGCAACACCACGCAAATGCCTCTTTTTGACCAAGTTTTTACCAATTCAAAAGTTTTGTTTGGAGCTAAGTGTGTTAATCAAATTTGATATTAAAAGGCTTGTCAAGATGTCAGAGTTTATTTTAGCTCAAAACAAAGCTTCTGAATTGGTAAAAACTTGGTCAAAAAGAGGCATTTGCGTGGTGTTGCAAGAAAAGTTCTGAGGGGTTTTTCACCCTTAAAACCCAAAATTGGGCAGCTAATTTTTACATATTCTGAAACAGAAAAAATTGCGAGTTTTTTGATATATGTCTCGACCTGTAACTCCATACCCCATAGAGGTACTTTCCTTGTCAAAAAATCATCATGGATAATATCCCAAGGCCTCCGAAACCAGCCTAAACAGTCAATTGCTAGCTAATCGTTGTTTCTAAGGCTCTAATTACTCTTAATTTTCCATTTCCACTTATCTCGAAACCATTTTTGACTTCTAAAATACGATTTGAATTTTTGATGTACTATAGACATACTTTCCTTGCTAAAAGTTTTCTAGAACGACGTGGTGTAGTCTAATAGGTATTTTTAGACTCGTTTGGCCTTAGAACTGCTAGAACTCTGTTGCATTCATTCCTAGAGGCCATTACCATCATCTGATTATATTATCCATGGCAAAATTTGATGATTTTTAAAAGTTTTTGGTATTCAAAAGCTTCAAGATACCTCAAAAAGGCCCATTCGGCCGCTTAGATTCAATTTCAATCAAAACCCCATCGATCCAACTCTAAAATACGACCAAAAATCGAAAGATTTCCCAAAAAATTGAGATTTATTTACCAAAAAAATGAATTAAAATCGAATAAATAGCCGACAAAACCAAATGATTTGAACGTTATGTAGTTGGAAAAGCATTACCGAGAATTTTGTTTACGAAAAAATTACCGAAAAACAATCAAATTTAATAACCAGTGTCCTGTAGATACGAAGCCAGCTTCTCGACGGCGACACGAGTGGCGGATCCGGCGCCGGTCTCGCCCTCGAACACGGCCAAAATGACGGCAGTGTTGGACTTGACGGCGCAGAAGCCTTGGCTTCCCTTCTTCCCGAAAATCAGGTTCTCTTCCACTCGGGGTACCACGTAATGAAGGCCTTCCAGGTCGGAGCCGGTCTGCGGAACGGCGTCGATGTTCTTGAAGCTACCAACTAGCGACTTGAGCTCGGCATCTGTGGCCTGGAAATGTCGGTTTTAAGGTGGTTAGCGGGGATTCGGAGATATTTATATTATCCATGAGACCTCTAATGGCATGGTTAATATTTTAGGTCATATTAGGTCGGGAAGTGCCTCGAATGCAATGAAATTGGGCCTAAATATACCTTAGGGTATCTAGTCTTTCCACGCAAAATTATTACTTCCAGACAATTGATTATCTATGGTTTGCAAGCCTTTATATTATCCATGAGACCTCTAATGGCATGGTTAATATTTTAGGCCATATTAATGCGGAAGATGTCTGTATGACAATAAAATTGGTCCTAGACATGCCTTAGGGCATCTAGTTTTTCCAAGTACAATTATTACTTCCACACAATTGATTATCTACGATTTGCAAGCCTTTATATTATCCATGAGACCTCTTATGGCATGGGTAATGTTTTAGGCCATAATTATTCGGAAAGTGCCTCAATGAGAATAAAATTGGTCCTATACATGCCTTAGGGCATCTAGTTTTTCCAAACAAAATTATTACTTCCACACAATTGATTATCTACGTTTTGCAAGCCTTTATATTATCCATGAGACCTATAATGGTATGGTGAATATCTTAAGCCATAGAAGGTTGGGCACGCTGTATATTGCCTTCTAATTTCCTATCAAGGTGCATTAGGGAATCTAGTTTGAATACTCTGCCTTTCTAGCCCAAAAAATTTAACATCTACTTATTACGACCACTTATATTACTCATGAGACATCTAATGTCATCATGAATATTTTGGATCACAGAACAGTCAAAGATGACCGTATCAACATAAACTTAGAAAGAAAAGTGCCATAAGAGATCTAGAGTAGAGCAGCTAAACTTCTGTTCCACAGGAAGCTTATTAACTAAGTTTTTAAGCACTTATATTATCCGTGGAACACCTAATGTCACGGTGAATGTTTCATGCTGATTCGGTTTTAAAAAATTGTTTTAGCGACATTATTTCAAACAAGTAGGACACATGATGTTCCTCTTCGTATTTTACAAGTAAAGCTTCAAAAAATTTCTTGTTGGGACCCATACTTTTTGATAAAATCAAATTTTTGGATCAAGTCTCAAGTGTAATATAGAAAAGTGCTCTGAACTCCAAAAAATTAACTGAAAACGGTGTTTCTTTTTTTTAGAAAAGTCTTAAATGGTGTGGTCGTATTTTACTCTCAAAATTTTTCATAATTTTCGTGGCAGGACCCGATTTTTTTATAAAACAAAATTCTTGGGTCTGATCTCAAGTGTAATATAAAAAAGTGCTCTAAACTTGCAACAACTTTCAAAACTGCGCCACTCACTTTGAAATCGCTGCTTCTGGCCCACACTGAGCCATCCTCGAGGCCGACAATCGCGGCTTTCTTGATGCCATCCGAGCTCTCCAACAAGTTGTTCACGTACGCATCCCAGCCGGACATTTTTCGCTTCCTAAGCAACAAAAAAGTAAAGGGAAAGAATTTTCGGACGAATCGCGAGAGAGGAGAGAGAAAGTCCGATGATTCACTGTGGAAATCATCGTTTTTACACTGCGAGAAATTTTCAGGCCCAATTTTTTTTCGATTTTTGGGGTATGGCCCCGAGAATTACAAAAAAATGATATCGAAAAGGGAATTTCGGAACATTGCGATGATGAATAATGGAAAAGGAAAGAGTCATAAGGCCTACTGATCCGGCGGACATTGAAATTTTGAGGGAAATTTGATCAAAAATGACGAAAAAAGTCAAAAAATCTCAAAAAATAAAAGTTCACAGAATTTGATAAAACTTGGCAAAAATTTTGACTAGAATTTTGTAAGACAGATTCTAGATTTTTAGCTCCAAATTTGCTCAAATTTTCGAGATTTTTAACTTGAAAATTAAAAAAATTCCAATTTTTTTTGCGATTTTAGCAATAAAAATTTGGCATTCTGTTTGAAATAGTGAGTAAAAATTGTCCACAAAAAATCAATTTTTTCCACAGAAAATCCACAAAGTTATCGGCAAAAAACGATTTTTTCTCGTTTTCTCTGACCGTCCCTCCTCATTTTTCATAGTCTCTCACGCTTTTAGGTTCCTCGCAAAATTAAAATTAGACCCTATGGGAAAATAGTAAAAGCTCTTGATGGTTATGGGAGAAAATTTGAGGGGGTGGGAGCGATCATGACCAATTTATAAAAGAAGCTTCCGGCGATAAGAAAAGTGTAAACTTTTGGAAAAATTTCGTATGACTCATGCTTTTCGGTAGACGAGAGCCATAAAAAATTAGTCAGACAGTCGGCGAATGACCGGAAAAAATCAAAAAAAAAAAAAAAAAAAAAAAAAATGAAAAAAAAATTCAAAAAATTTTTTTTTTGATGCCGGCCCCAAAAATTTTTGACCGAATTTCACTCTAAATAGCCCATTTATCGACTAGAAAAAATTTTAGTTTCAATTTTTCACCAGGTCCCAAGATATTTCAAATTTTTCCGAGAGAGTATGAAAAATGAGGAGACGGTCAGAGAAGACAGAGAAAAAAACGTTTTTTGCCTGTATCTTTGTGGATTTTGCGCGGAAAAAATTGATTTTTTGTGGAAATATTTTACTCCCTACTTCGACCAGAATGCCAATTTTTGATTCCGAAATTTGCAAAAAAAATTTTGGAATTTTTAAAATTTTTAGCCAAAAAATCTCGAAAATTTGGGCAAATAGCGAGCGCAAGATTTCAGATATGTCTTAAAAAAGTTTAATCAAAATTTTTGTCAAGTTTCATCAAAATTGAAAACAATTTTTTTGAAAAAAAAAATAAAACAATTTTTTCGACGTTCCGCATAAATTATCATGACAAAACGTTCAATATCGAGACCAAAAAAACATTAAAGACAGTCAAAAACGTATGGGAACGATAAACGGACCGTTTCGAAGCGATAACATGTGTGAAAAAACTCTTTCGAAGAGTTGCGTGGTCAGGTGATAAGGGAAAAATTGATGGTAAAAGTCAACAAAAATTTCAAATTACTGATCAGGAAGTACTACGTTTTTTCAAAATGCGCAGACTTTTTTTTGCGACGCCGCACTGCAAAAACCTCGATTTTTGAACTGCACCGTGCAAAAAACCCGATTTTTGGACCGCACAGTGCATTTGACATTTCGCACTGTGCAACCAAAATATCGCGCGACAAAATCCATTTTCAACTGATTGCACTGTGTAAAAAACCCGATTTTTGGACTGCACCGTGCAAAACCCCCATTTCGCACCGTTCATTTGACAAACAAATTTTGCACTGTGCAACCAAAATATCGCGCGACAAAATCCATTTTCAACTGATTGCACTGTGCAAAAAACCCCGATTTTGCACCGTGCATTTGACATTTTGCACTGTGCAACCAAAATATCGCGCGACAAAAGCCATTTTCAACTGATTGCACTGTGCAAAAACCTCCACTTTTGGACCGCACCGTGCAAAAAACCCCGTTTTGCATTTTGCACCTCACATTTCGCACCGTGCAACCAAAACATCGCGCGAAAAAATTCGTCTTCATGGGAGTCGCTGCGACATTTCTGAAGCGATTTCGCGCGATGAGTGAGAGTGCACAGTGCGAAATGTTGGAAAAGCCCGCACTGTGCGAGAAAACAGATAAAATGCACTGTGCAAAACGTTAGGAAAGTCCGCACAGTGCAAAAAAAAAGCAAAATGCACTGTGCACTCTGTTCAAAAAGACCGCACTGTGCAAAAAAGAGAAAATGCACAGTGCGCCACGGCAAAAAATCTACGCACTTTCGGAATAGAGTGGTATAGTAGAATATTTTTCGTTAAATATTTTTCAAAAAAAATTTTTTTTTTTTTTAATTTTTCAACCAAAAAATCAAAAAAAAATATTTCTTTTTTGTCGTCAAACCCGAAAATTCGCTTGTCCTCGAGGCAAATGTCAAATAAACAAACCCCCAAAAACGGAAGGAAACTCGAGGCCAATAGCTCCCATGCAAATAAAAAATTCAGGACCATCAATTTTATTAGACCACTCCATTCATTTTGCCGCCCAATGCTCAAAATTTGACTCTCGGATTTTGATAAAACTTGGTGAAAATTTAGAATAGGGTTTTCTGAGAGAGAGAGCTCCGAGACTTCTAGCTTATAATTTGCCCAAATTTTCGAGATTTTTAGATTAAAAATTAAAAAAATTAAAAAATTTTTTTGCGATTTTCGGAATAAAAAATTGGCACTCTGTTCGAAAAGGGGAGTTTAAAATTTCTACAAAAAATCAATTTTTTCCACATAAAATCCACAAAGTTATCGGGGAAAAACGATTTTTTTCGTTTTCTCTCACTGTCTCTCCTCATTTGGCATAGTCTCTCCGTCCGCAAAGAAAAAAAAACTTTTTTTGCCTATATCTTTGCAGATTTGGCAGGGAAAAAATTGATTTATTGTTCAAATTTTATACTCTTCATTTCGAACAGAATGCCAATTTTTCGTTGCGAAACTCGCCAAAAATTTTTAATTTTCAGAATTTTCCAAGCTAAAAATCTCGGTGATTTCTGCATAACGCGAGCTGAAAATTTCAGATATCTCTTAAAAAATATTAATTTAAATTTGTGCCAAGTTTCATCAAAATCCCACAACTTTTTTGAAACCCAAAATTTCATTTCAAAAATTAAAATTTCGAAATCCCGCCCTCAGGCAGAAACATCGGATCAGCGCCGAAAATGCTACACTCTGTTCGAAGTGTGTCGAGGGATTTTCGCCGTCGCATTTGGAGCGTGAATATTCGCGAAAATGCGACGAAAAAACGAGGAGGGAAAGTCAATCATGATGAAAATAAGAGACGGGACAAGGTGAAGGGCGCAAAAGAGTACGCACCAAAATATTCTCCATCCGTTCTTCGGGTCCGTCTGATCCCCCCTTCCCGAAGGGTTTTTTCGCCCCCCTTCCGCGGCGGGGACGACGATTTTTTCGCCAAGAAAAAGCCCCTTGGAAAAGTGCGCAGGTGGCTGAACGAAAATATAAGGTTAATGTGGGGTTTGCGGAGGAAAAGGGATAAAAGCAAATGTCCTTGTTGAACTGCGTGATCTCCGGAATGTATAACATAAAAGATCATAGCCGTATAAGGACAGTTTTCAGAGGAAATGGAGTTTTGTCAGCCATGAGGTGGCATGGATAATATCGGAGGTCATAAGTAGTTGAAAACTCGACCTGTGGCCATGAAATTTGTCAACGGTGTAGCTAATAGTATGTAATTTCTTACAGAAAAGTCTGAGCATCAAGAAAACAAGTGAATCTGGAGTCTTGAGTAGTTTTGTTATCCGCGAGATATCAAGTACCTTGAATAATATCAGAGGTCATAACTAGATGAAAACTCGACCTTTGGGCATGACATTTGTCAACAGTGTAGCTAATAGTATTTAATTTCTTACAGCAAAGTTTGAACATCAAGGAAAAACGTGAATATGAAGTTTGAGTAGTTTTGTTATCCATGAGACATCAAGTACCATGGATAATATAGGAGGTCATAAGTAGTTGACAACTCGACCTGTGGCCTTGACATTTGTCAACGGTGTAGCTAATAGTATGTAATTTCTTACAGTCAAGTCTGAGCATCAAGGAAAAACGTGAATTTGAAGCTTTGAGTAGTTTTGCTACCCATGAGACATCAAGCGCCATGGATAATGTCAGAGGTCATAACTAGGTGAAAACCCGGCCTATGGCCATGAAACTCGTCCACAGTGTAGCCAATGGTCGGTGATTTGTTTTCGTAAAGTCTGAGCATCAAGGAGAAACGCGAATTTGAAGTTTTGAGTAGTTTTGTTATCCATGAGACATCAAGCGCCATGGATAATATCAGAGGTCATAACTGGTTCAAATCTGTATGTTTCGTCATGAAAATTTCTAGAGATACAGCCAAAGGCATTCAATATGATCTAGAGCATCAACAGTATTCGTAATACCTATCAATTTTTAGTTAGCTAAGCTTTTTGTTATCTATGAGACATCAAGTGTCATGGGTAATATCGAGAGCCTTATCTTGGTGAGAACCAACGACACAGCTGTGAAATTTGTCATAGATGTAGCTGAGGAACCTAAGCCGACACTCAGAAAATAACAATTGATAATATTGAAAACTTTTTTCACCAGAGGGCGTTAAAAAGACTCCGCTTTTTTCAATGTCATCCATGATATTTTTTTCGATTTTATGGCTGAAAAGCCATGTCAAAAGCAAAACAATTACGACTGAGGGCCTTAACAGGTAGCTGCTATTCAATTTCCGCAATTATTGCCAGTTATTTCCCTCTATGTCACAATATAAATCACGAAAAACAAGAAACCCCGGAACTGTCCAAACAGATCTACCAACATAATCGTTGATCCTTTTATTCTTTTGTCAGCGTCTAGAAATAAAAAGGCGCTGAGCCAACATCAGTTTCGATCTCGCTTCCCGATTCAAAAAATCTCTTCGAACAAAATGAACCCGGCTCTTAAAGAGAGTTGCGCAACCCCCGTCCGAAACCCCTTTTGACTTGTTTTTTCGGTCTAAACAGTAAGTAGACTGTTTTTGGAATCAACAACATGATTATCCATAAATTACGGGGAGGGAATCAATAGAAAATTATAGAGATTTGAATGTAAAATGATCAGAAATTGTATGGGGAAATGTTGGAGAACAGGTGGACTTTAAATGGCTATTAGTAAAAGGATGGTAACAGTGGAAACTTACAACTTCTATTACTAACAAAACACGCCTCAGTCTACGTTGTCGTGAAATTTTACGAGTGGATCTTCAGTTTCAACCAAGTTATGAGCTCCGACATTATTCATGATACTTGATGTCTCATGGTTGACAAAACCGTTCTAAATGTAGCTCTTGGCGGTAATACTGTAACTTAGACGCTAACCGTATAAAAGATCATGACCTGATCCACATATTTACTGAATTTCAAGCTTCAATCACCAATAATCGCCGAGAAAATCACAAAATATTGTCTATGACACACTTGATGTCTCATAGATAGCAAAAGTGCCTCACAATTGTTAGAAATGATGATTTCTTCAGGAGTATGATATTACAAAATCTCATATATACAATTGGCTATATATCTTCCAAATTTGATGTTCGTATCACCAGCTTCGACAAAGTTATGACCTCCGATATTATCCATGAGATCTGATGACCCGTAAATTAGAAAAAAGCCGAAAACTAAGTCTAACCGCCAAATTATCAATCAGCATTAGCCATACTAAGAAACAACATGCTCTTACCTACAAGTACACCAAATTCTACCATTATATCACAATTTTCCACCAAGCTATGACCCTCGATATTATCCATGCCACTTATGGCTCATGAAGATAAAATCCCCAAAACAACTCCGTCCATAAGCAGTAATCAAAGTGGAATCAGCATTAGTTAGAGCCGTAAACTCAAATTACACCATCCACTTGCCCATAAACCCCTCCTTATTTACGATGGGCACTTTTTTTGGGGGAAAATATAGGGAGGGCGCGCCAGATGGCCGCCGGGAAAGCTGGACAGTCCGAAAATCGGGCGCATCAAAATCAGCTTTTGGATGAATCAATGCATAAAATATGGCAAAAAAATGGGGAAAAGGCAAATTTTTTGATTTTTGAATTTTTGAAATTTTGAAAAAAAAATTTTTTTTTGCGATTTTTGACCAAAAAATTTTTTTTCATAAATTTCGAAATTTCTAGGCCAAAAAATAAACAAATCTCAAATTAAAAAAAACTTTCAACTGTTTATAAAGTCTTTTCCTTTCCCGGACCCAAAAAATGACTCATTTGCCCTTAGGGCTTCTGAATCGCTCCTCCCAAAAAAATGCCTGCCAAATTTCGTAACCCCCCTAAAATGATGTTTTTTCTCCATTTTTTGGGCCAGAAATAGAGAAGGAATGGGACAGAAATGACGCTCTGACTCAGCGTTCCACTGGCCGTTCCGATAAAAAAAGGAGAAGACGAATTTCTGTGTATCTATTTCTTTTTGCGCTCCTCTTTTTTTGGCGGTTTGAGTGATTGGAGAAAAATTGGAGGGGAAAAGGAAACGATGAGTCAACAAAGTTGGGGAGAAATGTAAAATATAACGCAACCTCAGCACAGTGAACTGCTGTGTATAACGGATAACTTCTGAGATGTCAAGAGCCGTTTAGCGAACTTCTGTCGTCATAGACATCGCTGTAGCCCGAGAAATGAGTCCCAAGGCAAACTTGGACAAACTTTTTGCGAGTTTTCTTTAAAAAATGAGATTATTGCCCTTAGGGTAATTTGAAAAATTGGGCAGAAGTTGATCTTGCATCTTGATGAAATTTGGGACAAATTTAGATTAGAATTTCTTGAGGCATATGCGAGATTTTTAGCTCGCGATTTGCAGAAATCATCGAGATTTTTAGGTCGAAAAATTTCGAAAATTCAAATTTTTTGGCGAATTTTGGAATGAAAAATTGCCATTCTGTTTGAAGTGGGGAGTATAATATTTCCACAAAAAAAAATTAATTCTTTCCCTGCAAAATTTGCAAAGGTACGGCCGAAAAACGCTTTTTCTCATTTTCTCTGACCGTCTCTCCTCATTTCCCACAGTCTCTCGTCTGCAAAATCGTTGAAAATCGAAAATCTAGATGGAACCGAAAACAGGCAGATGAATAAAAAAATTCAGGTACATATTTTCCTTTCAACGGTCTTGCAGACGAGAGACTATGGTAAATAAGGAGAGACGGTCAGAGAAAAAAGTTTTTTGGCCATACCTCTGCAAATTTTGCAGAGAAAAAATTAATTTTTTGTGGAAGCATTATACTCCCCACTTCAAACAGAATGGCAATTTTTCATTCCAAAACTCGCCAAAAAAATTTGAATTTTCAAATTTTTTCGACCTAAAAATCTCGATGATTTCTGCAAATCGTGAGCTAAAAATCTCTCACATGCCTTAGGAAATTCTAATCTAAATTTGTCCCAAATTTCATCCCGATCCAAGATCAACTTCTGCCCAATTTTTCAAATTACCCTAAGGGCAATAAGCCACTTTTTTCGACGAAACTCCCCAAAAGTTTGCCCGAATTCGGCGTGGGACTCATTTCTCGGGCTCTTTTCATTTCCGTTGCGCATTAAAAATTCGCTGTCTTTTTCAAACTTTTTATTAGTACTCGTTTTCTTTTTGAGGTTGAGGAATGTCAAAACAATGGGTGAAAATGACGAACAAACGGTAAAATACGCGTATAAATTGAGCGAAAAATGATACAATGTCAATGGATATTTGATAGAATATACAGTAAGGTTAGTAAAAATTGAATTTTTTGCTATGAAATTGAAAAAAAAGTTGAAAAATAGAAAAAATAGGCAAGAAAAGTGAGAAAAATGGCCAAAACAAGGTAAATTTGAGCTATTTACGGGGAAAAATGTAAGAACATGATAGGAAAAAGTTATGAAAAGACTAATTAAAGGTTAGGCAGTTCTTGGAGAACTATCAGTCTGTCGGGAAAATAACGGCGGATCGTCGCCCTTCGGAATCGCCCATCATCGCTTTGCGACTGCAAGCTGCGGCTTGGGATTTGGTGCGCGACAGCGGCGAGCCGAGACATTTTGATGCGACGATCCGCCGTTATTTTTCCGACAGACTGATAAAATACGGCAAGATTTTGCGATTTTTTGCGAGAAAATTGAAGAAAAATGAGAAAAATAGCTAAAATAATGTAAAAATTGACTAAAAAAGGTAAAAGAATATCTAAAAAGACCTGAAACATCAAAAACAAGGTCCCAAATTACTTGAAAATTCTAAAATACGACCTTATTTTTCGTTATTTTCCATTAAAATCACTAAATTTTGCAATTTTAAACCAAAAAATCAAAAATCTTCGGAATTTCCCTAAATTTCGATTAAAAAATCGCAAAAAAATCCAGATTAAGACTGATAAATGACAGCGCAACCCATTTCAATCAGAATTCGATGCATTTTAGACAAAAATTTTCAAAATTTAGAACTTGTTCTCCTTGCCCAACAGCCGCTTCAGCTCGTCGCTCATGTAGAACGGCTTCTCAGGACTGCCATCGTTGGCTTCGCTGTCCTCCACTGCAACCGAATTTCATTATTTCTCCGAATTACTTTGGATTTCAACATTGCTTTAGGTGTTTTGAAATATTTTAGGTGATTTAGCCCAAAAAATGGGCGGGGCTTAAAATTTCCGCATACCCTGAGGGGGTTTCGAAATTTTATGGGTAATTTTATGATGAGTTATTCGACATACGGACTAAAAATTCCAAAAATTTCAAAAAACCCGGTCATTTTAAAAAAATCCAAAAAATCCGTCATCCTATTCAAAAGATCATGAAAAAATCAAAATCGCGAAATGAAAATATTTTTTGAAATCCTCTTTTGTCTTGCAAAAAATAATTCTGAAACCCAATTCTCTGATTTTTTTGATATTACACATGTCAGCATGACGCATTTTCTAGAAATCGGGATAAAACTCGGTTTAAAAATTCTAAAATTAAAGAAAGTGTAATCCGTCTCGTATTTTAAACTCCAAACGCATCAATTTTCCAAAAAAAAATTCAAAAAAATCCGTCATGATGACACATTTTATTCTGTCATCATGACATATTAAACATCCCCCAAATGTCGTATTTTTCCTCAAAATTCAAAGCAAAAATATCTGAACAACTTACAGAAGCACAGGAAAGTTGTGTCCACACCCATATCATAGACCTGGAAGAAGAGGTCGCAAATGAAATACGTCCCGATAATCACGATTATGACCGGCACAAAGTAGTAATGCAGCTTGACCTGAGGCAGGTCGTCGATGCGGATTTGACCCGTAAAGTAGTAAAATGCGAGAGCGCCTGAAAAAAGAAGGAGAATAAAAAAAATCCGAGGAAAAATTATATTACTTTAGGTGATTTTGATAAAAAAAATCGTTTAAAAAATAAAATTTTTGATTTCAATATAAACTATATAGTCCGACTACTCTATTTACAGCAAAGGAAACCCAAATCCCAGGCTTTTTTGACGTATTTTACAAAAAAATCCCAAAAAACTCCCAAATTTTGTTCAAAAAAACCGAAAAAATGTATTTAAAAATACGAGAAACGCGCGAACTTGACTACCACAACATATCACAAGCCACAAGATTCTTAAAAAACTAAAAATCAACGCATTTGCTTAGTTTTTCAGCGGCTTATATTCTACTTGACACTAAAAGTGAAGCTTAGATTTAAACCGCCATAAGTCGCCTTAGGGCATAAAATTGTGAACTTCAAATCTGTCACCTAACACTTGAAGCCTTTAACTATGCCATAATAAAAAGAAAACCCAATTGCTAAATCCATAAACCACCAAAAACATCGATTTAATATTGCACTTGCCACCACAAACCGGACCCAAACTTCGAACGCCCATAAAACCCCCTAAGGGCAAATTTTTAAAACCGCCCTAATACTAGTCCAATCAGCAATCCTTAGTTTATATTTTCATATAAAAATCGCTTGACACCTTCCGCCATAACATATCAAAAACTCAAAAATTATCTTACCCATTCCACACGTAATGAGAGCTTTTCCAATGAACAATAAGAAGGCTGTGACTCGATTCAAAACAACAACTCTGACCAAGTTTCTCGTCAACAGAGTAAATGAGTCTCTGGCGGCGGTGCAGAAGCCCTTTCCGTATATGGCTGTCATAATATAAGCGTTTTTAGAAAGGAACCGAAGGATCTTCTCGAGGCACCAAAACAGACAAGTAAGGGCTCTGAAATCGAAAATAAATATTCGTACTGGACGTAAAATTGATTATAACTTCTAAAAAACTCATTTTCGATCCAAAATTCCCAAAAAATTTGAATTTCCCGCCAAATTTTAAAATCTTGGCATTCTGTTTTATGAAAAAAAAAGTTCTCAAAAATGGTGAAAATACTCAAATACAGCACTAAAAGTATATTACAACCGTTTCTAGACAACTTCCTGACCATCTACAGCTTTCCCGAGCCCTAGAACAGAAGGCCAAATTTGGCGGGAAATTCAAATTTTTCGAAAAATTAAGAGTCAAAAATCAAGGGAAATCCTAAATCACGCTTCAGAAAGACTCTACATCCCTTTTTCTAACAAAACTAACCCCATTTTCAACCCCAATTCAATAAAATCATCTTCCTTCACCTACTACAATATAAAAACCTCTCCAAAACTCACCGATAAATCGCTTTTCCCACCGGATTTTCAACATTTTTCAGTTTGTTATAGACAAAATCCAAAATCACTTGAAGCATTTTGACAAAACTCAAGAGCATCGATCCCAACGCCAGGGTTCCCATATGGAATCTGATGGCCCTTCCGGCCGACCTCAGGACCGGGAACGATGGGACATCTTTGGGTTTGCGGAACGCAAAGTAATATGAGGCAAATGCGCCGGCGATGGTCATGTCCGATAGGGCGGAGATGAAGCACGTCATCCAGAACAAGCCGAACAAATTGTATGCCTGGAGGGCGGCAATTTGGTCCTCGGGCTTGGTGAGGTTCAAAAAGCGGCAGTTCGCGAGCTGAAAATCAAAAATTTGAGGCATTTAGAAACTCATATTTTTCAATCCAGGCAGTTTTCACAAAACAATTATGCAAAAAAATCAAAAATTATATTATCCATGACCATCTGAGGTACTCAGAAAAAACCGAAATTTTCAACAACTTCCAGTCATCAAAAAATTATAATCAATATATGAAAATGAAGGTAATGAATTGCAGATTCAGCATGAATTTTCAAAAGTTTTACAATATTGCCCTAAGGGCATTTTCCGGGACTTCTAAAAAAATAATCAATTTGATGACCTAAAGTAACATAATTTGCTCAAAACCTTCTAAAAATAAATTAAAATAGGTCAAAAAATCATCGTAATGCCTTCTGTATGACATTTAGTACCTTCGCATTCATACATGACCGCATCTTGAACAAAAAAAATTTCAAAAATTCAAAAAAAAGAACTGCACAGTGCAAAATTTCAAGCTCAAAAAATCTCAAAATCCTACCGTTCCAAGAGTCTGACAATTGCACGACTGATTGTTCATGGGATCCTCGGGCCAATCATAGTTCTGATAAACGCAGTTTTCCGTTCCAATTGAGGCCAACCAAATCGCAACGGATCCCCACAGTGCAAAGACCGCAATATGAACGGCGAATGGGAAAATTGGGAAAAACAAAGTCGACAGCATACTTCCTAGGGCTCTGAAAGCATATTTCATCAATAAAAATCCAAAAAATCGACAAAAATTATATGCTCCATAAAAACTTTGACCTTATTTTTGGCCAAAACTGATATTCACCTACTTGCTGCTCTCTCCAATCAACGCCACCGCCAACGACACACGAGTTCGGATGAAAAGAACACCCAGGAAGATGATTACCAGCAAAACTCCGAGAATTATCGCTAAAATTTATACCCTTATACCTACTACAATATAAAAAATCAGCTCCAAATTTCGCGAAAATCCTACCAAATGTCAACCAAGTATTCGGCATCTCAAAATAGACACTGAGAATTGGTTGGAAAGAGTAGTCGTTGATTGCTCCTTGTTTTATCAGCATTTGATATTGATTGAAACAATACCAAGTTCCGCCGCCTAATCCAATGAGTAGCAGAAAGATGCTGAGCCATATCATAAAGCCACCCATGATTCGCATAATTAGAGTCCAAACGAAGCTGACGACCGCCGCAATTCCGAGGAACGAAAGGATTTGCCACCAGCTCACGCCTAGGTCAACAACAACTTTTTGCAAAACCTGACCATCGCCTGAGGCAATTGCCTTTACAACTCTGAAAATAGAAGATTCTAGTGTTTAAAAAGGCTATGGTAATTTTTCGGTAAATTTTCCACTTCAATTCCATCGAAAATTTTTATTTCCCAAAATCGCATTCTTTTGAATTTAAATTCTCTGTAACGCGAGAAATTCTCCATAACGCGGTCTAAAAATTTTACGGAAACCTTAGAGGACCTAGCTATTTATTTTCACCAAATTTGAAGAAATTCCAAGAGATTTCAAATTTTCGTTGCGAGACCAAAAATTTCAAATTAAACCCCGCATAACGCGGTTTGTTTTGCAAACCACGGTCTAAAACTTTCCCCAACGACTCAGTAAAACTTTAGCTTCATTTCCACAAAATTTCATCAAAATCCGAACAGTTTCAAATTTTCGTTGCGAGACCAAAAATTTCAAATTAAACCCCGCATAACTCGGTTTGTTTTGCAAACCACGATCTAAAACTTTCCGCAACGACTCAGTAAACCTTTAGCTTCATTTCTACAAAATTTCATCAAAATCCGAACAGTTTCAAGTTTTCGTTGCGAGACACAAAAAAAAAATGAAAAAATTGCAAATTTTTTGGATTTTTCAACGAAAAAATCAGGCAAATCAGAAAACTCTTACCCAACAGTCTCATTGATTTGACTGTCCGTCACGACTAGGCCATTCGCGTCATTTCCGAATCTGTTGAGCATGTCATTCAGGGTGCCATTTTCTTTGAAGGCGTTCGTCGCTTCCATTATGACTTCAGGGACGCATCGGCCAAGAACTGAAACGAGAAAAATTGATGCTTTAAGAGCTTTCAGGCAAGAAAAAATAAAAAAAAAATTTGAAAAAAATCTAAAAAAAAATTAAAAAAATGTAAAATACGATGCCTGGAAAAAATAGAAAATTAAATTTCACATCCCAAAATAGCCTGTCTCACATCAAAAAACAAAAATTACACCAAAAATCCTATAAATTTCCAAAAAATTACAAAATTTTGGGTCCCACCACGAAAGATTGAGACCCCTCAATTTTAATATTTTCAGCTATCCCATTCAATTTTAAACTCCCAACAGCTCCAAAAACCCAAAAATAAACCAATTTTACACCCAAAAAAGCCACTTACCAACACTGGAAGGTACCGTATACGCAGCGCATTTTCCCGTTTTTACCAACGTTTGGAGCTGATTAAAAGTTGTGATGCTATTCACATCGACTGTATAATCGCAGAAGGCGTTTTGTTGAACGGAATCCACGCTCCAAGCTCTGGCCAATGACACGTAGGACCAATATTTTGTGGGGCATCTGGAGACGCACATCTAAAACAATATAAAATTGGTAAAAAATAGTTGAATTCAAACTTGAAAAGGCAAGAAAATGTTTCCAGCATGTCCCATTTAGCTCAATACGACCTAATTTATCTGAATTTGGATAAAAAATTTTCGAAAAATTGCAAAAATTACCAAAAATTATCACGGATAATATAAAAATCGCCAAAAACCCCAAATAAAAAGTCCCTTCAATATATATAACATATTTTAAGACTCATACTACCATTTTCATCGGTGATTACACCAGTTTAGCAACTCAAATGGACTTAGAACATAATGCCAAATTTGGCGGGAATTTCAAATTTTAAATTTCCAAACAGCCCGAAAATTTTCTACATGGCCCAGAAAGCCTCGTAGATTCAATTGCCACCATTTTTGACTTAAATTAACTCCAATTTTCCCCAAAAATCCGCAAATATTATCTTATCCTACCTGCGGAGTTGGGCATCCAGAGAGCAAAGTCGTGTAGGAGACGCATTTGGTGAGATCAAAAAAGTACAAGTATGGCTTTTCACTGGTATCGAAGACACTTGGCCGCTTCTTTCCGCACGAATTTCCCCATGAATCGGTAGGATACAAAATCCGCTCCGGTTTACCGTAGTTGTAGGCTAAAATCAGGTGAAAAGGTAAATGAAAACACAAGAACATAAATCTAGCTGCTCTTTAAAATGCGCTTAGGGCCTCTAGGTTTCTAAAAATTTGATAAAAACTGCCCCAAATATATTGAAATTCAAAAAAAATCAACAAATTTTAGAGAAATTTGCCTAAAACAATATCGAAATGTCATATTCGGTCCAAAAAATCCTTTTCCAACCCATGAAATCGTCAATAAAAAGCTTTTAAAATACGGCCAAACAAAGAATAAAGCAAGTGACCTGATCCAGTAACAAAAAGCATATCATTTTGCATCCGGGAATTAACAAAAATGTGGCAAAATGCCTCCCTCTCCAACCAAAAAAAACTCCGTTTTGAAGGGCGCCTCACAATAAAGAACGAGCGCTCTTTTGAAATCGGAGTTTTTTTCACTTGGAGAGGGAGGAATTTTGCCACATTTTTGATGCTTCCCGGATGCAAAATGGTACGTCTTTTGCTACTGGATCAGGTCCGTCACTGTATGCTTTAATCTTTGTTTGTCCGTGTCTTAAAAGCTTTTATTGACAATTTCATTTGTTGGAGAAGCATTTTTTAGACCGAATATGACATTTCGTTATTGTTTTAGGCAAATTTCCCTAAATTTTCTGATTTTTTTGAATTTCAATAGATTTATGACATTGTTTATCAAATTTTTAGAAACCTAGAGGCCTGTAAATAATCTTCAAAAATTCGAAAAATTAAAAAACTCACCAATAAACGCGACGAACGCCCATCCGAAAATGTACAAAATAAAGAGCATGCAGAAGGGGACATCGGTGCAGCCTCTGCGAGTCAAAACAATCGGATTAAACGGTTTTTTGGCTGCCTTTTCGGGATTTTTACTCAGCAATTTTTCGGCCTTTTGCAGCTCGAAATGGGCCGCTCTTTGGCCCACGATCGGCTGGACTGGCGGCCTTTCCAGCGCGAAATTATGGCCCTGCGGCAGGATCGGGCCGACGCCATGAAAGCTGGGGCGGCGTGTGGTGCGGGGGACTTGGGGGAATTGGTGGGTTTGATGCGATTTGTAGGGGACTACGTCGATCTCGTTGTAGACCGGTTCGGCCGGCAGATAATACTCGGAGAGCGGTGGGGCGGTGCCTTTCTGCGCCACCGCGACGCTACGACGAACCATTTGGCTCTGTTCGCGCTTCGGCAATCCCAATTACCCGATAGGAGGAGGGTTTCTGCTCAAACTCGACACTTTTATATTGTAGTAGACATCAACTGTGCGTGCGGCCGAAAAGTCCTGGTTTCCACGACTTTTTGGACAAATTCCGACTTCCGAACGCCGAAACCGGATCCGTACGAGGCCCCGATATTCAATACCACGTCCAAATTCTCCACCTCCGAGCGGTTTTTGAGCAGAAGTTCCGCAAAAAAGCCCCACTGCAAGAAGATTGTTCAAATGGCGGATTACGTGGGAATGGCGTGAGCCAAAATTAACATAACGGAGTAAAAGACAAGGGGAATGCCTGCAGGCCATGTTCGGCAGAAATGGAAAGGGAAAAAGTGAGGGATAAAAGAGGGGTCTGGGGAGAAATTTAATTGGTAAACATCAGATGTAAGAGGCATTTTCATACCGAAAAGGGGGGTGAAAAAGTGGAAAATGTGGGTAGACGTCAGTATTATTACCCAGGGGCCATTAAAAGGCATTTTAAACAGCAAATTTTTAAAAAATCAAAAAAATTTTTAAAAAATCGAGTCGTATTTTAGGCATGAATTCTAATAAAAATTTGCAAAAAAATAGTAGAACGCCATAAGAATACAGGGTGGTTCAGCCGAAGCTTCCATCCTTATTTCAAGCATTTCTCCGCCAATAATGCACCAATTTTTATAAAATTTATATCAAATTGAAGCTGAGGTTCCCCATTTTTTGCCCACCAAATATGACAGGCCCACGTTCAAGGAGGCCCTCGTACTAACCTTTGGCATTTTCATTCCAAATTTTGGAGCCCGAAATCGGTGGAACTTAGAAAATTTTTGGAATGATTTTCAATTGAGTTTCTCGGACTTGGAAAATTTTTGGATTTCCGGCAAAGACAAAGTCGCTAAATTTGATGAAATTTTTAAAAAAGGTAAGGTTCACAGAAGTACCAAGTGCCTAACAAGCATATTTTATTCCGGCGAGGTACCAAGTCGAACGAATGAAAACGAAAGCTCTTTTCTCGGGCAATCCAGGCCTTACAACATGTTATTTATCTTCAGGGTTGATGTCGTCATCCACCTAGACAGTTTCGCCCATTTGTTCGCATTTTTTAAAATTTCGATTAACGAAGCCTGTTAACCCAGAACACAAGAGCAATGCCTTGAAGATTGATTAGGAGTATTCCGTTGACTGCCGTCAATTTTTTCAGCTACTTCTAAATGTCTTATTTAGCCAAAGACACGAATATTTTCCAAGTCCGAGAAACTCAATTGAAAATCATTCCAAAAATTTTCTAAGTTTCGCCGATTTCGGGCTCCAAAATTTGGAATGAAAATGTAAAAGGTCAGTGCGGGTGCCTCCGTGAAGTTAGACGGGCCATATTTGGTGAACAAAAAATGGGGAACCTCAGCTTCAATTTGATATAAATTTTATAAAAATTGGTGCATTATTGGCGGAGAAATACTTGAAATAAGGATGGAAGCTTCGGCTGAACCACCCTGTACTATTATTCAACCTTTAAAACGATTAAAATCAATTTGAAGTCCAAAAAATAAGATTTTTCCCAAAAAGTCATCAAAAATTTGATGGATAATATAATAAAAAACAATGTTCAAAAGTTCAATTTTGATTCTCAAAAAATACTCTGAACTTCATTTTATTGAAAATTAGCCCCAATTTTCCCGCATTCTCAAAGTCTCGACACTTTTTAGACCAAAAATCATCAAAATCGTCATGGATAATATAAAAAACTGGCCAAAAATCCTAATTCTCAGTCAAATCGAAGCGTCTAAGCTACGCACTACACATTGCTACATAGTCAAGGTCTTAATGGGCCATCTGAGCAGTATATTTCAACCATACAATACGAAATATTTCAAAAATATCAAATTTTTGCTCTAATTTCGATATAAAATGTCAATTTTGACGTATTTACCCTGAAAATTTTATATTTTCCCATCTAAACTTTGATTCGCTAAAGTCCAAGCACTAAATTGAATAGTAAACCACACAATAGTTACCCAATCCAACGGTCGCTTTCGTCAATTTAGCCTCTAAAGACCGCCTTTTCGAAATAAAAACCAAATTTGCCGCAAAAAAACTTTGAAAACAAAGGCGAAATGCGCAAATTTATCTTGGCCAGATATCCGAAGACGTTTTGGGATTGAATTTGGAATGAAAACAGTGCGAAAAAAGAGAGATTTCGCGGACAAAAGAGCTGAAAATTCCAATCGTTGGAGCTGAATGAAACAAATTATGAGTCGTCGGAGCTCGCGATTGCATTCGGAGCCAGGGGAACTTTACGAAAAGCATACAAAAAGGGAAGATCTATAATTTTTGAGGTGAAATTACAGTGACGGACCTTATCCCGTCGCAAAAAACGTACCATCTTGCATCCGGGAAGTATCAAAAGTGTGGCAAAATGCCTCACTCTCCAAGTGAAAAAAAATCGTTTTGAAAGTTTTTCACTTGCAGAGGGAAGCATTTTGCCACATTTTTGATACTTCCCGGATGCAAAACGTTACTTTTTTGGCCACTAGAGAGCCCGTATTTTACAAACTTCTAGTCCCTTTTCCCATTTTCTTCGGTTATTTTAAAGGTTTTCTAGTCACTTCCGACACTTGAAACGGAATGCCAAAAATAGGGACAATTATGATCAGGAGGAACTTTTCATTTATACTGCAGAATCCAAAGGTCTTGGTAAAGGGAATACACCACGTAAATTCACCATGAATAGCACAAAAATATCAAAAAATCTACCATCTAAATACATGTGCCATGGATAATACAAAAATTCGCAAGAAACTAATGAAGATGATTCAAATATCGTATTTTAAAAACCCTGAATCTACATTTTATACCTTACATTTCTATTTTTCTACGTTATAATCCACCGCCGGTGGCAAAAACACAATGCCAAAAATGGCGGGAAATTGAAAAATTTTAAAAACTTTAGTCTAACCAATACGTCAGCTGTTCAAAATCTCTTTTATAAAGCCTTTGCTCCCTAAATAGCCTATACAGTACTCAAAATTACCAGAAAATAGCAGTAAACACTACCAACCACTGCAATAATCACCTTGGCAGAGTGCCTGATATTAGCCCACCAAATTCCAGATTTCGATTTCTATTTCTCAACAAAACCGAAAAACAGATGTCGTAATAGTAAAGGCATCTGGTATGCCAAATCCGGGTGCAATTTGCGGGCCAATTTCACCTGGCCAAGGACTGGCCGGCACAGAACCGAACATTATTTCGAAGAGAAATTCCTTTCGCCTCAGAGAATAAGTAATAGTCATAGGGCATTATAATGGATAGAATTTGACATGGAAAAGGATTTAGAGAGCTTACAAAACTTTGAAACATCATTTTAGGTCATTTGTTACCCAAAATTTGACTTTATGCTAGATTTACCGTAATATTAATGCCTAAAGGAAACTAAACTACCCTCTAATCCATGTTCATCTAATCCTATGTTCATCTACAAGCTCTAAGCTACCTAAACATCAAAAATTTTCTCTAATTTTTCTAATTTCCCCCAAAACTTTTCAAAACGTTGCTTTCCAACGTTCCCTTCCAAACTTTGTCAAATTAGCGTTGCAAAAAGTAGTCTAACATCAAAAGCAAGAGTCAGGAGGGGAAGAGGAACGGTTCCTTTTTTCGCCTCATTTATGGGGCAATGTTCAAACAGAGAGCGCGACCACTTCAGAGTCTCCGACTCAAGGGGAATATAAGGCTAAACCAATTTGACCCGACCATAAAACGAAGATAGACTCGATTACTTTTTGATAAGAAATGGACAGCAAATATTGGAGCAGCGATTTGCAGAGATTTTTTAGCGAAACCCCGTAAAAACACTCGCAAATCGCAGAAATTATTTTTGATGACATAAAGTAATAGAAATTTTATATAAAAGCTATCTATGGCTCGGTTAGGATATAAAACTAACACTCGCAGATAACAGAAATTGTCGAATTTACCTAAAAAATCGAAATTTCTCAAGACTATGATAAAAGATTAAGAAATTTTTGGAAAGTCCCCAAACTAGCCATGGATAATATTAGAAATCCATTTTTTGTGCTAACAACCCATTTTTCTAATTCGAAAGCCAACAAATTTGACTTTCTAGGTCACCCTCGCCTCACACGACTTGTATTTACAACCCCTCCGCCGACATAATATTTGCTTATGAGTCAGAAGGATTAGCAATGACCCGAGACTTCTTTTGCAAAAATTATAGTCAAAAAAATAACTATTTCACGTTCGATGTACAGTGGGGGACCTGGTCCAGTGGCAGAATGTTTTTGTGAAAAAAAGAAGTTTTGTTTTCCGACAGTTGAGTTTGCAAAAAGTAGTTTAGTATTGCAAAAATCGAATTTCAGTGGCATTTTTAGGCTGATATGAGCAAAATGCTGAGAATTGGATGTTTTACAAGGCAAAAGATAATATTTATGGCACAGTGACGGGCCTGATTCAGTGGCAAAAAACGTACTACAGTGAGGGACCTGATCCAATGGCAAAAAACGTCTCGTTTTGCATCCCGGAAAGGACCAAACTGACTCCAAACCATTCCCTTCGTAAGCTAAAAAACTCCGCTTTGAAAAGCGCGCCCTTTCCTTCAAGGCGGGCTCTTCAAAGCGGGGTTTTTTAGCCTAGAGAAGGGAAGGGTTTGGAGACATTTTGGTCCCTTCGGGGATGCAAAATGAGACGTTTTTTACCATTGGATCCGGTCCCTCATTGTATTTTGCATCCGGGAAGCATCAAAAAATGTGGCAAAATACCTCACTCTCCAGGTGAAAAAACTCCGATTTCAAAAGCACGCTCACTCTTTTTGTGAGGAAAAGGGCGCCTTCAAAACGGAACTTTTTAGTTGGAAAGGGAGACATTTTGCTACATTTTTTGATACTTCCCGGATGCAAAATGGTACGTTTTTTGCCACTGAATCAGGTCCGTCACTGTACCATAAATACTATCTTTTGCCTTGTAAAATGTCCAATTCTCAGAATTTTACTCTTATCAGCCTAAAAATGCCACTAAAATTCAATTTTTGCAATATTAAACTACTTTTTGCAAACATGACTGTTCGGAAAACAAAAGTTCTTTTTTCTCACAAAAACATCAAACGCGCGTGAAGAAAAGCGGGCAAACAAACAAATGAACCATTAAATACGTAAGTAGTAAATCACATTTGGATGTTAACGGCGAGAATTGTGTGCGTTCTAGCATGGGGAGATGGTCGGCAATCGACATGGTTTCTGTCAACGTTACTTTTGTCTAGTCTCGAACTAAGTTTAAGACCACCTTAGGCTTTGAAGTTCCAAGGAAAAAATGGCAAAAAAAATGCAAAATTGTAGTTGGTAACAGTTTCAAACGGTAAATAAAACTTGTCTCACAGGATTTTCAGAGAACTAGAATCTACCAGAAGCAAAAATAATACAGATTTACACCAAAAAAATTGAAAAAAATCATCATGGATAATATACCAAAAAGTTAAGTTTTCCCAAAAAACCTTGAATTCTTCGCCCAAATACCCTGTAATCGCTTCCCATCAAATTCAAAGCGCGCTATAGCTGTTTAGACACAAAAATCCGCACAAAAAATATTCTCCATGTCTCATCCCACCCTGCCATCGTAACTCATCCCCAGCTCTTTTCTCATCCCGAATTTCGTCGCTTTTCCGGTTCTCCTCTTCTACTGCAGGGTGTGCGCGCTAGAGATCAAGAAAGTGTAAAAAAATGGAACCGAAAAAACAGAGAGCGCACTTTTCTCAGCTGACCGCAAAATCCTCGATTTTCCGCCGTCTCGCGCCCCAATAAAACGCAATAAACTGGGTTGGCAAATGTGTGTGCGATGCATCTGCGGATCAATCGAGGCCATCGGGAAGGAGGTCGAGAACACTGATTTATAGGATTATAAGAGGATTCGGCAAAGTTAGAAGGGAAAAGTCGGGGTTTACAATGGACTTTAGGGCGATTTAGGGAAATTTGATGGAAAATTCGAATAAAGTAAGGTAAATTAAGTTTGCAAAATTAGTTAAAATACCTATTTTGTCTCTGCAGGCCAGCTACTTTTTGGAGCTTACGCAAAATTTTCGAAAAATCATCAAAAAAGCCAAACTTGCCATGAATAATATAAAAAACAAGCCAGAACTTAATTTTAGACGAGAATAAAAAATTCTAAATTGATCAGTCGTCCACTAGCAGCATTAGTCATCTCACTAATAGAAGGAAAAATGCTATAACAAAAAAAATTTTTAAAATCATCATGGATAATATAAAAATCATCAAAAAACCTCAATTTTAATGTAAAATACGCAGCACCCTAATCATAATCCATGAATTCCAGTCATTTCTAAGCGATTACGACCATATATGATCCAAATAAGTCAAATATAAATTAAAAAATCTCAAATATTTTGTAGAAAAATCCCAAAATAGACGAGTCAGCGCGGTAAAAAAGACTAACGGCTTCTGCAAGCGGTTGCTGACGACAATCTCGCCCTCAATCTTCTCTAGTAACGCCGCAATTACGCTAGTAAAGCGCCTTGGAAAACCACTGGGATTCCAATAAAAAAGCGGCTGCTCAATAAAAGATACGCAAAACTGCGCAAAAAATGAGTCATCGCGATGACATAATCAATCGGCGATATCAACTTACACTAAATAATAAATAATTTTTGCAAATAAAAGATTATTTTATCAACTTTCAAGGGTAAAATAGCCTTTAAGAATTCGATTACTATCGACAAAAACGTCATGTAGTAACGTAGAAAAAAATCGGATTACCGCGAGCGCTTTAGGAGGGATCATAGCCAGCCCCGAACAACGGCGAACACCTGCTCGGAAGAGCGTGAGGATAATCGGATTGAAGTTTTTGCAAAAATATCAACTTTCTGCATAAAAATATAATTTTATGCAGAGAATTGAAGACTGAAGAATAAAAAAAGGAACAAAACACCAGCCATCTACCGTGGGGACCTGATCCAGTGGCAAAAAACGTACCATTTTGCATCCGGGAAGTATCGAAAATGTGGCAAAATGCCTCACTCTCCAAGTGAAAAAATCGTTTTGAAAGTATTTCATTTGGAGAGGGAAGCATTTTGCCACATTTTTGATACTTCCCGGATGCAAAATGGTACGTCTTATGCCACTGGATCAGGTCCCCCACTGTTTAATATCCATAGTTTAAAATTCCAAGCCCTTCGGCGAACGGCCTTTTAAAATTTTGCGCAATCATTGAAGCGCAACGAAGCCGCGACATTCGCTTGAAAACATCTGCGGATTGAGGATGAATAAAATGTGGATTGACCAGTTGATCCAACTGAAAAAGCTAGATGTAGTGGGGAACGCATACAGTGGACCTGATCCAGTGGCAAAAAACGTACCATTTTGCATCCGGGAAGTATCGAAAATGTGGCAAAATGCTTCCCTCTCCAAGTGAATCAAAAGATTTAATCTCGATTTCAAAAGGGCGTCTGCTCTTTTTGTGAGGCGCCCTTCAAAACGGAGTTTTTTCACTTGGAGAGGGAAGCATTTTGCCACATTTTTGATACTTCCCGGATGCTGAATGGTACGTTTTTCGCCACTGGATCAGGTTCCCCATTGTACATCTAACTTTTTCAGTTGGATCAACTGGTCAATCCACATTTTATTCATCCTCAATCCGCAGATGTTTTCAAGCGAATTTCGCAGCTTCGTGCGCTTCATTGATAGCGCAAAATTTTAAAAGGCCGTTCGCCGATCGAATTTTTGGAAAGAGAATCCTTCCGGTTCTCAATCCCGAATTTAATCCACTAACCAAAAAATCCAGCTGGTTTAATTTTAATTTATTTTCCGCGATTTTCGCGGGATTTCAAAAAATTTCGGAGCCAAAAAGTCCCGAAAAAGCAGCCAAAAATTGTAGCGAAAATAAAAACAAAGGTCAAAATCAAATTTGAATTCAAAATCAACTCACCGTTTTCGTTTTGAGACCCAATTTCCGGAGGGTGGAGATTCGTGCTCTGAAAATAACAAGGCCGTTCTCATGGGAAAATGCGGACAAAAATGAAGGATCAGGAGCATTTTTGGGTAGAAAATAGTATGTTTCTTACTGTGGCATCGTCAATTTTCAAAAAAAAAAAAAAAAAAAAAAAAAAAAAATTGACTTTTCGCCAAGAAATGATAAAAAATTTCTAAATAATCTATAAAAACAGTCCGTATTATACCACAAATTTCATCAATATTAAATTTCCTTGCATTATATTATCTAAAATTTACAGTAATTCAAACTTTGCGCCCATTTTTCGCCAAAAAAACTGCAAATTTTTGCAAAAAATCGAATTTTTCCCCGAAAAAATTTATTTCTCTCTTCGTATTTTACCCAACTTACTTCTGGCATTACCGTTTCTGCTACTATCTCCAACTCTATTCACCATTCCACCCAAAAATCTTTCAAAACCCTCAAAAACTGAGGAAATATTGCCGGCAACACAATAATTTTCAGAATTAAACTAATTTGTAGGGCTTCGTCCCAAGAACGGGACGGTGGGAAAGAACATTCAAATTCTCTTTCTCACACCTTTTACTTTCTCTATTATCAGGGTTATATCCCACTTACCGAAGGGTTGGACCTTAATCGGGCCGGTGTTGGTCATCGGATGAAAATTTTTTGCGAAATTACCCAATCGAAATTGAAATTCGGAGTCTGCAAGGGATCGGGAATTATTCGTTTCGAGTGGGATCGGGCTTATTTGGGGTGGTAAAAGCGACGAGGTAATCCTCAAGGTTCATGTGTACATAAAGCGGGGGATGACTCAAAATAAAAGACAGACAGACAATAAAATCGACAGGCATGTCATTCGCCATTCTAAAATACGGTATAACATCGATTCACGCTCATTTCAAATTAAACTTCGACTTCAACATTCATCATGGATAATATAATAAATCGAATAAAGTCCCAAAAAACGACACGAATTAGGCTTCTGAAACCTCTTCGTGTCCTAATTTGGTCATTGGGTTGCATTTCCAACCATAAAAAGCCATAAAACACAATGCCAAATTTGGCGGGAATTTCAAATTTTCGAACCTTTAAGCCTTCTAAAGTGGCCGAAAACGAGCCAGATGCGAGATAGAACTCATAAATGGCAAAAAAGCCAATAAAACATCCGCTAAATTCCATCTAATAACCAATATTATATTATCCATGACAGTAATCGTAAGAAATCCAAAAAAAATGTTGAAAACCACAATAAAAGTTATTGAAGCTTTCAATATTCAGTTATAACTTCCTTTTCAGACAATATTAGAGTTCTGCCCTTCTTTGCGTCACCAAAAACCTCCATAAATATTCGAAAACCGGTCAAGACCGTCAATAACAACATCAGGTTAATGCTTGGTGTAATTCCATTACCCAAACCGAATGTAATGCAAGGAGAGACTTTTCACAGCACAGTGGACAATATAGACGGGGTGCATCTCTATGGGAACACCTATGGTACAATTAATTATATTATACTTGACATCAGTGGGTGGAAGACGGCTTAAAAGAGATGTAAGACCAAAGACTTCCTACAAAATGCATTGTGAAACAAAGAGATGACGTCATTTCCCACAAAAAATACAAGATCCAATATATTTACATGAGAATTCGGGTAAGATACGATCAAATTTTACTGAAGACTATGACGATGCGCCAAGACGCTGCTGGTGGAGCCGCTCTTCATCGCGGCGGTGTTCGAGCTGCAGGGTTCGTTCTGAAACGGCTCCATTAAAATGGGAATTATGCAACAGAGAGGCGTTTTAAAATTCTTGGCAATTCAATTTGTGGGAAAAGCGGGGGGAGAGCGTCTGAATTCCAATCAGAAATCAGTTATAATCAACAGTCTGTCTCATCTGTTTTGTTTTTCTTTCGATTTCAACCGGAAATTCCATTAAATTTGAGTAAAAATATTGAGAAAAATTGAAGAACTGTCTAGTACAATATAAAAAATTCTTGTTAAACTGGTGAATTGCAAATTTAAAATATCAATTAAAACCATAATGTGCCAATAACATCAAAATAATTCAAAATATTACTCAAAAAAGGGCAAAAACCACCAAAATTTTCCTAGTGTAATATAATTTTTTTCCTGAATCCCAGCTTCAACATATTTAAAAGATCAATTAAGACCATACTGTGTCAATAACATCAAAATCACTCAAAATATTACTTAAAAATGGGCAAAACCCACCAAAATTTGCCTAGTGTGATATAATTTTTCTCCAGAATCCCAGCTTCAACTCACATAATGAGTGCTCCTCAAAGCCTATTAACCGTCTATAGTCCCATATTCCGCTGAAATAGCCATAAAAACAGATTAATTTCCATTTTTTGTCTACTACAATATCGGAAGTGATAACAAAAGCCAAAATTTCCGCAAAAATTGAAAACGAAATAATCGAAAAGCATCTTTACCGCAGGATCGAAGTGTTTTGTGAAGCCGACCACAGTTCCGCGCAGTTCTTGGACCAAAACTTTGATTCTTTCATTGGGATACGGGAAAATGTCGACAAAATCGATGCTTTCCTGAACTTCCCCCAAACTCTTGAACAATGCATTCTGCTCACTCTTGCTGACAGCTTCCTTGCCCGCGTTGAATTCGAGAAATCCGAGTTTTCTGGCTTCAACTTCCAATTCCACCTCCATTTGAGCTGCCTTCTTGGCTAAAATCTTGGAAGATTCGGACTTCTTCTGAAAATTGGAGAGTACGCAGTGTCAGTTTAGCTTCCTAAAGATGTAAACAACTAATAAAATTTAAAACATACCCTGATATCCTTTTCTTTGCCAATAACTTCGAGGTTTTTCTTGATTTCACCAACCTTGTCCGAGATTTCTTCCAATTTCTCGTCAATTTCATCGGGATCAACGGTTTCTGAAAGCAAAAACATGATCCTCTTGCTGTCTTCGACGTATAAGTTGAATTTCATCCACTTATCAGCCCTTTAAACTATATTTTGCGGCCTTTTCCCACCTCAGCTCATGGACAATATAAAAATCAAGAAAAAACCAAAAAAATCGTACTCACTTTTCTCTAAACCGCTTTCATCATCATCCAACATTGTCAACAACACATCCAAACGCTTTTCCAGCTAAAATTGAGAAAAAATTTATATTACACTTGACTCACATCGGCCAATTTTCCATTTTGAAGCCAACTTTTGGTGTCCAAGTACTTTTTCAGATCCTGCGGATCGCTTTGGCGGACGGAATGAGCGCACAAGGTTTCGTTCGCCTTCTCGATAGTCTTATTCAACGCAATCGTCAAAGGAAGTGGGATCGGTTTGCTGCTAGAGCTTTCCATAGTCGAGAAATGCCAGATTCAACCGGTTGAGAAAGCGGATTGAACTGAAATGCGTTTAGCCAACTTTTGAAAATAAAATCACCGAAAAACGGGTAATTTGAAAAAAAATATGTTGTACATGGCCTATTTTATTAAAAATCAAAATTTGAGGTATGCATTCAAATATCAAGAAAATTGGAAGTCATCAGTAGCTGAAGGGCGACCTCGGGAGCAATTTCGAACTCCGGAATCTCCTCTTCGTGGTCCGTGAAACGCATTTTGTAGGCTAAGTAGTGGCAGACCTTGCGAAGAACATGAGATCTAAAATTTGAAAAATAATGGCAAATCTCTTACCAACCTCTTCTAGACCTCAAAAACCGATTGAAACTCACGGGACGTCTTTCAAATTGACCGAATTTGGCATTGTTTCGGTGGATTCGAATGGCCCGGTCATCATCGACTTGATCGTGTTTGAAAGTTCGGCCATTTCTCGAGGAACAATGAATTCATGCCCGTCGTATGATATCAGCATCACGTGGGTCGATTGCGCACCACAAACAGTTGGCTCTAACACGATAAACTATATTATTCATGACCTTATAATAGTTGAATAAAAAGTTTCGCTAAAAATCAAAAAAATAATAGTAATTCTCACCTTTAGCACTTGTTGAGTCATTTACAGACATGTTTCTGCAGTACGAAACCCGCAATTGGTCGCAATAAACTTGGCCGACGAGATTTTGCAACTTTTCGCAACCGATTTTTTTCGAGCGTATAACTTGTCGTGCAGTTTGCAAAAAAACCCTTTGGCGAACTGCGCCCATCTGTAATTTTATTTCGGGAAAAAATCTTCTCGTGGTTCACAACAATTAATTTGGTGAATCGTGTTGAACTTCGGCACGAAAACAAACAGCGTTTGGCATTGTGTAAAACGTAAATATTTCGGCAAAATCTCGAAGAATTTATTTTCCCTCGACGTAAAAATGTTCTTTACGTAGAATTACGGCGTAAAAGGACCTAGTTATATAAACCCATGGCTTTTAGTGGTTGATTCCTATGAACCATCCATCAATTTTTATTGAATGGTAGCTGGGGATTTGGCTAGTCTTCATTTGGAACAGACTTCATTAGGTGCAGGCTTATGCGGTTGGTATAATGGTGAGTCTTTCAATCTTCTTCTTCTTTATTTAGGATGGAAAAGGAGATGAAGGATATAAATACGAAAATACATCAGTTAAGAACACAAACATTTAAAACAAAAATACCTAAATAAATTGATCCTAACTACATTCAAACCAACACATAATCCAATTGTCCTTATTTTCTTACAACATACTCGACTGCTATTTAATCTATCACACAACTCTGCTGATTTCTGCCTTTCTATACCCCGGTATCAATCTGTTTTCTCTCCAATTGAAGCTCCTTATTTGGTCTCCAGTGCGTACAAGAGTTGAAATACAGCCAAATGGCAAATATGATCCCATATGGGTTCATATTACCGCAAGTACTCACTGTTTTTGAAAGAATATGATGAATTTGACGATCTTTTTTATAATTATTTTTCGTTATTTGCAGAATGCCAAGGGTTTTTTCGTTGTGCCAAAAAACCCGGGAAATTGGTTTTGTTCTACAGAAAGATTGATGTATAACTCTAAAACAAGTAGGGACCGGTCTTTGTTTTTTTGCATGTTTATTGATAGTGGCATGATACTTCTGATGGGCCTAGTTCTGTATTTTCCTGAACTAAAAATTTTCTGTTAGGCCACTGCAAAGGATTGTAGTATTTGCCATCTTTGAAGACCTGTATCTCAAAATAGAATCCGGCTAGAAACACGACTATACTCTTGGAAGACAGACAAGCGTCCATTCTTTCTTATCCACTCTTCACCAAATTCCTAGCTTTCTGTTGATTGCATGAAACCATCGCATCTTTATGACCATCTATTTTGTAACGAAATGTCGCAAAAATTCAATCAATAATGGCGAGAATTTACTAAATTCTCGCTTTTCTATTGGGATTAATTGTTGTGGTTTCTTCGGATGTTCCTCGTGTCTAAAAATGGCTCAACAACAAGAAAGAAGTGACGTTCAGACTGAAACTTTGACCATTCAGCCGGAAACATCTGTAAGTTATACTTGATGTTATTCTTCATCCAGATTTTTATTTTATTTCAATTTTTACTGTTTCAAAATTTGTAAATTTTTGTTTCAGACGGAAGCTTCAGAAGTTGTTCTTCGTTTGGAACCGGAAGGTGCTCCCCGAGTTCGATGGGCGCAGGATACCGTGGATAACGAGGGCTTGGGCAAGAAGAAGTCGAAATGCTGTTGTATCTACAAGAAGCCTAAGAAGTGGGACGAAAGTTCTGATGAGGAAGATTCGGTAAGGCATCTTACAACTTTTGCTTTTTGTTTTTAGGCGATTTCCCATTTATTTTTAAATTGTGGCCAATTTTTATTGCACTATCACTGAATCCAAAACAATATCGAAATTTGTTTTTATTTTGAAACCTGTTTGTTGATCACTTAATCCTCTGAATCTGTATGCTTTTAGGATTGCGAGACCGGGCATTGCAAGGGTCACGTCGAGAAGAAACATCAACCAGAGCAGCAACAATAATTGGTGGCTATGTCATCTTAAACTCATGTATTAACTTATTTCTCCAATGCTTCAATGAAAAATTCTTTATTAAACGGACAATATAGAAGTGTAACTACTGTTGATTTGAGATCTGGAGGTGTAATATGTCTTGAAATTGGAGGTTTTTAGCCAAAATATATTGTCCTTCCCCAAACTGGACGGAGCTGAAGGAAAATGGGCCAGGATCTACGTTTGGCTGACCTCAGGCTTCAATGATGGCTGAAAATAGAAAGGTATATTCACATTCCTTCTATAAATATTGAATCTGTCACAAATTTTGACCTCTAAATATCAAAAATAATAAGATTTATAAATTTACCCACCTGATCATGGATAATATTTCCGGAGGTGCTGCCATTGCTCGAACTGGTCTGATACGGGCTGTATCCAGTCGGTTTAGTTGAATCATCTTTCACAGAGCCTTCTTCGGACGATTTGTCCACAGGACTCTCTTCCGTCGACTTTTTTTGCTCTGCTTCTGGAGATTTCGAATCGTCTTTGGTGTTTTCGCAGGCCCGACCAATAACACTCCGATAAATTTCTTCAAAGCGGTCCGCCGAGAGTGTTTTAACTTTTGGCGGTGGAGGCGGCACTAAAAACAAATATTTTATACTTGATGTTTGATCTCATGGATAATATAATTTTTGCTTCAAAAATGAAAAACTTGATAATTAGCATTTAGAAAATACCACATTAGACTTGCTAGGGTGTATTTTACCTCTTTGTTCAGCGATTTTCGCCCTCCTTTGGCGCATTCTTTCGGCGGTTCGTCGATTCCGCTCCGCTCTTTGTTCCGGAGTTTCCATAGCCCTCCTGCGCCGCGACCGATCGGCATTCGCCTTCCTCCGGCGCGCAATTTGCTCATCAGTCAGGTTCTTGAACCGCGGTGGGACCACTCTTTCCGGTTGGCTCGTACTTGGCGCCGGGAGAACGGCTTGAGCGGCGGTCAAAGTTCGGGTCGCGGTCTGCGGTTGCTGGCCCTGAATGATGATGTGCGAGGGCTGTTGGGAGGGTTGCGAAGGCTGGGTTTGAATGCGGATCACATGCATGGGCTGGTTGTTGTTGTATTGGTCGGGGGCGAGCACGAACTGATTCGATTGGCCGGCCTGGGCGGGGATCAAAAGTTGATGAGGGAGCTGGAAAAAGACAATGTTATTGTAAAAAAATACTCTTTTCCTTTCTAGCAGACCATTTTTCCCTCCGAATACAATGAAATATCATTGGGTTTCCCTTGATTTTACTTTCGGGGGACCAGTATTTTGGGATAAATTTGAGGGCTTCTGAGGAAATTTATATTGCACTTCATAGGTAAAGTAAAAGGAACTAGGACGACAGGGGAAAAAGACGATTGGGGAAACCGAAAAGTTTTATTTTTCTTCGATGCAAATGTCGAAATTGGGATAATCGATGGTGCTGATTTCGAAACTGACATTCATTTTTTTTTGTTCTTTACTTTTTTCCTTAAGTAGTACTGTAAAGCAGTAATTTTTCGATTTTTTTTTCACAAATACTCGATTTACAGTTGGGGAACTGATCCAGTGGCAAAAAACGCACCATTTTGCATCCGTGAAGTATCAAAAATGTGGCAAAATGCTTACATCTCAAAGTTAAAAAACTTTTTTTTGAAGGGTCCCCTCACAAAAAGAGCGGGCGCGCTTTTGAAATCTGGAGTTTTTTCACTTGAAGAGGGAAGCATTTTGCCACATTTTTTGATGCTTCCTGGATGCAAAATGGTACGTTTTATGCCACTGGATCAGGTCCCCCACTGTAGGGGTTTTCGATGAGTATTTATGAAAAAAAAAAATCAAAAAATTACTACTTTACAGTACTACATAAAGAAAAAATAACAATCAAAAAAAAATGAATGTCATTTTCGAAATCCGCGCCATCGATTGTCCTAATTTCGATACTGCATCGAAGAAAAATAAAACTTTTCGGTTTCCCCAATCGTCTTTTTTCCCAGTCTTCCTAGTTCCTTTTACTTTACCTATCAAGTGCAATATAAATTTCCTCAGAAACCCTCAAATTTATCCCAAACACCCCATAAAACCCCTCAAACTCACTTGTAGGACCTGTTGTTGTCCTGGTTGAAGGTTTTCGGGGAGCGTAACATGGATCGTAACCGGTCCATTCCCCATAGTTTGTTGGGGCAGAGGTACGGTGATCACAGTGGGCTGTTGGTTGTTGCTCCGATACGCCTGACTGACCGGCTGTGTGTGGTATTGCTGATGCTGGGGCACGCTGACCAGCTGGACCCGTTCCGAGGGCTGATAACTGATCTGAGCGGGCTCATCGGGATCTAAAAAATTTTTTTTGAAGGATAACATAATTTTTTTTAGAAAACGTTTGATTGATGGGGAAATTAATGCCTAAACTAAGATTGAAAAGAAAGGATAGGCTTTTTTGCAATGCCTTACGTGCGTTTCTTGCAAAAAACGGAGGAAAAACGCAATTCTATTGCAAAAATTATATTGTTTTAGGTAACAAACTCAAATTTTTTGATGTTTTTGGCATTATTCTTTCCAAATTTGATCTCAACCCGATTGAAATTAAAGAACAAGCTTTTTGTAGTGAAGTGAGCGTTTCTCCAAGAAAATTGGGGAAAAATATGAGCTTTCATCAAAAATTATATTATTTTAGGTATCAAATCGAAATTTTCCCAATTTTACACCTCATACTTGCTAAATCGGTTCGCAAACTCTTACCAGGCTGTGTGTACGTCGTATACGTGTTGTTGATGTACTGTCTGACTACAGTGCCGGTCCCTTCTTTATTAATTCGCCTCGCTTTCCTCATTCTTTCCGCGTGCAGGGCCAATCTCCGTTGTCGTTTTTCGGGAGTCTCGTTCAATCTTCGTCTTCGTTTTGCCTCGGCTTCACGTTGCAGTCGACTCAATCGATCGTCCTCGCTCTCTTCGGCCAATCTTCTCTTTTTCGACGCAATATGAGTGATTTTCCGTCGCTGGTATCGATGGAAAGTGGGGTCCTCGAGGACCGCCTTGACCGTTTCGAAGGTCTGTTCCCACTTTTGGTCCTCCGCCGAGGGCTCTAGCTTGGGCGGGAGGTTGTTGTTGCCGAGGAGAAGGTCCTCTTCGTTGCTTTGGTTGGTGGTGTTGTCGCTGTTGCTCTCCAACGCCGCCCACAGCACGTCTTCGGTGGTTGAGGTTGTGAGACGCGGCGAGGGCGATTCCGACAGCTTCTCGCGACAGTAAATTGTGAAAAGTTGCGCTGAAAATTTGAGCAGCTCAATTTTTTGTCGAAATTTTGAGATCGCGCAAAAACTGGCACGGAATAGCACGTCATACAAGTGCAGAGTTTTTAGAAATTACAGAAAACTTTCGTCTAGTCACTGCCATCCAAAAATTTTTTGATGCTGCACTGTGCAGCCCCTTTTTTGCACTAAAAATCGCTTTGCACGGTGCAAAAATAGAAGGAAAAATTTCCCGCCCCTTTTTGGTGATTCGTTCAAAACGAAATGTCACTATCCGATAAAACGCATTTTCTTATCTTTCTTCTTCCTTTTCGAGAAAAAGCAATGATTTCGGGCGAGAAAAAGTGCCGATAATTTCGCGACATTTCGTCTCTCTTTTAATTCAATGAAAACGATACGAAGTTTCGAAACGGTTCAGGAAATGCGCTGGATTGACGTGCAGTCCCTTTTTTGCACTAAACATCGCTTTGGACGCTGCGAAAAAAATAAAAGTACCGCTTTCTGTGAATAAACGCGAGCTCAATGCAACCTCTATCGTGGACCTGTACCAGTCGACAAAAACCGCATAAATGAGATCAAAAAGACTTCTAATTTGGTACGAAAAAGTATTGTTGAGACGTAAAAAGGCTAGATTTTGAAGAGTTGAGGTTGACCTTTGTGTTTGGAGGCCAAAAAGGTCGCTGATCAGCTCTTTCTTCAAAATCAAGCCTTTTCACGCCTCTGCGATACTTTTTGATACCAAATTCGAGGTCTTTTCGATCTCATTTATGAGATTTTTGTCGACTGGAACAGACCCACGCCAGAGGTTCCATTGAGTTCGCGTTTATTCCCGGAGAGTGGTACTTTTATTCTTTTCACACCTTGCAAAGTGATTTTTAGTGCAAAAAAGAGCCATTTTGTCGGCTGGAACTCAAGTTCCCCGGTTTTCTCCCAATTCGTCGCATTTTTGGAAAGTTGATTAAACTTTCCGAAATAGGACAATAATCGTATTATTTTGGGCAGGTCCACAAATCCAATACGCTCTCTGTTGCCCATAAAACAGTTATTAAACATTCTGACGTCTCCTTTTCTTCGCAAAGACCTCCGAAATCCGAATTCGAAACGCGACAGTTCCCTGCGTAATATGGCGCAAACGCTGGGCCGGCGCACGTACGCGCGAACCCGGCCTCATGCTGCGCACTAAATCATCATCGGCGGGGCTGGGAACGCAATGCTGCGCACTCGGCGTCGCACCGCGCGCTTCGCACACACACACGACGAGTGCGGGGCAGCTGCTCACCGGCGGGGAGTTGGTCGCGTGCGCTGCGGAATCGCCGCCGGTGCCGAACGCGGCGGCGGTGCAAACCCGCAGGGGTGCGGCGGCGGCCCCCGGCTTGAACAGCCCGCAAGGTTGGGCTGTGTGACTACATTCCCTCGCCGAACTTGCAGAGGGAATGTAGTCACACGGCCCGCCGAAGCGTTTATGTGTTTTTGTGGAGGGGTGGAAAGGACGACGACGACGGCGGCGGTGTCTTCGACCAACAGCGGTGTCTTCGCACACAGACACCCCCCGTGTGCTCCGTTTCGGGCGCTTTGCCCACCGAAACCACGAGTCAACACACACACACACGGCCCGCCGTTCTTTCCAGCCACCCGGACACAGCCCTCCCTTCTCGCCCCAACCAGAAGGCCACTCACTCAAAGCACCCCCCTCGCTCCGACGGCGGTCTTTTCGACTCGGTCGGGGCGCACCCGACACGAAGAACGAACCCTGTGTGCAGAGCACACATGGCTGCTCACACACTGGGCGAAAACAAAGAATGTGTCTACGGAATTAATAAAAATCAAATGGAAGGATGTCGAAAAGGGCTCTGATCTTCGATATCCTTCCATTTGACGGGATGAACTGCTGATTTTCAGTGAGAAAACATAAAATTTTCAATTGAAATAGCTGAATAACAACTTGAAAGGCGTCAAAGTTGCCTGCAAACTCTTCTAATGCACTTTTGAAGCCCTAAAAATGTCAAAGCTAGAGTAGAATTTTCAATACGCAGCGTTTTCTGGTCCAATTTTCAATGATCAAACACCAAGTATAATATTATTTTTGCTCTATTTTTCGATGTTCCCCTCTTTTTCTTTGATCGTTAGCTTTGAAATAACAAAAAACAGTGTCTTTAAAAGCGATTTGATCCTTCACCTTCTCTTCCGACTCGATCGCTTATCAATAACAATCCGCCGGCTATTCCGCCGCAAACTTCTCGCAATTCGAACCAAATATTGTTCGCCCCAGCTATTCTAACATCATATTTTTCGACTGTGCTTCTGTTTATCTTCGCCGACCCTTCCAAATTCGTCTAATTCCCAGTTTTCCAGCCCAAGCCCTTCAAGTTTTCCACGCAATCCCGATTTTTCTCTCCCACTCTCTCTAAATCGCCCACTCTCTCGGTTCTCTCCCACTCTCTCCAAATCCCCCACTCTCTCCGTTCTCTGAGGGACCCTCCCGATTTCGCACACTCTCTCGCCTCGTGGCGGAACCGGAGCGAGAGAGCGACGGAAAAAACCCGCCCGCACAATGGAGGGGAAACGCGCACAAATGCGCGCTCGATCCTCCTGTCGCCGACATTTGTCGCTCCCTTTCCCCCCGCGAAAAGGGCACACATTCGAGGCCACGCCCACTCGAGTGCGGATTCGCACGGTGCGAAATGACTTTGGGGAAAAACAACCGGTCAACCGGGCGATGTCACAAGGTTTTGCGATGATGGTAAATAGTAATGGCATGGGGTTGCAAGGGATTACAAGAAATCGAAAATTTTGGTGGTTACACAATGGGAGCTATAGTAAAAAGAGCAAATTTTATATAAACTTGAGAAAAAAAGGTCTGAAATTAGTTGTTATAGAGTAATCTAGATAAAATAAAATTTGTCATGGAGAGATCTCGGTGTAATAAGCTTGATTTTAATTAAAAATCATGAAAATTGAGCTTTTTTTGGCAAAAATTTGCGATTTTTTAAGATTTCTGTCTAAAATAACGTGTTTTTGTCGCAAAAATGGATTTAGAAAAATGAATCAAGCCTTTCCACATAAAATTCAAGCTATCTAGAGAAATTTCAGGCTATTACACACATAGTAAATCAATGATTTCCTATTTTTTCCCCCAAATTTGCCTAAAATACGGTGTTTTTCGCGTATTTTAGGTGAAAAAAGTGGAGACAAAGCCACCTCTTTATTAGTCAGCTCTTTTAAGATAATTTTGAAGAAATTTACAGCAACTTCAATGACTATATTTTGTCATCACAACAGATTTTTCATATGCTTTTGTCAAAAATTTAATTTTTTTGACTTTTAAAAATTGTCGCTCTGAACCAAATGATGTCACCAATTTTTACGATAGTAAACACTAGATTACGTTGTGTTCTTTTCGGTCAACAAGGCTGTTTGCATTGAGAAGGCGGCGAAACGGGAGAAAATGCCTCAGGGAATTTTTGATTTTTTTTGTTTAAAAAATTTTTTTGGCTCGAATTTTACAAATAAATCGGCAGAATTTGCATAAAAATTATTAAAACTCGATTTATTGTCAACACAATACAATATAACATCGGATAGAATAAATACAGTCGTCTAACAATGTACACAGAATGATATTTGTCGCGCTAAATGGGGGTCTATTGGAGATGTGAAAGTGCGGAAAAAAGATTTTTTTGAATCGGAAATTGGAAAGAGCAGAGCGTTTTTTGATGTGATCTTGTCTAAAATAATATCAAAAAAGGTATCAAAATAAAAAAAAAAAAAAAAATTTTTTCAAAATTTCGGAATTTACTAATAACTTTTACACTACTTTTTACCTCTAAAAACAAGATCACATCAAAATTTTATCGGCTAAAAATTGAAATTTTTTCAAAAAATTAAAAAATTTTCAAAAAATTAAAAAATTTTTTTTTTAATTTTTCGAAAAAATCCCAATTTTAAGCCGATGAGATACGAATGGAATTCGGGGGGAATTATCACAACAAAAAAGAGGGTCAACAAAATATACATACAGTCATTCGGGATGTGATAACAGCGGCTATTACAATATTAATTAATAATTCGGGATAGAAGTTTGTTCGGGGAAGTTAGGAAACACGGATAATAATAGTTGAAATAGTGAATAAAATTTGATGAAATTCGTTGAAAACGGGATTTTTTGATTTTTTAGCCGAAAAAATTTTTTGAAATTTTTGAATTTTTTATCTCGCATAACGCGGATATTTCCGCATAACGCGATCTAAAATTCTCAGAAATGTCTTAGAAAATGCCAATTTAGATTTTCGCCAAGTTTCAGCTGCATCTGAGACATTACTTTTTAACTACTTTTTAAGGCCAAAAGTTGTAAAATTTCAAAAAAATTTTGGACTCCTTTTTCGACAAAAAATCATCAAATTTTCAGCAAAAAAATCGCTAAAAAATGATCGATATCAGAGGAAATGGACTGAAGTTTGCATAAATCTGCATAAAATTAATGGTGGAGGTTGAAGAGAACAAAATGAAAACAATGTGTACCGAGATCAGGACGGCGCGTTCTTTGGGTCGAATCGCCAGAGGTTTCGAATTTTTATTGGGGGGTTTTTTTTCGATTCTTCCAGAGGTTTCTGAGGCCTAACTGAGCAGTTTGTGGACAAATTTTCGGGTGTCCTCGTTGTCCATGTCGAACTGAAATGGATTTGGATTAGAGATTTCCCAAGTCTGTTCGTCGTATGTTACAATAAAATTCTAAAAATTTAAAAAGAAAAAACTGCACAGTGCAAAAATTTTGAGGAGAAAAAATGACTGCACCGTGCAGATTTTATTGGGAAAAAATTGCACTGTGCGAAATTTTGGAACTAAAATTTGACTGCACAGTGCCAGATTTTGAGACTAAAAAGTGACTGCATTGTGCAGATTTTGTTTTCTTGAAAATAAAAAATCTGCACTGTGCAATTTTTCCGGAAAAATTGCACAGTGCAAAATTTCCGGACTAAAAAGACTGCACCGTGCAGATATTATTTTCTTGAAAAATTGCCTGCACTGTGCAGATTTTATCTTCGGGAGAAATCGAATGCACCGTGCAAAATTTTGGAACTAAAAAATGACTGCACCGTGCGAAATTTCCGGACTAAAAATTCACTGCACTGTGCAGATTTTATTTTCTCAAAAAATCGACTGCACAGTGCAAAATTTTGGGACCAAAAATTACTGCACAGTGCAAAATTTTGGGACCAAAAATTACTGCACTGTGCAAAATTTTGAGGCTAAAAATTACTGCACTGTGCAAATTTTGAGACTAAAAAGTGACTGCACCTGCAGATTTTGTTTTCTTAAAAAATCGTCTGCACTGTGCAGATTTTATTTTCTCAAAAAATCGACTGCACCGTGCAAAATTTTGAGCCTAAAAATTGACTGCACCGTGCAAAAAAATATTTTTTTTTTGAAAGCTTCGCCATGACCCAAAAATTTTTCTCACCTTATCCTCGCAGATTTTGAAGTCCATAATCGTCGTATCGATCGCGGACAACGGCGCGGACGGGTCGTCTCCGTGCAAATAGCTCTTACAATCGTCCAAACTCAACTCGGGCAAAAACTGTTGTTGTTGCACTGGGCGTTGTTGCGGCGGGTTCTGCACCGGCGGCGCAATATTATTACGGTAGTCATAAGGCATATTGTTCATCATGCGCGGCGACGTCATGATGTTGTGATTGGGCGGGGTGGAGGAGGTGCCCGCGAAGCGGTTGTTCATCTCCATTTCGGGCATCATGTTCATGCCCTGCGGCATGTTTGGTTGGGCTTGGTTCGGGGAGACGGCTTGACGCGCAACAACGGTGTTGCGGAGCTCTCTTTTCACGGCGTCTTTCATCCATTGCTGGTTGTAGCTGGAAAAATTGAAATTAAAAAAATAGTTGAAGATTATTTAGGTACTTTTAAAAAAATTTTTGGAGCAGTTACATCCTAAGAAAATCATTTTTAAATTATTTTTTAAAATTTTTTGCACTGTGCAAGAAATTTTCATATTTTTTTGCACTGTGCGACAAAATTAGTTGCTTTGTTACTGCACTGTGCGGAGGGAAAATCGAATTCATTGCACAGTGCGGAAATTTTTTTTTGATTTCCCGCACCGTGCAGTGGAAAAAACAAAGATGGATTGCACTGTGCGACAATTTTTTTTTCTTTGTTAATGCACTGTGCGGACGGAAAATCAAACTCATTGCACAGTGCGGAAATTTTTTTTGATTTACCGCACCGTGCAGTGAGTTCTGATGATTTTTTAAAAATTTTTTACAAACTTACTTTTGATACTGCCCCATATTGGGTGCATTCTGTTGTTGCATGCCTCCATTATAGTTGTTCATGGTATTGGGCTGAGTGACCGGCTGCTGCTGCATCATTCCATTGTAGCCTTGTGGGTATTGCTGTTGTTGGAATCCCTGGCCCATGAACGGCTGCTTCACGGGCCTACCGTTGGCGGGCGGCGGCGCTTGCCCGTTCTTCCGCTTCTGCGCGCCCTTCTTCTGCTGCTGCTGTTGCTGCATCTGCATCATCTGCTGCTGACTCATCTGGCCCTGCTGATACATCTGCATGTTCATATTCTGCTGCTGCTGGTTGTACATGTGAAAGTCTTGCTGTTGATTCGACATGTTTCCGCTCCAATTCTGCGGCTGCGCGTTCGGATTCATGCTGGGATGGAATTGCTGCTGCAGATGCATGGAGTTCATCGACATTTGGTTCGCGTAGCCGTTGGCTTGCGGCTGCGGCATGTTGGGGTGATGCGGGATGGAGCTGGCGACCTGAGAGCTCATACTCGTGCTCGGGTCGAAGGTCCCGTATCTGGAAAAAAAATTTTTTGAAAAATAAAAAAAAAATTTTTTTTACACGATAAGAAAATCCTGGAAAAATTTTAAAATTTCGTCTCGAAAAAATCCGCCATGATGACATATTTTTCATTATCCTTTAAATTGACAAAAAATTGAATTTTTGACCTTGAAAATTTCAAAAAATTTTTGAATTTTTTACATTTTCCGACCTAAAAACATAGTTTTTTTCTGCAAAACGCAAGTTAAAAATCTCAAAAATGCCTTAACAATTCTATAATTGATATATCATAAATTTCATCCGTTTATGTTCAAAATTTCCAAAAAATCCATCATCATGACACCTTTATTCTCAAATATTTTGTCAATTATTATGTAAAGTTAATTTCAAAGAGCTTCATTGGGGCCATATTAATTTTTACAAATCTAAAATCGCCAATTTACCAAAAAATTCCAAAAAATCCGTCATCATGACATCTTTTATTCTCAAATATTTGCCAATTATTATGCAAAGTAAATTTCAAGGAGCTTCATTGGGGCAATATTAATTTTTACAAATCTAAAATCGCCAATTTACCAAAAAATTCCAAAAAATCCGTCATTATGACAACTTTTAAAATACGACTATATCAATTTCCCTCGTTTCAAAAATCTGTCACACAGTTAAAATTCGTATAAAAAAATTTTTATGACTTTTTACAAACTCATTTTTCTGTCATGATGACGTATTTTTCCAAAAAATTTCATTCCCCCAAAACTCAAATTAAAGTTCCATTCAAAATTCCTCCACACAGTAAATGTTGATAAACCGGGCGGAGAGTAAGACTCAAACTTTGAAATCTCCGTCCTCATTACGGCCCAACCTTCCGTGGCACCGAGTTTTAATTGCGTTTCGCGGGGCCCTCAACAAAAATTGACGTCATCCCCGCAGGGCACGCCGCTTTCGGGGTGGAAATCTTGACATGAATAACGTTTTTCGCCAACGAAAACACATTTTTTTCGACTCGAAAACAACAACAAATGGACGGGTAAACAAGGAGGAGTCGCGGGGGGAAAAACAGTGGGAAATGGAAAGCCTGATTGACGGAACTGCCTCGGGCAAAACAACCGCAGGGTGAGTCATAATCTGCAACCTGAACAAACTGATTTTCCGGGAGCTTAGAGGTTGATTTGGACGCCAAAAAATTGCTTTTTACAAGTTGTACGACTAGGAAAAAAATGTGTTATGATGACGCAATTTTATCAAATTTTGAGGTTGATTTGAAATAGTAGAGCAGAAAAAATTTTTTCCAACTAGTATGAAGCTCTATGACCCTAATTTTTGCAATAAAAAAACAAAAAAATTCAAAATCGAAAGTGTCATCATGACATATTTTTTGGATTTTTTTAAAAATTTACGACATTAGGAGAGAATTTTTTTAGGGCCAGTGTGACTATCAACCAACTAGATTAGAGTAAGAAATTGACAAACAAATGCAAAATCAAACGTGTCATCATGACATATTTTATGGAATTTTAAAAAAAAATTGATGACATTCGGAAAAAAAAATTATTTAAACTCTGTATGACTGTCAATCAATTACATTTGAGTAAGAACTTGACAAAAAAAATTGTAAAAAAATTGTGTCATGATGACATATTTTTTGAAAATTTAGAAAAATCTTGCAATAGGCAGATCCCAGTGAAACTGGTCACCAATTAAGATAAGAATTCCTCATTTTTCTAGGAGTGGTAATCTAATTCGAAATTTTTAACTCGCACTGTGCAAAAATCCCCGAGATTTTTAGCCCCAAAAACCCTAAAAATTCAACTTTTAAACCCCTTTAAAGCCAGCCGAATAGCTCATTGATGCTCTAATTCAAGACAGTGTCAAGCACAATGCCATTGGGGCGAGCAAAGGAAGCGTTTCTTTAAACTAAATTTTTTCGGATTTTGCACCGTGCGACCCCATGTTTTTGAATTCTTTTGTTGCACCGTGCAGAAAAGGAAATAGAAGAAATGGATCCGCACGGTGCAAAAGAGATTTGGAAGTGAGGAGGAGCGATGGCACAGTGCGGAATTTCGCGACGAGAAATTCACCGCACTGTGCGAAATCCAAATTTTTCGCACAGTGCAAAATTTTGAAAATCAAAAAAATCTGTACTATGTAGAAGTTTTGATGAGAAAATTTTCTGCACAGTGCAGAATTCAAATTTTCTAAAAATTGAAAAATTTTCAAAATCAAAAAAATCTTGCACAGTGCGAAAATTTGATGGCGAAAAATCTGCTGCACCGTGCGAAATCCAAATTTTCTGCACAGTGCAAAATTGTCAAAATCAAAAAAATCTTGCACAGTGCAAAATTTCGACTTCAAAAAATTCACTGCACCGTGCGAAATCCAAACTTTCTGCACAGTGCAAAATTTTCAAAATAAAAAAAATCTTGCACAATGCAAAATTTCGACTTCAAAAAATTCACTGCACCGTGCGAAATCCAAACTTTCTGCACAGTGCAAAATTTTCAAAATAAAAAAAATCTTGCACAATGCAAAATTTCGACTTCAAAAAATTCACTGCACCGTGCGAAATCCAAGTTTTCTGCACAGTGCAAAATTTTTAATATCAAAAAAAATCTGCACTGTGCAAAATTCCGGACTCTCAAAAACCCAGCACAATGGAAAAATCCGGAATATTTTCGCACACAAATTTCCCCAACCCCGTAAACTTTGCTGCAGTCCCGCTGAAAAGTGGAAAATTCTCAGAAACGCTCAGGAATTGCGCAAAAATCTTCTGGTAATACTTGATTACAAAACAAGAAAAGTTGGAGGAATTCGTCACCGGTTGTCGTTTCATAACACCGCACAATTGGAAACGCGTCGACGACGAGCCCTCCCCCACCCTTCCACAACACACGTCCGAATTGTTCCCGAAAGTCGTTCTCCCTCGCGAATTCCTCGCTCTGGAGAAGGAGAGGGAAGAAGAAGACTCGCCCCGCTTTCTGGAATCGACTGCAGACGCGCGGAATGGAGGGGAAAGGTGGGGAAGGAGAAGTGTTTCTATTGTAGCAACAAAGACGGACAACTTTGCTAGAGAGAGTTCGGATATTCGGCTGGGGATTACGGTAGTTATGGCGACGGGATTTTACGAATTACGGCAAAGGCAATAGTGATACGAAAAAAATAAAAAAAACGAGATTTTTTGAAAAAAAAATATTGTAAAACCCCTGCAGAATGGCCCAAAAAATATATTTTTTGTATTTTCAGTCTGTCGGGAAAATAATGAACACTCTGTCGCAGCGAAAATCGCATCGCCGCCGACGAAATGAATTGTATCGCGACAAAATCAAATCGCTTTTTACTTCAGCGATGCGTTTGTCGAAACGACATTGAGCACATTATTTTCCCGACAGACCGATATAACAAACAAAATTTTTTGTTTTCTTGCGGTCCGTTGTAAAGTGGCTTCTCTGTAAATAGCATTAATTCCCCCCTTATTTTTCGACAGAACGCTAGTCCCACTTGAGGCCCCATGTCCATTAATTTGATTAGTTTTCGATACCCTCCACGTGGCGTCCGCTGAGGCACGCGGAGTGGTAGGTAAAATGCGAGATTTCGAATAATGATGGTTATAAATTTTAAAGGGGAAAAGTTCAAAATGCACTGTATTGCAAAAGGAAAAAGTGGTCATGCACTTGATGAAAATATTAATGTCAATAATAACTAACTTTGAGAAAACGTTATAGGGGGTCCTCTATAGGCTTCACAGGTCAATCCCTGGAAATTTCACTTCGCACTTTGAATGTGCAGTCGGAAAATTCGACCATCTTTGAAGAGAAGGGACTATGGAAAATAAGGGGAGAGAAAAACGGGAAAAAGATTTTCCATTTTCTCCTATCTGCAAAGATTGCTGAACAACCCGGCTCTCGCAGCGAAAAGCGGGATAAAAAATCAGCGGATTGATTTATGGACCATAGAAAGGGCCTTTGGAAAATTTGAACGAAATCTAGCCCCTTCCTTGTAAATAACAGATTGAAAAGTGAGTTTCATTCTGTCGGGAAAATAATGAGCAAACTGTCGTTGCGCTTTTTTGACCGATTTCTCTGATTTTTAGGAATTTCAAGTTTTCGTGGTGGGACCCAAAACTTTGAAAAGCCCCGATTATGCGATAACTATTGTCGAAATACGTTGCAGTTTTCAACTATCAATATGTCGGGAAAATAATGAGCGCAAGTCGCTGGGCTAATCGCGTCGCTGAATTGAAAAGCAATTTGACTTTGTCGCGACATAATTCATCTTCTCGGCGGCGATTTTCGCTGCGACAGAGTGCTCATTATTTTCCCGACAGACTTATATTGACTGTCTCTATCAGTCTGGCGGGAAAATAATGTGGATTTTCCGAGCCTTGAAAGCTTTGCGACGGCTAGCCGCGGCTGCAGATTTGGAGCGCGCCTGCGGCAATGCGAGACATTTTGCGGTGACCATCCACATTATTTTCCCGACGGACTGACCGTATTTTGACTTCAGTCTGTCGGGAAAATGATGAGATTCATTTTATGCGATTTTCGCTGCGATAGAGTGCTCATTATTTTCCCGACAGACTGACAGTCTTGAATTCTTGGTCTCACCGCGAAAACATCGGTATTAAACAACCCATCCAACTATGTTCAAACTCACACATTTTACATCTCATTTACTATCCGCAAAATAATAATTCCCCTCCTACAACGCCTTCTTAGCCCCTCAAACAAAACAAAAACTACACTTTCCAACGGCTTTCCCCGGCCAAATCACCCTCAACGGATACCGCGAGGTGGGATGTTTTTTACAATTATCGAAAAATAATCAAATTAATGGACATTCGCAGAACGTATTCTGTGTAAAAACAGGAATACAAATTCGGAGTATTATATGGCCAACCTGTACGAGGAATCGAAGGACAACAAAATTTTGGGGGCGCAAAACAGTTGCATGGAGTACAAAACATCCTTATGCTGGTTCATTTTACAACAAAAAAAATCTTGAAAAGTTAAGAAAAATGAATGCCCTCATTATCTACAGTGACGGAAATGATCCAGTGGCAAAAAACGTACCATTTTGCATCCGGGAAGTACCGAAAAATGTGGCAAAATGCCTCCCTCTTCAACTAAAAAAGCTCTGTTTTGTAGGGCGCCTCACAAAAAGAGCGGGCGCACTTTTGAAATCAAAGTTTTTTCACTTGGAGATGGAGGCATTTTGCCACATTTTTGATACTTCCCGGATGCAAAATGGCACGTTTTTTACCACTGGATCAGGTCAAAATGTAGGTTCATTTCACAACAACAGAAATTTTTGGGTACCATTGAAAAGTGAGTTTCAGTCTGTCGGGAAAATAATGAGCGCTTTTTTGACCGATTTCTCTGATTTTTAGAAATTTCAAGTTTTCGTGGTGGGACCCAAAATTTTGAAAATCCCCGATTATGCGATAACTATTGTTGAAATAGGGTGTTTTTTTTGAATTATAAGTCTGTCGGGAAAATAATGAGCATCTTTTCGCATCAAAAATTGTGTCGCTGATGCGAAAAGCAATTTGATTTTCTCCGCGACACAATTCATCGCCTCGGCGATGCGATTTTTGCTGCGACAGAGTGCTCATTATTTTCCCGACAGAGTGATATAAGGACATTCGAGGGTTTCAATAGCACCCAAACTCTTTTTTATTGTAAAAGGAATCTACATGACACTTGTTTTGTACTCCACTGGCAACCTGTTTTTGGGGTGGCTAGCAAAAAGTACTTGGAGATTTTTTTGTTGGTATAACAAAAAGAATGAGGAAAAAGAGAAACAAAAAAGTGGTCTATGATCATCTACCTCTCCAAAAAAATGCATGTGGAAATCGAGAAATTGAAATACGAAAGGCAAAGATACTAGCATCCGTCTGTCGGGGAAATAATGTGGATTGTTGCGGGAGAGGTCTCAAAATTTTTGTCGCAGCAAAAAATCTCGCGCAGCAAATTTTCAGCCGGCGCTAGATGTCGCAAAGCGATGAAATTTCTAGTTGCGACAGATCCACATCATTTTCCCGACAGACTGATAGGCGGGCCAAAAAGCGTTGACATGTCTTTACGTTTCGTAAACAAAGTCAAACCTCTGTAAAACGAAGCATAATGGACTCAAAAAATTTATTTGTTATAGAAAGGTTTTTATTGTATGGAGGTCCATTTTGGCCTAAAATTTACCCTAGATACCTCTGAAATTGTGCGTTATGGACAGCTTTTGTTGTATGGGGGTTCGTTGTACAGAGGTTGCACTATAAAAAAGAGCTTAATTAAGGCGACTAAGAGACAAATGGGGGTCCATTTTGGCCTAAAATTTACCCTAGATACCTCTAAAATTGTCCATTATGGACAGTTTTTGTTGTATAGGAGTTCGTTATACAGAGGTTGCACTATAAAAAAAGAGTTTAATTAAGGCGACTAAGAGACAAATGGGGGTCCATTTTGGCCTAAAATTTACCCTAGATACCTCTGAAATTGTCCGTTATAGACAGGTTTTGTTGTTTGGGAGTTCGTTGTACAGAGGTTCCACTGTAAAAAAGAGCTTAATTAAGGCGACTAGAGGACAAATTACAAACAAGTCAAGCTCCTAACCATTCTTCAAGGCCTAGAATAATGGTTGAAGAACTCCGGCTTCTTCAACTATTTAAAAAAAATTCCATTCTATGTTTTCATAAAATTTAGAGACCCCATATCACGTGCGATATCCCAAACATCAAAAATTCGAAGACCTTTCCGCATTCCGCTCGAATCGATATTCCGTTTGCCCATCGATGGAACCCGCCCCAGTCAGCTGATCCGGCACTGTCCGAACGTCGGCCCGCTCGCCCCGCTTATTGTCTTTTTGGGGTGGAAAGAGCGGGAGCCGTGCACACAAAAAGCGACAAAGAGAGAGCGGGCGAGAGAGAGGGATGTGGAAGAGTGGGGGGCGACAAGACCCCCCTTTTGCTTCGGCTCTCCCTTCTTTCTCTCCACTGTTCTCGGGTCCGCGGGGCCGCGACGACGACGACGAAGAAGAAACAGTGTCGAACCCTCCTTCTTCTTCTTCGCCGTCTTCTTCTTCTTCTCCTGCGGGCTCCGTCGTCTTCATTCCAACGGAGAATGTAAACGTTTCCACCACGCCGCGAACATTGCGGCCCTGCGGGCACCGAACGTGAGGCCGAAAAAACATGCAAAAAGGATGACATTTTGTGTGTGTGTGTGTGTGTGGAGGGGTTTACATTCGAATGTTACCGTGGAAATGAACACCCAATTAGCGTGCAGAAAATTGGAAATACGAAGGAAAGGAGAGCGGAGAGGGGATTTACCGAGTAAAAACATTCAATTACTAATTGAAAACAAGGCCTAAATTTCTTTTAAAAATGCTTACAATTACTCGAAAAACGGCAAAAATGAAGAATGGGAAGACAGAGTGATTTTGAGGAATTTCCAAAAAATGTGTCATGATGACACATTTAATCAGTGACTAAAATACGAAATAAATTTTTGAAATATGCTCTACTGCGTCTCAATAGCTTCCGAAAAAATTCTAGCACTAAAAGTTCGAATTTTTAAGAAAATTTCCAAAAAATCCGTCATGATGACATATTTTACAAACGATAGAAAAAAGTATAATCAGCATGACCATGACATATGGAGTGTAAACATACCGCATAAAAATTTTTGGACACCATAATGACGTGGTTTCCTTAAAATTTCCAGAAAATCCGTCATGATGACATCCTCAATTTGGCATTATTTGAAAATTGAGAAACGCCCCGACTATCCACTATATACAGACGCAATAAAAAAATTTTCAATTAACTAATTGAGTTGTAATATGCTCTTTTATCAACGATCTTCACCATAAGACCAATCTCACAAAAAGCGACGGAAGTGCAGCCGCACTTTGTTCCAGCGCCTCCGAAATTCTTGCAGAAACGCCACCGGCTAATTTATTAATGACTCCACCAAAAATCATACCCATCCAGTATGCGTGACTGTGGAGGGGCCGGGCCCAATCCCCGGAACGGCGCAAAAAAAAGTTGGAAGAATAAGCGACAGAATTACACATGTTATTGCGGCGTGGAAACACGGCCAAAGGTCGGCAATCCTCTTTCCACAAATTCAATATCAACAAAACATGTTTTGCCGGATATAATCAAATTCTCCGGGCTATCAGTGCCATGGATAACAAAAAAAAGTCGGGCTCGGGGGCCAGTTTGGGGAATATTGTAGGAGAAACTGCCGAAAACACTTCATGAGGCCTTTTTGCAGCAAATACGGGGAATTTTCGGGAAGAAATTGGCAAAAATTTTGAGAAAATTCGAATTTCTCGGGATTCTTGGCATTCCGTTGCAACCTCAGAAACATCAAAAGCAATGTTGGGAAGTAAAGAGAGTATCAGTAAGGATAACTATTCGTCAAAAAAACCCCAAAATTACACATATTTTCAAATTTCCCACCAATCTTGGCATTGTGCAACAACCCTCGAAATTGCTCAAAACCGCCTTAAAATCGAAAAATAAGAGACGGCAACGTCATAAAAGCAAAAATCAACTTATATCTCAAGATTTATTTTCGTTTTATGACGTGATCCACACCAAAAAGCTCCAAAAACTAGCTAAAACAACAAATTACCCGTATAAACGCCCTCGCTGCAGCAAGTCAACCCTTCGTAGCCTCGAAATCCTTGATCAGAGTTTCGGATCCTCCTCGCCGCTCTTCGAAAGGCATGCAACGAAAAGGAAGGGGGAAGGAATTTTGAGTCAGGAAGAGCGAATCGCAGTCATCCCATATCTGCCCTCTTGGAAGGCTCGAATGCAGGCGAAATCCGGATCAGAAAAGACCTTCAAAACTACGAATTCCCGCCGGGTTTAAGGTTGGAGTACTACGAAAAGAGTGGGTTGTAAATATAAAAAATTGATTTTTTGTGGTGGTAAGGAAGAAAGGTAAAAAATACAGTAACCCATGGTAGACAAAGGTCAGAAAATTTGCTAAAAAATGGTCGGAAACGTTTATAATCTCTGCACGTTCAATTTTGGACCATTTCCATAGCTCATTACGAAATGCCAAGTTTTCGTGGTGGGACCCGGGAAAAGTAATCAAAGCTATGAACATCGCATAAAAAGTGTTCAGCAAGTTGATAGAGGCTTTAAAAATCATTTTGATGCAATTTTCAGCATTTGACACAAAATGCCAAGCTTTCGTGGTGGGACCCGAAGACCTTGTAGAACGATCTTAAGAAGTAAGATTGGACTGGATAGGTTTGCAAACAACATAGTAAGACCATCAGACACACATTTTTCTTCTCCTGCAACAATATGCCAAGCTTTTATGATCTCATAGATACTATAAATTTGATGTCAAAGGTGAAAAATTGATGATAAAATTTAAGCAAACCACTGTGCAGAGCCGAGCCTAGCATAGTGAATCTAATATTTACGTATATTTCCAAGAAATCGAAGACTTGGACAAAAAATTTCCCAAAATTTCCTCCCAGTTTCCACACTCTTCCCGCGCCCCGCCGGAACATTGGACACCGTCGAATTGAGCGTGGAATTTCCAAACCCCAGCGCGAAACTTGCATGCGGCCCCGCAGGGCAGCGCTCGATTTCCCCGAACGTGCCGTGCGCTCTTTTGGGCTCGCTCTTTCTCGTGGCCCGTTTCGAATTCTTTTTCGGGGGGCCGCCGAAGAAAAAGCCTTCGTTTTGCCCTCGTGGAAGATGGGGAGGGATTCCAATTTAACGAATCTTTGGGGATAATACAATAAAATGCTCGTTTTCGAATTCGATTTGCAAGTTTATTGCTTTAAACTTGTAATTTTTGCAAAAGTTTCGAGGATTTTTTATGGTCGCACAATGCATGCTTTTGGGATTTTTTGATGAAAAAGAAGGCTCGAAGACGTGAAATCCGAATTTTTTGGGGATAAAAATGCATCTGGCATATCAAAAATCACTTTCTGCAACTCTTGAAAAAATTCTAAAAAATGTGTCATCATGACATATTTTATGGATTTTTTGAAATGATGACGGATTTTTTGGAAGTTAAGAGAAAAAAGTTCAGCCTGCGTAATTTTTCGCCCATTTTTTTGTCTTGGAAATACGTCATGATGACAGATTTTTTTCAAAAAAAGACGTCATAATGATGGATTTTTTCAACTTCCTATTCAAATTTAAGGTCACTGCCCGATAAATTTTTTTGCATAATTTTTGGAAATTTTACTCTGACATGTCATAAAAGTCTCAAAATTTTTTTCTTACCCCTCCTGAGTCGAAGCTCCCGCAAATTCCTGATGAATCGCATAGCCGTTGATGAACTGTTGCTGCATTTCCGCTGACATTTGAGGCTGATAGATGAACTGGCCAACTGGCTGCGACTGATTTTGATTTTGTTGGGCAGAGCTGAAAAGATGAAATTTCAAATTTTTCTTGCCTTATAACATTTGTACTTTTCTATTTTCAACTGTCTTTCCAGTACTCTACAATGACGCCGCTTTCCGACCGTACCCACTTCTAGCCGCTTTGTTGAGTACAATTCGCGGTTTCGGAGGGTTTATTTTCGGATTGACGCCGTATTTTTCGGGTTGCGTGCTGATAATTGGTGGTCATGACAACGGCTTTAATAAAGTCCCCGGAGGCCGCGAAAATCCGACCACAATCCGGGGGCCACTTCATTTCTGGGATTTTTTTGGCCGAGAGGTAATAGCGGTAAATTATATAGTCCTCGAAATCTAAGGGAAGCGATAAAATGGTGACTCAGATTTTGCAATTGCGCACGGACCGCGCAGGGTGCAAAAATGATCTTCCCCCATAGGGTTGACGAAACTGCACAGTGCTCTCTTCATTCGCACTGTGCTGATTGTTTGTCGCTAAAAGAAACGTCGCGATGCCGACCGCACAGTGCAAAAAAGTCCTGACATGTTTTGGCACGGTGCGGTCGGCGTCGCAAAGTCGCTTTGCGCGACAAACAATCAGCACAGTGCGCATGAAAAACGCACTGTGCAATTTCATCGCGCGACATAAGCTTTGATTGCCCTTTCCAAGAAAATTCATTTCGCACTGTGCGGTTTCGGCGTGCACTGTGCATTTTAAATACTTGTCGCCGTGCGACAAGTTTTTTGCACGATAGATCACCCAGCAAATATCTCGAGGTTATTTCGCACCTAATGTCTACTCCTATCCCATTTTGCGTGCGTATTTATAGTAGAGGAAAACTCTGAACATAGAAAGTATTACTGTAACTACCTATTTGAATTTGGCAATGTTAAAATGTGTAAACTAATTACTCCCCCACCCTCCTGACATTTCTAAATTATTTTGCACCCTTTTTAGAGAATTTTGCAAAATTTTTGCAACCTGCACGAAACCTATTTTTATTGTCGTGTATGTACTTTTGTAACGACTATTTTAGTCTCTAAAATTGTATTTTTAGCCCAATTTTTGCCATCTTTTCTCAGCCAGCAATATGGAGCAGATCAAAGCCACCACTGAACAACTGCGTATCGAAGCTTCGATTAATCGAATGAAAGTCTCTGAGGTCGCTAAGGAGTAGGTTTACTGTGATTTATCACACTTTATCTGAACAAAAATTCCCAAAATTTTGCTTTTTCTTCAATTTTTGCTTACTATGACATACATTTTTGGGGTTTCCATCTTAAACTTTACCACGAATTTCAGGCTTATCGAGTACTGCGAAAAGGAAAAAGCCGGTGATTGTTTGGTCAGCGGCCCAGGAGATCACAATCCCTTCCAAGAAAAGAAATCCTGCAATGTCTTGTAAACATAATCCAAATCTTTAATCCACTTTACTCTCTATTTTCTACAGTATCTATACACCAATTTTTTGCAAATTTTGGGCAAGCCAGTGAATAAACAGAAAAAAAATTTTTTTTTCACGGTGTGGTTGAAAATTGGAGCTGATTGCACAGTGCAGACGTCGAAGAGGTCCGACGCACTGTGCGAATAAAAACGCCGAGACTTCTTGACGGCACAGTGCAATCAAAAGTGGGATCGACTGCACCGTGCAGTGTAAAGTGCAATCGAAATCTGCCGCACCTTGAATAGTTCGATTGCACTGTGCGGTAACTTTCAGAGTGCAAGTGATGTTTCTATCGCACTGTGCAGCTACAAAGTTCTGCACCGTGCATTCCAAAACCAACTGCACTGTGCAATCCTGGAAATTTCATCGCACTGTGCAGTCCAAAAAAAAATTTTTTTTTTTGATAAAATCCAAAAAATGCTTGCGATAAAAATGATCATACCTATTCTTTTTCCCGCCCTTCTTCCCTCGTCCTTTCGGCTTCGGATCAGCAAAATCTGCCTCCGGATTTGCTGGCATTGGCTGATTCGCCGCTCCGTACGGTGGTGGTGGTCCCATGGGCGGCGAATAGTAGAAAGTTCCATCCGGCGCTTGATAAGCTTGTCCGGGCATCATCGTTTTCATCGGATCCTCGAACTGACCCGCCCAGGCTTGCGGCGCTTCGATTTCGGATTCTTTCGGTTTCTTCGCTCTGGATCGTTTTGGGGGCGGAGCATTCGGTGATCGGGGTTTGCGAGGCTTCCTGGAAATTTTCATAACAGGTTCTTTGCCTTGTGCGACAATAAATTGACCAAAGAAGGACAAAACATCGGAAAAAAGTCTGATTGTGAATTTTGTCATGAATAATATAAAGATTGCCAAAAGAATGTAAGGGTGACCCATAAGCTTATTTCAAAATAAAGATTTAACAAAATGTATCGTATTTTACCATCTAGTTTTCATTTTCGACCGGTTTCATGGAATTTGCACTAATTGAAACAGAATGCCAAAAACCTAGTAGTTCGAAATATACCCAATTTTTGGGCTGAAAACTACAAAACGGTCTCCTAAGGTCCTCCCGGATACGTCGAAATCGAATTTATCGTATTTTAATTAATTTACGACCGTTTTTCGGAATGCCATAAAACGGGCGAAATTTGATGACCGTTGTCTTTAGCGACGAAAATATGACCTAAAACGGCACCGAGACACTTTTAAATCCGGTATACCGTAAACAAATCCACATTTCAGGACTGTAGGTACCCTTAGAACAGAATGCCAAAATCGCGGGAATTTTGAAAGTTTTGGCTTCAGAGGTAAAAATATAGCTTTAAAGAAGGTTAGAATTTTTTATAAACCTTCTATGCTGGTGTAAACCCTATTTCACGGATTTTCAGACCTGTGTAACGGAATGCCAAAAATCGCGGGAATTTTAAAATTTAAATTTTTAGATGAAATATTGCCTTCTTACGACTTCTGCATGTCAAAACAACCTGTTTGTTCCATAAATTACGGTAATTTCCCCGCTTACCGTTGTTTTTTCGCCGGTTGTTCCACTTCCCCGATAACTTGACCATTCTGCCCAACGACGCCATTCATTGGCATCTCAAAGCTCGCCACTTGAACGAACTGTGGTTGTGGGAACCCTGAGGCAGTCGTGGTCATAACTTGATGTTGGGTCATGACTTCCAGTTGAGGTTGGGTCACAAATATCGCTTCGGTTTTTTCGTCTTGGAAATTTTCGGGGGAAATTTCGAAAAATCTGAAAAATTCGTTTAGAAAATAGTGGAAAAGATAAAAAGACATTTTTCTAGCATGTAAAATACGTAATACAAAGCTTTTCTTGCCAAAACTAATAAAATCTTTGGAAAAAAAGGTTGTCATCATGACGGATTTTTTTTAGAATTTCCGACAATTTGAATGAAAAAACCGTTAAAAAGGTGAAAAAAATTTTGCTAGTTGGTAAAATACGTACCACGCGGTTCGGTATGCATAAACAATTCAACTGGTTAAAAATTAAAGCTGTCATCATGACGGATTTTATGGATTTTGTGAAAAAAATGAAGCAAATATGGCGATTTTTTCATAAAATTGCCCCAGGGCCGTTGTGTCGACCGTTAAAAACTCCCTCAAATTTTTTCACAAAAATATGTCATGATGACGCATTTTTTGGAATTTTCAGAAAAATGAAAAAATCGCAAAAATATGTAAAAAATGGTAAAATACGGTATGACTTTTTGAATTAATTTTCTTACCCATTGCATTCCAGCCTGACTTGATTCGAATTCGGATCGAAAAAGCTGGCAATGTCCACCAAGATTTGGAACTCGTTGATGAAGAACGCCAATTTCGCTGGGCGCGGGGAATTCGCATCCACTATCGAGTCAATCACCTCACGATTCGTTTTAAAACACAGCTCATACAAGGATTTGTCCAGGAAATGAGAGATATCCAAGAGTTTGGGGTCCATTCTGAAAAAAAATTTTTTTTTGAAAATGTTTTTTTGTTAAAAATGATGAAAAAATCAAAATTCTGCCTCACCTGAGATCGGCTTGTTTGATGATACGCGAGGGTTTGTCGATTGAAAGACTGAAGGAAATTGGGTGACGCGAGTCCTGAGGTAGTGGCAGTTGAGGTACTTGTTCCGTTATTAGACGTTTCGCAACGCATACAACACATGGGCCCTCTGAAAAGTGAAATTGAAATTTTTAAATCAAAGAAAATTTCTTTATTTTTTTTGCACGGTGCAATCGAGAAACACATTTTTTCGCACAGTGTACACTGAAAGAAAAAACATCAAATTTAAATTCATCAAAATAAAACATCACGCATTTATGATGTCGACGACATCAAAAGCAGGAGATTTTGATGTTTTCATCAAAAAAAAAATTTGATAAAATTCATCAAATATTTTGCGTTTATCAAATTGAATTCGAGAAAGGACACACATGTGTGTACGCATGGCAGCGGAAAAAAACATACAAGAAACTTCCATAAATTTTGCAATTTTTGTTAATGATCGTGACTGTCAGAAGAGGTAAGCGAGTTTTTTTTGTTTTCTTTGATTTTTATAGCAGTAAGCCTGGTTTCTAAATTTTTTGTTTGGAATTTAGGTTAGAATTTTTAAGAAGAACATACAGCTTTCCCGTACTTGGCGTTCAACAAAAAATGTGACAGTTCCAGGAGGTAGGTGTGAGGGAAATGCTTGGTAACTTCGTTTGCAAGGTCTTTGCATTTAAATTTACCGAATTTCTTTCAATTTCAGAGCGTTATTTATATTGCACTTGACTTCAGAGCGAATCCCGTTCTGGATTTGTTGTATTCCCGCAAAATGCGTATGCCCCATCCCACAGCCCCATTATCAATTGGGTAATGCAAGTTGGCACCTTCAAGGCCTCTTTATCACAAGGCCTGCCCGGACGTGAAGGATTACCTGGACTGACGCTTCGTATTGGTATCGTATCCATGGTGAGAACAAAATTAAAAAATTGTCCAATTTTGAGGGTAAGGTGTAAATTTACAGGTGTATGTCGATTTTTCCGTCAAAGACCTGCCTCATCAACCCGTGACGATCTCCATCTTCAGTATTAACATCCACGTAGTCGAAGAGAGAGGGAGTTGGAATGGTGTTTTTCGGTAAGGCAAGGTAGCTTGATGGTAGTCATAATCATATCGTTTGTTTGTAGGACTGAGATGGATCACCAATGGAAAGAGGGTATGTATCTCTTCGATGTTTCAGAAGTCGGGATTCATCAAGCGGGTGAGTAATTTATATTGTAGTAGGTTTGATTTTTAGGCCATGCAATGCGGATACCCGACGGTAATGATGGTGGTGGGGACTTGATCCTCCCCGATGAAACCCGACCCTTTCTTCCAGTCGTCGTTTGGGATCAGCGCAAGAAGTGCCAGGTTCATCGAGTTAAAGGCGACATTGTCAAAGTCTTTGTCAGCCATTTGACCTTGAAATTGTGTTTGTGCGAACAGTTTATTTAAATAAATTGTGTAACTATTGTAGTAGTATTTGTATAATTTTTGATCTATTACGACATCAAAAAATATTTGATTCGTCTGGCATCATAAATTTTTGATGTGCGCCACATCAAAAAATTTAGGTTGTTTTATTTTTTTTTTTGATGAAACGAAACATCAAAAAAACTTTTTTTGATGTTTTCATCAAACTCTAATAGACTGATGAAAAACATCAAAAATATATGATGTTTTTTCTTTCAGTGTAGTCAAAAAGATTGGAAAAAATGATTGCACAGTGCAATTGAAATGTTAATTCTTTCGCACTGTGCGGTGAAAAAAGTGGCAAATTTTAGTGCACCGTGCGATCAAAAAAGGAAAGTCGAATTGCACAGTGCAATCGAAAAAGTAAATTTTTTCGCACAGTGCAGCCAAAGGCAGGAAAAATGATTGCACAGTGCGCGAAAAAAAGAGAACCGTACTGCACTGTGCAATTGAAAAAAATAAATTTTTCTGCATAGTGCAGTCAAAAAATGAAAAATTTGATTGCACAGTGCGGTCAAAAAACATTTTTTTTGCACCGTGCAATCAAACAAAGGTACCGCACAGTGCAAAAATAATGACGAAGAGCTTACTTTCAGGATTGTCGGGGTTGGCGCTGATCAACTGGGAAATGATTTCCATTTCCAGATTTCCCTTGCCTTTTTCGCAACAAAACGTCAAATGGGAGGATTTTCGGGTCGATGCTGAAATTCGAAATTCCAAAATTGAACTTCACCACAAAACTTTTTTTACATATTACTAAAAACAACTTACAACTTTTGGCGGAGGGAAGTAGTCCACATACTTTTTGATATTCCGTTGAGTCCACGAATTTTAGAAGCTTTTGGTTTTCGATTTGGACCTAAAAAGTTGAAGTTTGGTCCCACCACGAAAACAATTGGAATTGAAAAACGGTTGATTATGGAAAGATTTTACTGTCATCAAAGCTCTAATGACTTTTTTATACAGAAATAGGCTAAAAATGAAAAATTTTGGGTCCCACCACGAAAACGTTTTAAATTGAAAAAAGGTCAAAATTAACTTTGAAACGGAAAAATTCGACCTTATTTGAACTGCCTGCAAGATTTTTAGCCCATCTTTGCAAAAACAAAATAATTTTGGGTCCCACCACGAAAACATTTTAAACTGGAAAAAGGTCGGAATTCACTTTGAAACGACCAAAATAGAACTTATTTGAAATGCCGGCAAGCTTTTTAGCCCATATTTTGAAAAACCAAATAATTTTGGGTCCCACCACGAAAACTTTTTAAACTGAAAAAACGCCAGATTTAGACTTGAAATTGCAAAATTAGGCCACTTTTAGAACGGCAATGCAAATCACAACTAAATTTTCGAAAGAATCATGCGATAACACTTACATTTCCAAAGATTGCCTGCGTCTTTCCCAGGACCATCTCAATCGTTCCATTCCGGTCCAAAACGAACCCAAACTCACTGCCGGGGCTGCTCATCAGCTGCTCGAGGACGCTCAGCTCCTCGCTCTTGATCGGCATCGGGCCGTGCCGATGGGAATCGGGGTCGGTGCCGGAGGAGAGGCTACCGTAATCCGAGCAGTAATCGCTCTCCATGCCCGGACTGTCACGGCTCAGCGGGGGCGGCGGGGCGGGCGGCGACGTCGAGACCGGCTGCTCCAGGGACATTTAGCATCGAGAGGAGGGCCAGGCCAGGATGTGGCCGAGCGCTTGAAAGAGTTGCGGGTTGCTGCAAGAGAAATGGATGAGTTTTGGGAGTTGAGGGGTAGTATAAGATAAAAATGGTCGAAAATTGGGAAACACGGTTGCGTAAAAGAATGAAAGTTAATCTAAAAGGACAATCATAGATTGCAGTTTAAATTGGGTTACTGTAACAAAAGAAAAATCAAAAAAAATCTAGGGAAAATGGCAAAAAATAAAAAAATTGGCAAAAAATCGAAAATTTTTTTCAAATTTAAATTTCTCAAAGTACGAAGCTCAGAATTTCCTCAAATTTTGGCCAAGTACTCTTCATAGACAGTGATCATAAGCCTCCAAATTTTAGATGAAACTCAGCAGCTATGGCCGAGATATTCAACAATCCTTGCAGACGAGAGACTATGGAAAATGAAGAGACGGTCAGAGAAAAAAACTTTTTTCGGCTGTATCGTTGAGAATTTTAAAGGGAAAAAATTGATTTTTTGTAGAAATATTATACTTGCCATTCGGATGAAACTGTGAAAATTTCAAATTGAAAACCAAAAAAAAATTTTTTTTGATATTTTGAAATTTTTCAGTCAAAAAAATCTCGTTTGTTGTGCAAAAAAGTGAGTTAAAATGTGGAATATGTGGTAGAAAATGATAGTTATAATCCAGGCCAAGTTTTAAAAAATTTCTTTTCTTTAAAAGAACCCAAAAAAATCCCGAAAATTTCCCCCAAAAAATCAAAATCCCCCACAAAAAAATCAAACATTCCCCCAAAAAATCGAAATTTCCCCCAAAAAATCCCGAAATTTCCCCCCAAAAAATCAAAATTCTCCACAAAAAATCAAAATCGCACGTGTGTTTTGAGCCGCGGCGACGACGGAGTGAGATTTCCAAGTCATCCGTCGACGTCTTTTAATTCCATTTTCGTTTCCAATTTCGTAATTTTTGTCGAGTTCGCGGAACATTCGACGCAAATTTCTTTTGTTCGGGGCGGAAAACACGACGAAAAGTCATCGTCTGCGGATTTTATGCGAAATTCCTCATCGGACGTGGAATTTTTGATGACAATAAATAAAAAAAAATCATAAAAAGAGGGAACGATTTTTTGGAAGTTTTTTTGGTGGAAAAAATGGAAAATCAAAGATCCAAAAATGGAAAAAAGTTTAAAAAAATAAAAAAAAAATCGAAAAATTCAAAAATTTCCAAAAAATCCGTCATCATGACATTGTTCATTCTCAAAATTATAAAAGAATAACTTCAATATCCTTTGATATACAGTCGTATGTTACCAAAAAAAAATCAAAAAATCGAAAAATTCAAAAATTTCCAAAAAATCCGTCATCATGACATTATTAATTGTTGAAATTACACAGAAAATAATTGCAACAAAGACCTTCCAATCATCAATCGTATTTTACAAAAATATCGAAAACACGAAAAATCTAAAATTTCCAAAAAATCCGTCATCATGACATTTTTAAAGCCCAAAAATTTTTGAAAAAAATCGACTAAAATTTCCTAATATAATAACCGTATGTTACAAAAAAATTCATACCACAATACCTATCGTATTTTAAACCCCCGATGACGGATTTTCTAGACAGAAAAATTAAATTTTCCCGCGCAAAAAATATGTTGACGGAAGTGGAAAAGTTCAAATAAATAAACAAAAGGCCGCTGGAATATGTGTTGTAATAGAGGGTATGAAAAATTACACCTATCGCACTTTACAGCAAGCCTGAAGGGAAAGTTCAATGCTCGATCAAAATTTGAGAAAACAAAAAAAAAATAAAAATAGATTTTTTTCGAAAAATGCCTACCAGTTGTCTTGGTAGGCGATTTACGCCATACAAGTTGAAAAAAAAGTTAAAACTTCCAAAAAATCCGTCATGATGACATCTTTTAGGACTGGAATTTGATGTCAAAAAATGATCAGAATTGATGGAATGGAAAAAAATAAAATGGCTAAAAATATTTTTGGATACTTATTTCTGCCTTAGGCAGTAGTTTTACAACTTGAAATTACTGATTTTTCGAATTTTTGAAAAACATCGTGAAACATTTTTTTCGTCTCAAAGGTTGATTTTTATGTCACACCGACCCACTACAAATCCATACTCCAAGTTATGACCCACACAACTCCCGCGCCTTTCACCCTCCGTCGCAGCGCCTCGATTTCGAAACAGAAAGTATTATAATATCGAAAAGGTCAAGTCCGCTCTCCCACCCGGTCGCCTCGCCTCCCAAAAATACCCTGAGGGCAGCAGGTGAAGGTGTGAATGAATGGCTGGCTCGTGTTTTTTCGAACAGAACGCGCGACTGCCTCCGGTCACAAAAAAAAGATCCGCCGGCTTCTCGCGATTTCCACCCGAAATTCCAGCGCTCCGCGAAAGAGCGCGCGCAACGAGGAGGGCGCGCAGGAAACGGGGGCAAAATGGACATGGACTGCTAGCTGAGATCGTGGGCTACAAATCTAGAGGGTTCTCGGGGCTGTGGAGTTTGGGCAGGTCGAATTATAGGCAGTTATTGGAGATCTGACCAAAACAAATTGAAAAGGTTGTCAAGGATAATATAACTGATATAACTCCCGATCCGATTGAGGAGCAAAGCGGATTTTTTGCTATTTGGGAGAGCCCGATATCGCCGATTAAACACGCTATCAACAAACAAAATACCTAACAGGGTCACCGAGATATCGCCCAATATATCCGAAAGCCTTGACATTACTAGCAAGTATAATATAACTGATATAGCGCCCGATCCGACTGAAGTATAAAGCAGATTTCTAGCTATTTTGGAGACTGTGATATCATCTATCAAACACTCTATCAACAAGCGCAATAGCTAACAGGGTCACGGAGATATCGCCCAATATATCCGAGAGTCTTGAACTAACTGTCATGGATAATATAAGTGATATAATTTTTTCCAACTCGTAGGCAGACTAGCGAGTTTTCCAGTAAAAATAGAAAAATATCTCTTCAATCAAACGCGTTGTCCGCCATAGCTATTGCTAATACGACGACTGAGATCTTGCACTAGATATCTGACCGCCATGAAATCAAATTTTTTTAAAAAAGGTTGTTTAAAATACGATAATATGAATAGAAAACCGTTTCAAAATGTGCTATAAAAAATATTGAAGGCTCATAGCCTCAAGGCACATCCAAAAATCTACGTGAAAGTTGCACGAATAAAGAGAAATCGCATTATCTTCCACTTGATATCGAAGGGTCCGAAATAAAAATTCGAAAAATTTTCAAACACCCGTCGAATTACCAGCCAAACATTACGAGTATATTAGCTGGTTCGTCGAAAAGTTTCGAGCGATCGCGTCGCAACCCCCATCCACGTTCAGCCGCCGGAATCAGGCGCCCTTGCGGGGGGCCGACTGAATGTCGATAAGAGCACGTAACGGCGCGCGCCCCCGTCCGGTGCGCGCTCGCACCGCGCCGAAAGCGGAGGGCGCGCAGACGGCGAGAGGGGTGGGCGAATTCGCCGCTCGTGGGGCGGGGGGGGGGGACCCAGGGAGGGGGATTTTGCGCGCGGTCAGTCGGTCGCGCCCCCTCGGTCCGAGAAGCGGTGAGATCCTTCGGACCTTGCACTTGCCCCCCCCCCCTGCCTGCCTCCTTCTTTTTTCCCCCCGAGGGCGCCGACAAAATGTTTCATCGGCGGGGGGAATTATAGCGAATGATCGAACAAAAATTCGCGAACCCCCAGACAGCGCGAGGATTGCGGAGAGCGGCGAGAGAGGCGATCTTTTGCAAAGGGCAACGAAGCGCGCCCAATCTGATCCCCGCCGCAGGCTCGGAATGGACGAGGAAACGAGGGAAATGAGGGCAAATCGAGCTGCATCGCTAGTTAAGAGTGCAGAAGACAAATTGCAATGTAAAGACAGGTAGAAAACGGGGGGAAATTGATGATTTTTGTGAAAAATTGGCGATATTTCCCGGGAAAGGCGATTTTATGCCAAGACATTTCATTTTTGACTAATAAATGTAATTTATTTAGAGTCAAATTGGCATAGACGCATATAGTAATCACTTTTCGCAATAAATTTTAGGCACGAAAAAGTCTCGCGGGCAAAAGAAAAAACTCGATTTTTTGGGGAGAATAGTCAAGATTGAAGGGAAAATCTGATCTGGCCAATTCTCAAAGGCCAAATCTTAGATTCTCCTAAAATTTTTAACAATTAATCTGTATGGACTATAGTTCAATCGCTAAAAATTTCAGCGTAATATCAACAGTAATAATCGAGATATTCAACGATCATTTTGCAGACGAGAGACAATGAAAAGGATGAGAAATGGTCAGAGAAAAAATGTCTCTGGCGCTTTTTTAAATCTGCACTGTGTGAAAAACAGGAAAATGAATGGTGCGTGAGAGACAAACAAGGGAAGAAAAGGGCGAACTGCGCTGTGCGTTCGGGAAAAAAGGCAAAATGCACTGTTCGTTCGCGACAAACAGGGAAAGGCAAACTGCACTGTGCGTTTGGGGGGAAAAGGCAAACTGCACTGTGCGTTCGGGAAAAAAAAGCGAGATGCACTGTGCATTTTGGCTAAAACGGAAACTGCACTGTGCGTTAGGGGGAAAAGCCAAACTGCACTGTGCATTCGCGATAAAAGGCAAATAAATGTCTACGCACTTTATGAAAATACCAGCAGCTTGTTTTAGGCCAAAACTTCCAAAACAATTTGCGCCCAAAAATTTTACGAAAAATTATGAAAAACTCTCGGGAAAACATGGAAAAAAGCGGCGTCCGGGGGATCTCCGGCGATCACCAGCCGCGAGATAACACCAATCCAGCAACAAACAAGGTCGGCGCTGTGGAATTTCGCCGATAGATCAAATTAATCTCGGGGGCAGTTTGCGGTTTCGGGGGCGAGAATTGCGCGGGGGACAAGTGCTAAGGGATGATGATTAATATCGCCAGACAGCTCAATCAAACCCAAAATGCGAGAGCTAACGATGGTTTTTGAGCT